ATCTCTAAATCAATGAAGAATCTTTGATCTTTAGAAAAATAAACATTCGCAAATATTGAAAGATTTTTGAATGTGATAGAAAAAGGAATATGAATAGACCAAATCACAAATGTTTTTGCCTATGTAAAGTGATTGAAAAGAGAAAGGAAAAGACGCAACATAAGCAAATATTTCAGAGAAATCGACAAGGAAAAGAGGAGCCTCTCTTACTCGGCTCAGACAAAAATAAAAACTTGAACATGTCTAGGATCGAATTTTAGGTGATATTTACATAAAAGTTACATTAACTTACAACTTAGCTTATCGAAAATAGCATCTGGATACTTTTTAGCTATAGCTAGGTAGTTAGCTAGCTAGTTAGCTTGGCTTGTTCAGTAATTAAACTGATTCTGACGCTGAAGCTTTACAAGGATCATCTCAAGTCAACAAGACAGCGATAATCACTAATAAGTTTTTCTACTTTATAAGAGATGATTGTAAAAGCTGTTAAGAAAGATAAAAGTTAGCTTAAAATTTGTAGAGAATGGTGTAGACTAAGGCTAGTATCATGATCTTGGACTGACCTAGTCTAGGACCCTTTTAAAGCAATGTTGGCCCTGAACAGCTCCTTGAGTTTCTTGAGCTTGAGCTTCTTGAGCTTGAGCTTCTTGAGCTTGAGCTCCTTGGGCTCCTTGGGCTCCTTGGGCTCCTTGGGCTCCTTGGGCTCCTTGGGCTCCTTGAGCTTCTTGAGCTCCTTGGGCTCCTTGAGCTCCTTGGGCTCCTTGACCTCCTTGAGCTCCTTGACCTCCTTGAGCTCCTTGACCTCCTTGAGCTTCATCCTATTACATTAAAGATTGCAGCCTTTCCAATATGTCAAATACGTTCAGAATATTAAAATCTTGTCACCAAACTCTTCAAACTCTAATTCATAATAGAATCACAAGAGTTTCTGAGTCAAAAAAACCCATCAAAGGTGCCAAAAAGCCATTAACCAAGCGCCACAATTTTTATGATCAATGAAGAAAAAAAAGACAAAAGACAGTGTGCCCACAAAACCCTTCACCCATCAAAATTCTTCTCCAATATCAGATTTGGGTGTACCTTTGCCATTATCACAAGTCTAGCTTCTCTGCCTTTGAATTCAGCCTTTGATTTCAGGCAATTCCGTGATTCCGTGATTACGTAGTGGTCTTCAATTTCTCCGTATTTCTTTTCTTTTTTTTTCTTTTCGGCTAAAATGCATGACCCCTTTGTGCCAGTGATTTCAGAATCAGGTGCTTCTGCAAAAAAAGCAAAGAAGAGAATTTCAGGGGTTTATAAACAAGAACTGAAAAATGGTTATTAGATAAGTGAATATTCGATCTAATGATTTACCATCGTACCATGAGAGTTAGAATGCCTCCAATGGTAAACCATTAGATACCCCAGCTCACAAATGGGAGTGTATCAAGAGCTGAGGCTTTCAGGATGAACTGAGGCTTTTAGGATGCACTCGAGCTCATCCTGAAAGCCTCAGCTCCTCAGTTCCTCAGCTCCTCAGCTCCTCGGCTCCTCAGTTCCTCAGCTCCTCAGTTCCTCAGCTCCTCAGTTCCTCAGTTCATCCTGAAAGCCTCAGTTCTTGATGCACTCGCATAGCTATTTGAAACACCAATTGAATATCGACATTTCAACTATCTATTCACTTTTTGCTCAAATTAAAATCCTAGCGGGAAAAAGGCATTCGAAGTTTCGACTATTTTCGATCATCGACCATTTTCGATACCTAGCCAATAAGGGCACACCACACGCGAACGAAAAAACAGCAACAATAGTCTAACGAATAGTTTGCCGGAGTACAGAGCGTCGTTTTTTTTGCGACGGGCTCGAGTCCCACCACCGTCAGCCCCTTATCAGCCCAGAGGTCGCGGGTTCGAATCCCAGCGCCGATCATGCGTATTCCCAGCCCCAACCCATAAAAGGGCCGACGTGTTCAACTAGAGCATCTTCTTTCATATTAACTTGAAGCTATTTCATGGCTTTCTATGACTTTCTATGACTTATTCCAAGAAAAAAGGAAAAAAAAAGGCTTAGCGAACTTAAATTAAAAATTTCAAAAACTTAAAACAACATAAATTTCAAGAGGTTATGACAAAAGTCTTCAAATAGATGAAAACTTTTATTGGACAAGTCTTTTTTTAGGTAAAATGTTGACCAAAGTCTAAAATCTAGTCCTGTACCAGTCATAAGCTGTTTTAGCCAGCTAGTCTGTATTTTCTAATCGATAATCGTTTTCATCTTCATTCTTTACACAAAACCCATCATAAACTTGTTATTTTTCTAGGTTGAAGTCATAAAATCTTGAAAAACCCTTCAAAAAAAGTTGATTTTAACTCTCATTTAACAGCTCCTTGAGCTCCTTGAGCTTGAGCTCCTTGAGCTTGAGCTCCTTGGGCTCCTTGGGCTCCTTGGGCTCCTTGGGCTCCTTGGGCTCCTTGGGCTCCTTGGGCTCCTTGGGCTCCTTGAGCTCCTTGAGCTCCTTGAGCTTCATCCTATTACATTAAAGGTTACAGCCTTTCCAATGTGTCTAAAATCTAGCCCTGTACCAGTCATAAGCTGTTTTAGTCAGCTAGTCTTTATTTTCTAATCGATAATCGGTTTCATTTTCATTTTTTACACAAAACCTATCATAAACTTGTTATTTTTCTAGGTTGAAGTCATAAAATCTTGAAAAACTCTTCAAAAAAAGTTGATTTTAACTCTCATTTCCCGTTTGTATCTGTGTTGGGATCATAAAAAGGCTTTAAAAACTTTTTTTGGCAAAGTACATGAGTACTAAAAAGTACTAAAAAGGCAAAAGGGAAAATGGGTCAGAAAATTGTCAATAACGAAAAAAAAAAAACTCGGAGATTTGTGTTTGAAAACTAGGAATTTGAAAAAAACCTAGGAGAAAAGTGAAAACGTTTTCCACTCACGTAGACACTTTACTTGTTTTCGTTTAGAAATCTCAATTTTCCTTGTACTTTGCCATGTACTTTGTGCTCAATGAAAATCCACTGAAAATCCTTAGAAGAAAGTTAGGGCGAAGTTATGGCGACTTAGAAGAAAGTTATGGCGAGTTGCGCAAAAGACCTTGACCAAAAGGCCAAATGACCCTTTTGCGCAAAAGATTTGGCGCAAAGTAGCCTATCCCAAGTAGTCAATAAAGGAAAATGATAGACTCAAGCAATTATTCGGCTGATTTTTTAGGTTTACGAAGCGTAATTTGCATTCAAATGTTCATAACTCTCTTCAAACTCAAGATTTCTTTAATCTCTTTTCAGATAAATGATCCTCAAAGATTTCTCCTCATTTTAAACCCTAATTCAAGTAAATCGGTTGCCTGTGAACGTTTTTAGAAGCTCTGAAAGGGAGATAACTTATGGAAAGATCAAAAAAAGGCTCATCATGTGTTCAGTAGCATAATAGGCAATGAATTAGGCTTTTAAATTATACAAAAATATAAAGTGATTGAAGCACATAATCCTGAAGAATTAAGAAACGAAATTCAAAAAATAATCAAACAATCACAGTTCTTGTTTAAACTGAAAAAAGTAACACAAGATTTTGTCGAGTGGATATTTTTGGATCATGCCGGTGTCGATGATCAGAGAAAAGAGAAAGATTTGATGGAATGGGGAAAAGATTGGAGAAAAGGAGAAAAGAAAAAAGTTCTACCGGAAGTGTGAGAAAGGAAATCTAGCCGGTGAGAGACTCTGTGAAAGGCAGGGGCAGCCAAATAGCCAAATCGGGCGATCACTTGACACTGGCACAGCCACGAACTAGAAAAACCTACAAATTCAATGATAGATTTCGAAATTTCAGTCAAATTCTAACAGAACACTATACTATTTGCAAGTTAATTAGAGTTTTTGATACAAGGATTCTAATCAACTTCTAGCTAGGCTATCTAGGAATCGAATGGGAACCAAATCAGGCTATCACTCACTCCTAGAGGATCAACGATAAACGGTAACCCTGGCGGCCACCCTGGCCCAAACTGCTTTAACTATTTGACACTAAAAGCTGTATTCGCAGGTCAAAACTGTAGCTTTAAATTATTAATGTAGAAATTAGAAATTGAATAGAAACAAGGAATTTTTTGATTAGATTAGACTTATCGCATTATTACATTTCTGAGTCTAAATTGATAGAATTCTTGGATATTTAGAAGTTTGTCTGTGTCATTTTCTAGCTATTTCTGACCATCTCTCGATACAATTTGTCTATTTGACACCCACTCGACTTTCCCTCGATTCGATCACACTCTTGATCCCCGGTTTCCCCTTTCACAATTGCTCGACTCTTTTCAATTACTTCACACGTCAATTCTAACCAGTTTACTCATCGATTTCCTTGAAAAACATCAATGACGATAGGTCGAGTACTCTATTGTTGAAAAAAAACGTTTTTCTTTGATCGATTAGTCACACGTCTGGCAAAGAAATGGGTTTTCGAGTTTTGAAACCATTTTCTGTTGATGTCTAGATTATCCTGAAAAAAGGACAATAAACAAAAAGAGTTACCGGATTGGATAATGGGATTTCGGGTTACGGTAGCCACAAGACCTTCGGGTTACGGTAGCCATAGGAAATTCCGGTTACAGTAGCCGGACTGAGTTACAGGTTATGGTAGCCACAGGACCTGCGGGTTACGGTAGCCGGACTGAGTTACGGATTACGGTACCGATTCATCACCAACCAACCATCAGGATTACGGTAACAGATCTTACAGAACCTAGCCATTTACGGAAAAGATCAATAAGTGTTGTTGATAATGCGTTGATTATTTTTGTAAATTGTTTAAGAACTACAGTCCGTCCGTCCATCCGTCCGTTTGTCCATCCGTCCATCCATCAGTCCATCCATCAGTCCATCCATCCATCCGTCCATCCGTCCGTCCGTCCATTCGTCCATCCGTCCATCCGTCCATCCATCAGTCCATCCGTCCGTCCGTCCATCCGTCCGTTTGTCCATCCGTCCGTTTGTCCATCCGTCCATCCATCAGTCCATTCGTCCATCCGTCCATTCGTCCGTCCATCTGTCCATCCGTCCATCCATCAGTCCATCCGTCCGTCCGTCCATCCGTCCGTTTGTCCATCCGTCCGTTTGTCCATCCGTCCGTTTGTCCATCCGTCCGTTTGTCCATCCGTCCGTTTGTCCATCCGTCCGTTTGTCCATCCGTCCGTCCGTCCATCCGTCCGTTTGTCCATCCGTCCGTTTGTCCATCCGTCCGTTTGTCCATCCGTCCGTTTGTCCATCCGTCCGTTTGTCCATCCGTCCATCCATCAGTCCATTCGTCCATCCGTCCATTCGTCCGTCCATCCGTCCATCCGTCCATCCATCAGTCCATCCGTCCGTCCGTCCATCCGTCCATTCGTCCATCCGTCCGTTCATCAAAATTCAAATTTGTTAGATGAATGCAAATATTGTGATCGGTGTTGAGTCAAAATGTCAATTCCCCCATAGATTTGGGGACTTTTTAAAACTTTCTGTAATTCTATATATAATGAGTTTGTATTTCATTTATCAAACTCACCTTTAGCTTATCTGTTACAGTAATAAATGGAAATATTATCGCATTTAAGTATAATTTAGACTTTTATTCAAAGAAATCTCATAGGTTAACTGAAATAAATGAATTTTGCGCATGAAATTCGGGCTGAGGAAAATGCAAGAAAATGAAAGAAATTGAAACTAAAAAAAGCTAAAATAAGAGAGTTTTCGATAAATTGATATCTAATAGATTTTCGTGATACGGATGAGAGAAAAAATCGAGTTTGGAGCACCATTTTTTTTTTTGGGCTTATTGAGTACAGGGAGAACCCAACGATTAAGAGAAAGAAAGTGGGGAAAACGAGATTTTTCTTATTTATATATCTAGAATCTGTTTTGTCTATGAATCTATGAATTTGTAAATTCATATCTAAATCTCTTGCGTTCTTAGCTTGATGTTGCGCTTATCTGCTAAGAATCAAGGAGAAGAACCTAAGCTTAAAGCCCTAAGAATCCCTGCTCGTCATACCCTAGAACTGAAATGATTTCAAGTATAGTTCTATAGTTTATATATAGTATACTGTAGTTTATAGTTCGCTAGGCATATTTTTAGAACATCTTTTAGATATAAAATATGACTAGTTGTCCTTTTTTAGGTGGGAAGACAAAAAATGATCGGAAAGGATTCGAACCCGCGACCTCCCGACCACCCAGCGACTTACCAAGCGAGCACTCTACCAATGAGCTAAACTGATACTTGTTTGGCCGCGGTCAGAAGAGTGCTTTATCCCTTACTGAATGAAAAGTAAAGCGGTTCAAAAGTAAAGAATTGCTTTGCAAGGCATTTAACTCCTTCTAGAGTACGGGAGATCAGGTGCGTTGTGGTGTAGTGGTTAGCACGTTTGCCTGATAGTCGAGAGGGCGGGGGTTCGAGCCCTGGTAGCGCTCAATTTTGCCCTAGTTTCAACTAGGCACTTGTACAATTCTAAAGCACAAAATTCTAAATCCTCTAAACTTTAAGACTTTAGGAAATTCTGTAAAAATCTCTCTTCCTACTTTCATCCAAAAAAAGCAAAAAACACAAAGAGGTTTCAATTATTGAGACTAGAATTCATAGAAAAAGAAAAAAAAAATAGATGATTTTAATAAAAGGCACTTTAAATTGATCACGAAAAAAAAATAAATATATAAGAATTGAATCTAAAATTAGAATTAGAAAATAGAATGAGAAAATAGAATTAAGAATAAAATCGAATTATAAAAGTGGCACCAAGAAAAAGTCACTCATTTTTGTTGTTTTTACTATTCTGAATGATATGAGAAAAGGGTGGTTAAGTAAAAAGATTATTTCTATTGATTTCTGTACTTTATGCTCAAGAGTTTCAAAACGTTTCTTTTCTAGCGCACTGGAAATCCCATTTTGAGCACAGAGCACAGCTAAACAGTGCTTTGTAAAGTGTACTTTGTCAAAAAAAAAAAGTTGTAAGCGTCTCCCTGTCTAGCGCATTTCTTCATTTCTTCAAGTAAATGATTGAGAAAGAGCTTGTTTCTAGCTAGTGCGCTAGAAAGAGTTTTCTTTACAATTTAATGCACAAAAAAAACACCAAAGATGTGAGCAAATGTTTAAAAATAAATTTTTTAAAAGAAAAATCTGGCACAACAGTATTCAAAATCCAAAAAAAAAACAAAAATCTATTTAAAATTATCACATTGAATGGGATATTTAAAAAGAAAAAGAAAAAGAAAAAAAAAAAACAAAAAAAAAGCTTTTAAAGAAAGATTAAATGAAGTGAAATTTGCGTAAATTATAGTAATTTTAAAAAGATAAAAAGACTAAAGGATTACGGTAACCTATGAGCCTTTTTAAAGTGTCATGCTTTTGTTTATAAGATCAGAAATCATTGACCAGAACTTTGAAAACATGAGTTTTCGATTTAGCGCTTGAAATTACAATGTTGTGACTAATAAAGCGTCATCAGCGTCTCGAGGATCCTCTTCTGTATCCTGGGTATCGGTTGGACGAAGCAATGACGAACGAGAGTACTGATTCATATCACGCATCTCGTTCATCCCCACGTGCTCCATATAATTTGATGCTAATTGATTTGCCATCAAATCCATGTCTTGACCCTCGACACCGAACACCTGAAGAGACTTGAATCAATTCAATTCTATTTACCTTTTGATTCAATTAGATTCTATCGTTTTTCTACGATATTCTACCATTGCTAGACCTAGAAGCAACACTTTTTTTTTGCATAGTTTTTATCTCATGATCTTTGTTTTCTATAAAGAAGTGAATGGTAAAGAAAGATTTTTGGAGAGGGGATTGAAGCCTAGGACATTGAAGAAGGGATTGAAACTTTTTAGGATATTGCTCTAGAGCTATCCGGGACCTTAACTTGACAAGAGAAAGAGGGAAGACAAGGGGAAAGAAAGATAGAAAGGAAGATTAAGAATTGAGTCTGAGCTATCCGAGCTCTGCTCTAACCACTGAGCTATCCGGTGCCTTAACTTGACAAGAGAAAGAAGACAAGGGGAAAGATAGATAGAAAGAACGACAGATAGATAGAAAGAAAGAAAGATAGAAAGAAAGAAAGAAAGATAGATAGAAAGAAAGAAAGAAAGATAGATAGATAGATAGAAAGGTAGATAGATAGAAAGAAAGATAGACAGAAAGAAAGAAAGAAAGATAGAAAGAAAGAAAGATAGAAAGAAAGATAGAAAGAAAGAAAGAAAGAACAGGAATTGAGTCTGTACTGTTTTATGTTCTGTTCTGTACTAAAGCCAAGTTCGATAGGCTAGTTATAGTAAGGCTCTACCCTTGCACAATGGGATAGAGTAGCTCATTGGTTGAGTGTTCGCCCAATAAGCGAGAGGTCACGGTTTCGAACCCCGATTTTTGTATTCCCAGCCCGCGTCTCCAACTTTATAATGCCTAACTTGACTTTAAAACGAAGCTTACTGTGTATACCGAAATGAAGACCAAAATCAAAAGCTCACCTCTTCCAGCTCTCTTCTCGCCGCTCCGACAACTCTTTGATCCATATATCTTCCAAGAGAAAGCGCTTGTCCGACAAGGCGATCAGCCGGTGAACTATTGCTTTGTTGGCTATTCTGTGGAACGAGAACAGGCCTAGCACTGAATGGTAAACGGACTGATCGACCATCGGGCACCTAGAAGAGTTTCGTTAAATAAGGATTCGGATGGCTTTAATCCAATTGTTTAATCTCCAATTGTTAAAAAATTATCAATTGTAGTTTAAGAATATAACTTACCGTAAATACTGTAATAGTACCCCACCCCCATAATGACGGTGCGGAATGTTGAGTAGTCTAGCTTTGAACGAGTTTTTCTCGACACTGGTTTATGCTACAATGCACGTTTAGGTATCAAAAAATAGCTGAAATTCACGGCTATTTTTTGATACCAAAGACGCAGTTTTTGAAAGTACGGGCGCTTTGAAAAAAATGAAATGCTAAAAAACTTTTGTGACTACGCGACTGTACGAGGGGAGTGGGGTACTATTACAGTATTTACGGTATACCAAAGACGGTAAGCTCTTGTAGGGACGAAGAAAGATACCGTAGACAAAACTAAAACAACAATTCTCTCATTGATCAACCCACCGGTCTATACGTTCCTTCATAGGCTTCTGAAGACATTCCAGCCATCGCTAGAGCTTGATTTCTAGCAATCATCATTGGCTCTCTGAAATTGAATATAATAAATTGAATATAAATCAAAAATTATAAAATAAAGATACCGAATTGGTGGTAAAAGTCGTTGATGTGTGTGTGGATGAGTCTGGTGTTGTTGATGACGTCGTGCCCACTCATCCTCGTCTTCCGTGTCCGAGGGGATACTAAGATGATCGTACAATGGATTTTAGTACTGTTAATACTGTTAATACACTTTAGAAACTACTTGCCTGGAGTTTCTTTGTTTCTAAAAGCATCGAGAAAGTTTAAAGCAATTAAATTGATAACCAATTGTTCGACTGACTGACCAATTGGTCCAATTGGTCGGAATTGGACCATTCAATTCCTTGACCCTGGAAATCCCCTAGCAAACTCATAGCTGAATATCTTTTCTACAAATCATCAATCTACAAATCTACAAAATCTTGCGTAAATCACTGGCGAAATGTTCTTTGTGCGGCCACGTAATCGCTTGTGATCTGGCATAAGGCTCTAGTATAAAAGCTTGATGCAAAAGATTGATGCAAAATGATTCGAGATGCAAGAAGTTTCCAAGAAGTTTGAGATCAGAGATCAAAAAATGGATCCGATATAAAGCTTCTTTCACCCCCTCGACATGTGAGCTCATGGTGTAGTGGATAAGAGTCTTGTTTGTCAACCAAGCGATTGGGCTTTTACTCGGGTTCGATCCCTTTCCTTTCTTTTCTTTTTATTTTGATGCTTAATTCACTCTCACTATGCCGAAAGATCAATTTGAGATGTTTTTTGAGATCAATTTTTGCCCTTAACCCCTTCGCCCCTTTCGATAAACCCACTTTCGATTGGCGATAATGAAACGCTGTTGTTGCGAGTCCATTGCACCCCTTTCACCCGAGTCTCTCATACGTCCTGTTGTCTCATCTCGAATGTGATTCACGTACGTTGGAATCACCGGTAATCGACGACCACTCGACGCTGAACAAGGGGATTATCTCAGAAATTAAATGAAAAAGTAATTAGTGAAAAGTTACAGGGAATAATGAGGGATTGGTGTTGAGTGTTGGGGTGTCCGTTCAGTGGAAGATGAACGGAGTGATTGAGTTGGTGATCGTTTACACTCAAGCCTCCATGAGCCATTCGAGAGCTTTCCGTGCCGTTCACACTTTGGGTTGGTGAGAAAGAACGAGTTTCTAGAAAAGGAAATCGATTAGTTTTGATTTGTTTTTTGTTTATACTTCACCGAAGTCTTGTTCTTTTTGCGTAAGGTAATTTTAAAGTAAGTTTAAAGTGTTTAAAGTAAGGTTAGAGTGTTTAAAGTAAGTTTAGAGTGTTTAAAGTAGGTTTAAAGTAAGTTTAAAGTGTTTAAAGTGTTTAAAGTAAGTTAAAAGTAAGTTTAAAGTAAGTTTAAAGTAAGTTTAAAGTGTTTGAAGTAAGTTTAAAGTGTTTGAAGTAAGTTTAAAGTGTTTGAAGTAAGTTTAAAGTGTTTGAAGTAAGTTTAAAGTGTTTGAAGTAAGTTTAGAGTGTTTAAAGTAAGTTTAAAGTAAGTTTAAAGTGTTTAAAGTAGGTCAAAAGTAAGTTTGAAGTAAGTTTAAAGTGTTTAAAGTAAGTTTAAAGTTCTAAAGTCTCTATTACTCAATTGATAAGCTGCAACAAAGAAAAGTTAACAATTCCATCTACTAGAAATAGTATGAAGAAGATAAAGAATGAAATAGAATTGCTTTTAAAAGCTAAGATTGATTAATTCATTGATTTCTTGTTAAAGATTCTCTATTTTTGGTGAAGTACAACTTGTCATGCAAATCAATTTGTTTATTTAATGAAAAAAGAGCTTGTAAGTGAAAAGGCAACTTAAAAAAAGCAAAAATTTTCACGCTAAACTGAGTTTTCCTTTCTTTTAATCGCCACAACCACTTACTGAAATAACGCTGAAGAAAGCTAGGCGTTCTCTCTGAAGTTTCAACACATTGTATTTCATTTTTAAGCCATCATTTCAAACACATGCATCAAGCAAGAATGCTATTTTATTTTCTGCTTAGAAAATTGTATTATTAAAGGACTTTTGAGAGTAAAATGATTTTAAATTAAAGTCAACCACTTACTGAAATAACACTGAAGAAAGCTAGGCGTTCTCTCTGAAGTTTCAACTCATTGTATTACATTATACATTATGTTTTATTAAAGTTTCATAGCCAAAATTGAGGTTCATTTGATTCATTTGAAAACTAGACAAAAAAAAAAGGGGAAATTAATCTTTTTCGAATATTCATTTAACAAGATCTTGCTGTACAAGCTTCTCTAGTGTTATATTTTTGTTGGATAATATTTTTAAAGTAAAATACCATAAATTTGATTGAAAGAATAGCTTTCTAGATGAAAAGATTGTGTGTTAAAAAGTATCAAAAATTCGACAGATTCGACAAGCCGACTCGAGCTCATTCAAGAGCTTGTAAAATGAGTTGTATATGTCTAATCGGAAAACCTTTATTAGATAAATGTAGCCAAGATTCAGAGCTTTATTTTCCTATATAACACTTAACATTTTGATAATAAGTTAAGCTGTTTTACAAGCCAGTTTAGTATGCAATAGTATACTCAAGTAAAAATCTGATAAAAGTGCCTTACGGTATCTGTACGGTGAGCGAAAATACTGTGGATGATAGTAAAAATCGTAGCTGTTATTTCTTGAATACATTTGTTGGAAAATTAGCAAAATTTCTAGAGAAAATGGGGAAAGGTAAGCAAATTCTGAGTCGTGAGAGAGACGCAATCGAGTTTCAAAAAAAAAAGGAAAAAGAGAAGAAGGAAAAGAAAAGGAAAAGAAAAGAAGAGAAGAAAAGAGAAGGAAAGCTCAACCCCTTTCGCCAATAGTTGGGTCTCTGTGAATCCCTTTCTTTTCAGTTTTTTCCGAAATTTGGTTCAACTCGGGAAATTTGAGTCCCTTCCACGAAAGGAAAGCCTCTACTCACTGAAGAGCTGAAGAACTGAAGAACATGAAGATAGATGTGCAACGGGATAAAGAGAACTCGTTCAGCCGATTCTTCTCAGTTAAATCAAATTTACGAATGATTTTGGGTCTTTCTTTGAATTGAAATCTTGCAGAATCTATCAATCATTCTATTTCAAAACGGGATTTAGGCTGCTAACTTGAAATTTTAATCGTTACGATATTAAATACCAATGATCAAAATGAAAACTGCTTTTATCAAATTAAAAGTGATAGTAGTTTGTTTTGGCTCTAAATCTCATGTTCTTGGCTTGAGCTCCCTCCTGGCTTGAGCTCTCTCCTGGCTTGAGCTCTCTCCTGGCTTGAGCTCTCTCCTGGCTTCAGCTCTCTCCTGGCTTGCCCTCTCCCGGCCTCCCGTCTCCCTAGCTCTCTCCTGGCTTGAGCTCTCTCCTGGCTTGAGCTCTCTCCTGGCTTGAGCTCTCTCTCCTGGCTTCAGCTCTCTCCTGGCTTCAGCTCTCTCTCCTGGCTTCAGCTCTCTCCTGGCTTGAGCTCTCTCCTGGCTTGAGCTCTCTCTCCTGGCTTGAGCTTTCTCCTGGCTTGAGCTCTCTTATCTTTTTGCCAAAAACATGAGAGAACAATAATTGTCGGCTTGATCTTTGATATTTCGTCCCGCAATGAGAATTTAGAGTTCCTACTAAAAATATTCAGAGTTTTATAACGGGAAAATCGGCATAAAAAGTTTTCGGTTAAATGAATCTCAAAAATTCTTTCATATTTGGATTCAGAATGAAATTCTGCGTCAATTGGTATCGGAATCCTATAGAAATCGATTTTTCGCGCAGATTTGTACCCTGGATTTAGCCTTAATCGATGAACTGATTCATGAACTGTATTCTGACTGTTCTCAAAGGTCTAACGTAAAGTTAAGCCATCAACTAAAGCTAAAATTCGATCCAGATTTATGGAAAGTTTGATTTGGCTCGGGTTTGGTTAGGCTTACAGATGCTAGGAAATTCTTGTTGAAAGTCGGCTACTTTACATTAGCTTTTAAAGAGAAGCAGTTGGTTAATGAGAAATTTTGGTTTGATAGGGTTAATTTAGTACTAGATTACAGTTAACTAGTACTAGATTACAGTTAAGCTAGTACTAGGTTACAGTTAATCTAGTACTAAATCGCAGTTAGATCGTTAAAATCTATCTCATCTGTTAACTTTTCATGCATAAATTGCCTTTTAAAAGGTAAAAAAGAACTCTTTCGGTGAAGAAAACAATAATTTGCATTCAATCTATTAAGCTGTCTAGAAAGCTTCGTTTTTATATTATTTTACAGAAAACTAATTGATCTTTCTATTTGAAATTTATTGTTTTTATTGTTTTCATTTGTTGGATTTAAACAAATAGACTTTCTAGACAGCCTAATAAGTACACAGCAATACTCACGATAAGGCATTAGCATACTCGTTCTCTCTGCTTGCACTCCCGGATGATGATCGTGCTGTTCTTGACCACGAGAGCCGGCAATCGCTGACACAAAGTTGTTGAAGAGAGAGTGAGCACGCTGAAATTTGGATAATGCTTTACAATGCTTTAAATAGTTTAAATCTTAAACAAATGGGATCTAATATTTAATAGGATAATGAGCTGGAAGCCAAAGTTTGGCTTTGGCTAGATCAATGACCAAGTCCAATGACCAAGCCAAGCCAAGCCAACCAAGCCAAGCCAAACCAACCAGGCCAAGCCAATCAAGCCAAGCCAATCAGGGCAAGCCAACCAAGCCAAGCCAAAGCCTGACCCTGATGGCCTGGAAAATGAGTCAGCCAAAAGCCTGGCTTAGACTTTGGTTCTGTTCTCGTGCTTGTCCAGACTGTTAAACTGAATCTTCATTTCGCAATCGTACTTTAATCGATCACCAACTCTACTGTGAATGAATTTTCAGACGTTTGTCAAATGTTTGTAGCATGTTTGTAAAATAAACATGAAACGATTCTCAATTGTATTCTTCCGAAAGGTCTAGACTCAGTTCTAGCTTTCTGACTCTAGCTTCTGACTCTAGCTTCTGACTCTAGCTTCTGACTCTAGCTTCTGACTCTAGCTTCTGACTCTAGCTTCTGACTCTAGCTTCTGACTCTAGCTTCTGACTCTAGCTTCTGACTCTAGCTTCTGACTCTAGCTTCTGACTCTAGCTTCTGACTCTAGCTTCTGACTCTAGCTTCTGACTGCACTAGAGATTTTCAATTGTTCAACATGAAACGATTCTCAATTGTGTAAATATTATCGTATCAAAATCAAAACCAAAAATGAACTCACCCTATGCACGGGTTCCTCTGACTCGAAATTGAAATCAGTTTCGAGATTCCCGGAAATCGCTCGCTTCAGCTCAGGTCCAATCTCATGCAGAGTTCGTAAACCGGCCTAAAGAATTTAATTATCAAAGAAATTTGATCAAAAAATTCAAAGAAAATATTGATGGTTCCTCATTTTTGACGAAGAAGAAAGAAAGAACTAATGAAAAATTCAAGAAAAATGCAGTCAGCACGCGTGCATTTTCAATAATGGAGTGTCGATTGAGGGAAAGAGAAATGATGGAAAAGGAGAAAGAGAAGAAAGAGAAGAAAAAAGAGGAAATGCCCTCTGGGAAAAAGCAATGCAAAGGATTTGGGCAACGTTTTGAAATCGGAAAAAGGGGAAGTGGATGGGCAAAATATAAAGCAAAGAGGTGGCTATATAGAAGCGGAGAAAAGGGAAAGGTGTCTAGCTTCACCAAGTGCCTAAGAAGCCCAGTTAGGGGTGGAGAAAAAGAAGTTACGAGTTGAAATGGTTTACCTGTAGAGCCATTGCTTGTGGTGTGTGCCCACCGGGTCCAACCATTCCTTTCGCTTCGAGTTCTTTTCTTTTCTTGAAACGCCGAAAGTAGTCCTGGATAAGGAAAGTCGCGTAGAATTTTCCAACAGTTACGTCGTCTTCTTCTGTAAAATTACGATTCTTTTAAAGAACAATTGTTGACTTTGAATCTCAATTGTTGGGTTTTTGACTAGGGTTTTTGAGAATTCATGCAGTTTAGTAGCTAATCCTTCTCAAGAAACGATCCAACTAGAACTCGTGGACCGGTAAGCTTCATAACCAAATTCGTGCCTGGCTTTGATTGCCTGTTTCTGGACAACCTGCCTTACAGGTTTACTGATCCTGGCACAGATCAGTAAACCGATCCATAGATCTGTACCTGGCTTCTTAATTAGTCTAATCTGCTGGCAAGCTTGTCAAGGCTCTGCTCTAGGCTCTCCCTTTTCAAGAAGCGATTCAACTATTGGGCTGGTGAAAGGGAAGGTCTGTGGTCGACCCCGTCCGATCTGCCAAGTTGAGCAACGTCGGCGCGGGTTAGTCGTGGGTTCGACTCCCATGGGCTCCCCTCCGAGCGCCCCAGCCCGGCCATCGGAGTATCATCGGCTACGACAACTACACTTCTGCCTCAGTAAATGTGGAAGCGGGTTGTGATCTGCGCTAAGTGCGAAGACAGATCAAATCATTATTTATTTATTTTATTTATTTTTATTGGGCTGGTGAATTGAAAACTGCGGGACTTTGAACCAAAATTTGTTCAACATAAAACCATCAATTCATTCCAAATAGAGTTTTCAATTCATCAACCCAATAAATTCAATTCATCAACCCAAAAATCCTTTAACAAACTTCCAGCTGGTGGCACCACTTCGTCTAACATTTTCATCGGTGTTCTCTTCCAAATTCGACGAATCGCCGATCGGAGTTGCTCGTTGGCTTCATCGATGTTTCCCTGGATTAAATGAACTTTTCGAATTCCAAATCGTAGAATTATGGAATAGATTTCAATAGAATAACATTCAATTACCTCCGTATAGATCTTCAAATTTGTACGCACTAGCGCGAAAAGAGTTGCGTTGAAGCAAACCGTACCGTCCGAGTTTAGCGGCATATTCATTGAGACAAGACGCTGAAATGCTTGTAATTCTTTTTCTTATATAGTTGATTATTCAACTGTTTTCCAGCCATGAAGTTTTCCTATTTAAAATAAAAAAGTCAAGATCGAAAAATCCACTACAGGGGTCGAAACCAGCCCGACTGAGCCCTTAGCCGAGCGCACTCCCGACTGCGCCAAGGTGACAGAAATACGGGGTCTCAAAACATCCATAAAAACCAGCCTAACGGTTTCTTCTGGACTCTCGAAAATCGAAAATCGGCTCCTAACGGCTTTCTAGTTGGATTTTTTGGGGTGGATCTTTATGTCGGCGTTGCGCAAAGGTAGTGCGCTCATCTGCAGCCTGCACGGCCCGGGTTCGGCTCCCGGCTGTGCCTTAACTTTTGTTTTTTGAGCAAAAAAAACGAAATCTGAGAAATCTGAGACGAAAAACTGGATAGAATTCAAAGTCTAACAAACCAAAAAACCCTGTAAATCTTTATATTTGCATCTTTACGAACCTTGCAAGCCAATCGATGCGGACAGAGCTTTCCAAATCCAAGTGGTGGAGAGATCTTTCTCAACAATGTGACGACATCAAGGTGCTTGATTCGTCCTTTTGCATCCGGATCGTATTCTGACCAAAGCCGGACAAATTCTTCTAAATGATGAGGGCCAAGGATTGACCAATCTCGCGTCAAATAATCGAAATTGTCCATAATGACAGCCACGAACAAGTTGATGACCTGAATTCGATTGTTGCTGGTTTTCTTCCATTTTCCATTCGGGAATCAAATTTTAACTTCAAATTTCTTGGTTTTGGGTTGTCGAATTTAAATATTTTTTTATGCTAATCGAAAGAGAAAGATTTGGCGGAGCGAATGATGTGAAAAATATAGTAATTCAATGACTCAACACCTTGCACCTCAACACCTTAAGAGATTTGCTCTTAAAGTTATGCCAATAGGATATCTTCTTTGACTAACCAAGAAAGAACAAAGCATGAAGAATGAGATGAAATAGGGATACGCGAAATTGTTGCCGCAAGTCGCGTTTGTATTGTTTTTGTAGTCGTCTGAGCCTTTGTCGCATTTCACCTAGAATTTTTTTCGTTTAATTATTTTAGTTTAGTTATTCTGGATTCAAAAGTATATAACTGGACAATGTTTGAAATTTGAATCATATTTGAAAAACGATCGTCACCTTTGCGCGTACTCTAGCCTGGTTACACTTTGCAAGCCAAGCCACAAGTGTGTCCAGAAAAATTGTAGCATTCCTTTAGTTCAGTTGTAAACTAAAGCCTTTAAAATTATTCAGTCTGTCAGTGTCATATATGTTGTGTCCGATTTAGATTTCCGTCCGATTTAGATTCAATCTAAATCGGACGTCCTATTTAGGTTGAACTTATCGCGGACGTCCGATTTAGATTACAGTCTATATCGGACATCCGACTTAGATTCAATCTAAATCTTATAAAGATTGAACAATAATATAAACATACTTAATATATGTTCTTAAGCATTTTCTGTAGTTTTCTGCATTTTTCAAAGGTTACTGTTACTGTCTTTTTCTGAAAAGAAAACCCAACTATGAAATAATCAATAAAAAACCTTTGCAAATGCAGAAAACTACAGAAAACGCTTAAGAACATATATTAAGCATGTTTATATTATTGTTCAATCTATATAAGACGTCCTATTTAGATTGAATCTAAATCGGACGGAAATCTAAATTGGACACAACATCTACAGTACTGGACAATGAAATATTCATATTTGAAAAACGATCGTCACCTTCGCACGTCTGTAACTCCCATGTTTTTGAGTTTAAACTATTAGTGTTATACATTTTCTGAAAGCTCTTTTCAAGGGCTACACAATGGTAATATTAATATTTACAAATACGATGAAGACAATGGAGTTACAGACGCGCGAAAGTGACGATCTTTTTTCAAATATCATATTTCATTGTCCAGTAGTGTATTTAACTGAGAGACTGAATCATTTTAAAGGCTTTAGTTTACAACTGAACTAAAGGAATGCTACAATTTTTCAGAACAGACTTGTGGCTTGGCTTGCAAAGTGTAACCAGGCTAGAATTAGGGCTGTAGCTGACTTTAGCTTGACTCTAGCTTGACCTGGTCGAGCTTTTGGTCCAATTCATTTGGAACATTTCTGAATCCTTGCTGTAGGCGAGAGTCTGGCTTTTGATTAGCCTAACTTAGCCTAGCTTTAGCCTAGCTTTAGCCTGGCTTTAGCCTGGCTTTAGCCTAGCTTTAGCCTAGCTTTAGCCTAGCTTTGGCCTGGAACACTCTTCCTTTTACTTCATCTTCATACTGTAGCCTTTGCAATGTCTTTACAAAATCCTTTTCAAAGCAATCCGATCACTTTCAACTTCTATACTTACATCTTCTCGATTCGAGCACGATAACATAATCTCTTGCCAGGCTTCTCCTGTAGCTGACCTGAAAACCAAGAAAACTACAAGAAAATCTTCACAAATCACCTGAACAAGACCAAAACGGCGGCAAAAAACGAGTGGAAATGATTGTTCCGATGAATGGCCGTATTGTCATCGAGAGCCACTTTTCCGAAGACTTGCATACCAATGACGGCATAGATGAAGAACAGTAAGACGATGAGTAAAGCAACGTATGGGAGAGCCTGGAAATCGTGATTGAAACAGCTTGGTGAAACAGCTTTTCTTTTAAAAACATCAGTACCCAATAGAAGATTTTTTAAAAACCTTTTTATTTTGCACCATCACAAATACGAAATGGTTCAAAATGCTTTTAAAAACTCGGCTACAGTAGCCCTAAGCTGTCGTATTCTAGACTAGAGTACCTTTAAACTGTCGTATTCTAGATTACAGTACCTTTGAACTGTCGTATTATAAACTACAGTACCTTTGAGCTATCGTATTCTAGACTACAGTACCTTTGAACTGTCGTATTCTAGACTACAGTACCCTTAGACTACAGTAAGCCGCTACACTCACTTGAAATGACTTCATAAATGTCCACAAAAGCGTTCGAATGCCCTCTCCTCTCGACAACAACTTCACCAATCGCATCACACGGAAAAGACGGAAGAAATTGATCGAGAAACCCTGAAATGATATGGTTCAGATTGCAGATAGAACTAGAAGTTTTAAATGGCTTAAAAAAGGACTGTTGACTACGGTTTTTGAGAATTCATGCAGTTTAGTAGCTAATCCTTCTCAAGAAACGATCCAACTAGAACTCGTGGACCAGTAAGCCTCATAACCAAACCCGTGCCTGGCTTTAATTGCCTTTTCTGGACAACCTGGCTTACAGGTTTACTGATCCTGGCACGGATCAGTAAGCCGATTCATAGATCTGTACCTAGCTTCTTACTTAGTCTAATCTGCTGGCAAGCTAGCTGGCATGCTTGTCAAGGCTCTGCTCTAGGCTCTGCCATAGCTCTGCCATGGCGCTTTGTCAACTAGAATTCGTAGGCATAACCAGAACCAAGCCTATACCTAGCTTCTAGCATAGCTTGGGTAAGCCTGGGTAAGCCTTAACAAACAGCTAGGTTAAGGCTGAAGCTTAAGGCTTTCTCCAGTTTCTTTCCCACTCACCGTTCCCGGTCCACCACTGATCCTCGACCAAAAGATGTCAATGAACGATCCAAGGACGATCACAAAATCGAAAACATTCCATTTGTCCCCAAAATAGTTTCGAAAGTTTAGAGCTAAAAGGCTTTAATTCAATAGTCCAATAGTCCAATTACCAATAATTTTCAGCACAGATTCAATGGCGAAAACGGTGGTGAAGAAGAAATTTAGATCATCGAGGACACTCTCGAATTTCTCCGTGATTGGGTAATGTTTACAGGCGAGAGAGATCGTGTTCATCACGATTACAATGAAGATACCGTACTCGAACCATCTAAAGTTTTAGATTTAGATCTGGGAATAGTTTTGTACTCTACTAGATGTTGTACTATTTGTTTAAAAGATGCTCAATCTTTCTGATTATCACTAAAAGCTGATTAGAATACAAGAATTGCTCAAGTCTTAGCCTGTGTACTAAACAATACAGTACTATGTACACAGAGTACTATATCATACAGTACTATGTACACAGAGTACTATGTCATACAGTACTATGTACACAGAGCACTATGTCATACAGTACTATGTACACAGAGTACTATGTCATACAGTACTCTGCGATCCTCTGAACCCACCTCGACGTGACAAACCACCAAACACGGTATTGAAAACGATTCCGCGGGATGTAGCGACGATGCGGACGAGCTTTCAATGCAAATTCGATACATTTACGCTAAAGTTTTATGGTAATTTGGAAGGCTAATTTACCATTAACTCAATTTCTCCCATAAATCAAATCTGATTCTTGTCTAACTGTCTACCTAATCTCTCTCATAAAATAAACCTGATTCTTGTCTAACTCGCAATTCTCATACTCTCGCTCTCCCTCATTCTGGAAGGTAACGATAACGAAACCGACGAAGATATTCATCATGAAGAAAGCTAAAAATACCATTTCAAATCAGTTGAAATCAATCAGTTGAAATCTTTTAAAAAAAATATGAAATCAAATGATTGATACCGATAACGATGATGAAAGCTATGAAGAAAAGAGCGACGGCTTGTCGAGAGTTGTGGATTGGACCTCGATCTTCTTCATTTGAGTTGATTGCAACGTAGAGAAGACTGAAAATTTGAGGCTTTTCCTAGAGCTGGCTTTCCTAGAGAAAAGACTGAGCTAATTGGAACAAAGATCTATAAACACAAAAAGATTTGCTTTATAAAAGAACCCCAGTAAACATTGGGAATGAGGGGAAAAAAAACTGGCAAATTTCTTTGTCCAAACAATAGCTCATTTTGTTCTTGCTCTTTCCCTCGATTAAATCGATAACTCGAATATCTTATCATATCATTATCAGTGCCAAAAAAAACGATAGTATAATACGGAACAATATCCCGTAAATACTCTAATAGAAGCCCCTATAGGAGCGTCGCGTAGTCTAAGTCTTCACTCTCAAAAGAACACTCATATCTCGCCAGCAGTACGTTTGTTTTTCCTCGTTTTAGTATCAAATTAAAGTAGAGAAAATGGGTGATTTTTTGAGATATAACACAGATTTTTAGCTTAAACCAGCACTTAGAAAAAATTGATTGAAAATCGGCTCTCGAAAATTGAAAATCGGCTCCTAATGGCTTTCTAGCTGGTTTTTTTGGGGACAACTTTGCTCTGGCCTTAGCGCAGTCGGGAACGTGCTCGTCTGCAACCCACAGGGTCCTGGTTCAACCCACGTACTGCCACTCAACTTTTCGTTTTTGTTTTTTGATTACAAATAACACGCTTACAATACATTCTAAGGTTTTTAGCTTTATTGATCAAAAGATTATCGAGAAAATGCCAGACAGACAGCTCTTTTATAGTGCATTACTGTAGTAATTCGCATCCTATTTATTCGATTTGACTCACCCAGGCCATCCCTCAAAAGTGGAGACAACAAAAAGAGAAATCATCGCCTCCATGACGTTGTCGAAGTTGAAATCGTTGTTTGACCAGACTCTCTTCTTTGAAACCGGCCTTGTTGGATCGCCCTCTTCATAGTGAAGGTATTCACCTCTAGAATTCAAATGAAAGCCATTAAAAGCTGAATCGCCATCCTCACCTGCACTCAGCCTCGGTCATTTTTGAGAGATCATTACATTGGAAGAAAGTCCCCTTAAACAGTTGAACGCCGATAATAGCAAACATGAATTGAAGCATGAATGTCACCAACATAATGTTACCTAAAGTTTTTTGTTATCTAAAAAGGTTTTATGTCATTTACCGATAGTTTTCACGGCAACGATCACACATTGAACGACGTGCTTGAGGCCTTTGGCTCGATTGATGGCACGCAAGGGACGCAGCACCCTCAGAACCCTGAAATTTCAAGGGTTTCATGGATTTTGAAGTGGTAAATGGACATTTAAATGTTCTTGTGCTCAAAAGCAATGAGCAAATTGAATTCTCATTTGAAATTGCGAGATTTTTGCGAGAGTTTGAATGGTTCTTTGTACTTTGAGCATAAAAATGGAAACGCATCTGTTCTGGCATTCATCTAACGATGAAAAGGTTTGGAATTTCGTTAGATTAGATTTAGATTTGGGTTTAGATTTGAGTTTAGATTTGGGTTTAGATCTGGCTTCAGATCTGGCTTGAGGTCTGGCTTCAGATCTGGCTTGAGGTCTGGCTTCAGATCTGGCTTGAGGTCTGGCTTCAGATCTGGCTTGAGGTCTGGCTTCAGATCTGGCTTGAGTCTGCCAATCTGGCTGAGTCTGCTCAGATCTGGCTTGGTCTGGCCAATCTGGCTTGAGGTCTGGCTTCAGATCTGGCTTGAGGTCTGGCTTCAGATCTGGCTTCAAATCTGGCTTTAGATCTGGCTTCAGATCTAGCTTCAGATCTGGCTTGAGGTCTGGCTTCAGACCTGGCTTGGGATCTGGCTTTAGATCTAGCTTCATATCTGGCTTTAGATTTGGTTTTCAGATAGCCGATCCTTTCGTAATAATTTTACTTTCACTATCAATTAGAATCTAAAATGCTAAAAGTTTCGAAGGATTGGAACTTGAATCTTCTGCTCAGGCAGACGCGTCCATTGCGCTCAGTTTCTTCCCTCAAACAGTTCTAGATCTAGCTCTAGGGTTTGATTGGACTTGCTGAACTTGGTGGACTCATTTTTGAGCACAGCAAATTACTCAAACATTTGTTTTTTTTGAAATTTTTCTTACCTGAGAATTTTGACAACCGAGAAATCACTCTTGATGATGAAAGAAATGATTGAAACAGCAACGACGAGAATATCCAACAAATTGAACGCATTTCGACAGAAAGAACCTTTATGTAAGACGAAACCGAACACAACCACCTAAAAAAAGCTCTTGAAATTGATCATTAAAGCTTTTCTTTTAAAATTCTATAAAATAATTAATGTAATGATTTAGAAACTAGAGAAGTTTAAAGAGTTAAATTACTGCAGTTAACTTTGGTTTATTTACTTTAGTTAACTCTAATTAACTTTAAATAACTTTAGTTAACTTTAATTAACTTTAGTTAACTCTAAATAACTTTAGTTAACTTTAGTTAACTTTAGTTAACTTTAGTTAACTCTAAATAACTTTAGTTTACTTTAGTTTACTTTAATTAACTTTAGTTTACTTTAATTTACTTTAATTTACTTTAATTTACTTTAATTTACTTTAATTTACTTTAGTTTACTTTAATTAACTTTAATTTACTTTAATTTACTTTAGTTTACTTTAATTTACTTTAATTTACTTTAGTTTACTTTAATTTACTTTAATTTACTTTAATTTACTTTAGTTTACTTTAATTTACTTTAATTTACTTTAATTTACTTTAGTTTACTTTAATTAACTTTAATTAACTTTAATTAACTTACTTTAAGCGAAATTTCGACGGTAAAGACGGCTGTGAAGAAATAGTCGAAATGATTGAGAATCTAAAGAATTTTTTTATGAACACAACAAAGAATATATCACAAATGCTGTAATAGAAGCCCCTATAGGAGCGTCGCGTAGTCTAAGTCTTCACTCTCAAGAAAAACACTCATATCTCGACACTAGTACGTTTGTTTTTCCTCTTTTTGGTATCAAATTAAAGTAGAGAGAATAGCTAATTTTTTGAGATATAACACAGATTTTTAGCTTAAACCAGCACTGAGAAAAAAAATGATGAAAAAATGATGAAAAATCGGCTCTTTTTCCACTCTTTTTTTCCACCAAAAAGAAAGAAAAGCTAAAGATTATGATCATTTCAAAAAGTTTACATATTCTAAAAATAAATTACCTTTAGATAACGGTAATTTTAAGAAAGAATTATTGCTTTAAAATGGCACCTTATTCCTGTCGGAATCAGCTTCGAGCGGATCCTCGGCTGCTAACATGGCTGATGACACCAAAATACACACAAGAACCGAGTTTGTAAAATACGAATGGTTAACCATTTTATTGCAGAAAACTCTGAAAAACGAAGGTTTTTATGGAAATCGAAACTTTAGCTTTTAGCTCTACTATTAGGTTGATGCAAAAGTCTTTTTCATTTTTTTCGTACTTCCGTTAAAAAGTAACAAATGCACCAATTGAACAACGGTTTATTGCATTCGAAAGGCCAATTATTTTTCTGCAAAATGACATTAAAAAACGAGTTTAAAATGTCTTATGTCTAGATTTTTTTGAGAGCCTGAAGTCGGGTAGTCAAAAAAGGCGACGGCTCGATGATGCATTTTAGACGCTTTAGCTAAGGAAACCAATCTTGATGTTAATAAATAAAAGATAGAGCACAAAAAGTTCGATATTTTTTCAGATTTTCAGAGAAATTGAGATTCAGCCAATTTCTTTATAGAGGTTTTTATAGATTTTTATGAAAAACCCGTTTTCACTCTCGAATTTGCTTGAAAGTGAACCCAAATTGACTTAAAAAGATGGGAAATTCAACAATAAACACTTTTCATTTAGAGCAAACCATAGGTTAATTGATGACTTTGTTATTTTTCAAAAGAAGTACGAAAAAAATGAAAAAGACTTTTGCATCAACCTAATATTTCATTTTCCAGTAGTGTATATGCATCAGAATTAGCTGGGCAGTTACGCAGAAAGTAAGGGCGTGTTTTAGAGTTTCAAAATCGTTTTATCTCGTTACTTTTCCACATCTTGCGCGTAATTTCAATTTTTGATAGCTTTGGGATTGTGATTAGTGTATTGCGAACGTATTTTTGACTATTGATTGATTGATAATTGATGACTTTGTTATTTTTCAAAAGAAGTACGAAAAAAATGAAAAAGACTTTTGCATCAACCTAATATATTTTGCTTTCACTATCAATTAGAATCTAAAATGCCAAAAGTTTCGAAGGATTCGAGCCTTCAATCTTCTGCTCAGGTAGACGCGTCCACTACGCCACGCGATCAGTTTCTTCCCTCAAACAGTTCTACACCTAGCTCTAGGGTTTGATTGAACTTGGTGAACTTGGTGGACTCATTTTTGAGCACAGCAAATTTTTTCTGAGCACAGCAAACTCGAGTTTTTCTTTTCTACACTCACCGAAACGCATTCGTGTGCGACAAAATGAACAATGATGAGGCTTTCGGGATCGGTTTTTGCTTGGAAACCTGAAACAAACAATTACTAAATAATTCTAAACAATTTCATACTTATATAAACATTAAAACATGAAATTTCGATAGCACAAACCTGTGGCAATTCACTCATCCTGCGCGGTCGAACCGTGGTCGGCAAATCTCCATCCTCTCCTTCGACCTCTTCCTCGTCGAATCTATTTGATTTGATTTAAATAATCTATTATTATTGATCGTTTAGCATATTAATCTTATCTTTCTTTTACCTCAACCCATCCTCTCCAAAATGATCTTCTCCTTTCTCCTCGTCGAGCTCTTCACCTTCTTCAATTTCCATTTCTAGGTTTTCTAATAAAAGATTAGAAATTGAGTTGGATATTGGGATATTTAATGGTGTTTTTAAGCTTGATATTGAAGTTATCGTAAGCCCAGCTACAGTAGTCTATGCTAGGAATTAAGTATCCGGTTAGTTACAGTAATCTATCGTAAACTATAGTGCCGTAACCCTGTCAGCCACAGTAATCCTCAAAGCTACAGTAGTCTAGAGTACTTCGATCCCGCTAGCTGCAGTAATCCATAGCTATCGCAGATCTATAGCTACCGTAACCCTGCCAGCTATAGTAATCCCCTGGTTGCCGTAGATCTAAAGCTACTGTAACCCTGCCAGCTACAGTAATCCCTGGCTGCCGTAGAATAGAGCTATCGTAACCCTGCCAGCTACAGTAATCCATAGCTACCGTAGATCTATAGCTACCGTAACCCTGCCAGCTACAGTAATCCTGGCCCGTAGACATAGAGCTACGTAACCCTGCCAGCTACAGTAATCCATAGCTATCGTAGATCTATAGCTACCGTAACCCTGCCAGCTACAGTAATCCCTGGTTGCCGTAGAATAGAGCTACCGTAACCCTGCCAGCTACAGTAATCCCTGGTTGCCGTAGAATAGAGCTACCGTAACCCTGCCAGCTACAGTAATTCATAGCTGCCGTAGATCTAAAGCTACCCGACTACCGTAATCCATGATCTTTAAATCTCTAGATAGATTTGCATTCTATTTTACCTCCTTGTTCCTCCTCTTTCTCGGCGTTCGTCAACGAGTCAGCATCGGCCAAATTATCGACAGCGATAGCCAAGAACACATTCAACAAGATGTAATTACCGCAAATGAAGAGAACTAAGAATTTCTTTGTTTATCTTCATTTCATCTATTCATTCACCAATGAAATAGATCGATACAATGACACCGAGTGTGCCCACGCCACCGAATGACTCGATTCCACTGTACATCACCGCGTTCCAGTCCTCGCCGGTGAGAATCTAAGAAACGAAATTTGTCATCATTTTTTTTTTGCTAAAACGAACTCTCTCTACTTTGTCGAAAACCTTCAACCAAAACTAACCAGACTAACCAAACCAAACTTATCTATATACTACTGGACAACGAAATATGATATTTGAAAAAGGGTCGTCACTTTCGCGCGTCTGTAACTCCTTTGTCTTTATCGTATTTCTAAATATTAATATTACCATTGTGTAGCCCTTGAAAAGAGCTTTCAGAAAATGTCGAACACTAATAGTTTAAACTCAAAGACAACGGAGTTACAGACACGCGAACGTGACGATCGTTTTTCAAATATCATATTTCATTGTCCAGTACTGTACCTATTTTGTTTAAAGATTTGTTTAAAGATTTCCCAGCAACTGATTAACTTTAACCAGTTTCTAAAGTTAGAAACTGGTTAAAGTTAATTTAAATAGAATTATCGTTTAATCGAATTTCAGCTTTATTATTAGGATTACCTGGAAAACGGTTAACAAAGCTTGGATGAAAGTATCAAAGTTGGCACGGGGTTTCGGTTGTTGAGGGTTGTAGTTGAATTTACCACCAAATACCTAAAGTATTGGAATGATTATGAAAATGTTAAAAATGTTTTCAAATTTCAAAACCTGCATTCCCAATAAGGCAAAGATGACGATGAAAAGGAAAAGAAGCAACAAAAGGGAAATGATTGATCGAAGAGAATTCAGAAGGGAGGAGACGAGATTTCGAAGTGACGTCCAGTACCTGAAATTTCGATTTTAAGCAAAGTCGCAGCAGCAGCAGTCATTCTTTTTTTGTTCTTTTATCTAGCCAAGATCAAGAGCTACAGTTTAAACTCAAATTGGCCCAGTTTAAATCGATTTTTGAATAAGATTTAGTCAATAATCGAGATAGAAAGGAAAGAAATTGGCTTTGATCTTGGCCGGATCAAATAGAAACCAAAATTCTAAGCTTTAAAAACCATTTTTTCTATTGTTTAAAGCTAAATGCTTTAAAAAAAAAAAACTAACAAAATTAGATATTCAATTACTCAATCACCATTTGCTTTTTTCAAACTCACTTTGTCACTTTGAATATCCGAAGTAAACGAGCCGACCGCAACACCGACACTCCGAGTGGTTTCATCAACTCCAGATACACCAAAACGAACTCGAGAATTGAACTAGAATTTGATTTTTATCGACTTTTATTGATTTACATTGATTTTTATTGTTTTTTATTGTTTTTTATTGTTTTTTATTGTTTTTTATTGTTTTAAAAAGCTTTCTCTTTACCTGATCACGACAAAACAATCGAAACGATTAAATTGTGATGTGGTGTAATTGGTGAGACCTAACGAGTACATTTTCAAGAACATCTCCATTGTGAAGAGCACGACGAAGAAGAGATTTGCCCAGGCTAAAGGATTGTTAAAGAAATTTCAAACAAGTTAGAATCCTTGGTCCTAGCCAAGGCATAGATTCCTTGTCTTTGTCTGGATCCTAGATCTCGCTTAGATCCAGATTCCGGCATGGATTCTAGAACTGACCTGAATCCCAGGTTCTAATAGATCTCAAATCCTAGACTAGATTCCAGATTCTGATCTAGATCTCGGATGAATTTTATTTTTGACTTTTCTGAATTTCTCACTTGATTCTGATTCTGGCTTAGATTCTAGGTTTGGCTTCGATTCTAAAGTCAGGACAGGATTTAGCTTCTGAATTGACCAGAAAAAATGTCTCAAGGCCTTAGGTTTGTAAGCAAGCTAAACTAGACAAGACAGTCCTAGATTCGAAGGTCTTGCTTTGATTCTAGAACTAATCTAGACTCCAAATCTTGGTCTAAATTCCAGAGCCACAAAACCAGGCTTAGTTCAAGAATTTTTTGGGTCTAGCGAGAGCCAGAAAATTGTTTTAATCAGGTTCTAGGATTGTAAACCAGTCTAAGCCTAAGCCAGGAGTCAGGAGTCAGATCCTAGCCCAGATTCTAGATTGGTATAGCTTTCCTAGTCTTAGCTTGGATTCTAGAGCCAGAGCTACTGTCCCAGTCTGTCCAGAATCTTTTGAACAACTCCGAGCACCGATCCTGTGGATCTTAAGATCTTAAGTATTTTTTGAATCCCTTCTCCAACTCACTCTGAAAATCGTCAAGCCATGGCTGTTGTCGGTAGTGTTCGGATGTTAAAACAAGTGTGTTGAAGAAGACCAAAATGATGACAAGCCAATAGAATGTTTGCGATTTCACCAGCCGTCGACAAGCGCGACGACAACGACGATTCAGTTTCTCGAATCTGAATCCAACTTTGGAGTTGATCAACAACTGATCAACAGCTTATCAATCAGATTAAAGTCTAAGCACTGAACAGAATCATTCTCACCTCTTCATTTTCAATCGTAACCAACTCGGTCTAGTCTCTTCCACTCTCTCCTCGCCCTCTTCATCCTGCTCCTCGCCTAGAATTTCAGCATTTGTCTTTAACATTTTATACTATAAGCAGCTTTTATTAAATGCAAATTCTTAGTCATTTATCCTAGTTTAATAAGTTCCCAAAGGCTCACCATTATGCTGTGGCTCCTCTTCGTCTTGCTCGTTCACCGGATCGATATCCTCGGCCTGAGTGATCCAATCGAGATAACCTAACGAGATTCAAACTTTAAGCGATTCACAGAAATCTTTAGTTTCTTTAATTTATAAATTCACCTTTCAAGTCCTCCTCCAGCTGTTGTTTCTCTCGAAACTTCTGAAAGAGACCTCTCGCTCGAGCCTTTTCTCGTTCCTCAAACAATTCACAATCATTTTTGCAATTTAATCCAAATAATTCATAGATAATTTCAAGATAATAGATATATAGTTATCCTTTTCTTTTTTAAATCTTCAATTTTGTGAAGCTAACTCTATTTTGACGACACTAAACTTGTCCCTGAAGTGACTCGATTCCTTTTTTGGTCACTAGCATTTCGCCCTCGAAATTTCATAGATAAAAAGAGCACTCAAAATGGGGGGTAGTCAAAACAGCGCCATAATAGAAAACGTTCAAAACAGCGGTCAAATTCCCAAAACCCAAAAATTCCTGTGCGTTCTTGGCATGATGGGTGAAACAGTTTTTTAAAAAGTTAATATTTCATAGATAAAAAGAGCACTCAAAATGGGTCTCTAAAGATATTCAGTTAACCAACTGAGTATCACTCGATATGTGTGTCTTTAGAGACCTTTAGAGACCCATTTTGAGTGCTCTTTTTATCTATGAAATATTAACTTTTTTTAAAAACTGTTTCACCCATCATGTAGTCAAGAACGCAAGGAATTTTTTGATATAAAACTTGAACCGGCTTGGTTTTTTGGATTGTGAGAAATTTGACGGCCACTGATTTGAACGTTTTCTATTATGGCGCTGTTTTGACTACCCCTCATATTTCAATGTTGAATTCAAACTCACTTTCGAGAACTCTCCCGACAACACTCCCAACACCAGATTGAGCACGAAGAATGATCCAAGAATGACAAGAGAAACGAAATAAAACCAAGGCCATTCTCTGCCCACCGCATTGTTTACCTGAAAGGATGCATTTAGTAATTATAATTATAATAATAATATCTTTTCAAAGTTATCATCTTTCAAATCGTCTACTCATCGAAAAGCTCAAAGAGTTTCTTAACAGAAATCTCTCTAAATTCTCGATGTAATTCCAGTTTTGGTTTACTATGAGTAAACAGTCTTTCTATACTTTTGCAGTCTGTTCATAGGTGTACAACGGGAATTCCTTGAGCTCTTTAAAATCGATTTTTCGAAAAGTAGATTTTGGTGTTAAGACGTTAAATTTCCGTTTTACACCTATTAACGAAAGAAAAGAAAATGGAAATGTCTACTTTTTATTCACTCACCCAGTACATCACGTCCGTCCACCCTTCCAGTGAAACACATTGGAAAACCGTCAACATAGCAAGACCAAAATTGTCGAAATTCGTGATCCCATTGTTGGGACCCGGCCAACTCGTTTCGTTCGTGCAAGTCCTCAAAAGAATGAAGCTTTATTTTAATGCCTTTATTTAAGGCTTTATTTAAGCCTTTATTTAATGCTTTATTTCAATGCTTTATTTCAATGCTTTATTTCAATGCTTTATTTCAATGCTTTAATTTAATGCTTTATTTTAATGCCTTTATTTAATGCTTTATTTAATGCTTTAATTTAATGCTAAAATCGGGATAGAAACTTTTAGAATTTAAAGAGCCACAACTTTATTTATTAAATTTCATTTCCTATTTCCATTTTATTTCCTATTTCCATTTATTTCCTATGTCCATTTATTTCCATTTCCTATTTCCTATTCGTGAAATCACAAACCATTTCACGCCCATTTTCTCGAGTGTATCCGTTGGTTCACACTTGTAAGCGGTTGGCGAATTTCCGCACGTTGTCGGATCTTTCATTGCGATTTGACCGGTTGCAACGTCGACGCTGAAAAAGAAACGAGTTTCCCATTTGGTTACAGATTATTCAATGATTCAGAAAGATTTCTTACCAAGTTGAGTGCAGCTTCCCGCAAAACAATTCGAGTCCGATGATCGCGTAAATGAGAATGACGAAAAGGACGAGCAACGCAATGTGCAATAGAGGAATCATCGCTCGAAGAATCGCGTTCAACACCACTTGTAAACCTAGAATTTCGATTTGCTGAATAATTTTGTCAAGCCTTTACTCCAAACATAAATATTTAATGCAAAAGTAAAAAAATGGCAAGGGGAGGATTCGAACCCAAGCCAAGAAAAGACCGACTGGTCTTCGAGTCCGACAGACTAACCACTAGACTACCAAAGCTGTTCGAGGGCATCCTTGTGGTTATTTTTTTATCTTTTTTTTTTTTCCCCTTTTTTTCTTTCTTTTTTCTTTCTCTCTCTTTTCTTTTTTTTTTTTTTTTTTTTTTTTTCTCGCTTTTCTTAAAATCTTAATTATTTTTAAAAATCGAATCAGCATTTTTGATTCTATAACCCGATTCCGAATCGATTCTCAATTTTAAGCGATTATTTTTTTATATCAACTCAAGTTTTTGAATAGCTTTTACTTTTAATAGCTTATTTGCCAGAAACTTCTCAATAACTTTATACTAGTTTTGAAGAGGAGATTCAGAGCTATCGAATGACTAGAAATAGTTTCATTTATCTTTCAATTTACACTAAATTATTAGTGAAACAGTAGCGACTAAGCGACTCAATGAAAATATAGTTTAAAAAGGTTTTAAAAAGGTTTTAAAGTTCTTAAAAAGTTTTAAAAAGCTGACTCGGCACTCCGGAGACGAGTCGAAGAGGTCGGAGCACACGAAACGCTCGCAGCGCTTTCACGTCAAATCCCTGGATTGACATTTTCGAGAGAAGTGTTGAAACCAATCTGAAAATCATTTAAATGCCAAATTTAAAGCTAAATCGCTCAACGAACCCAATAACGACAATGATGAAATCCAAAATGTTCCACGCATTTCGCAGATATGCACCCGGATGAAAAAGAAACCCATACGCTATCACCTAAATTTTTTTTTTATTTTAAATGACAAAAACCCGATTTTAAATACCTTTAATATGCATTCTATTGTGAAAACGACGATGAAGATGTACTCGATTTGTTCCTGAAACATCAACATCAAGTAAAGCTTTCCAAGGAGCAATCAAAAATTATATCTAGCATCGTTATCAGTAGCCATTACCTAGTCATACTCTTATTCGAAATCCATTTTTTTTGAATCGAATCAAGTAAGAAGCCAGTTCTGGCTTTATTCCCAGCCTAACTTGACCTCAACAAAAGTACCTAGAACAGTCAAAACCTGGATCTAGTGTGTGACTTATCTAACTCTGCTCATAAAGTTGTGTCTAATCCAACTCTGCTCATAGAGCTGTGTGCAACTTATCCAACTCTACTCATAGAGCTGTGTCTAATCCAACTCTATTCAGAGCTCTGTGTAACTTATCCAACTCTACTCATAGAGCTGTGTCTAATCCAACTCTATTCAGAGCTCTGTGTAACTTATCCAACTCTACCATAGACTGTGTCAATCCAACCTATTCAGAGCTCTGTGAACCTATCCAACTCTACTCATAGAGCTATGTCTAATTCAACCTCTCATAAAGCTGTGTCTAATCCAACTCTACTCCTAGAGCTGTGTGTAACTTATCTAACTCTACTCAGAGCTGTGTCTAATCCAACTCTATTCAGAGCTCTGTGTAACTTATCCAACTCTACTCATAGAGCTATGTCTAATCCAACTCTACTCATAGAGCTGTGTCTAATCCAACTCTATTCAAAGCTCTGTGTAACCTATCCAACTCTACTCATAAAGCTGTGTCTAATCCAACTCTATTCAGAGCTCTGTGTAACTTATCCAACTCTACTCATAGAGCTGTGTCTAATCCAACTCTATTCAGAGCTCTGTGTAACTTATCCAACTCTACTCATAGAGCTATGTCTAATTCAACTCTACTCATAAAGCTGTGTCTAATCCAACTCTACTCCTAGAGCTGTGTGTAACTTATCTAACTCTACTCAGAGCTGTGTCTAATCCAACTCTATTCAGAGCTCTGTGTAACTTATCCAACTCAACTCATAAGCTGTGTCTAATCCAACTCTATTCCTAGAGCTGTGTGTAACTTATTTAACTCTACTCTTAGAGCTCTGTATAACTTATCTAACTCTACTCATAGAGCTATGTCTAATCCAACTCTACTCATAAAGCTGTGTCTAATCCAACTCTACTCCTCGAGCTGTGTCTAATCCAACTCTGCTCATAGAGCTGTGTATCCAACTCTGCTAATAACTCTACTCATAGCACTTATTAGAATTTATAGATACGTCCATTCTCAAAGAAACGATTACCAATCAACAATACCGTTCCAGTTCAACAACACATTTCCATTCATTTTCAAGTAAACCACTCACCAGCCACCAATTCTTGTTATCTGTATCCTGTGCCGGGTAGGGCTGATAAACGGCCAGTGCTATACAATTCGCGCAAATCATCAACAAGATCAACCATTCAAAAGGTCTGAAAAAAAAGATTGTTAATTAATTTCTAACAATATTTTAATCATATTTAACAATCTTTCTATCTATTCTATCCCCTTTCCTCACGAAAAAGTTTATTCAACAAGTGTGGAAGAGTTTGAAAGAATTGCAGAGACTTCTTCAAAGAAACTTCAAACTAGCGCATCGAAGAAATTCCCCTTTTTCCCCCCGAAAACCCTATTTTTGATGCAATTCTTTTTTTTTTCTTCTTGGCTAAAGGAAAAAGACGAAAAAGAAATTGTTGAAGTTTCTTTTGGAAGAAAAGATGAATGAAAAAGAAAATTCGATAAATAACAAGAAAGATTCGATTTTAAAGATCAACTACAGTACTGGACAATGAAATATCATATTTGAAAAACGATCGTCACTTTCGCGCGTCTGTAACTCCCATGTCTTTGAGTTTAAACTATTAGTGTTATACATTTTCTGAAAGCTCTTTTCAAGGGCTACACAATGGTAATATTTAAATTTTAAAAATACGGTAAAGACAAGGGAGTTACAGACGCGCGAAAGTGATGATCTTTTTTCAAATATGATATTTCATTGTCCAGTAGTGTATATAACTGACAGACTGAATAATTTTAAAGGCTTTAGTTTACAACTGAACTAAAGGAATGCTACAATTATCGACTTATCGACTTTTTGAGTGATGAATTTTGCATGAAAAGGATTCCCTTCAATTACAATATTTACGATATTATATTTCAATTACAATTACATTATACGATTTAATATTATCGCATTGCTTTCTTTCCATTTCTTTGAATCTTTTTTTACCTTAAACTTACCTATTAATTTAATTTTTTTTGCATTCTTTAAATTGACACTAGTTGACCTATTATTATTGACCTATTCCTTCACAAATCATTCTTTACTTTTTCAACATTTCATTCAATAATCCCATTTAGCTTTGTGCTACTTTTCCAGCTTTTTTTTTTGCAAAAGATTCCCGAGGGTACTCAAGAAGAGTAACTTTGAGATGGAAAAGAGGAAAAAAGCTGCAAAAGAATAAAGAAGCCTTGGGCTTTTTCTTTCCATTTCAAATCCCGATCAATATAACCAAAGAGAGAAGAGAAAAATCTCGGTGAAAAGATTAGGATTTGTGAAGAGAAATCTGCAATCAGATACCCTTTTCCCTTTTTTACTTCTTTTAGCCCACCCTCGCATTCACAAATCCCCACATTTTCCCTCTCTTTTTGCCTTTTTTGAGAAGAACTAGCGCTTAATGGGGTTTTGGGTTAAGTGTTGCTTGTTTTTATTTATTCTTTTTTCTCCATAGGGAAGTGATCACTTTTCTCTCTTTCTCTCAAACTTTTTTTGATAAGTTAAGTAATTTCTGGGGATAAAATAGGATCAATTTGAGAGGTAGAGAAGAAAAATGATTTCAACTTACTCAAAAGTTTATTGAATTTAAATTTCGAAATGATAAGTCAAAGTTTCGGACCTTTTGGTAGAAAGAAAACGAATTTTACGAAAAAAGCAGTAATTACTCTTTCTCTTAGTTCTCTTTCATAAACGTAACTCGTCTGAGTTGAATTGAAAATTTGATTAAATTGACTGAGAGTCTGACTGAGAGACTGACTGACTGAGTAAAGAAAAGACAATTCGGTAACAAGCTCAACGAGCAAAACCCACTTCCATTCGACGATCGCTATGCAAATCTTTCGCATCGGATTCTGCAGGGAAAGACAAAGAAGTGCATTGTCGGGTCTGAAAATTGAAATACAGTCAAATACAGAATTGAAATACAGTCAAATACAGAATTGAAATACAGTCAAATACAGAATTGAAATACAGTCCAATACAGAATTGAAATACAGTTGACTCTCGTGAGTGAACTCGATAATAACCAGATTTTTTTAGGATCCCTTGTAAATCGGTAAATCAAAGTTGATATACTGGCAAGCATTTTCCGAGAAAACATTTCGTCGTCGCGCACTAAAATGCACTAAATACCGTAATGCGCCTTTTTGCGCAAAAATCATTTTTTTTCGCAACTTTAGCTACTTTTATTCTATTTCTTCTATTGATAAATCTTTATTTAACTCGATAATGAAACACTAATTGCTTTAAAAACGATGTAAAAAGCAAAACTACGAAAAGAAATCGCGCAAAAGTAAGAAAAAAAAATAGCTAAAGTTGCAAAAAAATGATTTGACGGAAAAAGGCGGGTTACGGTATTTAGTGCATTTTAGTGCGCGACCGCAAAATGTTTTCTTGGAAAATGCTTGCCAGTATTGATTTAGAACTAATCAAACCTCGATAGTGAACGCGCTTTTCTTTAGGATTCTTTCCATATTTCAATAACAAGATTCCACTGTATTCTAATAGGTTTGAGGCTAATTAATAGGTTGATGCATAAGTCTTTTCGTTTTTTTCGTACTTCTGTTAAAAAGTAACAAATTCACCAATTAATCTATAGTTTGCTCTATAAAAAAAGTGTTTTTTTGTTCAATTAGCATCTTTTTAAATGAATTTCGGTTCACTTTGAAGCAAATTCGAGAGTGAAAAACGCCTTTTTCGTAAAAATCTATAAAAAAACTCTACGGAAAAATTGGCTGAATGAATTTCTCTGAAATTTTGGCGAAATATCAAACGTTTTTTTCTCTATCTTTTATCTATTGACACGAAGATAGGTTTTCTTTAGCTAAGGTGTCTAAACCGCATCATCGAGTTAGCCCTTTTTGACTACCCGACTTCATACTCTCAAGAAAATCCAGGCATTAAATATTTTTAAACCCGTTTTAATGTTATTTTGCACAAAAATAATTGCTTTTTCTAATGAAATCAACCGTAGTTTAATTCGTGCATTTGTTGGCTTGAAACGGCAGACGAAAAGGAACAAAAACACTTATGCATCAACCTAATAGAAAAAAAAACATTGTACTTAAAAATTAAAACTTAAAAGCTTTACTTATTGTAAAGTATTTCTTGTAATTTTTTTCAAATTTCAATCTTATAAATTGAATTTTTCAAATGAAATGCTAAAATTGTTCAAGAATTGTTTAAGAATTCTTCAAGAATTCTTCAAGAACAACAAGAATTGCACTCACCGTTCGACAACATTTTGCTGTCTTAGCGGTTTCCTCTGCTGAGGTTTCTTCTTTCCAGCCTCACCACCCGACGAAGCCGCGACAGCTGCCTGAAATTGAATAAGCTTTTATTGAAACTATGAACATTTCATTCAAATCATTCAACATTAAAATCCTACACCTATTTTCATTTCGATCAAATGAAATAAAGAAAAATAATCAAATACAACCTTTTCAAGTTGAATTTTTAAACTTTTTACATTATTGACTTTGCTTAAATAAAATTTAAACTTAAAATTTAAACTTTAAAATTTCAAATTTCAAAGATTTAGCATCAATTCTAGTTCTTTGATGAGATCTTAGCTCTTTCTTTGCTTCAGAAAAAGAAGGATTTAATTCTGTGAATTCTGTGAAATCAGCGAATACAGCGAAATACAGCGATTCAGCGATTCAGCGATTCATTTTACAATTAAAAGAAACAATTCCAAATTTACCAATGGAGAAACGCCATGTCTAAAGAAATGTTTTGTTTCATCGTACAAGCGTTTCTCTAAAACATCTTTAAATGACGGTCGTCGTTGTAGAATGGATAAAACGCTTTCTTGCGCAGATCCCAATAAAAGAGCTGCATCTCGACCACTCATTTTTTAGAATTGAAAGATTAGAATTGAAGAATTGAAGAATTGAAAGATTAGAATTGAAAGATTAGAATTGAAAGATTAGAATTGAAAGATTAGAATTGAAGAATAGAATTGAAAGATTTTAAAGTTAGTATTGAAAGTGTTGCTTTGATTGAAAAGAAACTTTTCTTCTCTGAAAGCGACAGGAAGCTGGGGGTAACGAGGTTGTGCATCAGCAAGCTACCCTTTTCTCTAGATCTTTAGATTCCTTTCTCTTTCGAATCAGTTTTTGAACTTTTATATTAGGTTGATGAATTTCCTACAACTTTTCCATTGACACCAAAATGGGTTTCTTTTGAAGAAAGTGCTCAAACTGTCACATATGACAATAGCCGGCAGTCTTCAATTCACCAACCCAATATATTGACTATTTTAACGATCATTTGATGCAGAATGAAATTACGCATCGAATGACACCAAAAACAACTTAAAATATAATATTCATGCAAAATGAAATATTGATCAAAATACGGCTGAAAAAATGCCCGTACAGTAAGGCAGACAGAAAGACAGACAGAAAGACAGACAGATACCGTAACCCCCTCCCGTCCCCTCCCCCTCCTTTTCCGCCATTTCATTTGTGAAAATTCGTAAATTTGGCATTTCTTGAAAACCAGTTTTTGAATCGTTCTGAAAATCTGGATATAAGCTTGATTTTTGATTCTCTACAACTTTTCCATTGACACCAAAATGGGTTTCTTTTGAAGAAAGTGCTCAAACTGTCACATATGACAATAGCCGGCAGTTTTCAATTCACCAACCCAATAGTTAAGGAAAAAATATCCTTAACAAGTTTATTCGTATCCAAATTCATTCATTAGATTTCAAGAAAAGAATCAACAAAGAAAAAGAATTACTTTTTAAACAAAACAATCAATTCCTAAAGCTTAAAAGTCAGGCCAAAGCCAAAGCCAAATCCAGCCCTAAATTCTAAGCTTTAAGTCAAATATCTTTAAAGCTTTAAAGCCTTAAAATAAAAGGTTTAAATATTTCGAAATAGTTGAGTTAACAAAAAGCTTAGAAAGCTTAGAATTTCGATCAGAACCTGATTCCTTTGTCTTCTCGCTCTATGTGCGATCGCGGTCACATTCACCCGAATGGGTGGCATTGAAAATTCTGATCGAAGTTAATCGAAGACAGAAAAAAGTTATTCTCAACTATTCAATAATATAGTCCAAATTTCTTGAGCAGCTGCAAATCCCCATTCCATTTTTCGTACCGCGGTTTCATGGGGCAACAGTTCCACTCCAAATTTACGACTTTCCACCCCAAAAAGCCTTTTCGGGGTCTTTCTTGACTTTCTTGATTAAAAGTTTGGCCTTTTCTTTACTAGGTTTTACTTTTCTTTACTATTTTCTTTTTCTGTTTATGCTAGTTTCTTTCTTTTGCTTTGTTTAATTTCTATTTCTTTTATTAAACTTGTACTTGTTATGCTAACTGGGCGGTAAATTTCATTGTTTACTGTTCGATTAGATTGACTTATAAATTTCATTGCTTACTATTAGATTGACTTGTAAATTTCATTGATTGCTATTTGATTGACTTGTTAATTTCATTGCTTACTGTCACATTGACTTATAAATTTCATTGCTTACTATTAGATTAACTTGTAAATTTTGCTTACTGCTTACTGTTTCATTCATTACTGCTTAAATTTCATTGCTTACTGTTTGATTAAACTTTTTTATTTGTGGATTCGAAATTCGTAGGTTTAACATGAGATTTATGAAGAGATTATGAAGATTAAAGCTTTAGTTTTAAGTATTTACAGTAGTATATACAGTATTTAGCTGTAGCTAAGTATAAATACTTAAAACTAAAGCTGAAATTGATCGTAGGGCTTAAAGAACTGAAGTCATTCATTCATTCATTCATTTATTCTTACAAAATTGATTCATTGACTTGTATTGAGTCTAGAATTGTGACTTGTATTGATTCTAGATTCTAGACTGTTTGTAAGAGTTCTTTTGTAAATGTTTAAGTCAATTAATACATTTAATAAAGCACTGATTTCAACTAAAATTTTCCTATACTTTGCTGGCTTTCAAAATGCACTTTGCTGGCTTTCAAAATGCACTTTGCTGGCTTTCTTTGGTATCGAATTCCCCCAGAGTTACAGATCTTAAAGATATCTCTTATCCATCAAATAGTTTCAAAAAAGCTTTAGATATCCAATAACGAATATCAAGCAATCGATCTGTGTCAAACATGTGTCACCTCTAGCGCTTCTTTCTCATCGCTGGCTGGCAATAATTGATCGGTTTCGCTGGGTTCATCCATATGTAATCAGTCCATAAATATCAAGTAATAAAGTACTAAGGAAGAAAAAAATCGATAGGGACACAGCACACCTCTGTTTTGTTTTTTTTTGGAGCCAGAGATTTTGAGGCGGGCTCTCTTGTGTGACAGTGTGTCCTGAAGGGGGGATTGAGGGCAAAATGGGGATGTGCTGCGGCGGGGAGAACAAGTGGAGATTGGGTTGCACCCATTCCATGGCGGTTGGATGGATAGAGCTGAGGTGGGGATGGACCCTCTCACCTATCCACCTATCCACCTATCCATGTCGTCTCGAATGTCAGCCCCTTCTATCCCCATTTCTCAATCGTCTTTAAACTCTTTCAGTTACACTTTTGCACTTCATTTCCCAGCTTTCCTTGGCTTAGCATTCATGACTTTCATTGGCTTAGCTTTAGCTTTATAATTCTTACAATCTTATTTGTTCGCTTACTTGTTCGCTTACTCGTTCGCTTACTTGTTTTCTTAGAACATTTCCTCTTGGCAGAACTTTGTGCTTCTTATATTTCTTCTATAAGATTTTTCTACAAAAATACTTGGAGAAGCTTCATCTCATTTCATCCCAAGCTTCATCCTTAGCCTCATCCCAAGCTCTCATCCCTAGCTTCATCCCAACCTTCATCCCAACCTTCATCCCAAGCTTCATCCCTAGCCTCATCCCAAGCTTCATCCCAACCTTCATCCCTAGCCTCATCCCTAGCCTCATCCCTAGCCTCATCCCTAGCCTCATCCCTAGCTTCATCCCAACCTTCATCCCAAGCTTTATCCCACAAAAATCAATATCATTTGCTTTTTTTGAAAGACTTTACAAGACTTTCAGTTTAGACTTTGAACTTTTGAGTTTTTGAGCTTAAAGCTCAATCATTTCTTTCATCAAAACTTGCAAAAATAAAAGGTTGTGCTGTTTTTAATTTAAGATAAATGATCTTTAAGTTTGACTATATAAAAATAGTAGTTGCTTGGTTGAAAAATGATTGAATCAAAAAAGCTTTCTGATCAGCCTAATAGTTCGATTCCTTTTTCAATTCTTTCTTTTCTTTTTCTTTTTTCTTTCTAACTTCTTTCTAACTTCTTTCTTTTTCACGACTCACCTGCAATGTAGCTTGCCACAAATCAGTGCGTTCACTATCAGCCGGGTTGGCGGATGTTGTCGGATTTCCGCCCTGTTGACTCATTCCGCTCATTCCACCCGGCATCTCATCGTCCTCCGCCGACGACATCATCATACTTTGTAACACTAAAAAGTTATTTAGTTATTTATTTTGGTTATTGGTTTTGGTTATTGGTTTTTATTTTTTTTTAATTCTTTCCTCCAGCTTTACATTTTACTATATTTTCTATAAATTTCGCTTAGAATTAGAACAATTCTTGTGTCTTCTTATCTTCTAAGCTTTTCTTGTCAAAACTTATCTTATTTTTACAGTTGTTTACAAGCTACCAGTTTCACCTTTAACTCTAAAAATTCAAAAAAACAATGCACAACGAATAAATCACTTAATATCTAAAGAAGAAGAGATGTCCGTCTGTCTGCCTGTCTGTCTGCCTGTCTGTCTGTCTGTCTGTCTGTCTGTCTGTCTGTCTGTCTGTCTGTCTGTCTGTCTGTCTGTCTGTCTGTCTGTCTGTCTGTCTGTCTGTCTGTGCGCAAACGCGACGCTTCAAATTCCGGGGCTGCGGTTTAACGATGCCATTGGCAAACAAGCGGTAGAGCTTAGCTCTCAAGGGGTTTTCGCCTATGGAGAATCCGATTTTGGTCTTCATTTTCAAACAGGCGTGGCAAGTAAACGGTAATTTTTTGTCTGCACTTCCGAACCTTCCCGAAACCCCAGCGGATTCGGGATCGTGAGCCTTTTCCTCTTTCTTATAGTTAACAATGATCTCTTCCTTTTTGAGAAAAATCATTAGCTTTATATCTCTTTCTCTTTCTCTTTCTCTTTTCCCTTTTCACCAAATTCTCCATTTCTTCTCGATTTTCTAATGAAAGTTACAGCACTCGTCACTCAGCCGTTCCCCCCTCAAGACTTTTCTATCCCTTTTTTTTTCCTTTTCCCTCTCTTTCCCTTCACCAAGTTGACCCTCAACAGCTGTGAATGAAATCCCCTTTCTCTACAAATCGACTTTCGTTAACAAAAATTGAAGTCTAGTATTAGAATTTGAGAAAAACTCTGTTTTCAAGGTAAATCTCTGGCTCTAGAAACTTCTTGTGACCGCTAACATCACTAACTTTTCGAATGTACTTTCTCTCAAAGTGAAACAATGAAAGAAACCCTCTCTAACGTACTCTTCATTGTGATTACTAGTTTTACTAGTGAATGAAATCCCCTTTCTCTTCAAATCGACTTTCGTTAACAAAAATTGAAGTCTAGTATTAGAATTTGAGAAAAACTCTCTTTTCAAGGTAAATCTCTGACTCTAGAGATTTCTTGTGACCACTAACATCACTAACTTTTCGAATTTACTTTTTGCTCAAAGCGAAACAGCTAAAGAAACGTCTCTCTAAGGCACTAGAGTATTCTTCACCATTTTCCTTCAGCTATACTAGTTTTAATGCTCTAGAAAGAGTGCGTTTACATCCCAAAGTACACTCAAAGTTTAATTTAATTGAAAAACGAACTATTTCAAACGAAATTTTGTTTTTGTTTCAGTTCTCGTTTTAAAAGAAATGTTGGGAATATTAGCGATTCCCTGAGGATTCATATTACTCATCACTACTCTAAAAATAGTTACCGTATTTCTTCGAATAGAAGACCGGGTAAAGAGTATCATCGCGTACTCCTGCGTAGCAGCCCTTTTTAAAATTTCTTTTCTGCATAAAAGCTTTCAATGAAGTGCTATAGGGCTGGAAAATGACTCAATTTTTGAGATTTTTGAGCCATTTTCTAGCTCTATAGCACTTGATTGAAAGCTTTTATGCAGAAAAGAAATTTTAATAAAGGGCTGCTACGCAGGAGTACGCGATCATACTCTTTACCCGGTCTTCTATTCGAACAAATACGGTAACGACTACGCGACTGTACGCGAAATCCTATCATCCTATCGAAATGAAATTCAACAAAGTACAGAATAAATTTATCACCTCCCCCACCTCCCCCACTCACCTGACATTTTGCGTAGATCTTTTTTTCTCTCCCCTCAAATCTATCGTGATCTATCGAGCATTCGTGGGGCAATCGGTGCACCGTTTGTTCGGCATCGGATTTGGTGTAATGTGGAGATCTTGTAAACGATTCAAATCCTCCAACAATCACACAATTTTCTAAAATTAAAAACTAAAAAAAACGAATCTTTCTTCAACCAAACAACGGTTTATGGGTTTTATCGAGGCGGAATTGCGTGTGAAAAATTCACGCCTCTCCTTTTCAAGAAAGAGAATCGCTTGTGTTCACGGAAAACGGCTAAGAATCGAAAGAAGGCTTTAGAATCGTAGAATTGAAAGGAAAGAGTTCAGTGAATGATCCAAGTTTTGATAACGATCAAACTAAAGTAGGTTAAAGAACTGGGTAAAGGACTGGTTAAAGAACTGGTTAAAGAACTGGTTAAAGAACTGGGTAAAGAACTGGTTAAAGAACTGGGTAAAGAACTGGTTAAAGAACTGGGTAATGAACTGGTTAAAGAACTGGTTAAAGAACTGGCTGATGAACTGGTTAAAGAACTGGTTAAAGAACTGGGTAAAGAACTGGTTAAAGAACTGGCTGATGAACTGGTTAAAGAACTGGCTAAAGAACTGGTTAAAGAACTGGTTAAAGAACTGGTTAAAGAACTGGCGAAAGAACTGGTTAAAGAACTGGGCAATGAACTAGCTAATGAAACTGGTTAAAGAACTGGTTAAAGAACTGGCTAATGAACTTGCAGCTTAGATAAACGTTTACAAGTCGATAATCCTTTCTTTCATTCATCAAACGGCTTCAGTATAATATTTTTTTTCTGAAACTGCACTTTCAATCCCAATATTCCCTTAAATCTTTTAAATTCTCAGCTTAATCATGAAAAGTCAAATCTTAGAGCTAAAATAAAGCGACTAGAAAGAAAAAGTGATTTGTTTTGCACAGAAATGACAATTCCAATCACCTACAAAACTCTAGATGAATCATATTCAGCTAAAAAACACTCTACTAAAAAGCACTTGAACTTTAATGCAAATCTTATCACCTTTATTTTACATATTCTTCAAGTTCTAAAGTTTAGTTTAGTTTAAAAAAAAGTCTAGTTAGACATTTTCTGAATACGATCATTTAACGTACGATCATTTGACCTATCAGCAACAAAGTAACAGCTCACTAGGGTGAAATAATAAGTTAATAATAGTTTATAAATAATAATAGTTAATAATAGTTAATAATAATAGTTAATACTAGTAAATAATAATAGTTTATTCCACAAAATTTTACCCCTTTTACTCCTTTTACTTTTACCCCTTTACTCCTTTTACTTTTACCCCTTTTACTCCTTTTATTTTTACCCCTTTTACTCCAAAGTCTTAATGCTAGCTAGATTTTGAAACTTTTATTTCTCCATAGTCCATTCAAACTGAAAACTTTCAAATTTGGTGTGAAGAAAAGAATAAACAATATGACTGAATGACTGAACAATGACTTGAATAAGTTTCTATAGATATTCTATAGATAGATTCTGTTGATAGATTCTATAGATATTCTATAGATTCTATTCTATTTGAAGCAATCAAAGTATAGATTCTATAGAATATTTTCAACTTCTGAAACAATCAAATTATCAAACATGAAAGGCAGCAATGATTACTTTCACAATGACTTGATCAAAAGCTTTAGCTAACAATTACTATAACAAATTTAGCTTATTGCACTATACAGTATTCTCGAAAAATTACCTATCAAGTTCTGCGATTATATCTAAGCTAGAAAACTTTAAAAAGAAAAAGAAAACGATTAGAATCGTTGTGGGGGATGGGGGTTGGGGAGATGTGGAGGGCTAGAGATCTGGAAGAGCTTTTCAGGGGGAGAGAGAGACGCGAGCCAAGGGTAAAAAGGAAGAGGGATAGCTCTACGAGGGGAGGGTTCGGAGAATCGGCGGTGGGGGGGATGAGAAGCAGGCACACATACACAAGCAACCCTCCTGGGGAGTGGTGGGGAGTGATGGGGGGGGATCGATGTGGGCCCTCTCATCCCCTTTTCTATAGGACCCAGGCGAGAAGCCGAGCATCGAGAGCCCCTCTTGCCCCTTTTCCTCTTCCTCTTGCCCACAATTGTTTCTTTGTGTGCAAGTGCTATCTCTTTTGCTCTATATCTCTCACCTTTTTTTTTCTACAAGTAAGATGGGTTTTGTGTGTGACAGCCTATTGTTTTTACTTACCCTTTCGGGCTAATTGAGAGCCTGGGTAGAATAGGGATGAAATTTGTGAGCCTTGAGCCTCTGCTTTGTCACAAATTATTAGGATTCTTTGACCACGTGATGCCAAAAAAGATGATGAGCTGAGAAATTGAAAAGAAGAAATTGAGAAAGTGTTGACGAATTTCTAAGACTTGTCATTTACAATTAGGGCTTTTCCTTTGCTTTGGAAAGAAAACTGAAACTCTAGTACTATTCTAGATTCGTTTATCAATTGTTATCTCACATTCCAGTGCACCAGAAAAGCCGTGTTTACAATTTTGCTCTCATCTCCACTGCTCTCCAAAATGAACTTTGTGCTCAAAATGTGTAAACGCACCTTTCCTAGTGCACACAATTCTTGACTTTCTTCCGTTTTCATCTGGTTGAATGCACCAGAAAGGATGTGTTTAGACACTTCTCTGAGCACAAAGTACACTCCAATAATCACTTCTCTGTGTGCTCAAAATTGAAACGCGCATATTTTCCAAGTGTCGTTTAAAAAACTCTCGACTTTCGTGCACCAGAAAGGGTGCGTTTACAATTTCAGAGTACAAATACAATGTTTACATATCATTTGATAATAAAATCAATGATATTATATATGTCGTAGCCGATGAAGGATTTCAGCCGAAGAAGGTTTCGCTAGCGAAAAAATTTGAGACTTAATCGGCTAGCCGAAGGAGTCTGAGACTTAATCGGCTAGCCGAAGGAGTCTGAGACTTCCTCGAAATCCTTCATCGGCTACGACATATATAAATTCAAAAGTACAATCGACAAAAAAAGTGTAACAAATTTTTGCTTCTTGGAAAACAAAGAAAAATTCAAAACAAGAAACAGAGCTCAATTAAAAGAATAGCAATAGTGAATCGAAACGTGAATTGAAACAGTTTCCTTTAGACAGCCAGAGAGAGAGACACACGGCACAATCACTCGAGAGATGAAGTCGAGTGTTTGGTGGAAAGGCCAAAAGGGTAAAACTTGTGTGCAAAGGTGACCAATTGAAGGAAAAGAAAAAAAAAACTCTATCTTTAACCCTTTTCGATGATTAAACCAAAAAATTGAATTAATGAAAGACTAGAGAATCAAAAATTCTCGATTTAAGCTACATTAAACAAGACCTCTAAAAAATGGGTTTTTCTAAAGGGTGCCAATTTTGAAGACTACCGTATTCCTGCCTTTACCTTTGGTTTAGGCTTAAACTTATCAATAAAGTCAAATTTTTGCATTGAAAGTGATTGCGGTATTGAAAACTGTCTAAGAATCTGTAATGTGCAAGTGATTTGAATTTAACTTATCAATAGGCATAAACCTATAGGATCTCATAGTCAAAAAAGACGCCTTGTCGAGTTTCTCTTCATTTTTGCCGATAATTAAAGCGATCGAATTCCATTTTCTCTCCTTCATCGCTTCTCTTTCGCTTTCCGAAATTAATGCGGCAAAAATTAGCGTTTCTCCCCTTTCTTTGCAGACTTGGCACTTTTTCAAAAAGGTTATTACAAACGGAACACAGAGGATGTAAAAAGGAATTCTACAGTTGATGCGGTAAATTATCTTATCTACGAAATATCTTCCTCGCGCAATTCTGCATCTAAAAACGTTAGATATAATAAATTTATTAGATTTGCTCCGAAAACTAACATCACATTTTATCATAATTGGGCACTCACAATCCAAAGCGTGGAACCCGCTTAAAAAAGAGGCTAAAGGTCAAATTATCACAAAGATGGACTATGCCTGTAGACTCAATGAAAAAGTTGATGTCTAATCACAATTAGGAAAGACGAATAGATAAAAAAAACAACCAAATATCGAAAAGAATTATCTCACAATAGCTTTTGAAAAGTCTAAAACACATTGAGCTCCTTTGGCTCAAAGTTTCTGAGAAATACTTCAAGGCTCAACTTTGGCCTATTTTAACCTACTTTAGGCTTTGAGTAAAGCAATAAAAAGAGTGAAAGGAGTAAGCGGATATGTAAAACTCAAATGAAAAATATATTCCTTATCCCTGTCCTTAAATAGCCATGCTGCTGCCTTTTTTTGCCTCGAGAACATCCTCCATCAGACCCATGCGACGAGAACGACGTTCCTCCTGAAAAAAAAATGAAAATCTTTTCACTTCGATCTTATAACATCTACTGAAACCTATTCTAAAACGGCCCGAAAGATTTAGCCTAAACTTGCCTGATCAATCTGCTTGAAGTTTGTCTCCATTGATCGCTCATCGATCATCTGTTCCCGTTTACGCCACAAGTTCTTATCGTAGTTCTTGTTGATACTTCTAAAATGAAGACTCATTTCGAGAACTTAACCAAAATTAACCTCATTGTTTCTTCAAGTTCCCTCCTCGTCGTTCGATCGTCATCAATCGCTGAATCGTCGATGAAATCGTCCATCTCCGAGTCATAATCATCCTCATCCTAAACATGCAATAATTTGATGTGTAACTTAAAATTAAAAATAACTTAAAAAACTTAAAATAACTTGAAAAGCCAGGAGACTTGCATTAAAATAGCTGACAAAGATGTAATAATGACACGAACTCACATCCAGTTCATCTTCCCACTCATCGACCTCGTCTCGTCCAAAGCCCATTGAAGTTCGCCGCCGCTCATGATCGCGCATGCGTTCTTTTTCAAGCCTAGAAATTGTAAGGTTATTGTTGTTATTCTAAAATAGTAAAATATAAAAAACTTACAAACTCATACTCTCAGAACGATATTGTCGTTCCCGTTCTTTTTCAGCTTGACGACGTCGCATCTCAAGTCTGTGCCTATCATTTCGGCTAAGCATCTCTGGTCGCTGTTTGGAGGGAGCAGGACGACGTTCACGTTCCGGTTCCCCAAATAACCCTGCAGTATCAACGAATCTAAACAAAAATTTGGTATGCAACCGAAGAACTAATAGGGCGCTTACTCTGTTGGAACTTTAGGGCGTTTCTTTTCCATTGGCATTGCTGATGTCTTCTTTAGATGTGGATGTTGATGCGAGTTTTGATGCTTGGTTTCTTAATTTAAAAGATTGATTTTAAAGGATAGGAATTATTTACCAATTTTTGGTTGTTGAGGCAGCCTATTGAAAGTTGGGAGCTGTGGGGCCTTGCGTGGCTCTTGATCTGGCTAAATCCAACATTTTATACATTTAGCTTCAATTTTTTTAGAGCTTAAATTCTACCTGATATCGTATATCTCCAGGCAGATAACGTTTGCTAGGAAAGAAATTTGACGGTTGAGGGGTTGGCGGTGGTGGTGCCATTGAAGATGAAGCCGACGCAGAAGGTTTCGTCCCATTCTGATGACCGCCTTTTGTAGGTTCCTTTGGATGTGGCTTCTTGAAACTCCCGTTCTGGTTCTGGCTCTGAGTTTTTGGCTTTGGTTCTTCTCGTCGATCAGCATGCTTCATTTTTGGCTTTGGTTCTTCTCGCCGATCAGCATGGTCCATTTTTGGCTTCTTCATCGGCACAAGTTCTGTCGGTTTTCTGTCCGACGACTTTTCCATATGAGGCTCAGGTCTTTTCCTAAGCAAATAGGTAATTCGGACTAAAATTTGAAAAACCTTATTTCTTCAGAATGCCGAACACTATGACTTTGGCTGTGAGTTTTTGCTGAAGAACTACCACTGGTGCTTTGCATTGGAGCTTTTGACGTAGAAGGCGCTTTCTCATCGACGGGAGCTTTCGCTTTTCCAGAAGCAATCGCCATCAAATGACTAAAATGTACATAGATGGATTTATTTTACTTCTCCACCAAGTTTTTCAAGACAAAACGTTTCATACCTAAAATCCATCGGCGGTGGAGCTGGACGTTTAACAATCGGCTTATCCACTTTCTTTTCGGAATCAGCTTTCTTCCCATTACGTGGTGGTGAAAAACGGTCTTTGCTAAAGACAACAATCAGTATAAAAGCTTTTGTTGATACTAACTTATTAGAATGACGCGACGACATTCCAGCCAAACTGTTTGCCTTGCTTGTTCCAACAGGTCGGTTTCCAGTAGGCAGATTTTTTGTGGAAGTTGCCTCCACCTAAAGTATTGTAAAAATCATTCAGAGAGCTCATTTAACCTTTTTCCTTTGTTGTAAAGCCTTGAATACACCGCCACGAAGACTTTCAGCAAGCACATCTTGTTCCTCCTAAATATCGGAATATTGAACTTCAGCTCAATTATTCAAGATTAATTACACAACTAATCGCATCAATTCCTTTAATTTCAAACCCCACCTGTTCTTTGCTTTTTCTTTTCTGCAACAACTCGATATGTTCGTGATCTTTCCCATAGCGAATCTGCATGTTAATTGCGTCGATTCCAAAATGGCGCGCAATCTTCTTGTTGGCCTAAAATTTCACAAATATTATCTAACTCAATAATCTTTACAAAAGATTTACCCGTCCTCCATTTGCTTCTAGTCGAAGTTCCGCCAATTTCTCCTTTTCTTTCAAACGGAGCTTTTCGGTCTTGATTCTTTCCTCTTCTAAAGCCACCAATGAATCCCAAGCTATCCAACTAGTAACACATACCCTTTTTAGCCTTGAATGCCAAGATTTGATCCTTGCTCACTGCAGATTCCTGGGGTTTCTTCATTTTCGGGATTTGATACTAAAACAAAGCTTAGAGATAGCAAATAGAATCCAATTTTACCTGCTTCTTCGCCTCTTCCAGCTTCCTTTGTTGAGCTTTCTCGGCCTCTTGTTGTTTGCGTCGTTGCTCGTGCTTCTTCCGGGCAATTTCCTAAAGAACAAATGATAATTAACAAGTTGCAAGTTGTCTTGAAAAAAATAAGCCTAGACCTTCTTGTATTACACTCCCACTTTATCTCAAACAACTCTTTCATCAGAAATATAATAGTAAGACTGGCTTATTTCTGTTTCTAACTGAATCTCAGTCTGTTTTCCTCCAAATTTCCTCCACTCAAAGTTAGCGAGCACAAAATGACGAACCTCTTGTATTCGCTGCAAATCTCTGGCTTTCTTCTCGGAGAGCTCATTTTTCGTCAACGCCATCTCCCGATTCGTTTTCTCCGTGTTCTTCTTGGCATGATTCAACAGCCGCTCAAAGTCCATCCGGCAAAGATTACCTACAAATTTATACTTTCATCAAAAATCGATAAATTACAGGAGAAAATACCACGAAAGATCTGTGAAGGGAAAAACGCAAAAGAACGAATGACAAATAAACAATAATTAAAGAAACACTTTCCATCATTAAATAGTAGATTTTCAACTAAAAAGAGTATTCAATTCATTAGCTAAATATTCGAAGTTTTATAATAAATTAATAAATAGATAAATTCCAAAAAGACCACAGTTTAGAATCCCAATGGGATGGTCTTGCTTTATTAAATTTCGGGAAATTCTTTTCCCGAAATTTAATTAAGCCAGATTTCTCCGAAACATTCAGCTTTTCGCTTACAAAATCAAAAAGTAGTACGACTAATTAAAACTTAATTTTAAGAGGATCTATCGCAACGGCTTATTTGTCTCCTGTTTCTTTGCCTTTTGCAATCCATCCATATTCCTTGCAAGACAAGCCGCATACTGTGCATGAAAGTTGTTCACTTCTTTCTGATTGATCGCCGTGCTGATCTTCTTCGACCCGACGCGTGCGCGGAAAATCACTTGGTTCATATCGCCAAAGTCGCCATTTTTAGGGACCGGCTTTTTTCGGCCATCATACGGTTTAATGGTGATTCGAATGCTCTGTGATTGTCCCTCCATCCTCGAGGTCATAAATAATTTCCCCAACTCGGAGATGAATTGATTGTTGGTTAACAGCATACTGGTGAGTTTCTGAAAGTAGATTCATTAGGATGATTGAATTTCTTAACAATTAAAAAGACTTTCAAAATTGCCAAGAGAACAACCGGTCTGGCGAGCTACACTTCAATCACCCATGTGAAAGGAGGAATTCTTTTCGCAGGACAACCACAGTTTTTCACCGTTTTCAAGAGGTCACATTGCGTAGTCTGTCTATCCTGTGTTGTGTCTCCCGATTGCCGAAATCCCGATGCAGCTCTATTAATCCCTTTTATGCACACTTTTATTATATTTTATTATACCCATACAAAATACAAAGTTGCAAGACTAAATATCAGATATCACAAACGAAAAGTTAAGTATAAAGAGGAAATCGTAAAAAAGTAAGTCGTTTAAACGGAGGTATAAAGGGAAGCGGCAAAGACGATATCTCGTTTGATTGCCGAAGAAACCTGTAAAAAAATTAGAATAAACTTCAAAAGTCAGTAAAACCTGTTCCATTTTTTCGAATAGTGCCGGATCGCCAACAATTCTGGCCGCGTTTCTCACATCTTTACACACCTAAACAAAATATTTCCAAACAAATGGGATAAATTTTCTACCTCTCCCAATCGTTGAATACAACGAACAATGATTCCCTCTTGACAATCCGTTTTCTGCATGATCGTGGAAAAACTCTAAAAACATATTTGATTGTCGATCAAGTCCACAAACCTCCCCTTGTGCCCAAAGGTAAACGACTTCCATAAGGTCAAATCGTATCTCATCTCCTATCTGTAAGTCAAAAATTTTAAATACCCAATTTTCCCGTCAGAGAACCTCAAATAATTGAATCTTGTTCTCTCTTGCTATGTTCTTAATTCGCTGTTCGGTCGAAAAGACATCTTGATACAACTAAACATAAAAAGTTATCGGTTTCAATTAAAGCAAATACTTGATCGAATATTGAATTTGGTGTGAATCGGATTTCTTCTTGCGATTTAAATTGGCACGTCGTTGTTGATAGTAAAGCCGCAACCTAAAACTCATAAGTGATTGAATCATAAGTGATACCAACCTCCGCGGGCTTTCGTTTATGGAGCTTACCATCTAAAACAAGTTCGGTAACCAAAAGCTCCTAAAAACAAATAAGATTGGTTAATCCTGATCCTATCTTACCTGATGATGAATTTCACAAGCGACCCGTCCCTTAAACGTCACTAAATCGTGCTCATCCACATAACCGAGTGTTTTCAGCATCTAAATGAGGGTAACAAAGTGAAAAACACAGTTAATCAACCTTCAAACGGTCATGATATTCCTTTGACAAAGCCAAACTGTCTGGCGCCAACTTTGCTTCCAAATCTCGAATTAACGCCACCAAATATAGTCGTTCCAAAACAAAACCCAACTAAAGGGTTTGTATTGTGGAATGATTAAATCAAAAGTTACGTGCGATTCGATATGAACACAATGAATAGCCGAGTTTCGCGATGTGGCTTCTAACAGATGTTCCCGGAGGGAGAGCCACCGACTCACTTCTTCATGATTCTCCAACCTGGTGATCTGAAAGTTATCAGAGTTCTCAAAGAACCAGCATTTGCCTTACCTTAAAATCTTTTCCAGCCAACAGTAAATCCTCGTTCGACAGCGTCTCGTCAATTTTTGCAAATGTTGTTAGCACTTTCTCGGTATCTTCAGAAAGTTTATTGTTCCTAAAGCTTCAACTTTTAGCGGATATCCAAGTATGTACCTGAATCTCGGTTGTGCGTAACGCAATGCTTCATTCAATAGATCGGCAGCATTCATTTTCTTTATTGTTTGCCGTGTGATTGCAACCAGCGAATCGATAGCGATATTATAAGACCTAAAATCTTTTCTTGTACAATAATACAAGTAGTTAAAACGATTACATGATCATCTGCGATGCGTCAAAATTCCATTTCAAATGGCCATCAATTCCATGAGTGACAAAGCTTCTGATCCTGTTTCCAAAAGCTTGTTGCTAAAATGAAATGTACAACTTCACATGAACATTCGATCCAAGAAACCTGATCACATTTTGCATCATCAGGTAGATTTTTCGCGACGGGGAGTACCACTTTCAACATATTTGCCTTCTCCTTAATAGCAGATTATTTAATTTTCAGTTAAAAGAACTACCGATAACAAAATTGCCGCCCGTGGCTCCGCAAAACACGGCAAATGTACAATCACAATTCGCCCAGGTATGAGTAGTTTGTTGACAGCGTCTTCGGTATAAAGAACGTTCCATAAGCTATTTTGTCTAAAACAGCAACTAAACGAAAAGTTTGCACGCACTTTTACCTCTCTATGTAGGTGATCAGAAGATCGATGTAGCTTTGCAAACCCATATCGCCCAATTCCGGGAAACAAACAGTACAAGTTGGCGGATGCATGGCTTCCAAAAGTTGCCTTTGCTAAAAACTATTACTAGCTCCGATTTGCTTTGAAACTCACTAATTCAAGCGTTTGTTTCAATTTAAGAGCCCCTCGCAGCGACCCACTTTCGACATAACTTCTTTGTAACATATCTTCAATCCTGTATCAAAAATATAAAAGAAATATTCACAAAAAATACTTGAGCTGTTCAACTCGCAATAAATTGAGAAGCATTGTGTAAGTGACTCGGAATTTCGATTCAAGATTAGCTTGTTTACCCTGAATGAAAGAAATTAAGAATAAGCTGAATAGCGTTACCAAGATGACTTTGTGAATATCCTCGAAATCCATAACGCATTGCCCTTTCTGTAAAACAACCACATTGCCTGTTGCATCCAACCCTAAAAAAAGCTCTCAATCCATAAAAACTGGAAGTCAAACCGCGTCTTCCAGCACGACCGGCCATCTAAAAATGATTCAGTAAACTCTTTCGACAGACTTTTGAGCACATTTTATCACATTCAGTACACAACTCACTTGCACATATTCTCCAGCAGTCAGTAAACGAAGCTCTGTACCATCATGCTTTTGTAGCGAATCGAAAACAACCGATCTTGCAGGCATATTGACCCCCATTGCAAAAGTTTCGGTAGCAAACAATACCTGAATATTTGTTATTGATTTAACTTTCAAAGGCCACCTTCACATATCCTTTTTGGAAAAGAAGCTCGACGACTTCTTTCAAAATTGGCAAGATTCCTGAGTGATGAACCCCAACGCCCCGAGTACAAAGTTCTTTAAGGAACATAACCTTAAAGATGGGAAAGTTCAAACTAGTAATTCTGACTCAAATACGTACTTGTGGAAGTTCTTTATCAGTCCCCTTGAGTCGTTGGATACACTGTGAGAAAAAGTGTTTTATGTGATTCTTTTCGAGCGCCGTCGTTAAATCAGCTGACAGTAGGAGTTGTGCATTATCATCACACCTAAAACCACTAAATTAAATCATAAATTAGCTTTGGTCTCTGACCTTCTTCTAGAAAACACAAAGCAAACTGCTGGCAACTGATCTTTGCTTCGTAAATGCTCAACGAGATTGATGTACACATTTTGATCCTAGATAGAACATGAATAGAAATTTTTGTGAGTATACATTGCGATTGTTGCCTGGTTGAAAGCCGGGATTCTTTCCGCCTCTTGCGGCGTTTTGTCCAGTCTTCTTGAACTCCTGTAAAATCAAGTAAACAATGTCAGTCTATGAAAACAACCTTTGATTCTCTCGCTTTCGCATAGCTTCCCTTTTGAAATTGTCCTTCTTTATCGACCACCAAGAACATATTGTGTCTCGTTTTTCCGTCCTAAAAACTATGATGAAAAACTACATCTTTGTATAAATAACCTGTCCTGTATAAAGGTGATGTTCAAGTGGCACTGGTCTTTTCGCGGTATAAACGACATCAATGCGACGATTCTTAATTCTCCTGAAATAAACATATTGCACAAATAATAGTCGTAACAACTTACCCAACCCAATCAGCGAACTCGGCAGCATTTGGTACTGTAGCAGAAAGCATAACGATTTTAACATGCGCCGGCAACATGATAAGTACCTGAACATATTGAATATGGTGGCCAGCAATTGAAAATTTTAACCTCTTCCCAAACATGCCCTCGTTCGGCGTCGTTTATGTAGTGCACCTCATCAAAAATAACCCATTCAAGTTCTCGAATGATTTCCGATCCATTGTATAACATCGACCTTTAAGCACCTCTTGCAAGCTTTCAAAAAATGGCACCATACCTGAGAATTTCCGTAGTCATGATCAAGCAAAAAGCTTCTGGAAATAGTTGAATGTCTCCAGTGATGAGGCCAACTTCCTCGAAAATCAACTAAACCCAGTCATTGATGTAGATATTCTAGAAACTTCACGCCTTGAAATCTCGAAACTTCTGATTCGAAAGAGCCTTGATAGGAGAAGTATATATGGCTCTAAAATGATTTATTGGCTCTGACTATGCATTACTGCTACCTTGTTTTGTGTAGTTTACAAAGAGAAATGGCATATTCAGCGACGACAGTTTTACCTAAATAAATTTGGTGTAAATAAGTAAATAAGCCCACAAACCGGCCGATGTGTGTGCTGCAACAAAAACACTTTCCCCTCGTTCCATGCTACAAACAGCCGCTAAAAATTATTTTGAAGATCACAATTCCTTTTGCTAACCTTGTTGAAATGGATCCAGCGCAAAAGGATACTAAACTTGAGAAAATAGATTTTTTAGGATTTTGACTATTACCTGCTTAGCCATGTGTGGAAATATCTCCTTGTATTCCGGAATATCGGCACTTGTGTCAATCCTACGCGCATAGTGAAATTCTTTCGAGTCTTTTGGTCCAACAATCGTTTGACGTTCTTTTAATTGGTTCTAAACATTTGTATTCTTGATAGCTGGCCTTAAAACCTCTAATAATGAATCAATGTCTTCTGATGTTTCTTGAGTCGCGTCAGTCGTTTGTGTCGGCACTTTCACCGCAACTGTAGTTTCTTCTTTGCTTGGAGGCGTGAATATCGGAGCAGCTCCACCAACGTAGTCCAGTAGATCGAAAATGTCTACCGATTCCAAATTGATTTCAGGCGGCTAAAACACACCAGTAAGTTCCTTTTTTTGTAAGCCAACCTTTTTTACATTCGTCTCAGTTGTCTCGGTTTTTGAGCCCAAATAAGTATCATGTTCGAAACCGGGAACATGATGTAGCAAATCTATAATTACAGACATTGCCTTATGATTAGCTTGACAAAATCTACTTTCAAAGTTTAAATATTGCTCTTCATCTACTGAAGAAAGTGTTGTCGCAGTGAGAGTCCAAAGACGAGAAAGTTCTTCGTCAAAGCCACCTAAAAGTAAAAGGATGCATTAAGATTTTTTTACATACCAGGAAAGAAAGGGACGTTACTCGATGACCCCTTGATGGTTGTGCTTCCCAGGAATGGAATCCTAAACTTTGTTCAAATTGGTTAATGTTCAAAGGGCTACCGCTGCAACGACATATTTGTACTGCTCGAGGCTAGTTCATCGCCACAACGCCGACATTCGACAATTTCTTCAACTTTCCCCGACGAGTTGAGAACGGGTCTAAATCATGCTCATTTATAAAGGACAAAAATACCTTACTTGAGAAAAGTGGTTGCCGGGCACAACGAGAAAAGCTCGTCATGTAGTTTATCCCAAAAATTCTCTGCGGGTGGGGATAGCTCAGAAATCCCCTTCCTAAGATTACTTTAGATTGGTCAAAACAAAGATTCTCTACTTTATCGTATGTCGCACATTGTATTCGGGCAGCGATTCACAGAGTAGCTAAAAGTTAATACTAATCAATGATGTGGCACAAATTTGATAGAGATAAACCATTTTACAAGAGTTACCTGAATGGCCGAGGTTCTAAAGGTTCGCTCACTAAGTTGTTCTAGAGACTCCTCCTCTGCCATTTTCTGAATTGCATTAAGAAATACGTAACACTTTCGAAATGGCGTGCTTACTACTTTAAAAAACACCTTCTAGCCGAAAACAAAAAAACTCAAATACACTTCAAATGTCGTATGCTGTTCATTTTTTCCAATAAGCCACAATTTATATCAACGAAAGGTAAAAACACGACTTACATCCAGAAAAACCAAAAATTAGATTGACATTTTATTCTCAATACTAACAAAAAAATAAATTAGGTAGGTAAATAAATACTAGAAAGAGCTAAACGAACATATTTATGCCATTCACAAATGTATCACAATTTAGGAAGTCAAAATAGGGTATCAAAAGGTATTACTTAAAACATATCGCCAAGGAAATAATTTAGAGTACGATCAATTAGAAAACAGCCTATGAGATCACTTAGCACACATAGCACGAGTTGATCGCGGAGCTAAAAGTTTATGTTTGAAAAGCTAAAGCAAAAAGAGACTTACGTGAAGTGGAAGCTTTACGAGTTCAAATTGCGTGACCATGTCATCAGAGGCGCCGAAGGCTAAGGCCATGACTGCGCCGCCTGAGAACATAATCGAGTAGAGCATCGCTTTGTTCTCGAACAAGCTTTCCATAAACGGCCGCCCCTAAAGTGTGAAAAAATTAGAAATTCTTATTTCCAAGCACGTACGCGATAGTTGACGGCGAAAGTGCACACTTGAAGCGCCATTGAAATAACATAGACCGTAGAATTAAGTATATTGGGTGAGAAAGTTGCCTCGAGATCGATCTTTTCCTTTCTAAAGTTCGAAAAGAATAAAATTTGCAACAGTGTTTAAGACAGACCTCGGTTCCACTTCATGTGCCAATCCAACAATGTATATCAACACAGAGAAGTGAAGAGCAAATTGGCTAGTAACCGTCAATAGCGTGTAGGCATTGAAGATATTTGAAAGTGGTCGCTGTCGAGAAAGAGTACGTAAAGGCTAAAGATGACAGTTCACTCTAATTTATTCTATCTCCTCCTTACCTTGCTTCTAGAGACAAACAAAAAGCATGCGGCAAGTAATAATCCCTGAATTGTTGCTTGTGTATCACTGAAACATAGATTTTGTAAAAAAACAATCATAAACCAATGTACCTGAACTTGACACCGTCAAGATACAAAACCGAAAGAGAATAAGCAGAGATGAGAGCATTCAAGGCAAGGATTTTGAACATTTGCAGAGTCGTCACCAAAGTACAACGGCCTTGTTTGATAACATGACAAACTAAATTAGCTTTTGACGGTAAAATTAAAAAGAACGTACTGCTTTGAATCGAAGTATATTTACTCGTAAAAGGAGCAGCAATACTGGCATCACCAAGACGCACCACCTAAACATATATCGGGTTAAATTTCGGGTTTCAAAAACCTGAGCCTTTTCTTCCTCTTCAAGTTCTTTCATCATAGTCTCCAACTTTTTCTGTGCTGTTGTAACACTGGGATGAGTTTGTCTAAAACTCGAATTCGAGTGCATTTGATTAAACTAACTTGGCCCGTTGTTGCTGCTGTTTGATCAACTCTGCTCTTTTTGAAGGTGCTGGTGCTATGGAATTGGCTACCTTTTCTTCTTGTTCCTTTTCTTTACGCTCACGTTCTTCTTGTTCTTTCTTTTCTGCCTTGATGGCATCGAACGGATGAGATAGCAAAGCAACACCTAAAAAGATTCTCCACATGCAAGCAGTTGTATACCGACCGACATCCGCGTGTTTCAAAGCTCCAACATCATTTGTTCCATCACCGCACATCAATGTTATCTTCCCGAGCCGTTTGAATTCGTTTATGATATGTTCCTAAAACAAAATATGTATATTTCCTTTGCTTTAGGAACATATCATCACAAACCTTTTGTTTAGGAGCCATTCGGGAGAATATTTTTATGTAAACCAAAAGGCGCGGGAGAAGTGTCGGATGTTGCTCGACCAAATAATTCCAACCCTAAAAGATTGATAATATTTGCTCACGAATTTCAGACTTACAACGCCCGTGAGACAAAAATCATGAAGAGTTATGAATTCTTTCCATTCTTTTGTTTTGAACTCCGAAACTTGTTTTACGGAAACTCGTGTTCTGCCGGGGGTATTTTCCTCATCGCTATCAATCGCAACAAAGCTCCATTCTTGTTCTTCTCCTTGTGGTTCATCAAGTATCAACACACGACCCTAAAGTTAGGAGGTTTATGCGGACATTCGCCTTAAAATAAACCTTTTTCTTCGTAAATCGCAGTGTTTGCGCAACATGACACGCCGTCAAAGGATTATCACCAGTGATCATGGCAACCTAAATTCATATTTAGAGTACAAAATAAAATGCCTACTTGATGGGAGCTTTCAATTATTTCCTTGATCATCAATTTTGTGTCAGGTTTTAATGGGCATGAAATAACCACAAAACCAGCAAAATTTAGCTCTTGTTCAAACTGCTCACGGTTCGCATCACGAATCTAAAAAAAAACATTATTTGCCTTTTCTAATCAAAATACTTGTTGGGTTGTGAGTGGGCCCAATTCACGAACGCCCAGAGCCAAAACGCGAGCTCCTTGAAGAGCCAAACGCTCGTAGAGCTTATCGTAGTCAGATGGACGATCGGAGAACTAGATTAACTGGACTCCAAATCAATTAAATCAAAAATACCATATCGCGAAGAGTCTCGGGAGCTCCTTTAACACACGCCAAATAATGCGCCTCGGCAAAGCCTGGTTTTTGATACCCAGCAACAACCTAGATGATTTAATTCGAGGACGCTAATTGATTAAGCTCACCGTCATCCTTTTCAGGGCAGAGGAGAAATAAAAGCGTCGGTGAATCTTTAAACTGTGCATTTTGGCCTTTCTTGGAACAACCGTATCACCTAAATTTTACTACTCACGATTGCTTTGATTTGCATACCTTTTGTTAGAGTCCAATCAACCCATGACAAACAAGCTTTTTCTAATGGATCACCGACTAGCTCTTCCTCGTAACGAGCTAAGCTGTGGCAACAAGCTAGCACCTAAAATGGAAATTAAAGCTTTGACCGTAAAAATCACTTGTATAGAGTTTTCCTGCGCATCGACGGCCGTACGAGCAAGTCCATTTTCTTTGTCTTGGCTAAAATATGAATTCATGATATTAGATTCAATTTAAAATTACCTGGTGACAACTCCTTCAACTATCAAATTGTCTGTCGTCAAGGTTCCAGTCTTATCGAAGCAGCAAACATCAATTTTACCAGCAAATGGAATTCGGAAAGGCTCCGTACAAAAAACTCCTAAACTTCTTGAGTAAAAAAAATTTTTGCAGGGTTAACCAAATTTTTGAAGAGCCATCAACGAAGTGTTCACGGCAAGTGACAACTCGATCGGCAATTCGGGTGGAATGACTGATGTCAAAATCAGTGTGCACTCGAGAAAAAGCTTGTATTTGTTACGACGCTCGTCGGCACTACCTAAAATGCTTTGAGATCAAAATCTATTTGAACTCACTCACCAACAACCCATAAATACGAAGAAGCGGCAATCGCGAAAATCAAAAGGAACAAGATGAAGCAGAAAGTTTCATAGTTGTTTGCTGTCACTCGTCTAACGCCAAACCTAAAATAAAGCGCTAATTTTGTTAAAGTAATATTCTCACATAATGGTTCTAAGAAGACGGCCTTGATTTGTATGGAATCCAGTGCGCAACACATAACATACACATCCATTATCAGGAGTTTTCATGCCAGACTCTTGTTTAGCTGAAAAAAATTAACTATTTAAATTTTTTATACGAGTTACCGGGAGGAGAGACTTGAACGATCTTGGTTCCGCCATTGATCAAATGTAATCGACTGTCGACATCAATGTCCAGGTGGCGGTGAGCTTCACCGTTTTCAATTGATTCCTGGTACGGTTATAAATAAAACACAAAATGGCCATTACCTTCATTTGCGGTACACTTTCCCCAGTCAACAAACTTTCATCGACAATACAAGATCCTCGAAGCAATAGCACATCACAAGGCACAGTTTGGTCATCAGCTCCACGGGCTAAATAAACTATTTCTAAACGGCTCTAATTACAAAGCGTACTTATTGAAACGATGTCGCCTGGTACAAGTTCTTCCGTTCGAATACGATTCCATCGATTAAAACGATAAGCCTTAATTCAAATGATTATGAGAAAATTTTTTTAATACTCTTACGTATATCAAGTAAGATTTGTTTCCCATGTTTCTGATTTCGGACATGTTTCGCATTTGTTGTTTTACAAGAGATGCTTCAAAAGTCATAAGCATTAGGAGTGTGAAGAGTGAATAGTACCACATGTCTTCCAAACACCATAACCCGACACAGAAAACCTAAACAATAAGGATAAACGTTGATAGTTTCAAGTTGAATTTCACCTGAAAAACGAAGAACGGGGCTGTAGCTCTTTCTTTGAATTGATCCCAAAATTGTGGTACAAACATTTCCATTCTGAAAAGTTTCTGATTATGGCGTTTCTGATACACTTTGATACCTATTGTCCCCCAAATTGAATCTCGTTTCGGATAGTTCATCTTCGGATTGAAATCCGCCCGCCTTTTGATAAAACCTAAAATTTCTCATTAACAGAGCACAAATCAAAAATACTTTAATGGCCGCTTCGAATCGAACTCGATTGTTCGAAACTTTCGCTCTTCTTCGTCAAACATGTACTGCACCTTTTGGAATTCAAACCACAACTTTTTAATGCCCATGAACTAAAGTTGTAAATTTAAAAATTTTCACACCAAAAACAAGAACCTTCTTTCGTTGTAGTGGAACAAGCTCGGGGTGGCCATTGTTTTGCGTTGGAACAACTTGGGCATACTCGGCATGCTCAACATTCACAGCCTAATCGACACATTAATCCATTTCCATTTCAAAGTCCTACCGCAGAACAAGTCATCAAGCATTTTATCGATACAATCCATTGACAAAAGAGAATCGCTAAGGCCTAAAAAAATCAGTTCAAGCAATGGAAAAGCTCTTTAACCTGTAAAACGGCTGTAACACCAATCCCGATATAAAATAGCTCATTGTACTCTTCGAATCCAAAATATTGTATGAAAACACCAATCCAGAGTGCGTAAAGCAGGAAAAATGGCCCAACATATCTAAAGAGTTGTTACTAACTTTGACTTAGCCACTGACTATTAGCTATTAAAGTGTAAAAACTAACCCATGAGCCCAAATCGGCTTCAACCGATACAAATGTATTGAATCAACCAATACATCGACGGACATTAAGCCCTTAAAACAGTTCTTTAAATTTTTACAATAAAAGTAAGTTTTGTTTTCTCAAATGTTCTGTAGATAGCTTGAAGTGCACATACTTTTCACGATCAAAGTCATTCAAAATAAAGTTTTATTCAACCGGATCATTCTCAATACACGTAGGTATATTTTAAAATTGCAATATCAATAAACATGAAAGAATTAAAGTAGCACGTTTCAATTTAATAATTTAAAGATCGTCGTCGTCATCCGGCAGGTCTAAAGCAAAATATTAATGAAATTAATTTTTTGAAATCAACTAAACAGATGATAAATAGCTCACCTGCGTCGGCGGCCTCCTTGAGATCATCTTCGTATTGCTTAACCATAGCAGGGTCCATGTGTACCTAAAACAATAAGTGTAATTTACATTTAGCAAAACTTTTATCCCTTGAGCACTAAAAAAATTTCTTACCTCTGGTGGGGCCAATGCAGGCATGGCCACGAACTCAAGGTAAGGATCACCAAGCAGCTTTCTGGCCAACCATAGGAAGGGCTTCTCGAAGTTGTAGTTTGATTTGGCCGAAACGTCGTAATATTGAAGATTCTTCTTTCGGTGGAAAGTGATAGTCTTGGCTTTGACCTAAAATTATAAAATTTATGCCAAAAGAAACAACAACGAATAATTTTAAAAAGCTTATATGGTCTAAACAACGAACTTTTCGGTCCTTCACATCGACTTTGTTTCCACAGAGCACAATTGGAATGTTTTCGCACACTCGAACTAAAATTATCAACAATTAACATGAATTTGTTAACAATTTGAAAAATGTTTACGAAAAATTACCAAGATCCCGATGCCAATTTGGAACATTCTTGTAGGTGACACGAGCAGTGACGTCAAAGAACACTATGGCGCATTGACCTAAAAAGACAAGAATTAAATTGTGTTTATGCATTGGAAGCAACTATTTTACTTTATTAATTCTTAATCCAAAGATTAAGGTAGAAAATGGTACCTTGAATGTAGTAGCCATCGCGAAGTCCACCGAATTTCTCCTGTCCAGCAGTGTCCCAGACGTTGAATCGAATTTGTCCTCGGTTTGTGTGGAAAAGCAGCGGATGCACTTCGACTCCCAAAGTGGCCACATATTTCTTCTCAAATTCTCCCGTTAAATGTCGCTTGACGAACGTCGTCTTGCCAGTTCCACCGTCACCTAAAAAGTTAATACATAAAGGAACAAGACAATGTGCCCTACTAACTTAATGTTCGAATTAGCTAGCTATTCGTGGAAAACTTTAAATCAACTTACCAACAAGTACAAGTTTAAAAGTCGGAATACCGTCAGCCATTCTAAAATTGAAGATTTTTAGTTGAAAAATAAAACTCTATGCGAAAAACAATGAAAAGGCAACAACGAAATAGCCATGGCAATAGTGCATTTCCCAATTTCATTTTCAAAAGGGCATAGCTAATAGGTTCGCGATGGGACCTTTGGCAAGACTCCAATGTTTAGGCGAGAAAGCCTATCGCATTAAGTAGAGTGCATGAATGGCCCAGTATTTAGGAATACGCCACAATATTTGAGCGTCAAATCAAGCTAGCTGGGTCAAGAGAAATTTTGTCATAAAGAAATTTTTTTCTTACAGTAAGAAACTACAAAACGAGATATTCAGCCGATTAGTGAAATACTTCAAAGGTCAAAGGAAAGAAACTTCTTTTGGGACCTTCACGCTGGCAAAATTCTTGTGGATAAAGCTTTCTCGTAGCACTCTAACTACAAGTGCAATAGGCTTCAAGTGGAACACCCAGTCCCAAATAAAATGTGGAGAACGTGGAAGAACTTTAGCGGAACACTTGAACGAATTAAAGGTATTCGTGGGTCGCAAACAAAAGAATACATTTTCCTTAAGATCAAAGTTTTATCAAATGACTGCAGTTAAGAATAGCAAAAAGACAAGTAAATTCTCGGTAAAAGTCTTGTTCACATCTATTTGAGGCGTTCATTTGTTAGTTTCAATATAAGGTTCTCGTAAGCCCTCCATTCCCTAAAGTACGTAAATAAATGATGAAACCATTATAAGCTTCCGTAGTTAAATGTCTAAAGTAAACATCAATTCAATAAGTGGCAAAATTTAACTATGAGAGCTGAAAACTTGCCTCACCCTGTTCACTCAATGTGGTGATTCGAGCGCCCAAATGGATGACCGTCGAGTGCAGACGATCCAATTCCACCTAAACATTGGAGAAAATTATATTTCTAGTGCGTGACGTGGAACTGTAAGTCAAATTAAGTGCTCACCTCAAGCATCTTCATCTCATTAACCAATTTCAACAGTCGAGACGAGCTGAGCGCTTTCTGATCTAAAAACTAAGTATTCGCACGCTTTCAGGCTAATCCTTAATCTTTATAAAGTAAACAATGCACACTTACGGATAGCCTTGGTAACTTTGTCGACCCAATAGTTGATTTCACTATTTAGCACTTCATTAACTTTCTTCTCTTGTCCGGGCTTTTCGTGCAGATCTAAAGCAACAATTAACATTGTAAAATCATTTGTTTTATTGTAAAATTATTGGCTTTAGATAAAGGTTGCTAAATAAAAACCTATGGCACTGGTATGCGGAGTGGCGATGCTGGTGGTGGATTGAGATGGCGATTCAGCAACGTTCACGCCCGAGGGGACTATCGTTGGCGAGGTTTCCAAGCTGTGGCCGGCCAATCGAGAAAATAAGCTGTCAGTATTTATCCAAACAGTAAATGATACAAAATTTTTAAAAAACCGACCCGGTGAATACGCGTACGTTCTGCAACTCGTTCATCCGCTTCGGGGCCAATCCAATCAATTTCCACAGCACCTAAAGTACATTGTTCCAGTATAATCAAGCTAAAATACCCGTCGATTGTTGATCGTTTCTTTGACCCTTGAGGCTTGAACAAGGAAACTGTGTCGTTTGCTGTACTTGTTAACGTCGAACATTTTGATTGATATCTAAACGAATTAAATTGTGCTATTTACAAGAGTAAATTGCCTTTATAATTTCATTGGGAACCAAGAAGCCGGTGGATGGAAAGACGAGGTAGCGCTTCGGAGCCGTGCCCAAAACACGCCAAGCGATTCGATGCTCACCAATACATCTAAAAGTAATGATTATTTTTCAATAACAAAGTATTTACTTGACTTGAAGCTCAGCGCTAGCCTCAGTTTTTTCGCCATCTTTGCCAAAGTGTAGGACCACCTAAAGAAATGCAAGTTGTCGAGTTAATTAATTAGATAATACAGCGGTTTTCGAATTTGGATCAAATTTTCATCTTTCACGACAAACAAAGCAATAAATCAAAACAAAGTAGCAAAACTAAAGAATAAATTTTCTTACCGGAGTGACAAGAATGTGCCGAAGTAGTTGTTGATTCAGAGGTGTCGACACAGGGATCGATCGATCGAATGGCTTCCACGATTTTTCCATTTGGGCCGCTTAAATTAAAAACCATACATCAAAAAACTATCGAACTCATCATGAAATCAGTGCATAGATTAATCAATCAACAAGCTCGTATCAACAATCAACAAGCTATTTTCCAACTCTCAAAGGTCACTCACGTACCCAAGGGTTTTTCCAAAGATGGTGCACGGTTCGAGGGATTGGGAAATGTGTCTAAAAAAAAAAAAAAAGCCAACAACAATCAAGACACTCACCCATTAATCAAACTATTCAAAGAAAGCTGATAGCAAGAGAATATTTGGAGTGATAGGAAGGGAAATGAGAAAAACTCGTCGAATCTTTTCTTTTATTTAAAGTTTAAATGCAAATCTTGTTTGTTACTTGTCTGAATTCAACCCTGCGTTCTTTCTCAAGAATTTTTGTAACATTGTTTATTTTGGAGAACCATTGGAGTCAAGAAAAACGAAATAATAGCATCGGATAGATTGCACAAATGAGAACAAACGTTAAAGATATTCGATTAAAAAAAGGCGAGAGAGACCTTTGTTGGAATTGAACCAAAGAGGATTTGAATTTGAATTGAATGAGAGTCAAGCGCTTTATCCACTCAGCTATAAACATCACGTTGCATTGGCTGCAAAAGTGGGTATTCTACCAACAAAGTATAGCTCTCGTCCTTGAAGATCCTGTAAAGACTTACAGAAATTCAAAGTAATCCAGGAAACAGTGCTCTGAGTACTCTAAAAATTCCACTAAGCAGTACTAGTACTCTGGATAACAGTGTCCAGTACTCCAACTCGATCTTTACAGTCTTTACAGTCTTTACAGTAAAAATTACCAACAATCCAATAACTTACCACCCAATTAGTATGCTTTGAGTAATTCACATAAGAAAATTTTCATAATTTCTCAAAAAACAATATAAATAATTACCACTAATCAAGGTCTAACAACAAAATTTTACAGACATAAATAAAAAACGGGAGTGGGACAAATGCGACCTTTTTTTGCGAACCCGGACATTTGCGCACCTTTTTTTCCGCACTTAGCCCATTAGCGCACCTTTTTTCGCGTTTTAAAAAAGCTCTAAAAAGCTAATATTAACCAATTTCTATTCCAAAAGTGGTTTTTCTAGGTAATTTTAGGGCGTAGAATCGAAATTTTGGTATATCAGAGCTTGTGGAAGCGAACGGACGGAGTTATACAAAGAGAAAAATCAACAATTTTCTGTAATTTGACCTAGCCGTTTTGTCTTTCAAATTGGTCTTTCAAATTTGTTTCACACGCTCTGTTATGTCAAAATTTAGATTCGATACCCTCAAATTACCTAGAAAAACAACTTTTGGAATAGAAATTGGTTAATATTAGCTTTTAGAGCTTTTTTAAAACGCGAAAAAAGGTGCGCTAATGGGCAAGGTGCGGAAAAAAAGGTGCGCAAATGTCCGGGTGCGCAAAAAAAAGGTCGCATTTGTCCCCACTCTCATAAAAAACAAAATTTCATCATCATCATCAAAACAATTTCAGTTTATTATGAGGCTTTTGTACAGGGAATTTCTCGAATAAAAATTAGACAGAATGATAAATTTGACAATAACATGATCTTAATTAGGGTTAAAGCTTTTAGGGATTACGGTAGAGTACTTCTTGTACTTTTCTGCTCTATAAACACACCGCTTTCTGGTGCATTTTAGCAATGATCTCACAAAAAAAGCCAGTGCACCAGAAGCGGTGTGCTAGCAAGCACAAAGCACCCAAACCTCTTATAGAGTACGGTAGTTTTTTGGAAGAAAAATAAATCAACATTCGATAGCCGAATTGCAACGATAGCAGGCGTAGGTGCCGATTTTTGTCTGAAACTTTGAAGAGTACTGTCTTTAAAAAGAGTCTTGAAAAATAGTTTAAAACTTTGAAGCTTTCCAAAGTCTTTGAAAAAAAGTTTTCGCTTTAAAACTGACTGCTTTGAGCTTGGTGAGTCCAACACAAACATAGTGATACCAACGAGAACAACCAGCCTCGCATTGAACCCATAACAAATGATCAGCTGAAAAGTTCATTGTTGAAAGAGCTGTTTAAATCATTGGCTGTTTAAATTATTGGCTTTTAAATCATTGTCTGTTTAAATCATTGGTTATTTAAATCATTGGTTGTTTAAATCATTAGCTGTTTAAATCATTGGTTGTTTAAATCATTGGCTGTTTAAATCGTTTAAATCATTGGTTATTTAAATCATTGGTTGTTTAAATCATTAGCTGTTTAAATCATTGGTTGTTTAAATCATTGGTTGTTTAAATCATTAGCTGTTTAAATTATTGGCTTTTTAAATCATTGTCTGTTTAAATCATTGGTTATTTAAATCATTGGTTGTTTAAATCATTAGCTGTTTAAATCATTGGTTGTTTAAATCATTAGCTGTTTAAATCATTGTCTGTTTAAATCATTGGTTATTTAAATCATTAGCTGTTTAAATCATTGGTTGTTTAAATCATTGGTTGTTTAAATCATTAGCTGTTTAAATCATTGATTATTTAAATCATTGGTTGTTTAAATCATTGGTTGTTTAAATCATTAGCTGTTTAAATCATTGACTGTTTAAATCATTGTCTTTTTAAATCATTAGTTTTCAAATCATTGGCTTTCAAATCATTGGCTTTATGTCTAAAAATAAAGCCACAATGCTGATCCAACGATTTAAAGTCGAGAGTTGAGATTTGAGAAACTTTTTAGGTCAAAATAAAACCATAGCGTACCAGAAGTGCGTCCTTCAGCTTTTAAGAGAGCTTTTAAGAGCTAAATTCTCTCAAACTCACATGATGGTCGTAAACATTTATCAGCTTCACATTTCTCGTCATCATCATGAAACATATTCGATGGACGTTCGCCTTTCTTCTTTTTCCCACTTGACAAGCCAAGGCCGAGGCTTCGTTTAGAGGCTCTGAAATTGGTTCCAATGATTTGATTATGTTTATGATTCAATTGATTTACGTAAATTGACATTTAAAATCAAATCAATCAAATTTGCGTCTAAAACCATCATTTTGATCGTTTTTTTGATCGTTTTGACCGAATGGTTAACAATCTTGATGAACGTTTCAAAAAGAGATCCCAGAAATGAGACTTTACAGTATCTTTAAATGTACTGTAATAGTAATTTAGCTTCTTAAATGATTAATAAGCTTTTTGAAGAGTCAAGCTTCGTTCGGTAAACATTGACAAAGTAACCTTTATAGTTCCTTTATAGTTCCTTTATAGTTCCTTTAAAGCTCCTTTAAAACTCCTTTAAAGCTCACAAAGTAACATTTAAAAGTAAAAGTTTATCAAGTAAAAACCTTTTCCTCTTTGTCGCCGGTGCAAAGAGATTTGAGATCGAATCATTCCCATTCACCGGTCTAGTTCGAATCTAAATCAACGTCATTTTTCATTTCCCCACTTTTCACTCACTTTTTCCCATTCCTCCACTTGTGTAGTCATCTTTTCACGATAAACTTTCTGCAACAAGAGACTGATTTTCGGGATGAGATCCGAGTCAACGATTTCACAACCCAATGCCCCTACCAAAACTACATCCAATCTAAAAATTTGACTTGATGAAATCTTGTTTTTGATTGAAATCTTGTTTTTGCTCATTGCTTGCTTGCTTACCTTTCTTTCAATTCCTCGCTTGGAGTCGATCCGGCTAACGCAAGATCAGTCAAAACCTCGATAACTGCTCGAGAGCGGACTGTGAATTGCTTCAACGCCTCAGCTACGAGAGTCAGCTAAAAGTTATCAGGTTAGACTTGTAAAAAGACTAGTAAAAAGACTAGTAAAGACTAGTAAAGACTAGTAAAGACTAGTTAAAAGCCTGGTAAAAAGTTTTAGGTCTTAATTTACCTCAAAAGTTTTACTAATCGGTGTTTGGCTGATTGCCGAGACGACATCCTCTTTGAATGGACGTCGAGAGCGAAGACAGCGCACACAAAGGAATGAACCCGGGGGGAATTGCTCGAGAAATGGATCCCATTCGACACAACTTGCTGAAAAGTGTTTAGCTATTTTCTAGAAAAGTATTCAAGCTATATTTTCTAGAATTCTATTCTAGAATTTCTAGAATAAGGCAGTAAAGTAACAAGGCAGTAAAGTAAAAAGGCAGTAAAGCAATAAGGCAGTAAAGTAACAAGGCAGTAAAGTAAAAAGGCAGTAAAGTAAAAAGGCAGTAAAATAAAAAGGCAGTAAAATAAAAAGGCAGTAAAGTAACAAGGCAGTAAAGTAACAAGGCAAAGCGCCAACAACTCATATTTCTAAAATCTCAACTCTTTCAACTTCTAAAATCTAATTCTTTCAATTTCTAAAATCTCTAAAGCTTCCTTCATTTCTTCATTGATCTACAAGTTAGCTAAGAAATTGTTAAATTTTAAAACTGACAATGAAATCTTGCATAGCACAAGAGACATGAGATCACCGGGGTCTCCCTTTCCCTCTCAATCCCACAGAAGCACGAGTCCTTGATCGAGCGGCGCTCGTTGTGAATCCTAAAAGACACTCTATTTTACACTATTGATCGATCAATTTAATCACAAATAGAAATCAGCTAAATACCCGGGATTTAGCACTAAATACAGAGCACTTTTTTTTTCGTTCTTTTACCTCAACGCTTGCATCAACTCGTACTGCTTTTCGGCCAACTGCGAGCAATGCGCCGACACTGAGGCACAGTCCTCAAAGCAATCGAGCTGATCCCTAAACTTTTATGATCATTTCACAAGATTTAAAGATTGAATTTGAACTGTTTGAACTGACCATTCCTGAGCGGCGGCTCGATTCTCTTCTCGTTTCGTTAGTGGACATGGTTGCCCCTCCAACAATGGAGCTAAATCCTCTCTACCGACCAAAATCTGAAATTTGATTTCTCGAACCAAACCAAACCAAGATTTCTTTAACTTATATACTTCTATTCAATCAAATATCTATTTAAAATAAGATATTCAATCAAATGTCTATTTAAAATAGTCAATTAAAGTTCATTAAAGTTGTATTTTTGGCCCTACATCTATCTCCCTCTCAATTTCACTCTTTCTCTCAAGCTTTTTGCTTAACAAACTTACGCACATTACATAGTTAGATTAAAAGTTGTGTTAAAATATCGCTTATCTTAAAATATAGCTTATCTTAAAATATCGCTTACATCATACAAAGTGAAATATGAGGTTGTTCGATGAAAAAGACGAGATAATCGTTGAGTAAAGGAGATCAATGAATCGCGAGACTCTCGTAATCGATGCACTTCGGGAGAGTTTTTCAACGTTAGCGACTAAATTTTCTCAACTTTATTCAATTGTTTGGTGAATTGCATAGAGTTGGAAAACATCTTTTTATTCATTTTATGGGTTTTTGTTGAGAAGAGATTCTCACAAAATGTTTTCTATTTTGCACTAACTCTTGTTTTGCGTTTTGTACGCGTCGTTCCAGTTGACACAGCTGGAACGACGCGTAGTCGTAGTCATGTTTTCTCATTTTCAATTGTTTCTGTTGTGCTTCTTTGTGATATTGATTTCTATTTTGTTAGATTTCTTTTGCTTTCTATTTGATTGCTAACATTCAAATCTAAAATAGCAATCTAAAATGGCGATAGCCGAATTGCAACGATAGCAGGCGTAGGTGCCGATTTTTGTCTGAAACTTTGAAGTTTATACCATTACAGAAGTACAGAACATACGTATATAAAATTTACTATATATAAAAGAGCAATGTCTGTCTGTCTATCTGTCTGTCTGTCTATTTGTCTGTCTGTCTGTCTATCTGTCTGCCTGTCTGTCTATTTGTCTGTCTGTCTCTCTATCTGTCTGCCTGTTCGTCCGTCTCTCTATCTATCTATTGGGTTGGGGAGAATGAGTCGGCGCCAAACTTTAAAGGGACTTTTTGCACACATAAAGCCTTCTTTAAACATACGTTTGGTTTCATCGAAAGGATCCACTATTTCTCTACAAAATCACTTTTGAGAGATTCCACAAAGCTTTTCTTTCGTGGAGTTTATGAACTTCCAAACGCAGCTGGTTAAAATGGCAAAGAGTCCGACTCATCATTTGAACAGTTTCTTTCACATAAACCTTCTTTGGTGTTTATATAAAAAATATAGAGCACATTCAATTACTTAAGTTGCCAAATTTGCAGGAAGATCCCACCAATGGTTTTTTCTAGATCACAGTTTGTAGTTTTTGTGAAAAAATGGCTTTTTCTTGAGCGGAGGCGCTGTTTGAATTTTCTTTTAAATGTGATTTTGTAGAGAATTAGTTAACCATTCTACTCATATCAAACGCATATTATTTGACGAAGTCTGCCAGAAGTTTTAGACATTTTTTTGATTTTCGGCGCCGACTCATTCTCCCCAACCCGATATCTATCTATCTGATTCTAGAGATCGAATTTCTCACCTTATTCGCCTCAATCAACAATTGCTCAGCCTCTTGCAGTGAGATCTCTTGATTTGGTGATAGACGAGGAGCCAACTCTCGACATCTCACCACCTCTTCCCTCATCGAATTCAATCCTAAATACAAGTATACGATAAATTTGGCACATTCTAGAAAACACACGCGGTGCTTTTCCTACTTTTTTCCCTTTTTCTGCACAAACCCTTTTCATCGAGCCAATCGGATTGTCGAACCTCGTCCCAAAGCGCTTGCAATCGTTGCACCCCTCCCACACAACCACGAAGCTGCCAGTCTTCGCACTAAATTTAATTTATAGGAAGATATATGAAAATATTGTCTAAAAATATTGTCTAAGAATATAAAAACACTTTACCGAATTTGTATGAACAAGTGCTCGCTTCATCTTGGCATGCAGTCGCACATGGATCCCGTCGGGTGTTTCAAAGCGGTGACTGTAGACGCTTTTTGCCTAAAATCGATGCTAATTTATTGTACCTAATTTATTGCAATTTATGCTAATTATCGATTACGATAGTTTTCGAGAATAGTCGATGCTAATTTATTGCATCGAAATAGGCTTTTAGAAAGCTTATTTCTCTAGTCAGGCCAATTCGTTTTTTTTTCTTCTATCACCTGATCGATTAAAGTGATGATTGAAGCGGAATTCCATCGTCCTTTTGAGATAAAATCTTCAGCTTCTTCCATTTTATCTTTCGCTTCCCATTTCAACACTTTCAGCGCTCTTCTTCTCCATTCACACAATCGAACACAGCGCTCCATTCGATCCAAAATGTTCAACTTGATGTCGAATTTCTCGCCGATTTCGAAAAGCTAAAGGAATTTAGTCTTGGCTTTTAGATGTACTTTGTACAGCTTTGTACATTGTACATTGTACTTTATACACCTTTGTGCATTGTACATTGTACATCTTTGTACTTTGTACATCTTTGTATAGCTTTGTACATTGTGCAGCTTTGTACATTGTACTTTGTATAGCTTTGTACTTTGTACTTTCTCAACTTTTTCAAAACCCACTTTTTCTGGTGCACTCAATTCGAATCTTTTTGCGGTAACAATTAACAAAAAAAAAAGGATCTAATTCAGTACACTAGAAATTGTGTGTTTCTACTAATTAAGCACAAAGTACATCTCAATTTCTGTCGGCTAAAAGGATAATGGATTTAGCTTAAACTTTCTTTCAGATTTACTTTGTGCTTAAAGTAAATCTCTCGAAAACGCAAGCTTTCTAGTGCACTTAAATTTAAAGAATACAGGAGAAAGGAGAAAAGTACACTAGAAAGAATGCCGTTTCGAGCACAAAGTACATTTGTACTGTCTCTACAAAGTACATTTGTACAGTGCTCTCTACAGTACAAAGTACTCACTACAAAGTACATTTGTACAGTGCTCTCTACAGTACAAAGTACTCACTACAAAGTACATTTGTACAGTACTCTCTACAGTACAAAGTACTCTCTACAAAGTACATTTGTACAGTACTCTCTACAGTACAAAGTACTCTCTACAAAGTACATTTGTACAGTACTCTCTACAGTACAAAGTACTCACTACAAAGTACATTTGTACAGTACTCTATACAGTACAAAGTACTCTCTACAAAGTACATTTGTACAGTACTCTATACAGTACAAGGTGCATTTGTACAGTACTCTCTACAGTACAAAGTACATTTGTACTTTGTACAAAGTACATTCTTGCTTTCGCACCTCTCTCAACTCATCCAAAATGTCTTCCTCTTCACTTTCCTCAGCTCTTTCACAAATCACTTCCGCTTTTTCACTCCAATCACAAACTCTTGCAACGAGATTCTAAAATTCTACGATTATTTTAAAGAGATTTTCCCTCAAAACCTCGAGCTCTTGACTTGATTTGCGCAAATCAACCGACAACCCATTGATCTTTCCGATCAAATCATTGACCTCATCAAGCGTGGGACGATTGTCTGCTCGTTGCATTCTCGTCGTTGTCCTAAACCAAGCATTACTCTATTTCCCCCCACCTCAATTTCTCACCTTGTTCTAACTTTTCCACTTAGTATCCCTCTCACTCTTTCCAACATTTCTAAGCAAGTCTTTTGGGTGTTTATCAATTTGTTGTGTGTTTCACCGCAAGGGAAACGGGCTTTCCGACCTTGTTCGATCAACTCATTTATACGGATGAGTGCTGAAAATTGATTCTTTATTTTGGTGTTCGCTAGAGAAGAGAAATCTTTCTATATTAAATTTAATTTCTCTTTTGAATGCAAAATAAACGATATAAGATCTCGGCAACGGGATCTAGGCAACCAGATCTAGGCAACCAGATCTAGCCAACCGGATCTAGCCAACCGGATCTAGGCAACCGGATCTAGTCAACGGGATCTAGGCAACCGGATCTAGGCAACCAGATCTAGTCAACCGGATCTAGGCAACCAGATCTAGCCAACCGGATCTAGCCAACCGGATCTAGCCAACCGGATCTAGGCAACCGGATCTAGTCAACCGGATCTAGCCAACCAGATCTAGCCAACCGGATCTAGCCAACCAGATCTAGTCAACCGGATCTAGGCAACCGGATCTAGGCAACCGGCATCACTTTTGACTTACTCGGTTTCTTCGACGAATCCTCAAACAAAGTTGTGACTTGTTGTCTCCAAGCCGTATAAGTCGAGTGTCGATCTTGAAGCTTTTTGAGGAATGGAGCCAATTCGATTAACTCGTAACGATATCTAGGAAAAGTTGATTTTATTTGTTATCGTTGCGTAGTCTAGCTTTGGACGCGTTTTTCTCGACACTGGTTTATGCTACAATGCGCGCTTAGGTATCAAAAAATAGCCCTGAATTTCAGCTATTTTTTGATACCTATGCGCGCATTGTAGCATAAACCAGTGTCGAGAAAAACTCGCTCAAAGCTAGACTACGCAACGCTCCGCACCGTCATTATGAGGGTGGGGTACTATTACAGTATTTACGGTATGCTGTTCATTTTCAATCGAATTGTCAATAGGTGTAGAACGGAAAAATGAGATTTCATCACTTAAACAGTAACTTTTTCAGACCAAAAGATAGAGCTTTGAAAAAAATCTTGAAAAGAAAAGCAATAACCAAATTTCGTTTTTCCGTTCTACACCTATTTGCAATGAGGCCGAAAACAGCTTTAAGAATACAGTGCTTTTCAAAAATAGATCCTATTTAACCACTAGTTTTAAAACTCACTTCAGCGTCATTTTCTTATAAGGACATTAGGAATCTTCACACCTCTACAAACCTGTTTTAGCTACTTGATGTTACCGTAATTCTTTGTTACCTTTACTTCGTGTTACAGTAATTCTTTATCCTAGCTGAGTTATGGCATTAATAGGTTACAGATTATGGTAATTAGGATGTACTTTAGAGTCCTAACTGGGCTACGATAGCAGCCCTTACGTTAGGTAATTGGCTAGACTTTAGGTAACTAGCTACACTTTAGGTAACTGGCTCCACTTTAGGTAACTGGCTCCACTTTAGGTAACTGGCTACACTTTAGGTAACTGGCTACACTTTAGGTAAATGGCTCCACTTTAGGTAACTGGCTACACTTTAGGTAACTGGCTACACTTTAGGTAACTGGCTCCACTTTAGGTAACTGGCTACACTTTAGGTAACTGGCTACACTTTAGGTAACTAACTACACGGGTTACAGTAACGAAAACAGCTCTAAAAATACAGTGCTTTTCAAAAATAGATCCTATTTAACCACTAGTTTTAAAACTCACTTCAGCGTCATTTTCTTATAAGGACACGTCGGGCATAGCTTGTTCGCGTGATCCAAACAGACCAATCGTCCATGTGGGCAAGTCAGCGCCGACATGAAAATCGTTGTATGGCAATATTTGCATTCACGCAACTCGTCGCTGATCTTTTCGAATTCCTAAAACAGCTCAAAGTTCCAGCTTAGTCAATCGCTTTAATAAAGTAATGAATGGTAAAGAAAGATTTCCAGAAAGGGGATTAACTGACGACCTTTTGCTTTCCACTGATCACTGAGCTATCCGATCTAATGTCAGAGAAAAAAGAGGCAACACGAGAGAAGAAAGGAAGAAAGAGATTCAACTCACCTCTTTCACCGATTCTCGTACACCCAACGAGGCCACGAGCTGTCTCCTTTTGATCTCACGGTCACAGATCTATAAAAGTTAAAGATTAAACTATTTTGGAAGCATTATAAACAAATGCTAGTGGGAGAAAGTAGCTCTAAAGCTTGCCTCAACGACTTTAACCCTAGTTTACACGGGTTATGATAACTGGCTACACTTTAGACTTTAGAAGAATCGCAACTCACCGCATGTAACTCCTCATAAGCTGCAACAGACATCGAAATCGAGAGTCGCTCAGCCGCAGACACCATTGAGATCACCAATTCTTCGTGTGAGAAGACACAAGTTCGACGCACGTCCGCATACGCGCCGACAGCTTGTCGACCGACTCTTAGCTGAAATTTCTTAGTGAATCTTTTAAAGGGAATTGATCTTGAAGTGATTCAAGGCAAAGCTCTAGATTTACCCAATCAATCGGCGCAAAGTTGACCGCTTCGGCCACATTGAAGCCTTCATTGAAGCCGGCATGATAGGCACGGGGGAAAGTGATCACAAACTCGCCAGCACCTTGATGAACTGTCCACACCGAGACACCCTTCGAAGCGAGAAGCTAAAAATTGTTTAATGACAGACTGAACTGATAAGCAAATAGCAAAATAAAGTTCTAGAACAGCTTCACAAACTTGTGGATTGACGGCAACGGTCATGTGATGTAAAAGATCTCGTTGATTCGAGAAGAGACCTGGCGAGATCGATTGAACGGCTTTCTCGAACTTCTCTGCATCGGCTCCACTAATCCCGTACCACACTTTTCGATCACCCTGCAGACTTGTCTATCTTGTTGATCTATTGATCTCTTGCTCTATTGATCTATTGATCTATTGATCTATTGATCTGTTGATCTGTTGATCCAGTCTGGCTCTGACTTTCCAGTCTCTCCACATTCCACCAACCTTATGATTGTAGTTGATCGAATAGGTCCAGTGATCCTCAGTATGCCAACAAAAAGTGCTAAAGCACATTCCCACGTAAACCCAGGGTATCATCATACCTAGAAACAGTGAATAATAATATTTTTCGTTTAGTTTCCTATCTATCTTCTCTTAAAAGCATACCCGGGATATCACTACCAATATGCGATAGCACTGAGTCATCTAAAACGGGCAAATTGTTGAGATTCCATGCATGCGCCGCATAATGCTGTTTCTCTCGATGATCAACGCCACCAAGATTATCGCAACGACGCGGGAAACCGCTACCAACCTGAAAAATAGAATACCATTGATCTTCCACAACTTCCACAATTGAACTAAGTCTTCTAGAGAACTTAAACTTGAGCAGCTTACCGGTTGTACTTCAGCTTGTGGCTATAGTACAGACAGTACAGACAGTACAGACAGTACAGACAGTACAGACAGTACAGACAGTACAGACAGTACAGACAGTACAAACAGTACAGACAGTACAGACAGTACAAACAGTACAGACAGTACAGCCAGTACAGACAGTACAGACAGTACAGACAGTACAGACAGTACAGACAGTACAGACAGTACAGAGGAACAGACAGTACAGACAGTACAGACAGTAAACACAAAAATAGTGCACTAGTGCACAGCTTTAATAACAGAAAAAGCACTGTATTCAAAGGATCATTATATTACTGTAATACTCTAGAACTGTTTGCGATAATAAAACTATTGAAAAAGTTCTCTCCAACTCACTCGATCAACTCTCAAATCGGCTCCATATTTGACCGAAACGATCTTGTCACTCCAAGTGTTTTTCCAGAATTCTTTCTCCACTTCATCCAATGAAACATCCTAGAATCTGATTTTTTCAACTTTTTGTCAACTTTTTAACAACTTTTAACTATCAACTTTTAACAACTTTTTATCAGTTTTCTATCAGTTTTCTATCAGTTTTCTATCAATTTCTATCAGTTTTCTATCAATTCTTACCTCTAACGGTTTCCTGAAATAATCCTTCTTGAACTTGTTGGCAAAATCGGCGAAAGAGATCAAATTGTACTTTGTATTCGCATCATAGAAACCGAAATTCGAGTTGAGAACGGCGACTTTATCCGCTGAGCATTCAGCACAATGCCATTCATTCTGCAATTGTTCATTTCCACTCCAATACGCTTCAACTTTCACCTACTTGGCTAGGGTTTTCTAGAGGTAAAATTCTAAGGTCTAGTTAGGCCAGAAGTTAGATTATATTCGTTTTTTGATGGCTGGGAATGGCATATCGACTCCGGATTCGAACCAGTAACCTTTCGCTTATAAGACAAACTTTCTACGGTACTTGTCGGTTATTATAAAGTGATACTTGTCGGTTATAAATCCACAGAGATTCAACTCGGTTAAGCAAGGACAACTTTTGAGGGGTGATGTTCAGTGAAGTAGAGTGTCTGTAGTGATCAGTTGAACGAAAATCGATAACCGAGAAGCCTCGGATGTGGAGATGAGTCATGAGATGAGTCTTTGTCGATGTATAACCGACAAGTAGCCGTTCTAATCAATGAGCTAAGCCAATAGCTTAAAAAGTCAGCAAGGAAAAGCGTTACATGTTCTCTTGTGAAAGAAAGGTTCTCTTGTAAAATCTCTTGCAAAGTCTCTTGTAAAATCTCTAACTTTCCTTGGCTAGTTTACTGTAATCTAAATAAAACTGTTACTGTAATCTAAATACTTAAATAGTTAATTATCTGTTAAGCATCGAAAATTACAAACCTTCGGCACATTTGACAGTGGCGGTTCACAACAAAACGTATGCAACGAGCAATCGCACGTCTCGCACAGCAACAACTTATTCTCGTTGTCACCCTTTCCACATTTTGTGCAATAAACACTTTCCATTGGATCATGCATTTTCTCTAGAATTTAGATTTTAATTAATCTAATCTGAAATCTATTAATTTAGATTTTAATTTAGATTTCAAATTAGATAGATAAGTCTATAAATTTTAAATCACAAACTTTTCTTCTCGATATTCTTGATGATTGACCCGCCAGCCATCATTCTTCCAGCTGCTCTACGTCGTTTCCCGCTTTGCATTGACACTAAACAAAAAGAAGTGAAGAATTGTAAGATTATATCTATTATCTAAGGGCTACTGGCTACAGGATTACTGGCTACAGGATTACTGCCTACAGGATTACTGGATACAGGATTACTGGCTACAGGATTACTGGCTACAGGATTACTAGCTACAGGATTACTGCTACAGGATTACTGGATACAGGATTATTGGCTACAGGATTACTAGCTACAGGATTACTAGCTACAGGATTACTGGCTACAGGATCACTGTTTCCTATCAAACAATTCTGGCACTCACTTCCCTGTTGCGCGTTCTCTCCATCGCAATACTCGTACTCCTCTCCGTCCGACTCGTTTTCTCGTTTAATTGAAGATTCCTAAAATTGATAGATATTAGCTAATATTAGCTAACTTCTAAAGCTATAGATTCTAGAGCTAAGCTTTTCTAGAGCTAAGCTTTTTCTGGAGCTAAGCTATATCTTTTTCAAACCAACCTCAATTTTCGAAAGATATGGATGAATGAGCTTGAAGAAGTGCTCTTTCACCTTACTCCCACCCTGAAATTCGCATAATTTCAATAATTCTATTGTTACAATATGCAAATTCGATATTTAATCTATATCTAGATATATCTACCGTAAATACTGTAATAGTACCGCACCCTCATAATGACGGTGCGGAGCGTTGCGTAGTCTAGCTTTGAGCGAGTTTTTCTCGACACTGGTTTATGCTACAATGCGCGCGTAGGTATCAAAAAATAGCTGAAATGCAGGGCTATTTTTTGAAACCAAAACGAACATTGTAGCATAAACCAGTGTCGAGAAAAACTCGTTCAAAGCTAGACTACGCAACACTCCGCACCGTCATTACCGTATTTACGGTAGGTATCTTTTTTTTCTTTCACTTTTACCTGTATCGTTTTGATATTCAGCCTTTTTGCGACAGTTTGCCATTGTTTATTTTTTGTTACATCATCAGCGCCACCAAGACTTGCAACTATCTAGAATTGTTTTTTTTTTTCATTTTTTTGATTTAATTAAAATTAGATATAATTTAAATCATAACTAGAAATCGAAATTACTTATTTAAAAGCATAAGTTGAAGTTTTTAATTAGAAATTTACCTCTTGAAGTCGGTACAAGTCGAGGTATTTGTTGTCGACGACCGGCGAGCGAACATCGATGCCCTGCGATTGAATAGGTTTCACAAATTTGCATATAAAAGATGACTGTGGCTTATCCAAAGCTTATCCAAAGCTTATCCAAAGCCTAGCTTATCCAAAGCCTAGCTTATCCAAAGCCTAGCTTATCCAAAGCCTAGCTTATCCAAAGCCTAGCTTATCCAAAGCCTAGCTTATCCAAAGCCTAGCTTATCCAAAGCCTAGCTTATCCAAAGCCTAGCTTATCCAAAGCCTAGCTTATCCAAAGCCTAGCTTATCCAAAGCCTAGCTTATCCAAAGCCTAGCTTATCCAAAGCCTAGCTTATCCAAAGCCTAGCTTATCCAAAGCCTAGCTTATCCAAAGCCTAGCTTATCCAAAGCCTAGCTTATCCAAAGCCTAGCTTATCCAAAGCCTAGCTTATCCAAAGCTTATCCACTCTAGACCTATCTAATGAAATATTCAGCTGACAAACGAAATACCCTTAAAATTACTTCTATTAACTTCTTTAGAGTGTATTCAGTCGGAAAAACTGAAAATAGAAGGTAAAAGGTGAACTGGTTGAGCCAAATGCTATGCAAACTATACCATTTCAATGCAGAATTTTATGCTGATTCCGAATATATATTCCGTTTTTGCTAAATGATAATCTACCAGACAATAAACGTCTAAAGTTTTGTCTAGTCGTTTAGGTCTAAGCGGTCTCCTTGGGGGCTCAAGACGGTCATTTTGGGGATCGGCGAATGTGCACCCGTGGCTGAGTGGTAGAGCGCTCGTTTCGATAGCGAGACTTCACGGGTTCGGCCCTCGCTTTGGATTTTTCTTTGCTTTTTTCAAGCACTAGTATTCTTTATGAATACTTTTCACAGAAACGTAAATCTACAGCATTCCAAATCGAATAATGCGATTCTGCGGTATTCCAAAATGAAAAACCCACTTGAAACTTCCAGTAGTTGAGGAATTTGTCGTAAAACGAGACTCGTTCCCTCACGGAGGCCTCGATCTCGTTGAGCTTTTGCACGCGCGGAGTGAACTCAAATTTCGCCCCGTCGATCGCAAATGGGGGTAAAAAGTTCTGAAATTCATTGAGGATTAGTGGATTGACTCAATGGATGGATTTGTTATGTGTTCTCCCATAAATTCACAAACCTTTGGCGGGACAATCTTCACCACGCCGTATTTCTCGGCTTCCGGTTTGATTTTGGCCACATAGCTGAAAAAAAAGAGTTTATTTCTCTCAGAACAACGATTTATCAAGTTAGCTTTTGTCAAATTAGCTTTTGTCAAATTAGCTTTTGTCAAATTAGCTTTGTCAAGTTAGCTTTGTCAAGTTAGCTTTGTCACTTACGCAATCGGATCAGCAAACTCGTCAACAGTTGGGCGGTAAATTGGCGCAAATTGGGGTCGCTTGAAATCCTCATAAAATTTCTTGTAGCGATCCATTCAACAAATAGAGCTTTAGTTTCGAAATTTGAAATTTGAAAATCAAATTTTGATTTGCATTATCTGAAATGAGCAATTTGATAATGATCATGATGAAATTCGAACAGATATTTGAAAATGAATCGAATGGTAATTGTCATGAGTATAATTGCTCGAGACCTTGGCAACCCTGGAAACCCTGGCAATTCTGGCAATTCTGGCAACCCTAGCAATTCTGGCAACGCTGGCAATTCTGGCAACCCTGGCAATTCTGGCAACCCTGGCAACCCTGGCAATTCTGGCAATTCTGGCAACCCTGGCAACCCTGGCAATTCTGGCAATTCTGGCAACCCTGGCAACCCTGGCAATTCTGGCAATTCTGGCAACCCTGGCAACCCTGGCAATTCTGGCAATTCTGGCAACCCTGGCAATTCTGGCAACCCTGGCAACCCTGGCAATTCTGGCAATTCTGGCAACCCTAGCAATTCTGGAAACCCTGGCAACTCTGGCAATTCTGGCAACCCTGGCAACCTTGGTCATTTAGCCGATGTTCTAGATGTAAACTTGTTCGACTTGTCACTTGTAACTTGTAAATTGCATTAGATAGAAAAAGGCAATGCAAACAATGCCCTAGAATGGAAAGCGCTTAAACGCATCTGCTACGAATCGAGATCAAAAAAAGAACGAGTTCTAGCTACGATTACAGCCATCGGAACGCATAAAAAAGAAAATTTTCTGCAAAAACTGAAAACAAAACACTCGAAAGCCTTTGTATAAAAAGTTTAAGGCAAATTTGAAACAAAAATGAATTCATTTACAAAAGATAGGCTCAAATTTGAAATCGATTACCTAGTTCCGATCTACTTTAAACCCTAAAAAGTCGAATTTTCCGTAAAAAAATCCAATTTTTAGCGCTTTCCCAGAATCCGCAAAAGGTTTAAAGCAAATTTGAAACAAAAATGTATCCATTTACAAAAGATAGGCCCAAATTTGAAATCGATTACCTAGTCCCGATCTACTTTAAACCCTAAAAAGTCGAATTTCCTGTAAACAAATGCCATTTGGCGCATTGAAACAGATTTTTAAGCAATTTCAAATCAAAAAAATTCTAGGAAATTTGAAAGAAAAGCACAATAAATGAAAAAATAAAGATATAAATGAAAAAATAAAGATATAAATGAAAAAAAATAAAGATACAAGTTGTAAATATGCAAATTGAAATATGCAAATTCTCTGCAAACAAGGAAAGCTAAAGGATGGATGTTTTGAAAATAAAAAGAAAATCGAACTTGAAACAAAACAATCGATCAGCTGTAGTCAATCCATTCATTTACCCAGAGTAAAACCATTTTTTTTTTTGCTCAAAACCCCCTTATGATAGCCGTGAGTCGAATTGTTTTCACGAATCCGACCAAATATCGTCATTTGTTGCTCGATGGACTTTGTTATGCAAATCGACTTTTCACACTTTTTTTCGTCTTTCTGATCACTTTTTTTTGTCTTTTTCTCTTTTCATTTCATTCTATCATAGCTTTTCAACAATTTTCTTTATTTTTCTTTCTTTTTCTTTCTTTTTCTTTCTTTTTCTTTCTTTTTCTTGCCATTTTCTCTATTTTTATTTCTTTTTCTTTGCCTTTTCTTCCCATTTTCTCTATTTTTCCTTTTATCATTTTCATGAAATCAATATTTTTACTGATATTTTTGATATTTTAAGTTTTCAAAACAAAACTTAAGTTAATCTTAACAATTTCTAACAAAAGGAATTGTTTAAATTCCTTTTCATTCCCCCTATATTGTGATAAGATCGATTTCTTAGAATCTTGATCCTTCAGTCAATTAATCAATCAATCAATCAATCAATCAATCGATCTTTGACCTTTAAATCATTTGAAACAATCGAAACTCTTTATAGAAATAACAAAACCAAAAGACAAACAAATCAAGATTCAATAGTGCAAATATTTGCACTATTGAAGACTTAGCGTTCTTTGTGCTGATAAACGTACGTCTTCTGGTGCACTTGAGCTCTCTCTTTTCCCATGCAGTGCAGAATGAGAAACTGATCAAATGAGAAAGCAAATGTGCCAGAAAATTTTGCATTTGCAAAGAGTACAAGTACAGTTAGTTAACAATGAAATAAGACAAAGAAGACTAAGAATAAGAATAAGATAGTATATATGTTCTGATCAATCTAACATATGTCGAAAATTCTTAAAAGCCGAAAAAAACCGTAGAACATATATTAAGCACTTAATTTTCGATCAATCTAAATCGGAAACAAAAAATAATAAAAATAATATAATATAAAAATAAAAACACGAATAAGATTACAGAATTCTAATAATTTACACAAAATTCGTAGTTTAGAGTCGATCAAAAAAAATAACTAAATGTTAAAATTTTCTTTCAATAACAGTTTAACGCCCCTTTTCTGATTTCTCCTTTTTCCGACACAATTAGAATGGTAATTTACTAGAAATTAAAGAAATTCAGTGTGCCAGAAAGCGTTCGTTTGTAAAAGCACAAAGCAGTTGGCGTTTTTTTTCTTTCTTATAAAATTTAAAATTTTCCTTTACATTTTCATTATGAAAAGCCGAATATTTCCTTCTTTTCTCCCTTGTATTCCCTCTTTTGTCTCTCCCAGAAACACGTCGGATAGCTCAGTGGTTAGTGGTCTGGTTAGTTAGTAGTCTGGTCGGGAAGCAGGGGGTCGAGAGTTCAATCCCGTCTCCGGAAGTCTCCGTTTTTCCTTACTTTGCATGCCTTAGTTTTATTCATTTTTCCTTATTTTATTCATTTTATTCATTCAAGTATTTCTATTAAGCGAAAAGGATCCTCTGCATTCACTTTTCCTCTTCTTTGGAGCCCGAATGGACTGATGGGCAATACCGAATCACAGCAGAAACAACAACCGCAAAACGGTCAACAAACCGGCTCTTCTTCTTTTAAGGAGGTAAAGTTTGAGCGCTTTCTTGAGCACTTCATAGTCAACTTGAGTGTCCTTGCATAGGTTTATGGCAATTTACACATCCTACTGTAATCTAGATATCTAGGAAATTCTAGATTGCAATTTACATAATCCTACAGTAAACTAGACACATTCGAAGCTATTCAGTCCACTGAACTTTTTGGTTAAACTTGATAATGATTTATAAATGATCAATCAAATCAGATAATTTAGCTGATTACGATTACGATAGATTACGATAGAATACGATAGAATACGATAGATAATTTAGCTGCAGTTGTGTAACTCTTTTAACTTGGTTACTGCATTTCCTGCATATTTCAACTTTTAAAAACTATCGTAATCTATCTCTTTTTTTTCTAGACACTATTTCTTTTCTCATTTCAAACGAACTTCTAGAGTTGCCGAGTCAATTATCTTGAACCAATTTTCTAGGAAATCTAGATAAAACTAAATATCGTCTTTTGACAATGAAAAAATCTACATATTACAGTCAAAATCTTATATTTTAAATTGAAATCCTCATTTCTGCAGAAAAGCCCAACGAAAAGCGTGAAAGAGAAACGTGAGACGACGCCGGTGAAAACGATTATCGAGAAAAAAGAGCCCGTCATCGCCACACGGAATCCAATGTTTCCCGAAACGACTTTCCACAAATATAATGTCACTCAAGATTATCGAATCAGCCGTAATGTGAGTGAAATGTTAATGCTAGTTTTTGTCGTAGGCGTCTGCTTTTTTGCTTTTTGCTTAGAAATGTTAATGATTAGTTTGCTAAGCAGAAAGCAAAAAAGCAGACGCCTATGACAAAATAATCTATAAAATTTCAAGCTGAAACAGTTTACCGGACTTTCTACTGAAGTTAGACGATCGAAAATACAGCCAAGAATCAGTTGAATGAACAAATACCATCATTTTCAGGTGTTGGGCGTTGGAATAAACGGAAAAGTGGTCGAATGCGAGCAGCGAACGAGCGGCGCAAAATACGCGTTGAAAGTACTCCGCGACTCCGTGAAAGCAAGACGAGAGGTTTGTCAGTCAATGAAATGGTCAAGTTCTGAGGAAAAGCCTTTTAATTAGCCCCAAATACCGACCCGGTCTCACTGCTGCTATAGCCGACTGGCTAAGAGCCCTCGATCCTAGTTGAGGAGTCGAGGGTTCAGTCCCGACGGCGGCTTTTTGGCTTTTTTCCAATTCTCCATTTCTCCCTTAGAACACATACAATGAGGTGGCCTTTATCATTGCTGTGATGGATCAGATGAAGGGTGAAGATTCTATATTTGGGGTTTTTCTCTACTCTTAGTACTGCGTGGATTGTTTGTACTATTCGTGTGAATGAATGTACATTATTTCAGGTGGCTCTCCACAAAATGGCCTCCAATCATCCGCATATCGTGCGCGTGTTGGATGTTTATGAGAACACGTACAACGAGGTGGCTTGTATCCTTGTTGTGATGGAGCAAATGAAGGGTGGAGAGTTGTTCACGAGAATTCAGGTTAAATTTTTGTATTGTGTTGCGGATTTACAGTTCGGTTAATATTAAAACAAAATATTTTCAAAATTTCATCAACTTTTAACAAGTTGCTTCTAGTATTCAACTTTTGACTTTCTAGGATCGTGGCCAGCTCGCTTTCACCGAACGTGAGGCGGCGAAGATCATGTATGAGATTTGCTCGGCTGTCAACCATCTCCACTCAATGAATATCGCGCATCGAGACATTAAACCCGAGAATTTGCTCTACAGGTGAGCTAGAAGAACTATTGTTATATCTAGGAAAGCTGTTACATCTGTTAGCTCATTTCAAACCACTAAAGATACAAGGTGTTGCATTAGATATCGAAGTGGACCGATGAAAGGCTTAAAGGATCCTTAGAGGATTCTTAAAGGACTCTTAAAGGATTCTTAAAGGATGCTTAGAGGATTCTTAAAGGATGCTTAAGCATTCTTTAAGCCTCCTTTAAGAATGCTTAAAGGATCACAGCGATTTTCTAGGCTAGACTCAGATCTTGATCATATCAGGAATGTTTCGATCAAGGCAGAGGGCAAGTCAAGTCTGCTAGCAAACCCCTGAATTTTTTTGTAAACCAAATCAGAGCCTGTCTAGGCCCGAATTGGTGATCGCCTGCAACAAGCTAGCTAGACCAGGCTCTAACTTGCTGGCTGGCTCTGGCTCTAACTTGCTCCAAATTGTCTTTAGAAAAAGCTTTTTCAATTCTGTTAAAAATCCAATTCGAATCTGTACCTAAACTTGAAAAATCCTAGAAAAGACTTCAACAAATTTCTCTTTTCAGTGAACCTGGTCAAAGTGGTGTGCTCAAGCTAACCGATTTCGGTTTCGCGAAAAAAACTGACGACAATGAAACTCAAGGATTGAATACCGCTTGTTTCACTCCATATTATTGTGCTCCAGAGGTGAAAAAAAAGGCTTTTATCATACGCAAATATCATTCAATCATTCAGATCTTGGGAACGGGCAGCTATGATCGATCGTGTGATTGCTGGTCGATCGGCGTCGTTATGTACATTTTGTGAGTGACATAAAAGAATTAAGAATAGAAATTCTCTTTTTTAAAAATGAAATTCAAGTTTTATCGTTTAAAAAACAAAAAGAGATATTGATTATTTAAAAGTGAATGGAGCTTCATTTAGTTGAGATTTTCCCCTAGCAGTTATCTTCAAAAGGATCCTCAAAAAAAAGGATAACTGCTAGGGGAAAACCCACTTCACCAGCACCAGCAAGATTTTGGAATCTTTCTGTTTAAATTAGAATTGAAAGTTAAAGCTTTTTAGTTAAAGCTTTTAATTCATAAGCCTTTTCATAAGCCGATTTAATGAAAAAAAGCTCGAGAATAGAAAACGTTCAAAACAACACCGTCTTAGGCTTAGGCTTAGGCTTAGGCTTAGGCTTAGGCTTAGGCTTAGGCTTAGGCTTAGGCTTAGGCTTAGGCTTAGGCTTAGGCTTAGGCTTATGCTTAGGCTTAGGCTTAGGCTTAGGCTTAGGCTTAGGCTTAGGCTGGGCTTAGGCTTAGCTTAGGGCTTAGGCTTAGGCTTAGGCTTAGGCTTAGGCTTAGGCTTAGGCTTAGGCTTAGGCTTAGGCTTAGGCTTAGGCTTAGGCTTAGGCTTAGGCTTAGGCAAAGTCCACAATCTCACAATCCCAAAGTCCGTTCAAGTTTTATACCAAAAAAAAAATAACTATAACTTTCTTCTAAGTCGACCAATCTTTATGCTTTTGGTTTCATTTTGTAGATCTCAATAAGTGCAACAAAATAAAACCAAAATCATAAAGATTAGTCCACTTAGAAGAAAGCTATGACGAGTTGCACAAAAGGTGGTTTTGAAGAAAAAAAAAAGTGGCATTTGTCCCACTCCCAAAAACTCTTTCACCAATTATGTAGCCAAAAACATAAGAAATTTTTTTTTGTATAAAACTTGAACCGACTTGATTTCTTGGATTGCGAGAAATTTGACAACGCTGTTTTGAACGTTTTCTGTTCTGTTTTCTATTTTGTTTTCTATTCTGTTTTCTATTCTATTTTCTGTCTTCACTACATTCCCTTTTCCAGATTATGCGGCTATCCACCATTCTTTTCCGAGCACGGCGAAGCGATGTCACCGGGGATGAAAAGTCGAATCAAAAGCGGCAAATATGGTTTCCCGTCGCCCGAATGGGATTCCGTTTCACAAGCAGGTGAACATTTTTGATGTCTTTTAATTGGATTTTGATGGGGAAACCGGAAAAACACTAATTTAAAGGGTAAATTCAATTCTGGGGCTGTCTAGTGAGAATGAAAAAAAGTCAGATGAGCTCTAACAAGGGAATCTCAAGTAGACATGAACAACGAGTCATTTTCTGTCACTTTTAGCAAAGAACTTTTCTTTTCTAAAATTCTTTTCAGATCCACTATTTAGAAAATAAAGTCTAGTGTGCTGAAATAGAAATAGAAAGTGTCGTTGAGCACGAGCAATTGCTCGCATCTAATCTAGATATTCGAAAACGATCGGGCGCATCTTATAGAGCTGATTCGGAATTATTGATAACTGTGCTTAGAATTGATGACTGCGTAATGAATGATTGTAAGAGTTCGACTACAATTCTTAACTACAATTCTACAAATCTATTAATCACATTCGATTTTCAGCAAAAGACCTCATCCGGAAACTCCTTCGCACCGATCCCAACGAGCGCTACACGATCAAGCAGGTGAGTCTTTAATATTTGTAACTAGTTTACTAAAACCTATTAAACTTTTCCAGGTGATGGACCACAAATGGATCACCCACTATCACGAGGTGCCAGCCACACCGCTAGCCACTGTAGGAATGCTAGCCGATCAAAAGCAACAATGGGGAGAGATGCAGGCGGGTTTAACAGCCAAACACATTGAACCACAACACAAATTTTGAGCCATATAGTATGCTTGATTAGACCAATGCGTTTTCTGTGTTTCAACTTTCGAAGCTCCTGTAGTTTTACCCATTAAAATCTATCGCGAAATCGAATCAAAAGTAGATCTGGATAAAACTAGATGCAAGAATAGCTTGTAAACATTACTCAAGTGGAGTTGACTTTAGTTAGTTCGAGGTTCTAGTACTGACAGTGCTGTAATGAAACCCCAACAATTGCTGAAAAGCTCCACTCAATGAATATCGCACATCGAGACATTAAACCCAAACAAATCGCCGTCCAATCCGAATTCCAATATTCCAGGAGGAATTCGATAAGACTCTCACCGCGATGCGAATGGACAACGAGCAAATCGAGATCAAGAGCCTCTCCGAAAGCAATAACAAGCTGCTCGCAAAGCGGAAACAAAAAGCTCAACAAACAATGACTCGCGTCGAAGAATAAATCTCTATTTCTAAAAAGATCCCTTTTCTTGACACGTAATTTCCACGTTCTTTAAAATGACTCTTTTATTTTCCGAAAAAAGTAGGCACCATCGTGTAAAAAAGACATTGTGACAAATATTCACAGGATTTCTCTCCTCACACACCAAAAGAGCTAATAATTGCAAAATACCCATGTTTTTTTCATATTACAACCTATTGGACTCACTTAACGATTCAAATTCTCAAAGCTTGCTGTTTCGATTAAAACTGTTAAGTAAATCCAATTACAAACAGAAAAAGAATGATGTGACCGAGAAAAAGTGGAGAGAATCTAAGCTTAAAAAAGATTTAGGGGGATAGTAAAACAGTAACTCACTCTAATTCTGAAAGAACAACCCGGCTTCAATCAGATAATATAGGTGTCATATCACAGAATAGTTTTCTCGTTTAATACATGGAAAAGACTAATCACAATTTTACAAATTTAATTTGATAAAGACATTAAAGGGGAACTAAGAAGTTGAATATACATTTAGAGTTTTTAGAAGAACTTATTCATTTCGATAAGGCTTCGGTGGAGCAGATGTTTGTCGAGCATGGGGACCGCGAGAGATCACAGCATCCAAAGCGTCCGAGAGACTCGTGATTCCCCCGTGTTGAGGATGTTGATAATGATGATCCGAATTTGAAACTAAAATTTGCTTTATTGGACCACTTATGAAGTTTTATTAAAAAAAGCTTAATGAAAATTCGCTCAAATCTCAAATGGATAATTCAAAATCTCAAAGTAAATGGCGACGCTACATTTTTCTACTTGTAAAACAAACGCACAATGGGATGTAGTCGGTGGTGGTGATGAAGGAAGTGAACAAGGAGCGGCCATCAACGAAACACCCGTTGGAGTCGCCGCATTTCTCGACGCACTCGTACTTGTCGTGAGCTGTTTCGTATGAAGGAAGTGGGATAAAACCTAAAAAGAAATAAATTAGAATAACTATTGGATCAAAACCTGTTGAATTTCTTTCTTCTGTTTGTCTAAGAGCTCATCTCTTTCCCGTTGATGTCTTGCCCGGATTTGCTTCACAATCACCTCATTCTCAAAATCACCATCAAATGCGTCATAGTTAGCCTGAATGAAACAAAAAAGTTAACATCAAGAAGCAACACATGCAAATTAATTCAATCGCAAAACTCAACATAACAAAGACAATCAACTATCACCATAATTTTCCAAAGAGGTCAAAAGAATATTTTATACAGAAGTGGTAAAGTAAACTTAAGCTAGGTTTTTATAAGCCCATTAGATTTTAAAAACCAAACATGTGCTAAACAAAAGTTTTAGTTAGAATTGCGGTGAGAGTTGGTTGTAAAGCTAACTAACTAAACTGCTAGTGGAAAAGCTTTGAAGAAGTTTGCTTCCTACCAGTTCCAAATTTTCCAATTCGGATTCGGTCGTATACATTGGCGAATGTGATGGCGGTGATCCGAGATGAAAGACTGCATTTGTTGACGTTGATGGGTATCCTCCCGGTGATGGCGTTGAAATCCCATCGATTGTGCTCGTTCGTCCACCCGTTCCCAACGTGTTCGCTAGCGCCGACTCCAAATTCGCCAACGTCGATGATTGCTTCGCGACGGTATTCTTTCGACTGTCCTCTTCTTCGTGAAATGATGTCGTCGAGGTCTCATATGTTGGCAGCGACGCTTGTGAGGACGATGTTATTGCAGAAGCGATGTTATCTGTCTGTAACAAAAGACAAATAATAGCAAAAAGCTGACTGAATCGATCAAAATTGCTAATGAAACTAGCTAGAAGGAAAGAAAAAACAAAGAAACTAGCTTTTAAAGTCTAACATAAGCAGTTTTTGTAAGTTTTTGCTAGTAAATTTACCAATTCTCCTTCAGTGGGTGAATGCCGCCCATCGGGTGGAAGCTGTAAGGAGAAATCACGATCCATTTCTTTAACAGCATCGGCATGAATCACCTAAAATCAAAATGCATTGATTTATTGACTCAATCGTAAACAAGATTTTAATAAAAAAAATCGCAATTAGCAAACCTTTTGCAATGCGTTCGCTAAACCATTGAGCGTATCCAGTCTTGAGGGCATCATTCCACCGCCATCCATATGCTCTTCCTCTTCTCTATACAAGTGGAATTACACATATAAAAGTTAAGGTCTACTTTTGATTCTGAAGTTCAAGAAGCCGCGATGACAAGTCATTTAGCAAGTGATTTGACGACACGAGCCCTTCATTTGATGGAGTGTGAGGGATCGATGGCTAAAACATAAAAACTAAAAAACGCAAATTTTTGAAAATACCTGTAAGTGAGAAGGCAAGACGCTTGGTAATGGAGGATTTAGCGGTTGGGGATTTGTTGGGGGAGCCGAAGTTTCTGTTGGCACTGAAACTTCCGCAGGCGCAGTATTTGTAGATGCCGGAGGAACACCACTGACTAAAATTTAAGATGAGAATAGAATGAAATTGATATCCACTGAATATTCTATTTTAACAGCCAAATCAAACCTTTTCTCAATTCACTCTCAAGTAGTGCCAATGAATTAGCAGCGCTTTGCAGATGTATGTTTGTGGCACTCTAAAAGTTCAATTTGAAAAAACCCTCTCACGACGACGAACCTGCACACTCGGAGGACCATTTTCAGCTAACACATTTGAGACACCACTGCTTGTGGGTGTTGCGGCCGATGCGCATATAGTCTAAAAAGATAATCGAATAATGGGCGACAAGACCATGTACCGTTGATGTAGTTGATGTTGAAGAACTTGGAAGTGCGGAGGCAAGATGGCTGTGATCATTCAATTCGGCCGCATGCACAGAGGTCGTTGCTGAGCTGACACCAGAGTCAGTTGGCGCAACAGTCCGCACCTAAACTTTAAACGTCATAAGAAAAGGATATCATGCTAATTTTTTTATGTTAGTGGTTTAATCCAGCAAGAATAATATACTCAAAAGATTACCGAAAAGCGTCCATGCGTGCTTGCGTTACTCGTCACCGATGAATTATTTGAGTGGGCCGTGTTTGACGGTGAAGAAGCCGTTGATGACAAAGATAGAGCTGGCGGTGGGACTAGGCTTGTCACCGCCGTTGGTGTCGTCGTCGTTGCCCTTTGTGGTGGCTTAAGAAAAGTTTATGAGATTCAATAAAATTTCTTACTTCAAGAGATGTTTCTTTGTGCCGATCATCATTTTCATGATTCACTGTAGCTTTTGTAACCTAAAACTTTCAATATAAAAGCTTACAGCAAGCGTTACCTCAAATCGATTTTTCTTTGAAGGTTGTGGATTGGGGACGGTTGGGGATGGAGCTATAGCTGGTTGGTGTCCGGTGTCCAGTTCTTCGGCTGACTTGGGCTAAAGTAACATGTAATCAAATGATTTGCTGCCAATGAAACCTGTTCTTGAGGTGCATTCAAGGCTTGTTGCTGCAAAGTACTTGGCTCCGAGTTTGTCGTATTCGCTTCCTTATCCACTGCCTAAAAGTAAAGATTGTATATTTCATGCTTTATTGAAAGACATTATAGGCAAACTTTTTTATAAAGTCTTTACCTTCTCAACTTTCAATTGAGTGGACAGTTCTGGATGTGAGGTTGATTGTAGATTTTGTGGAGGTTGGGGTAGCGTTTGAGTAGCTAAAGATTCAAATTGGTAGATACATTTTTTAAAAAGTATACCTGCAATATCCTCCGGGTGAGGCTCCGTTGGCTGTTGTGATAGCGGTTGATTAATGACGACGTCGACCGTTGTCACGATTTTTGCGCCAACACAATGCGTTGGATCGCTCATGACCAGCTTAAATACAAAATTTCAGAGTTTATTGAGCCTTCGAACACAGCTATCTCAAAAAGTTGTACCTTAATCACTTTCTCAAGTTGTTCGATAATCACGGGCACCTGCTCCTCGGTCATGCATTCTTGATCAAGCTAAATAAAAACAATAAGCTCAAAATGAAATTTCAATCATACCAATTTATCAGCGATGATGTTCGATTTATCTTGGCCAGGCGCAAATTGGAAAGTTACTTGTTTCAAGGGTGTGTTTAAAAGAAGAGAGACAAGCTAAACTGGAATCTGTGTTAATGGAAAGATGAGGCAAACATTTGATGTTGTATTCCCCGATTCACTTGACTCAAGCTTCAATATTTCCACAGTGATGTGCCGCTTTTTGATCGTTCGCTTTCGAGGTTCACCATCAGGGCTCAAAGCATGAGGGTTTATTTCTTGAGGAGGTGACTCGGCGTGAATAGGTTCAGCGTCAGTCACGAGATTCGTAGGAGGCTGAATTTTACATACTTATGCTTCATTTTGTTTCTTTTTTGAAAACTGATACTAATAGGTTGATGCATAAGTCTTTTCGTTTTTTTGTACTTCTGTTAAAAAGTAACAAATTCACCAATTAATCTATAGTTTGCTCTATAAAAAAAAGTGTTTTTTTTGTTCAATTTCCATCTTTTTAAATCAATTTCGGTTCACTTTCAAGCAAATTCGAGAGCGAAAAACGCCTTTTTCGTAAAAATCTATAAAAAACTCTACGGAAAAATTGGCTGAATGAATTTCTCTGAAATTTTGGCGAAATATCAAACTTTTTTTTGTCTATCTTTTATCTATTGACACGAAGATAGGTTTTCTTTAGCTAAGGTGTCTAAACCGCATCATCGAGTTAGCCCTTTTTGACTACCCGACTTCATACTCTCAAGAAAATCCAGGCATAAAATATTTTTAAACCCGTTTTAATGTTATTTTGCAGAAAAATAATTGGTTTTTCTAATGAAATCAACCGTAGTTTAATTGGTGCATTTGTTGGCTTGAAACGGCAGACGAAAAGGAACAAAAAGACTTATGCATCAACCTAATATAATTTCACAGGTTCACAATAGATTTAAACGGTCGAAGCCAAATACCTCGGGCAAAGGTTGGCTCGTTCCTTGGCCTTGACTCGTAGCCGCTTCCTTGGCTGCAGCACGTTGACGCAACTCCTCTTTGACTTCGTCTTCCTCTTCTTTTTGCCTTTTCTCTTCCTCCAGTCTCCTCAGTTCGGCTTGGCGGATTTCCCGGTCTCGTTTGAACTGTTCAACCTAAACTTTCGGTTTAGAAACTTTTTAAACTTATACAAACTTTGTCTTTGATCAACTTCGTGATCATTCTTGAATCTTCATCAGGGATGTGTTGTTGCTCAATCATTTGTTGAACCACCTAGAAAGCATTTTCAAAATAGAATTTATATTAACGCACCTCTTCCGCGGTATCATTCTCAATATCAAAAGCAAATTGAAGACCCTCGTTTTCTTTGAACTTGTATTGTTTTCGCTTTTTCTCATCGTAAACCCGTAGTTGCATTTGTATCTAAACTAATTGATGAGAAAGAAAACTTTCAAGATTTATACCTCTTGATTATTCTCGGAGATATCGAGATCCCGATTTTTTATTTCAACCTGAAAATTTATACATTAAACATGTTAGTAAAAAAGCTTTGATGATAACACAATCTCTCAACAAGCACAATGACCATAAGTGCTAAGCAAAAACATACACTAAAGTAACAATAAAACAACAATCAAGAGAAATACCAGAAGGCGGCCCCACCCGTACTCCCAAAAGTTCATCAGGCAAGAAGAAATCGTCATTTAACAGTTGTTTAACCTAAATAGCCAGATAACACGTTAACTACGCAATTTTTTTTACCGAACATCGCTCATCTCTTCTCAAACGAATACATCGGTCGATGATGTCTTTGATTTCAGGGTAAGTTTGCGGTATTCGATTAAAGCACTCTGGTTTTGTACCCTAGAATTTGCCATAAGATAGTTTTATGACAAAATCTTACCGTAATAACTTTTCGATAAATTTGAGCTGGAAATTGGCACTCTGAGTAGGGATATTCACCAGTGACCATTTCCTACAGATCTTATTAGAAAATTTTTGTTTCTTCAATAAACAAACCAATAAACACATCCCAAAGGCATAAATATCCACAGACTCATCATATTGCTCCTCATACATTTCGGGAGCCATAAATTCGGGGGTGCCTAAAATCAGGGAAACGGTTGTGGTGTTTAAAAAATTTAGTCTTTCAAACTTGATTATGAGCAAACGCTTCTTTTTGAAAACCAACCTATGACACTTTTCGCAAAACTTTTATTCTTCAGGGTTGCCAATCCGAGATCACCAATTTTTACACTTCCCGTCGTGCCTGAAATTCATCTTTTAGTAAAGAAATAAGTTTTAAAAATATACCCGTAATGAAAATATTATCGCACTTTAGATCCCGGTGAATCACAGGGGGGTTGCGCGAATGTAGAAATGAGAGGCCTTTTAAAATTTGCCTACACCACGATTTCAGCACCTAAAGCTCCAAAGTTAACTATTAACTACAATCAATCAAAAATTACCTTTATATTTATTCTCTTGAAACGTTTTAAATACATCTTCAAAGTTCCTGAAAGGAAATTTTAGATTAAACACCCTTTGAATTACCAACCAGAAGTCATCAACTCGGTCACCAAAACGATATACTTTCTAAAGAAAATGATAGGTTTAAACTCTTGGAAATTGTTTACCTTTTGCCGGTTGGATCTGTTCGTTCCCAGTAATCATAAAATCGTACAATATTTGGATGTTGTAGACCTTTGAGCATTTCAGCTTCATCTCGAAATCGTTGTCTTTCCATCTGAAGTTACATATACTGGGTCATAAATAAAAATAAACCTTGTTGAGCTTGCTATCTTGCAGTTCGCACCAAGCAACAGCCACACCCGTTTCGGTATCCAGGCCGCGAAAGACAGTTTTGAACGAACCACGTCCCAGCTCTTCATCGAATTTGAGAAAACGGCCATCTAAACACCAAATACTCAAATTTTTGATTAATCAGACAAACCTGGACTTTTGTCTATTGGTTTCTCTTCAAACTCATCACTTGGTGGCTCTTCTTTTTCTTCATCCTCTTCTGGCCCCTTTTCCTCTTCTTTTACTTTAACTTCCTATAACGGGTAATAGATAGCAGATTCTTTAATAACCATTTCTTACCTCTTTTGGTTCAAGTAGGCTTTTGTTGGGAATTGGAACAGCCGCATTTATCAATCCTTCGGAGGCATCAGATGTTGGGAGAGGTTCTTTTGGTACAATCCTAAAGCAAAATTTCAGCTGATTTCTTCATTTTCAAATGTTTTTTTATACCGTATAAATTTATGCCGTTTTTTCATAAATAGTGCAGCCAAGTTTTTGTATGACGTGCGAGTTGTTTTTAAGTCGCAACGCCTATGCAATATCTCATGCATGGTAAAATAAATGAATTTCTGGGTCAGCAGGGGCGCTCATATGCGTCGGCAATGTGTTTTTTATGAAAGAGGGGAATAAAATCAAAATAACAACTCTCTCGCCCCCATCACCACCAAAAATCGATATCTGTACTATGAGAAAGCGAAAAAAGAGCAAGTGATTTAATGAATTCTCTGGTAAATTTTTAATCGATGGTTTCGTTGGTGAAAAAGGAAAAGACAAAGTTTAAGGCTTTTGCTTTAAAAATTCCTGACTTAATACGAAATTAACCCAATGTTAAACAGTACCTATTTCTATCAAATATCGTGAAGTTGTGGCCGTCGTGTTCACTGTACGAAGGTTGAGGTCTGCTTAGATTGTTTTCTTCACCGTCTTTTCTTTCATGAGCCACCGGAATATCCTCTCGTTGCCGTTGTCTTAGCCATGGCTAAGACGCAATAATTATTAATGGTTTTTCAGTCTATTGCAAGAATTTTTTTTTAAGTTCTATAACAAACCTTGTTGGTAGGTCGGCTTTGCCTCCAATCGTTTTGCACGGCTTGTAGCCGACTTCTTTCTTCACTCGATAGCCATGTACCAACTCTAAAAAGAACGAAGGTGATTACATCGGATACTGAAAACAAAAGTCTTGCTACCCAATTTTCCTAGATATCCTCGCTAAACGAAAGGGTCCACTATCCTCGCCAAAATTGCTGAATATAATTTAGCCGCGGCTTCAAAGCAACCCAACCACTTACCTAACGTCAAGTTTATGCCTAGTCATAGAATCAATCACAAAAATAGATAAAATACCGGTAAAATGAAGAGCTGAACGCAAATAGGTGCGAGCACCTGACTGAATTAAACGAGGTGAATTAAAATGCAAATCCCCGAGCCGCTCTATAGATTTGAAACAACCACATTTAGGTGAAAAAGCGGGCGTTTTTGAGAGAAATTTTCAGTCAAAGTATAACGTACGTGTTATTCGGCGGAGGCTCGACGGGCGTTTGGCCTTCAACGCGCTTCACGATGTATTTCTTCTTGTCGTTGCGTTTTAACTTGTCCTAAAGTAAACTGATGAGCATATTTTCAAATACCCTTTTGTCTTCTCTTTTAGGTAACACGTTCCATATGTCAGTTATACTTTTCTACTTTATCATTTTTTTATTGTTTACTTAACGACAGTAAAAGTCATCCACAAAACTGACTCATAATTCTATCTTTTTACAACGAACCTTGTCCGGTGGCAAGGGTGGTCGACCGGAAGTTTGCGAAATCCCTGTGTGTTGTTCCGACATCTCTAAACCTTAACAGATTAATAATCAAAAGTCCAAAACTCACTGTTTTACTTCCAGGTGTAGTTTATCATCGACCAAACGACAACGTGATAGCTCTAAAAGAAATGAGTAATTTAGATTCACGCAAAAATAGAACCACATGAAAAAGAAAATCGATAACGGGAGAAATACCAAGATAAGTGATTAACAAAGTTATGAAAAATGTAACTGATTGTCCAATTGCAAAAGTTTGATATAGCAATTTTAGCCAAAAATAAATATTCAATTAATTAACTGAACTGATTTAAATAAAATCAATGTAGAGAATTTAAATGTTCGATAAAGCTGAATATAAAAGCCCGAGCAAGTAGCGAAGATTTTTATTTCTGCATTTTTTCCTTCATCGGGTTCAGTGAAATTCTTTGGTTGCAAAATCTTTCAGCGAAAAAGACCCAGTCTAGGCAAGAAAAGAGAAGGGCGAATTGAGAGAAAAACGTTTAAGCGCAGAAAAAAAAGAGGTGGAGAGGCGAAGGGGAGACCGAGCGCGAGACGGGGGCACATGTTTTGTGTGGTGGTGGAGCGGGGAGAAAGGGGAAAAGAGATGCTGCTGACCCAATCCAATGTGCGTTCCCTGCGTGTCTAGCCATCGCTCTGTCAGGGGCCCACCTCTGCGCTCTTTTCGCTCCCATCTCTCGCCGCTGCTCCCCGCCGCCGCGAATTGTGCACGAGCTTTCCCCCTTTTCAATAAAGATTTCTTTTTTGTGTGAGTGCTCCCTCCGGTTCTCCACAACCTCTTTCGGCTCTCCGAATTTTCATGATCATTATCCGTGGGCTGTGTCGTCGCCTCTTTTTGCCAATTCTTTCATGGCAGCTAACGTTTTTCTTCTTTTGCGCCGTTCCCGAGCTCCCTATTGAAAAAATGTTCACAAGACACATCTTTAGTCGCTTAAGTGGGCCGCTGCCGAATATTGCGTCTTGGGGCAATCATTCATTTTCTCTTGGATGAGGAAAATCGAAACCTTAATGCGTTAGGATCGACACAGTTTCCGGGTTTAAATTGCTTGAATACTTGACAGACCTTTAAACAGATTTTCTCTGCCATTACATTCTCTCGTGTTTTTGTCCTTTTTTGTCTCTTATTTCAAATCCAAAATTGTTATACGATTTCAGAACGCGACAAATATGGCGGACGCTACTGGGGACAAGTTAAATTTGGACAGCATCATTGCTCGTTTGCTTGAAGGTTTGGTTTAGAGGCTTTATGGATTCACCTACTTTGCCTTTAGTTCGCGGTGCCAAACCAGGGAAGAACGTGCAGCTAACGGAGAATGAAATCAAGGGACTTTGCGTCAAATCACGAGAGATCTTCCTTTCACAACCAATGCTTTTGGAGCTCGAGGCCCCTTTGAAGATTTGTGGTAAGCTCTTGGGCTTTTCTTTTACAGATTAATCAGGCTCCTGCTTGATGTTTTATTTTTAGGCGACGTTCACGGACAGTACTACGATTTGCTTCGTTTATTCGAATATGGCGGCTTTCCTCCGGAATCAAACTATCTCTTCTTGGGCGATTATGTCGATCGAGGTTGAGTTTAATTTTTTTCACTTGTTAAAGAGCTTTTAGGCAAGCAGTCATTGGAAACTATCTGCTTGTTGTTGGCTTACAAGATCAAATACCCAGAGAATTTCTTCCTTCTACGCGGTAATCACGAATGCGCATCTATCAACAGGATATACGGTTTTTACGATGAATGTACGTATTTTAATTATGATTCTTGCATTAGTTTGTTTTAGGCAAAAGGCGCTACAACATCAAACTTTGGAAAATCTTCACTGATTGCTTCAACTGCCTTCCAGTGGCTGCTATTATTGATGAGAAAATCTTTTGTTGTCACGGAGGTTTATCGCCCGATTTGCAGGTAGATCTGGTTTTTTGTCATTGCATTCAAAAATTCATTAAGTCGATGGAACAAATTCGCCGTATGTTTTTCTTGATGTCTCGTCTCGTCTCGAGGCGGAAATATGAGGTTAAATAGAAAAAATTTTAGGAGTGATGAGGCCTACTGATGTACCCGACCAAGGCTTACTTTGCGACCTTCTGTGGTAAGTTTTGCTGTTTGGCTGCACCTTTTGAACCAAATAAGCTTATGTATTTTAGGTCTGACCCGGATAAAGATGTCACTGGCTGGGGAGAAAACGATAGAGGCGTTTCATTTACGTTCGGGCCAGAGGTTGTTGCAAAGTTCCTGAACAAACACGACTTGGACTTGATTTGCAGAGCACACCAGGTAAATTAATTTTTGAGTCAGAATTCAGTAAATTTTAAGATTTCTTGATCAAGACATAGGTTATCGATTTTAGGTGGTGGAAGATGGATACGAGTTTTTCGCAAAGCGCCAACTCGTCACACTCTTTTCGGCTCCAAACTATTGTGGGGAATTTGACAATGCTGGCTCAATGATGACCGTCGACGAAACTCTTATGTGCTCATTCCAGGTTTTGCTGTTGTTGGGATAATTTTTTGACGATTTGTTTTTTAGATTTTGAAGCCAGCCGATAAGAAGAGATTCATGTCTGGTCTTTTGGCTCAGCCAACGGAACCTGTCGCTATTGGAGGAGTGCGCCCAACTACGCCGTCAAGGAATGCCCCACCAGCTGCCGGGAAAGCCGGAAAAAAGAAATAATTGGTTTTGCGGCTAGCTTTATTTGGAATACGAGGTATTTTGTGATCTTAATCAAATTAATTCTGTTATTTGTATTAGTTTGATTGTTTTTATTCGTTTTTCGATTGTCACTTCAAAATCAAGGAAAGTCTTTTTGAAAAATTTCTAATTGTCTGTTAGCAACGTTGTCATAAACTTTTTCAAAATTCATAACTTTTTGGTAAACACATTTTAAAGTCAACACACCATTGCTTATAAAGACTCGGGACGTTAATCCACTTATGTGTTACTTGATTAGCTAAAGGATGAACTGTGTCCCCTTGCGCAACCTCATCTGCCATGCACAAGAGAGCAAAAAGCATCCACAAACGCCCAATTTGCGAGACAAATTGGCCGAATTTGACTATCAGAACAGATTACAATAATTATACAGCACACGCTTATACATTGTAGATTCCGGATAAATAAACTTTTAAATATAAATTGTGCGAATTACAGTTTGACCTTAATATATTATATAAGTGGGTAATTCACCCCAATTTATACAGATTAGGGTGTGTATGTGAGAAATCCTCTTCGGGAGTCATCTGTGCCCGATCCGGCCCATTTCTTTTACGAGCAAATCTCCATTTTCTTTTCTCATCGCGGAGAGATCATTCGGAAAATTTGTGTGGAGAGAAGCTGGAAAATTGATGATTTATGGCCTGGAAAGAGGATTTGTTTGATTTTTGTGGGTAGCTGATAATGAGAATTATTGACTTGAACGACTTTAGCTACTCAACTTGCAAAAAGCAACTTACACTTACTTTTTGCTATTTACCAGAATTTGGGTTGTGTGACCTCAAACCGATTTCGACCAAAATCCGACCCAAAAGAATCCGTATTTTAGGTGAGGCTCTTTGTAGACGAGAAAACAATGGCCATGTTACGATTATGTCATCTCAAGAGCGCCTTGGGCCAACGAACCACTAATCCGTTTAGTGGTTTCCTCGTTGATCTTTCCCTCCTCTCTCACTCACTATCTTCCCAACGGCATTGTGGATACGGTAACGCTTATGGGAAACCTTCAGTGGGTTCTTGGTCAAAAATTGGAATAAAATCAAAGTATTGTAATGAATCTGATGAGATCTAAAAATTGAACATAATTAACAACTTCTTGAGTTAGTAGATAAAACTTGTACTTTGCAAGTACAAGTTTTATGGGGTCATTCAGAGACTCGAACTTCAACTCATTAAACTGTCCAGAAAGGCTTTTCGTTTCGTTTTTTTTTTTTGTATTTGCATTGAAAAATAACAAATTCATCAATTAATCGAATTTCTGAAAATAAAGTGTTTACTTGTTCACTTTTTCATCTTTTTAAGTCAATTTCGGTTTACTTTCAAGCCAATTCAAGAGGCAAAGCCGTGTTTTTTGCAAAAAAACCTTTAAAATCTAATATAAGAGCTTACAGTAGCACTTTTGTCGAACTACAGTACGTCTGCAATACGGCTCCGATACGTCTACAGTACGTCTGCAATACGTCTCAGTACGTCTACAGTACGTCTACAGTACGTCTGCAATACGTCTCGCGATACGTCTACAGTACGTCTGCAATACGTCTCAGTACGTCTACAGTACGTCTGCAATACGTCTCAGTACGTCTACAGTACGTCTGCAATACGTCTCAGTACGTCTACAGTACGTCTGCAATACGTCTTAGTAAGTCTGCGATACGTCTACAGCACGTCTAAAGTATGTCTACAGTAATCAAATTTTGAAAATAACTTATATTTCGAATTGAGCGAAAAATTTTCAAAATACTCGAAATATGGTAACTTTTTTGTACAGAATCTTCTAGTAAACATAGCCTACATGGTATTGTCAAAAAAAGCCCCAACTTTTGCATAGATACCGTACACAATACGTGGATGAGTGAATAGGCTTTCAAAAGACGACTACCAACCAAACAAGCCCCCCAAAAGAAAGGGGCTAATTTGAAGTTTTGTTTCCTTTTGTGTCTCCAAATGTGTAACCACCCCCTATCATCTGAATATCTAATTGTGACAGTGTTTCTTTTCCTCACAAAGTCACATCTCTCCTCAGAGCTAATTGAGGTCTCCTCCGCCCTCTCGCCAGTGACCCCGCCCTCTCTCAAACCAAATCGTTCATCTCAAGATCCTCTGACTTTCTCGGATAACCAAATCGCCCTAAATCACCCAGCTGGCGTTTTTTTTCTTCTTCTTCAGCTATCCACCAGCTTCACTCGAATTCTAATGTCTTACTCGTGCTCGTCAACGATCTCCTCGTGTGATTCGACGCCTTTGGTTTCCCCAGATTTCCCATCGCTTTTCCCCCAGTTATCCCGCTCTTTTGAAACATTTCGCGAAGAGGGAAAAACGAAGACAAAAGCGGTTGGTTCTCGGGAATTTTGCCGGTTACGGTAACTAGAACATTGAGTGTTTCGGGGTACTTTACTGTAGCTAGATTTTTTGATTTGCTGCTTATGGTGGCTCGGTGAGTCCTTTCGTAGCCGAAATATTGGACTACCGTATCCGCGTTCAGCTATTGTAAAAACATAGAGTTGAAAGCTCAAAGACTTTAGATCCAGTTGTTAACTTTAAAAATTCAAACAAAAGAGTTTTCAGGGGAAACGTGAGAAACGTAAGTATCGCTGCCGAGTGCGAAGCCCGGAGACAATTGAGAGAGCGAAGAGGAATCGAAGGGATAAAGTAAGTCAGTCTCAGTCAGTCTCAGCAAACAATTGTGTTAACCATAGCCGACTCAACAACATCAAAAATTCAGGCAAACGCTCGTGAACGGCGCCGAATGAACAGTCTGAACGACGCAATGGAAAATCTGCGCAATTACCTCCCACAAATGCCGGAAGAGCCAAAAATGACCAAAATCGAGACACTACGGTGAGTAATATCAATTTCTAAGATAAAAAAACGCTGTTCCCAGTTGAAGAAATCCTTTCCAGAGTTGCCCAATGGTACATCCGGATGCTGAACATGATGTTGGAAGAGGGAAGTACTGCAAATGTACAAGACATTCATCACTACCGTAGTCAATTGGCGGGCATCGATGAAGAGAAAGACGATCTACAAGTTGATTATCCCATGGAAGAGATCAAGCACGATACCCAAAACTCTCCCCATCGATCTTTTTCACAATCACAAAGTTATTTATTCTCGTAGACTGATAAATATTTACCGACCAAGACAGTTTTATTCTCACTGAATCATGGGCAAGTGAAGTGCAAGGTGGAAATAAATGACAAGTGATCTCAAATCTGTTTGTAGCACGTGATGTCGCGTAGATCGGCGGCAATTGTGGCTTTGCACTGAGCACTCAGGAACTTTGGTCGCAAGATCTAAAGATTGATTGATGGTTAGACAATGTAAATAAATACCTTGAAAGAGCACCGTAGATCCTCGTCTACCATCATCACCGCAGCGGCATTGTCAAACTGTCCACAATAATGGGGAGCCGAGAAGAGCGTCACCAGTTTGCGATTGTGGAAAAACTCGTAGCCAACTTGAACAACCTGAAAAACAAAAACTGAAGAGTGATAAATCAACTCAAACAAACCTGGTGAGCTCTGACAATAAGATCCAAATTATGTTTCTTCAGGACCTGATCGACAATATTCGGTCCAAAAGTACAAGATACGCCACGGATACTATAAAATAAAAATTTTTCATGAAAAACAGTCAAAACCATACCAGCAATCACCACCGGAGCCGAGATCTCAATGCAAACCGGTTGCGACATAAACAACGCGTGAAGGCTGTGCACAAGTCAGCAATTTCCTAAAAACAAAATATTTCAAAAAATTACAACGTAACCACTTTACCTGCTCTGAAACGATCTTGCTAAAGCCGGTTTCCGCCGTGCCAACTTTCATGATCTTTGTCAAAATCGGATCCGAATTGCAAACCACCATAATTCTCAATTTTATAAGCCTAAACGAAAATCTAAAGTTATAACGGCAAGAAAATAAAGTTAAATTTAAAAGTATGATTAAACCACCAACCTGTCTGGGGAAAATGTTGTGAAAATTAAATGAAGAGGAAAGATTGTTCTTTTATTTGAGCTTTAAATGCAAATGATGATATGCAGATCATGGACTCTAAATGTAAATGCAATTATGTAAGTTTTAAAAGCACCATGGTTAACCTATCTTTTTGTCACCTTTAATTGCTCGACTAATAGGGGTCCGCCATTTAAGTGCATTCTCAGCTCCCGAATTCTATTTTCGGAAAGATGAAATAAAACAACAATGATGTTAGCACAACAATGGATGGGTGACACCGATTCTCAAAAAGGTCATCTTTTAAATGGATTAGTGAATGACATGGTGTAAAGGGATCTCCCGCTGAGCTCTTCTTGCCGGCCCTTGACTAGGAAAAGATTTTCAACAAGCAAAAGAAATGTTTTTGAAAGTAGACCGCTACAAAATGACAAACTCTCGCCAATGCTTGTTAGGTATGATTGTGGAACATGTACTTCTCGCCAATTAAAATTGCAGTAGAGCACCTGCATTTTTATAAAAGCCCAATGCATTTTGACAGTTATGAAAAAAATTTATACTCACTAAACCATGATAAGATCACAATGTGTTAAAGCCTCATATTATACCTGTATTAGTCGTTAATCCCTTATTCGGAGGCAATTATATGTTCCAAGCATTATGCCAAACACTGTGAACGTGGTCACTGTCACCGTCATTGTGGCAAACGTCTAAATTTAATTGCAATTTGACATTTCAACTTAGGCTCATAATTTGCAAAAATAAACCTTAAACAAATATGGTCCAAATCGGCGATGTCCCTGTGCGTACGCAACGTAAAGACCGAATGGAGCACCGACGCCGGTTCCTGACAGGATCGACTGCTTCAAAGTCTCCCTAAAAATGACAATTGTTAGTGCCGAATTTAACAGATTTTAACAGGCCAAAAACTTAGCACAAATTTCTCGCCCCTTAAGTTGTGTTTTATTCGACGTTATCTAACCCATAAAATTACCTCATTTGTGGGATGCAAGAGCCGATTTCTCGTTGTTGCTCTGCATACTCCTTGATCGCCGAGAAATCGCTTCTGGATGACGTCATTCGTCGACCAACGGCAATTAGCAGTAGAATTTCGAGAAGCGTTATCTAAGGACAAAATACAATTAACAATGATCCAAAGAAATATTAAAAAGATTAATGAGAAATTTTTTTGCCGATTAGGTTACTTTAGTGATTTTTTTTAATGAAACACTAAAATGATTCAGGTTTAAAGTTTTGAGGCTAACACAAATTAAAAGTTTGATATAAAAACTCGCTTTCACTCATAGCCCTTATTTTTAAAGTTTTATATCGCAACTTTCTTTTCTCTCAAAGTGTCAATTGTTTTTTTGTGTAGTGGGTTGCCATGAATGAAATTGCCGGAGTCACATTGCAATGTGACTCCGGCAATTGTAACAATGCGATGTGACATTCGCTTCTGTATCACCATAGAGGGGATTTTCCTAAACGCGTAAAGACAATTGCAGCAAGAAAGCCCAAACCAGGTCAAAATCCTTCGGGGAGTAGCGGAGGGACTTGTTGAAAGATGGAGTTTCGAGGACATGACTGATGATTAAAGGTGTCAAAATGCAAATTTTTATGATAAAATTTTGTATAGAACGAAAATATCATAGAGTGAACAGAATTTTTGAAAAGATATTTGATCAAAATTAGCTTTTCACTTCTAGCCTTTATTTTTAGTTTTGTAGCGCAACTGTCTTTCTCTTCCCTTTTCCCTCAAAAAAGCGTCAAATTTTTCAAAAATAAGATAAAGTTTCGCATAACATTTAAAAAAAATGGCACAAATCTCCCAATAGTTTATTCCCAAATAGTACAAAGAGTTCATTGGTTTGTCAGAGAAGGGCCGAGATTTCCAGGAATAGTCGCAGTTTTATATGTAAAATCTAAATTAATGGTTCACTTCCGCCCAGTTCAATTAAAACTCACTAATTATTGTCCGTTGATGGCATATATTGCGAATTAGATTGACGGTGATTCTTCGGCAACACAGATGCACGATTCTCCAAGGTGCTGCAAAAAGATACAATTAAATTCAAAAATGTCTCAAACCAACCGACGAACAGTAAGATGTCGAGGAAGATCGCGAAGTCCCTCCTCAACCATTCTCTTCATTTCAGGTGGCAACGATTCACGAACGCCATTGAAACGACTCATGTCATCTGTGATTGAAAAAATTGCTTAATGAAGCAAACAACGATCAAACCTTCATAATAATCAGAATCAGGGTGTGGCTGCGACTGAAGAGTGACACTTGAAGGTTGAAGGTCCGTGCTGTGCGTGTTTGCAGTCATTGAAGACGATTGATCAGAGAGACTGTCGATGGGAGACAAAGCACGCAAATTGATGAAAGAAGAACGACGATCGTTAACAGGCGCCTAAACAAAAACTGGGTTAAGTTTGAAAACCATAAAGCAAATCCACCTGCTTGATCACATCGCTTTGATCTTCATTGAACTTGAGTTCCCGATCTTCAAGAAGTGGCTCCGCAAAATTGCCCAATAAAGATGGGCGACCGGCCCAGGATGGGCGACGTTCACTAAAATACAAACAATTAACCTTGAAAAGTGTGTACATACATTGGCCTAGGGGGTGCGATCATTTGTCCCGAGAAGCTTGGAGTACTGATAGAAAGGCGAGCAAGTCTAAACATTTAACACAATGAAAATTTCCACAAAATAAAATATTACTTCAAAGACACTTCCGGTGCAAACTGAAGACGTTGTGGATGAGATGCAGCTTGTTGATTAGGCGCGACTGATGTTGGCTGCGGCTGAACGACTCCTCGTTGTCGTTCCCTCATTCGCTCAAGTAATTCTGTCGAAAGAGAAGGAGGGCTAAAACCAAAATAAAAACGTTAAAACCCCAGATCAAACCGTATTTTAGATGGTGGCTTTGGCTTTGGGACGACTTCCTTCACGCTTTCTTCGCTTGACAACTCTTCGACTTTAATCAGCGGAGGCGAACGAAGAGATGTGGTTGACTAAACAAGACTACATCTAGCAACAAAAGCTATTTACCTCAATTCTCTTCTGCTTGGCATCATCCATATGTTCCGTCTCTTCATCAAAATGCACCCGTTTCAAAGAAGGAAATGTAGACAACAGAGATGTCACCTAAAAGAAGAAAAGTGCTAGTATCATAAAACTTTTCATAAACTTACACAATGTTTTTCCTCTTTCGGTAAGATTTCCATTGACACAACTTGATCAAGAGCGCGACGACGAGCTGCAGACCGGGTTCGTTCAGCAAGTGGCAAAGACTAAAGCTGACAGTTGAATGCAACACATAAGCAGCGCAAACCTCCCGTTTTTCGTCTTCTACTTTTTCAATTTTTACTTTTGTTTTTGGCTTCCATCGTTCCTTCTTAACAGCCACAATTGTAGGGTCTGCGTTCTGCAAAAAAGTTATAATCAAAAGTCATAAGAACACCTAACCTCGCGAGCCCATTCACTGCACCTCGCCAAAAAGCTTTGATTTAGATGAGTCTCCAATTTCTGTTTCCTAGCACCCGGTCTCCGGCAAACACGGAATGCAGTTCTAAAAAATGAATTAAGCGCCAAAACCTTTTAAACGAGCAAGTCATTCGTCTACTATAAAGTACAGTACTTTAAAAACAGACAAACAATGAAAAAACAATGAAAAACGAACGTTGAATGAAGAAGCTTGTTGACAGCGGCCATGGTGAGGGGATTGTCGGACATCTTGTCGAAAGCGGAATAAGCAGGAGTCCAAAGTGCGTGAAGATAAGAATGATAAAAAATCCGGCAAGAATGCTTAGCTTTATTTGAGGGTTAAATGTAAAATAAGTTTGTTCAAATGCAAATTTTATCTACCATTTAATAAGCGTAATTGTCGCGTAAATTTATATACCGTATTTCTTCGAATAGAAGACCGGGTAAAGAGTATGATCGCGTACTCCTGCGTAGCAGCCCTTTTTAAAATTTCTTTTCTGCATAAAAGCTTTCAATCAAGTGCTATAGAGCTGGAAAATGACTCAAAATACCACATGAGCTAACAGATTTTAGCTCAAGATCTAAGGAAGAGCACGGTAGCAACAAAGTCATCAAACGAGCCATTGAGGTTTGATCGTAATTTATAGCTTGTTAATATCAGATCTTAGATTTTGCAGGGAGAATTTGAAAAAAATCAAGGAGACAAATACAACATTTAGCAATTCTTTTGTGCAGGTAGATGATTTTAGAGAAATAAATAATAGTCATATGTAGTTTGAACAACGGTTTGTTTAGGCAAAAAGCAAGTTGTCCCGCGATCGCAGTGAACCAGAAATTGAATACGATCAATTGAGTTTTGCAGAAAAATTGGCTGTAAATTTTTGGACTAAACCTTTGTTTCATTTGATTTTTTAGCTTCTTGTTGAAGATGAATTGGTTGATCCTTTGCTCGATTCGATCAGCGATGAAATTCAACGTACCAAGAGGGCTTACAACACCGAAGGGTTTGGGGTACAAATTAATATTTATTCTTTAACGTTTTTTATTTAGGCTGTTCTAAAAGTCATCTTCTCGGCACCAGTTTCCGCGGAACAACGAGAAAGGGAGAGACGAGAGGCAGAAGTAAGTGAACTTTTTTATTTTTGCTATTCAAGAAGAACATATTCAACATGTTACTTTTAGACTTTTGGCGCAGAAGTTGATGAAGTCGTTGATCGAACGCGTCGCTCGATTTCCCGAGACTTTGAGTGTTGGTTTTTCTTAACATTCATTTTCTTCAATTTTTTTTCAGTTGGCGAACCCGTTGATCGGTGAGGCTGCCTACAAGATTGGCCGTGTCAAGAGGGCCTATGAAAGCGATGGAGTCAAAGTATATTAGCTATTAGCTACAATAATATTTTTCTGTGTAGGATGTTCTCAAATCGGTGATTTCAACTCCGGTCTCTTGAAGTTTTTTGGAGAAACGGGAAAGCAAGAAGGCTGAGGTGAATAGAAATTTTGGTACTTTGATGGTTGGGAGGGGTCACTTTTAGCTTGGCTTCGTCGAATCTAGTGTTTTGAGCGGTTCGTGTCGATACTTTTCTTCTATTCCGGGGTAATTTTATATGCTGAAGCGATTAGTGCTAATTTTAGATTTTCGATTTAGATTTTAGTATTTTCAACATGTTTCAAGTTAGTATTGCAGTTTTCCAAGCGTAATCAGCTTTGAGATAAACACTAGATTCAACTAAGCAAGCCAAAAGTGGCTCCTCCCAACCACCAAAGTACCCAAATTTTTGTTTTGCTTTTACTATCAATCAACGCCATCAACTGGCTACTTTAGGCACCGTCAAATGAGGTTGGAAGCAATTCCTTTGGACAAGCACTGAAGAAATGATCCTTCTCACAGCACAACTTCTTCGACAAACAAATAAAGATTTTGGGCTTTTCTTTTTTTACAAATAAAGCTTTTTGTCTGACTATTACTTTTTTTGTGGATTGTACCGTAATGAAATCGGTTTATCCCAGTGTACCGTAATGTGGAATAAAAAATGTCTACAGGGTGGTGGTGGTGAGTGCACGAATTAATGTTTTACGGAACAGGTGGTGCTTTTTCAATCAATTTCCACTTTTCAAATTAGGACTAGCCCGTGCCAGAACCTATAATCCCGCTTGCTTTTGGTGAAAATGTCGTTGTTACATTGCGCAATCCTCTCATTTCTTTCCCACTCTTTCCGCAAAAGTGTCAATTGTTTGGTTGTGAAGCGCCTGCGCCATGAAATTCCCTTTTTCCAAATTTTCGATTTTTCAGCTGTTTTTGAATTTTTTTTCGAAAGTTTTTGAAGTGGTCAAACCGCAACTTTCTTTTTTGCATCTTTACAGTTCTTTTTATAACTTAATATCTTGAAACCGGCTTCGCTGGTCATCCGCTACACGGGTGCTCCTTTAAGTCGTTTATTTTGAAAATTATTGGGTATTCTAATCGATTTTTGGCCTACTTTTTACTCCAGGGTGAAAATTTTCAGCTCTGAATTTCGTATGCAAACGTGGTTTATAGCACAATGAGCTCATACCTATTTTACTTTTGACTTCTACTTTATCATTTTCAGTTGATGACGACAGGTCTCTCATTGGCCATTTATGGGTTCAAACCAGTGCCGAGAAATTTCGAGGCGGCCGGTATTTTTTGGGAGACCCGGGTGGTGAGGGATCGACTAACATTGGGATTATGCACTCTACCAGTTTGCAGGTATTTTTGCTTTAAGAACAAACAAGTGTTTGGTACTAATAGGGAATTTGATTTTCATTTCATTTCGGCACTTATTATCATTTCATTAGGGTGATTCCCGATTGTTTTGGAAAACGCTCGAATTCGGACTCAACTCTACAAAAGGTTTTTATTTTGAATACTCTATGTTAAAAGCAAATGCTCATAACTTTTTATGATTTCTTTTTAGGATGATGTTGGGACAAGTGAGGCTCGTTTGGACGCGTTTGATACTGATGATGAACGGTATGAAAAATACCTTTACAACCTCGATCCAAATGATACAAAGAATCAGGATCATTACAAGGTTAGATTCTTTCAACTTTTTATCAATTTGAAATACTTTAGGTTCTTGGCATCAAAAAGCTTCGCTACAAGGCAACCATGGAAGAGATTCGATTAGCTTGTCAGTTAATTCAAGGATTATTTTGATCGAAGTGCCATGAACGTACTAATTTTACATGTTTAGATCGCCAAAAAGTTCTGAAACATCACCCGGACAAGAAGAAACACAAAGGAATCGTTCTTACATCTGGTGAAGACTACTTTACCTGCATCACGAAAGCTTATGAGCAAATTGGTAAGGCTATTGTTGTTTAACGGTTACCATTGTGTTTTAGGGGTTTCTGAAACCAAACGCAGAGCATTTGACTCGATTGACCCTAAATACAACGATGATGTCCCCACCGAGAAGTCCATCAATGCTGATAATTTCTTCACAGCGTTAGCACCAATTTTTGAGCTTAACTCCAGGTAGATTTTGAAACTTTTAAACTTCCAAAAGACCCTTTAGGTTTTCCACTATTCAACCGGTTCCTCTGCTTGGTGATTTGGAGAGCTCTCGAGCTGATGTTGATGATTTTTATGCCTTTTGGTTCAGTTGGACCTCGTGGAGAGAGTACAGGTGAGAATTTTGGTTCGATAAGACAAAGTAGTAATTCGATTTTAGTTATTTGGATGAGCAGGACAAAGAAAAAGGAGAAGATCGCTGGGAAAGGAGGGAGATGGAAAAGGCAAATAAGGTAGCATTTATGATAACATTTAAATTGGTTTAGTTATAAGAACTTCGACACTAACTGCAAGTAAGTATAATAAATTAATCAACAATTCTTGCTAAAATATAAAAATAGAAATTTTAGGTTGAACGAGAGCGACGTCGGAAAGAGGAAATGAAGCGGATAAGCAACTTGGTTCATATGGCTCACAACAAGGATTTGCGAATTCAAAAGTTCAAGAAAGAGGATTTAGAGGCAAAGGAAAAAGCCAAGGTAAAACAAATTCTTTTTGTTACTATACTTTCGTACTCAGGAAGAAAAGGCGAAGTTGCGTCGAGAGCGACAAGAAGCCGAAGAACAGGAGAAGAAGCGAATCAAGGATGAAGCTGATCGGATAAAACAGGCTGAGGAACAAAAGGTTTTTTGTTATTGAAATAAAATATGACGAGCTATGTTTTAGGAAAAGGAAGCTCGAGAAGAACAAAAGCGTCAACGTGAAGCATTGAAAAGCGCAAAACGGGAGCAAACGAAGAGGTATTTTTTATTTATTGAACTTTAATTTGTTTTTATAGGCTAGAAGCTTTATGCGAGAAATTCAATTACTGGGTTGATGATGACAAAGAGAAGCTTCTGGAAATGGAACGCATTGGAAGGGTTGGTTGAAGTTTTAGCAGGTTAATATTGCTAAACTTTATAGTTGAACTTCTTGCTTGAAACGGACGAGTTATCGAAGTTGTGTGACGAGCTAGAGAATTTGAAGTTAACCAATGAGGCAGCTCGAGAGTTGCTTACTGAACATGAGGTAAGTCACTGGATAAAGAACATGATGACCTCTTAAATGTTCCTGACATTGCTCTAAATCACCAATTTTAGAATGTGAAAAACAAAGCAAAAATGGAGATGGCCAACAAAGCGAGCAATAAAGAGAATAATGTAAAGGAGAATGATGTTGTGCTTTGGAGCAATGAGGAGATTCTGCTAGTTACAAAGGTAGGTGAACTTTGTAGTATTTAAATAATTCAATCTACAAATTCTAGCAAGATTTCTTTTTTTACTACTTTTGTGTATTCAAATCACCTTAGGTCATAAAACAACTTTATCTTCATGTACTTTTGTTTTTAGGCAGCTAACTTGTATCCAGCCGGTACGATAGATCGATGGATTGTAATTGCCGATTATGTAAATGAACATCGAAAGGACAAAAGCAATCCGAAGAAAACTGAGAAACAAGTCATTGTGCAGGTAAAGATATTTTTGACTTAGAAAGGAATTTGCACTTGAATCGCCGGAAAATTAACAATGTCTGTTTTGCTTTAGACAAAATTGATTCAAACGGGAGCTGCAAAGCCCACAGCGTCGGCTCAGAACAAACTCGGAACCCAACTTCCCGATGAGGTTGTTACTGTAAATGAAAATTTTTAGGACTTTTTGTTTAGGATAAATGGAGTGCTAGCGAGCAAAAGGCCTTGGAGGAAGCTTTGAGAAAACATCCGGCTTCCGATCCAGAACGATGGGATAAGGTGTGTTTTTTCAAACTTGTAAGCGTTATTAAAGACTTACATATTAAGACTATAAGTTAGCAATTTATGTTAAAGCCTGAAAAATTTGTGCTTGCTAAAGGATTCCTGTTTTTTAGATTGCTGCTGATGTGCCCGGGCGAACCAAGAAAGCTTGCATCAAACGATTCAAATATCTCGCCGAGTTGGTCAAGAATCAAAAGAAATAAGTTTTTTATTCGTTTTTTGTTTTACCCATTTTCGTATTTTGCTCAAACACACATATCGTTATCTATTTTTGTTGACTAGGTTATTGAAATTTTAGGAGAGACTCTTCACTATATTTTAGTTTTTACCAAAAATCGAAACGCTTTAATTTCATGTTATTGAGCCTTAGAAGTTTAGATGTCAAGATTTGAATTTCGTAAGAAAACTTAAAAGTGAAGAGTTTATTGAAAAACCCTTATTTTGTCCAAGTTTCGTTTTGTCTTTCTTTAGTGAAAATCGAACACGAATAGCTCATATCCAATTGTGTGGAAAGTTCAATAAAATTTTATCAAGAATAAAATGACTAGATTATTGGGTAATGCCTTTTGACTTTTTGCGATTGAAAGCGTTGAAGTGAGTCATTATTTGTGATCTTCCTCGCTTCCATCACTCGTTTCCAATGGGAAAAGATCATCGGCATCGGTTGTGAGCACCTGAAAGAGTCGAGTTTTAAGACGGATCCCAATAATGGCAGTACTAGGCTTGGGTATCGATGAATTTTAGTGCGAAATAGGAAAATGACTACAGTAGAAAACCCACCTGATTAATCTCTTGCAATCTTGTCTGCAATTTGGGCAATTCGTGAATCCTCCTCTCCAAATCTTTCCTTTCTTCTTCCAAAGAAAGGCGCTCTTCGGCACTGCTGAAAAGTTAGTCTTTTTAAAAAAAACTACAAATTCCAGTCTATTAAATGATTACAGTATGCTATAGTAAGCTGGGTAAATTTAAAAATTTTTCTATCACCTCAACTCGTTCAACACGTAGCCACCCAGACCATCGTATTGGAGGACGTGAGTGTGGAATTTCCTGCACAAAATGAACGGCATGAGCTCAATTTTCATTTAACTTGCCACAATGAGGGACGATGTGTGACGGTTAAGAGAGAAATACCGTGATCTTTCACCGCTTGGTAGATTTCCCCTTCGACATCAATCGAAACAGCCGATGTACACTCGTCGAGAAGGGCCCATTGAGGCCTGAAAGGGATTTTTTTGATGCTATTTTAGATGTTTTGATGCTTATTTTCTTAAAGTATCTGTTTCTCTAGGCTAAAAGCTGAGCTTTACGAGGAAAAACTCACTACAAATACCTCCTGTACGACAATTACAGGAAACACATGTATGGCATGTAGAGAAAGTGAAAAAAAAACCCAAACCGATGATAGAATATCCTCGCTAAACCCATTCGCTGCTTTTCACCGCCCGACAAAACGTCCATCCAATCGTTTCGCGCGTTCCAACCTGGAATCAGATACAGATACTCAATTGCCCAAGATCTATTATTCTATAAATCGATCAAAATCTATGCCCCATTTCCTCATACCTCCTTCCCGTTGCACAACGTGATTCAAATGAACGATCTCTAAAATTTTCGCCAAATCTCGATCGGTGATCTCTTTCTTGCGCATTTGCGTCGCTGTGTCCGGGTAGATCACCTGGGATTTTGGCATTAAAGTTTTTATTTACGTTCCCGCCACATTGAAACACGGCATCCCGTCCGATCTGCCAAGTTAGTGGGGATATCGTTGGGATATCTGTCTCATCTGTTGGATATCTGTCTCATCTATTAATGGGGATATCTGTCTCATCTGTTAATGAGGATATCTATCTTATCTGTTAATGAGGATATCTGTCTCATCGTTGGGCTCGGTTAGTCCCATGTTCCGAGTTATCCCAAGCGCAAAACCAATGTAAAGCATCCCGTTGTAATTAAACTACAAGTTGGCTTGCACAAAAACTGCAGCCATTTTCTGGTTCCTTTCCACAAAATCATGATCATTGGCTTTCCAAATAATGATTATTGGCTTTAAGTTAAGAATTTGAAGTCCTTATGGCAGTTTAGGCTAGGGTTTCAATAGGATTTCTTTCCGTATTGTGATTTATTGCTTGAATTAGTTGAATAAACCAGTATCCCACTTTATTTAGTAAAACAATTCTTAAAACTTGCTACAGTAGTCCATAGCAGTCTACAACAATAGGCGACAGTATCCTTGCTACAGTAATCGTTTGGCTAGTGATTTTTGACTGTATACCTGATCTCTGAGCGTTCCTAGTGTCATATAGGGTCGCTGCGGAATGTAGTACATCGCCATTTTGTGTGGTCTCCTCAAGTGGCCTCTGGAAGTTTGCCAAAGATAAAATTTAGATGTTTTTTTGGAAAAGAAATTAAGCAAAGGTTTGTAGAAATGTCGATAAAATTCACCTATACAATGGCCATAAACCGCCGAGCACTCGGAACAGCGACGATTTCCCGCAACCATTCGGCCCAGTGATCAACAAATGCATTTCACGGTTTAGCTGAATATCTTTTCTTTTTTTCTCACACATTTACAAATCTTTTATCCGTATTTTCTCTAATAGTAGTGCACCAAAAGTGTCGCCTAAATTCCTCGAAATCTCGAGAACCGCTTATCAGAACCTATCGATGTGGGGTCGGAAAATGTAGCTGACGATGAGATCTAGTGGGGGATTTGAGTGTTGAGCTTCTGGGAGAACTTTGGAGGCCGTAAATATTCATCAACTCGGCTCGCTTGGGTGCAATACTATTGGAGAAAATACGGTATTTGAACTCTTCTATTCTATTCTAGAGGCGAATTGAATACTGCTAGCAATTAGACAGACAAAAAACTAGACATACCATATTTTCTCTAATAGTAATGCACCAAAAGTGTCGCCTAAATTCCTCGAAATCTCGAGAACCGCTTATCAGAACCTATCGATGTGGGGTCGGAAAATGTAGCTGACGATGAGATCTAGTGGGGGATTTGAGTGTTGAGCTTCTGGGAAAGAATTGGAAGCCGTAAATAGTCATTAACTCGGCTCGCTTGGGTGCACTACTATTAGAGAAAATACGGTAAATAAAGAGATGATTAGATTTGATTAAATGATTGATTTGAATGAACGATTACTATTAGATACTACTATTAGAGAGAATACGGTATCCGTATTTTGATTTTGATCAAATTCTACCTGTAAATTCATCTCTCTTACAACGATATCTCCATTTGGAGTGACAATCGGCACACCCTGAAGGGAAATCGTTCCATCAATGGTTTCCTCGATTTCACCTGAAAACCGGATCAGATATTTCTGAAGAGCAGAAGATTTACGAGCGAAAATGCCTGTAAGCGTATATATCTTTTAACTACTTTAAACCATTCAAATTGTACTTTTGTTGTACTTTTGCTGTACTTTTACTCTGTAATTTTATATACTTTTTCTCTTGACGCACTGATTTCCTTGCTTTTCCTTGCGATAGCGGCTTTCGCAAGAAAATGAGAAACTAAGGTTTGCCAGAAAGGGAGTTTTTACACAGTGGCACAAAGGTCACCAAATACCCACCGTAAATACTGTAATAGTACCCCACCCCCCATAATGACGGTGCGGAGCGTTGCGTAGTCTAGCTTTGGACGCGTTTTTCTCGGCACTGGTTTATGCTACAATGCGCGCTGAGGTATCAAAAAATAGCCCTGAATTTCAGATATTTTTTGATGCTAAAGACGCATTTTTTGAAAGTACGGGTGCTTTGAAAAAATGAATTACTAAAAAACTTTTGCGACTACACGACTGTACGAGAGGGGTGGGGTCCAATTACAGTATTTACGGCAGCTATTTTACTAACCCAGAATTTTCGTCGTGTCAAATCGTTGCCCCTGATGATGACCTTCATTATCGACGTTTACCTAAAAGATCAAATATTAAGGATTTTCATTTTCATTAGAGGATTGTGATTCGGTTTTTCATTTTATTTCATTTCATTTTATACTTACTTTCGTTTTCTCGAAACGATTCTTTTTCGCGTCCTCGAAAACTTTGAACATTTCATGCACTCGGCTTGTGTACCCTTGCAACTCTGTCACCTAGAAAATCATTTTTTTAATCGATTTATTTCAATTTTTTTTTCAAATCTGGATATAATACCCTAATTACTATAGTCTACTTTTTAAAAAAATGATTCAGCTGATAAAATTGTCGATCTTCTTTAAGGTCTTTAAGATAAAGCGAAATAGAATTACCGTAAATACTGTAATAGTACCGCACCCCGATAATGACGGTGCGGAGTGTTGCGTAGTCTAGCTTTGGATGCGTTTTTCTCGACACTGGTTTATGCTACAAAGCTCGCTTAGGTATCAAAAAATAGCCCTGAATTTCAGCTATTTTTTGATACTAAAGACGCATTTTTTGAAAGTACGGGTGCTTTGAAAAAAATGAAATACTTAAAATTTTTGCGACTACGCGACTTTACAAGAGGGGTGGGATACTATTACAGTATTTACAGTAGGATTTCGACGAATTTAGACGAGGATCAGGGAGCACTACTATTAGAGGAAATACGGTATCTGCCAGCATTTAACTTCTAATATCTATTAAACAAACTTCTTTGTACGAGCTCATAAGCCTCTCTGTGGCGTCGGCTGATTGGTAGAGGAGATGTTTAGCGGTCGAAAAACCCTTCGTTCGCTCACTCACACCACCATCGGGCAAATCGGAAAGTTTCACTTTCTCTGAAAAAATAGAATTACAATATACTCAGGGAACAATCCTAGAACCAAACTAGCTTCTGAACACTTCTAGTTAGCTTCTAAGCTAGCTTCTAAACACTCAATTACACTTATAGAATTTTGTAATGAACGTTTAAAATGTAATGAACGTATGAACGTTTAAATCTCAAAAACTCTATCAAACTTCTTTCTCCAAGCATCTCCAAGCATCTCCAAGCAAACCCGATTTCATTTTTTATCTTTTATATTTTAAATTTATATAGTCAATAACGATCTAGGCTTTTCCCCATTCAAAAGCTGACCATCCGATCCAAGATATTGTGAGTGCAAGATGGGCAAAGCGATCATCACCATTCCGGTCGCTGACCAAACATATTTCATCAAGAATTGCTCCTAAAAGTTTCCTTATTTAATTAACTTTTCACTTTTTTCACTAACCATCATAATATAAAAAATTCGCTTCTTGTAGATTAACATTGATTGCTTTTTGAGGCTCTCGAAAGCTGTTGATAGTTGTTGTTCTTCGGCCTGGAAATAGCTTTTTCCCTTGCGTAGACATTGCTAGACAACTCTAGCAATTGTGTACTTTGTGCTCACAAAATAGGAACGCATATTGTCTAGTGCACCTCAACATTTCTAGAGAAAAGTTGAGCGTTTAGCAAAACTAGAAAATGCGTTTACTCTCTTGGGCATCAAAAAGAAGCGATTTTTTTCACCTGATGTCCGCCATAGAAAGCAATCTCTTCGGAATTTGTGATCACTCTTGAGTGAAGATACCGTAGATGTCCCTTTCTCTTAGCCTCCTCGGCAACCATAGCGCCGAATCTGGAAAAAGGTTTTTGTTGAAGCTGTTACTATAAAAGAGCGACTATAAAAGCTCAAATCTTACAAATACATTTATTCACACGAATAATGTAGTACAAACAGTACACAAGCATTGTTTAACCTTCAAATCCCTAAGCCCTAAATCTAGAGAAAACCCATATATATCTATGGCAAAAAAGAACCAAAAAGATCAGACACGGGATCGAACCCTCAACCTCTTGACTAAGATACAGGGCTCTTAGCCAGTCGGCCATGGCGGTCAAAATTCAAATCGAAATTTTCGGCTATCCTAAACCAGGATTGGATTGTTATAAAGACAATTTTCTTCACTCCAAGACTGGCTTCTGGCCTGAACACCAAATTTAGAGATTCCTGACTAATCTGAATTATGGAATTGGTTTTTCCTAGTCTTCACTAAAGCCTGGGACATTGCTGGGCTTAGATCAAGCCAGGCTAAACTCGGAAGTCAGGTTCAAGATTAATTTCTAGCTTAACTCTGCCCTCATCCATCATTGGCTAAGCTGAGGGCAGAATTGATTTAAAAATTAAATTTTAAAAAATCCCTGTCTAAAGCTAGCAAATATAGCAAATTATAATTCTCAAACCTCGGTGAAATCCCCTTGAGCACTTGTGCTGTTCCGCCGATCACAATCCCGGCGAGAGCCATCGGCAAAAATGTGTGTTTTGAGGCGGATCGCTTGTGCGCCATTGCGATCAGGGTTCCGCTGAAAAGGATGAACTTTAAGAAAGAAAAATGCCAACAGCAATTCAGCAATCCCATTTCAAAAGTGTTATTACACAGCAACACAAAAGAAAAAGAGAAAAATTAGCGCTTTTTAAGCTTACCATGGCTGCAACCATAGCATCCATCTAAAGCCAAGGGTTATTTCGATAAGGACAGCTCACATGGTTGAAGTTTAGAGATCTTTTAAGTATATAGCTTTAGTCTTAAGTGAAAATTTACTCTTCCTGGAAGCTACAGTAACCGAAACTTTGGCGACGACGACGCGACAGATTCGCGACAGATTCGCGACGACCGTATTTCGCGCGTTCAGTCGCGTAGTCGTTAATTATTTCACTGATAATTTGGTGAAGATTTAAAGATAAACGAAACTATTATATAGTCATTCGATAGCTCTGAATCTCCTCTTCAAAACTAGTATAAAGTTATTGAGAAATTTCTGAAGAAAAACAATAATAATAGTCCTTAATTGACACCAAAAAAAAATTCGGCATTAGTATCGTCGTGTCGTCGTATCGTTGTTAAAAAAACAATAAACAGAAATTTGTTTAACGCAAACAAACTCTATAGGTCTATAGCTCTATAGCTATGGTTCTATAGCTATGGCTCTATAGCTATAGCTCTATAGCTCTATAGCTATAGCTCTATAGCTCTATAGCTCTATTTGACTCACGTGATGAGTGCAATGTCGAGCAACGGTTTTGTGAGATGCGAATAGAGATGAGCAACCGATTGTGCAAAAACGGAGACATCCTCGGTCAGACATTGATCCGCGTTCGTCAATCTTCCGTCCAAATTTGACACTTTGTAGTAGGTTTCATTCTAGAAATGCACAAATGCTCATTTTCATTTTCATTTTGTGCCCTCAAAAACGTATCCTTTCTGGCACACCGATTCTTCACCCTTTTACGACAACGATTTCGATGCATATTGAGATAAATTTGTGTACCAGAAAGGCACACTAAAGCTCAATAGACACTTGTACTTGTGGAATGTATGAAAATTTCATAAAACTCACCATAAAATAATGCTTGTAGGCATGTTGTGTGAGCCTAGTACGGAAAGCCAATGAGAGAAGTGATTCGAAGAAACGAATCAATGAATTGATGAGTGTTGCTGGGATGGCCACTCCCAACCAACGCACCAATAACAGGGCAAAGACGACACCTTTCTGAAAACAAAAATAGGAGTTTAGACTGGAAAAAGAAGTATGAATGCTTTGGAATGGATTCTATGGATTCTATCGGTGCTTTAGGTGTTGTGGAATCTTCAAAAAAAAAAAATCAAAATCGTGATGATTTAAGAAATTTGAGTTCAAATCTGTGCAAAGACTTTTTTTGCTAACCTACTATGACTAGTAACACTAGACTAGTCTCGTATGACTAGTTAAATCGATTTTTAAGCTTAAACAAATCAAAGTTACCTGTTGAACGATGGCTTTCACGATTCGTCCCTCAAGTGAGGCGACGTAGATCGAGAGAAATGTTCGAGCGACAAGAATGATCGAGTGAAGACCTGAGCATTGAGATTTATTTAAGATCCGAAACAAGATCCGATAACAAGATCCGAAACAAGATTCGAAACAAGATTAGACAACCAGACAATCCGAAATCATTACAAATGAGCATTTTGATGCCGTTTTTAGATAGATTACAAGAAAATGAAAAATTCAATCACTCACCCAAGTATGCGGCCTCTTTCGTGAAGAAACCCGGCACCATTATCTTGATCAGTGCTCGAAGCTAAAAATTTCGAAATTTAAATGCAAACTGTTTATGGGGATGGCAATGCGTCTAGCTTTTGAAGCAACTGAGTCATTTGCGCAACAAGAGCAACAACTCGCCATAACTTTCTTCTAAATCGGTCAATCTTTATGATTTTGATCTCATTTTGTTATCGGCTATCGGAGTATCATCGGCTACGACAACTACACTTTCGCTTCGGATGGGCCGACCACGTAGCCAGAAGAACAGACGACAGATGGACGATACGGATCACAGAGTGGCTACCACGAGACCAGAAGATGCCCATCGGAAGACCAGCAATCGAGGTGGAGCACAAGAGTGGTAGCGACGGTCAGAGAAAGGATGAGTGCAACCACCACCAGCACAAGCAAGTCGAAGACTCCGAACCAGGAACAAGCAAGATGGAAAACACTGGATGACAATGAGAGATAGAGAAATGTGGAAGCAGGTTGTGATCTGCGCAAATAGGAACACCAAATTGTGAAGACGGATCAAAAAAAAAATTGACTAACTTAGAATAAAGTTATGGGAAATTGCGCAAAAGGCTTAGTTGAGCAAATGATTCAAAAATTTGTCGCAAATTAGCGATTCCCTCTGTTTACAACGTCAAATATTAGGTTGATGCAAAAGTCTTTTTCATTTTTTTCGTACTTCTTTTGAAAAATAACAAAGTCATCAATTAACCTATGGTTTGCTCTAAATGAAAAGTGTTTATTGTTGAATTTCCCATCTTTTTAAGTCAATTTGGGTTCACTTTCAAGCAAATTCGAGAGTGAAAACGGGTTTTTCATAAAAATCTATAAAAACCTCTATAAAGAAATTGGCTGAATGAATTTCTCTGAAAATCTGAAAAAATATCGAACTTTTTGTGCTCTATCTTTTATTTATTAACATCAAGATTGGTTTCCTTAGCTAAAGCGTCGAAAATGCATCATCGAGCCGTCGCCTTTTTTGACTACCCGACTTCAGGCTCTCAAAAAAATCTAGACATAAGACATTTTAAACTCGTTTTAATGTCATTTTGCAGAAAAATAATTGGCCTTTCGAATGCAATAAACCGTTGTTCAATTGGTGCATTTGTTACTTTTTAACGGAAGTACGAAAAAAATGAAAAAGACTTTTGCATCAACCTAATATTAAACGCTTTTGCTAAATCAATTGTTAAATCAATTTTCCTCATATTTTCCTTTCCTTACCTGAGCGATGAACTCCGGGTCGAGAGCCCGTCTCGATCGATACGGATTCTTCTGTCCTGATCCTTTGCCCGATTTTTTCACCAAATTTTTTGCTCTCCATTGTTTCTTTTCTGAAAATTTGATTAGTTTAATGAAAATTTCGATGAATTACAATTCAAAATCAACAACAATTCAAACTATCAACTACAAAACTACAAAACTACAAACTACAACAATCAACAACAATTCAAAATCAATCAAAGGCTTACTTTTGTGCAAAAGCGTCGCTCCAAACGCTGTCACTCCAAGCGCCACTAGTGCTCCAATTGCGTACTAAAAAATGCTCAAATTGCTCAAAAAAATGCTCAAATTTGTCAGATTATCTAGCAAAAAGTTAACTTTTTATAAAGATTCAGCTAGCTAACTTTATGCCGTAAATACTGTAATAGTACCGCACCCCCATAATGACGGTGCGGAGCGTTGCGTAGTCTAGCTTTGAACGAGTTTTTCTCGGCACTGGTTTATGCTATAATGCGCGTTTAGGTATCAAAAAATAGCCCTGAATTTCAGCTATTTTTTGATACCAAAGACGCATTTTTTGAAAGGACGGGCGCTTTGAAAAAAATGAAATACTAAAAAACTTTTACGATTACGCGACTGTACGAGGAGGGGCTGGGGAATATTACAGTATTTACGGTAGGTACTTGTCGGTTATACATCGACAAAGACTCATTTCCGTTAAGCATCCCAAGTCCAAGTCTTCTCGTTTATCGATTTTCGTTCGACTGATCACTTCAGACAAGCACTCAACTTCACTGAACATAATCACCCCTCAAAAGTCAGCTTTTTGCCTAACTGAGTTGAGTCTCTGTGGATAGCTGACATCTGTTGAATCTGATCTCTGTGGATAGCTGACATCTGTTGAATCTGATCTCTGTGGATAGCTGACAAGTACCGTAGAAAGTTCGCCTGATAAGCGAAAGGTTGCTGGTTACAAGAGATTTTACAAGAGAACCTTTCTTTCACAAGGCTTTTCCTTGCTGGCTTTTTAAGCTATTGGCTTAGCTCATTGGTAGAACGGCTACTTGTCGGGTATACACCGATAAAGACTCATCTCGGTCAAGCATCCCACATCCGAGATTAGTTGAGTGCTCGTCCGAGAATCGGTTATCGATTCTCGTTCAACTGATCACTTCAGACACTCTGCTTGACTGAACTCACCCCTCAAAAGTTGTCATCTTTTTGCCTAACTGAGTTGAGTCTCTGTGGATTTATAACCGACAAGTATCACTTTATAATAATCGATTTTCGTTCGACTGATCGACTGATCACTTCAGACGAGCACTCTACTTCAATGAGCATAATCACCCCTCAATGTTTTTCTTTTGATTTTCCATTTGCATTCACCTTTCTCCTCTTATCCGGATCGAGCGCCACTTCGAGGAGTTTTGATTGAACACTCATTTTTCCAAAAGAAATATTTGAAAATCAATAAAATAGATGAAAATTTCTAGAATCAGAGAAGAAATATCTATTGGGTTGGGGAGAATGAGTCGGCGCCGAAAATGAAAAAAATGTCTAAAACTTCTATTCGACTTTGTCAAATAATATGCGTTTGATATGAGTAGAATGGTTAACTAATTCTCTACAAAATGACATTTAAAAGAAAATTCAAACAGCGCCTCCGCTCAAGAAAAAGCCATTTTTTCACAAAAACTACAAACTGTCATCTAGAAAAAACCATTGGTGGGATCTTCCTGCAAATTTGGCAACTTAAGTAATTCAATGTGCTCTATCTTTTTTATATAAACACCAAAGAAGGTTTATGTGAAAGAAACTGTTCAAATGATGAGTCGGACTCTTTGCCATTTTAACCAGCTGCGTTTGGAAGTTCATAAACTCCACGAAAGAAAAGCTTTGTGGAATCTCTCAAAAGTGATTTTGTAGAGAAATAGTGGATCCTTTTGATGAAACCAAACGTATGTTTAAAGAAGGCTTTATGTGTGCAAAAAGTCCCTTTAAAGTTCGGCGCCGACTCATTCTCCCCAACCCAATAAATTTGAAATTGAATTCTATTGGGTTGATGCATAATTATCCGGACTTCTTTTTGCGTGCTTGTATCTTTTTTGTTTTGAAAGCTTTTTGTCTATTTCTTTTTTTAAAATATTCGTTATTCTTTAGTGAACAAAATGCGTGTCGACAATCATATCCATCTTCGCCATATCATGCTCTACCACTTCGAAAAGGGATGGTCTGCCGCAGAGTCGTTTCGCGATCTCAAAGAACTGGAGAAGCCCCAACGGACTACCACGTCAATCGATCGCTCAAAAATTGGCAAACAAATAAGATCTACAACGATTTGGATGACTTGATAGACGATGTTAAAGCGTGGATTGCCTCCAAAGATCGTTTATTCTTCGCTCGTGGAATCGATCGTCTTCCAAGCAAATGGCAATCAGTTATTGATGTAGGCGGTGAATATAAATCCCTGCCCGGCCTACCGTTCAATCACTCACCCCTCTTCACCCCGGACGCCCCCCGCTCTGGGGTTTTTGTGGGCCCCCCCCCCCCCCCCCGGGGCGGGGGCCCGCTTGCTCCAGAATAATCAATTAAACATATTTTTCTAACTATTTATGTTATTTTTTTGTTAAATAAAATCATTTATAAAAGAAGTTCGGATAATTATGCATCAACCCAATAATATTCTAATATTGTATTTAAAACTTGAAATTAAAATGAAAAAAAATGAAGTTTTATGATACTGCTATCGGATTCTCCATTACAAATAACCCTTATTCCCCAAATATTTTCGGCTAATTTGCTCGAATTGGGTAATTGAAGCAAGCTAGAAAGTGCTGTGCCAGAGTGCGAGCGTTTAAGGGTGGACACAAAATATGAGAAGAATCAACAATGAGAAAATCCCGTTTAGCTTTCTTGTTAATAGAATAAAATAAAATTCGAAAACTAATTGTTGATTGTTTCTGGTTCAGAAACTTAACCATTATTGGCTTATTTGATGACTTTAAACTCAAAAAAAACAAATAGAAACACATCCTTTTCTGCGCTGTTATTCTAAAACAAATTGTTGTACGAGAAAAGGAGAAAACCAAAAAGATTGTGTTTACATTTTAGCACAAAGTACTCAGCATCAAGTAAAAGACAATCTAAAGTTAATCATTTTCAAAAATAATGACCAAAAATAAATTTCGATTGTTGAAGAAACGGTGAATGAACCGTCTATCATTTCATTTCATTTCTTTTCATTTTCTTGTCTATTTTCTTGTCTATTTTTTCCCTTTTTCCCTTTTTCCCTTTTTTTTTTTTTCTTTAATTTTCCCTCAAAAAGACAAAAAAAGAGTTCAAGATGGGGAAATTTTTGCGGAGTTTCGTTTGTATGATAAGACATCAAAATTTGAGAGTGAAAAGTGAAAGAGAGAAAGAGAAAGAGAAAGAGAAAGAGAAATGTTGCGTAGTGAAGCGAAGAAAGAGAAACGCTCAACTCTCACCCTTTCCAAATTCCAGAGTTTCAAATAGAAAGTTCAGAAGTTTCCGGAATAAAGTTTTAGAGTTTTTGCTTCATTTGCTTTTGCTTTTTCATCTTAAATCTCACATCAAGACACAGGAAAATCTAGAGAAATGAAAAGCTAGAAAAAGATGAAATTCGAAGGAATATGAACCTTAGTAAACAATGAAAATCTCATTTCCGACTTCAGAAGAATTGCTTGCTATTGCTGGTACTTTAAAACAAAATTTTTTGATAGAATTGTTCAAAATTGGGGGTTAAAAGCTGGTATTTGATAATCTGATGATTTGATTTCAGCGTTAGTCAGTAACAAATCTTTAAAACAAGTACAACTATAAGGAGAACTAACAAGTACAACTTGCAGTTGAATAACAAGGATAACTTGTAGTTGTCAACAAGTACGCTTTGTAATTGAATAACAAGTACAAGTTGTAGTTGTATAACAAGTACGATTTGTAGTTGAATAACAAGTATGATTTGTAATTGAATAACAAGTACAACTTGTAGTTGTACAAGTACAAGTTGTAGTTGAATAACAAGTACAACAAGTACAATTTGTAGTTGAATAACAAGTATGATTTGTAATTGAATAACAAGTACAATTTGTAGTTGTACAAGTACAAGTTGTAGTTGAATAACAAGTACAACAAGTACAATTTGTAGTTGTACAACAAGTACTGTAGTTGTTCAAGTACAACTACAAGTTCTAAACTTCAAGCAGTACTTGCAAACTTTAAACAAATAACAGCACTGCAAGAGTTCAACCTTTTTGGGTTTACTAATCGAAACTAGATGCAAATAGATCGTTTTAAAAAAATGATATAATCAATAAATATTAGTAAAAAGAGATTTGATCGCTGAATGAGAACAAAAATGAATGCTGTGAACGCCCGAGGCGTTTCCCTTCAGCGAACAAATGACGTCACTCCGATCTCTGACCTTTCTCAATGAATTCACCAAATTCATTCCCTAAAAAAATCAAAAACACAAGCAAATCTCATAAACAAATGAAGATAAAGGTTAGAAAAAGGAAAGAAATGGCTCAATTTGGCTCAATGGCTTAATCGGCAAAAAGTGTTGTTGCTAAAAAGGACAATTGATGAGAAAAACAATCGATACTGTAACTTTAAACTTGTGTTAAAATAATGTCAAATAAAAACTGGCAAAATATAGTATAGCTAGAATAGAATAGAATAGAATAGAATAGAATAGAATAAAATAAAATAAAATAGAAAACTAATCGAAGATGTTGCCATTCTTGGGGAGGTAGGGTTGCTGGGAAAGGGGTCACTTTTGTCTTTTGTCATCACTCAAGGGAAAAGAGTAAAATGATTGAGAGAAAATGAATAGATTGAGAGAGATTGAGATTGAGAACAGATTACTCTTTCTTGACTCTTGATTAGACACTTTTTCAATAGAACTCTCTGTGGGTCAACCAAGAAAAGTCAACTGGTTTTGCCGTGAGCAACACTTGAAGACTTTTCCAAACACTTTTCCGACTTGAGTAGCCGACTTGAGTAGCCGACTTGAGTAGCCGACTTGAGTAGCCGACTTGAGTAGCCGACTTGAGTAGCCGACTTGAGTAGCCGACTTGAGTAGCCGACTTGAGTAGCCGACTTGAGTAGCCGACTTGAGTAGCCGACCAGCGACTACCGTAACCGTAACCCATTTCTCTCATAGTGTTCCCTATCTATTGCTATATGTTAAAACTAATATTTGCTGCCTTTTAGGGATATTTAGGATACTAAAAAATGCCTCATCTACCATGCTCATCTATCGTAATCTAAACCATGCTCCATCTAGTGTAATCTTTTGATTTTTTTTGGTATAAGTAGACTTTTTGTTTATAGAAAATCGAATTCTTTATTGTTTTTCAATAATTTTTAATCATTAATGATCGTTTTTTTCGTAAAAGATAGTAGAAACCGGCAGATGAAGCGGTGGCGGCCATCAGGAAATTATGAGAATCAAAATGTTCCCATGATGATTGATGATAGACATATTTCGATAAACCATACGAGAAGAAGATCTGCAAATGGATAACTGCATTTGCTAGGGGTGGTGTGTTTAAATTTTGAGTACAAAGTACAGCTAGCTCTTTACAGCTGCTAAGCTAGCTCGTTTACTGTACGAGTACCTGCAGCGTACGAGTAATGAGTACCTGCAACGAAATCTTGATGTTCGATAAAACGGCCAACGTCGGTGGATCAGTCATTTGTAAACTCTTCAAGCGAAAATATTCGTAGAGTGGGGAAACGAGCAAGAGAATCGCCCAAACGGGGAATAAAAATGGGAAACGCCATCGAATGAGGTATTCACTGACTCCACGAATCGAATGCTGAAAAGGATTGAAGGCTTTCAATCAATTTCTAGTTCTAAGATCATTCAAAAGTACGCTCTATTTATAATTTTATCGTTTACTGCCGTATTTTCTGTAATAATAGTGCAGGCAGGAAGGCGGCTGAAAAAATAGTAGTGCACACTGCTAAACTTTGCTCTGTTATTATTTATTTTGGTTTTTTTTTTGTTTGCATACTGGCGAGCATACTGGTAAGCTAAATGAAATGTTTTTATAAGATTGTGACTAGCTCTTTAGTACTAACTAACAAATTGTGATTTTGACTAACTTTTTGACAGTTTTTTATTACTTATTTTATTGATTTACAAGCATTTTTGTATCCTTTTCAAGGTTTGATTTTTAGAAAAAGGAACTCGACGGTGATTCCAATAAACTGGCAAGAATTTCGTAAAAAGCAAGCACATGGATGCTCGAGATTGGAACGCTCAATGCAAAGAGGATTTTCTCGTGTCTGAAGATGTAATCTGAAGATTTGGTTCCTTTTCTCTACAGAATTGGTTCTTTTTCTCCCAAGATTTGGTTCCTTTTCTCTACAGATTTAATTCCTTTTCTCTACAGAATCAATTTGGGTGCAAATGAAGCCAACATCGCTAACGACATATCAGCAGCTGGCGAAGAGGAGCCTGATGAGGAACATTCTCGAAAACGCAAAGTTGAACCATTCGACCATTCGATAGGATCAAAAAAGAAACGCTGTTTTGACGTCGAGGTCAACGGATCGGAGCCTCTCATGAAAGGAGGGAATCCCACTCCACCAACGATGAAAAGTTAATTGACCTGGGTTTGGAACGCTTGAAATAAGCTGCCGAAGCATCTGATCGATCACTCCTTCAAGATTTTTGGAATTACTACAACCACTGACGGATTATAAGACCACTTTAATTCACTGCTTCAAAAAAAATAGTTTAATTCTGGAGGGACCTTTCTAGAATGTTCGAGCAGAATAAGCAACAAATGAAATGAACGACCATCTTGCTAATATTGATTTGGATGATAATGGTTATGATAGTGGTGTGTCTATTGATGTTAATTGATTTACCTGATTCCCTCTGTTTTTTGTTTTTTTCTGAATAAATATGTAAAAACAATTCGATTCACTTGAAAGAAAAGAATGGCATATCTACATAATACTTGTTATTATTGCCTCGTAAAGAGTTGGTTCTAGTGAAAAAAATAGTGCGCAAAAATAGTGCGCAAAAAAAAATAGTGCGCAAAAATAGTGCGCACTACTATTACAGAAAATACGGTAGTAACAATTTCGCGCAAGAAATTTGTTAAAAAAATATAAGATCGAATTCTTCTAGTGACATTTTATACTTTTAAATTCAATAATCATAAAACAAGCTTAAAGTTACCGTAAATACTGTAATAGTACCCCACCCCCATAATGACGGTGCGGAGCGTTGCGTAGTCTAGCTTTGAACGAGTTTTTCTCGGCACTGGTTTATGCTACAATGCGCGCTGAGGTATCAAAAAATAGCCCTGAATTTCAGCTATTTTTTGATACCAAAGACGCATTTTTTGAAAGGAGGGGCGCTTTGAAAAAAATGAAATACTAAAAAACTTTTGCGGCTACGCGACTGTACGGAGGTGGGGGGTGGGGTACTATTACAGTATTTACGGTAAGTGGTATTTGAAATCTATAAACGCAGTTAGGTGACAAAACTTTTGACTGAAAAGCATTTTCCGAGAAAACTTTTTTTGGGGTCGCGCACTAAAATGCACTAAATACCGTAATCCGCTTTTTTGCGCCAAAAATTTTTTTTTTACAACTTTTGCGCAATTTCTATTCGTATTTTTGCTTTTTACATTGTTTTTAAAGCAATTAGTGTTTCACTATAGAGTTCAACTTTATTAATAATAATAATAATACTTTATTCAAACGATAAAGTGAAAGAAATCATAGAGAAATGCACAGTGATACTTAATCATACAATACATACTGAAATCAATAAGCCAATTACTTATTTAGCTATTTAGTTCCCCATTGAGCTTAGGGTTAGGGAGCCGTCTGTCATGACGTGGGTTAAGTTAAGATATAGCCTAGTATTGTGTGTGTCGTTGTATTGTGATTGATATATTTCGTGTATGCGATAAATTCACCACTGGTAGCCCCAGTCGGTATTTTTAAAAAAAAAAAAATACAATACATACTGAAATCAATAAGCCAATTACTTACGGCAAAGAGCCACTAGATCTAAAGCATCGATACGTTTCTTGAATATGAAAAGCGACTGAATTTCTCGTATGTCGTTTGGGAGCAAGTTCCATAATCTAGCGGCTCTGACGGGAAATGAATTTGATAAAGAGGCATTGGAAGCAAAGGGAATTTGCAAAAGGAATGAGCCACTTCTGGGCCCTGACCGCGGTTTAAATTTGAAAAAGTCTATAAACAAAGGGCTAATCTGTTTACTACGGAGGATTTTGAAAGTTTCGACTAAATCAATGACAAAGCGACGATGCTGTAAAGTTTTTAGTTCAAAAAAAAGCAATCAATAGAATCAATAAAACAAAAAAAAAATAGAATAAAAGTAGCTAAAGTTGTAAAGAAAAAAAAATGATTTTTTGTCCAGAAAAGCGGATTACAGTATTTAGTGCATTATAGTGCGCGACCTTAAAATGTTTTTCTCGGAAAATGCTTTCCAGTCCCTTATTACTCAAATGTTGTGAAAGAAAAAACCCATTTGGTGGGAAAAAGAAACACTTTTATTTTGTGATTGATCCCTCGACCTTGCCGCTTAAGAGACAAGACTCCTAATTGCTTTAAAAACAATGTAAAAAGCAAAACTACAGATTTGGTTCCTTTTCTCTACAGATTTGGCCTCTTTACTTCCAAGATTTGGTTCCTTTTCTCTACAGGAACTGGCTGAGGTCGTCTTATACTACAGCCATCTCTCCATACCAGCCCACATTTGGCAAACTTTTTCCGAGAAACCAAACTCTCCCAGAAAATGAATTTGTGCTTCTAAAAAGAGTTTTTAGCAAGAACACTTTTTCACGACATGTATTCTTTTCTTCTTTCTGAGCTGTTCAGATTTAGTTCCTTTTCTCTACAGATTTAGTTCCGAAATTGCGCAAAAGTAAGAAAAAAAATAGCTAAAGTTGAAAAAAAGATTTTAGCGGACTACGGTATTTAGTGCATTTTAGTGCGCGACCCCCAAAATGTTTTCTCGGAAACTTTTGGCGCCAGTAACTTTTGACACACCCTGATTCCTGTATTTTCACCTACCAGATAAACCTCAGCCGCAAAACTGCCGAAAAAATAGCAACATTGTTGCGTGTAAAGCACCTCTAATGGCCCGTATCTAGATAAATTTTCATATTTATATTTATCAAATTTCAAATCTTTCAAAACCTTTTCAATAAATTCTTTAGCTGAATCCAGGCGATAAGTTGCGCGAAAACAGCAAGAAATGATATGTGAAAAGCCCATGCGTTTAATGACTCAACATCGTGGAATTTCACTGAAAACTTCAACAAAACTATTTAATTAAATAATTTGCTAAAAGTCATCAATAAAATTGCTGTACTTTTTGCGCATTAAACGCACCTCATCTGGCACACTTAGATCGAAAAAAATCCGTGTGCTAGAAGACGTGCGTTTGCACGTTTAACAAAGAATCTCTCGAGAACTTACACGCATAATATGGTAGACAAGTGACGAGAATGAGCGCCACTGCTTGTCTCTGGGTGCGCCGTGAGAATGGAAGCTCGTCGACGAGTGAACAAAGAAAAGCGCAGATTATCGGAGAAAATGTCTAAATCATAAACTTTCGATTGGGTAATTAAACCGACTGAGAGAGAATTTCGGTCGGGTTTATCCAGGGCAATGCGCCAGATGACGCTTTTTCCTAAGAACGACATCTTGGGTACGCACAAATCTTGGATCATTAATATGGTTTTGTGTATATTCTACCGTAGTCAAGTATTGGCGTTTTCCTAAAATGCGCTTATTTGTGGTAGAAAAGGAAAGTTTTTCGCAAAAAATTTCATTCTGATTTACTCATTTAGCAGATTTTTATTTTTGTTTCTTTTTACTTTTACTTATTACTTTTACGTTTACTTATTACTTTTACTTCTACTTATTTCTTTTACTTTTACTTATTTCTTTTACTTCTACTTATTTCTTTTACTTTTACTTATTTCTTTTACTTTACTGCCGATAATTCTAACCTAACTACGAGGATATGCAAAAAAAGGTATTTTGTGTTTTTTTAGCGTGAAAGACTGAATGAAATGAAGCTTTTTAAGCAGAAAAACCGGTTTTTCCGGCCATACCCAATTCAAATTCTATTTTTTTCCCCACTCACCAAAATTCTCTCAAATCCTGGTGCCCACACTCCACTAATCGACATCTCATTCAGCATTGTAAACAAAAATTGCAAAATTATCGGAAAGAAACCGTGAAAAACGAGCGAACAATGGAAAGAAACCAAACGAATGCCGAAAAATGATCTGAAACTTTGGAAAGTCTTTGAGTCGGACAATTGTTTACCTCAATAACTCAAATCCGAGCACAAATGTGGCGAATTTTGTGACAAGCACGAAATTCGAGTACTCAAAGTAGAGAGATTTTGAGAGAGCTGACGAAAGGACTCCATCAGCCACGCCAAGACAGATTGAGCCGAGCTCCCTGAATGGGTTTTATTTGATTCAATGTTCATTAAATTTTTTTAACAAGTAAAGCTAGGCCAGTTTAGGCTAGGGTCCGGGCGTTGACCTGGTTTGGTTTCTGGTTAGTTTTTCGGGTAGTTCTTCTTTGAGCAAGCTCAGCTTAGTAAAGTCAAAAGAAATGGAATGAGCCGACCTGGCTTTCCACAAAAGATTTTGGCCTAATTATTGGTCGCTTTCCCTTCAAAAATTACGTTCTATTTGCATTTAATTTGTGTCGCTTTTTCGTCTCCCCCAAATTTCTTTGATTTTTCGTCAGAACTTTTGTCTTTAGCTTGGATTTGGAATTTTCCTCTCGTTCTTTCGGGATTTAATGTTTCTTTTCTGTTTTTGTAATGGGTATCGTTGCCTGTATTAATAAACCATAAAATTATAAATCCGATTTACTTTAAACTAGCCTTAAGGTTTTAAATTCTGCTTAGATAACTGCTTAGATAACTGCTTAGATAACTGCTTAGATTGCTGGCTAGATAGCTGCCTAGATAGCTGCCTAGATAACTGCCTAGATAACTGCTTAGATTGCTGGTTATAATTTGCTAATATTTGTGTTGCCATCGACGAAGCGTTAATCCGTTGTGCACTCGTATCTCGTATTAATCTCATGTTGGGTGTTACGTGTTCTTGTTATGTTGTGAGCATTTTAGAGCAACCTATTTAACCTTTTGTGCTACTAGGCTACTCTGAAGCAAAATTATTCCCCAATATTCCCAATGATAAAGTTAAAGCGGGTCACACCACGAACTATTGCACTTGACCTTGATTGGAGAGCGTTTCCTCTATGAACTAGCACTGATTTCGAGGCAGCACGATTGCATTTCTCAAACTTAACTTTAGATCGATAAAACAGTCAGGTGGATAGGCTTACTGTTGTAAGGAAATCAAGAATTAAGTTACATTCCGAATCCAGTTCGAAAATCTTATTTATAAAATCCTCACCAGAATATCACTTTCCCACTCAGATTGTTGACGATGGTGTGGACGAAAAACGATTGAAATCTCTAATCTCAATCCATTTCTTCTAGAGGAAATCTTTCTTACTTGCAAATAATGCCAGAAAATCTCGTTTTCCCCGTTTTCCCTCATTTTCTGTCTCATCTAAAGAGAAAACTAGATAATTGCAAGAGTTTTATATTAAGAAAAAAAACAATTTGTTAGACAATGATTTACAATTCAAATTACAATTCTTTCAAATCATTTATTGCACCGATAAAACCCAAATCCAACAAGAAATTCCCATTTCTTAAGCTAAATTCGTATAGGTTTTCTCGTTCGAGTATCCGTTTCGCGGTTTCCGGTAGAGTACCACAGCGAAACCTGAGATATTACCATGATTTCCTATTAGAAGACGAGTATGGTAATCTATAGCAACACTAGATTTATTTAGGTTCTTACCAAGTGCCAAGAAAAGACCGATCCAATGAATGAAAGTCGGCATGACATCGTAGAAAAGATGGACCCATGAGTAATAGGCGATCATGATCTAAAAATTTATTTTCAAAAAGTAGATAAATTGAATAAAAACTAATAGCAAGATTACGGTAGTTTCTATAGTTTTTAAAGTTTTTAAACACTGAAAGGTGCGCCAGAAAGGATGAGTTTCAATTTCAAAACACGAATCATAGAAGATCGACTATAAAGCCAAATAAACAGTCAGTCAGAAAAGGAATTCTTCAAAAATTCACTAGTAATCTTACATAATCGATTTCCAAAATTTCTTTTCATTTCTACTCACCTGAATCGCCGCTCGGATGTTCGACGTGATCGCTGTGGTCAACGCGCCATTCGTCGAGATACAGTGCATCATTGTGAACTGAAGAAGTTCAGTAAAGTTCTGCTATGAACTCTCAAAAGGAGTCTTTATGCCCACCGGGCATCGAACCGGCGGAACGGGGACCGTTCGCTTTTCAGGCAAAAGCTTTACCACTGAGCCATAAGCGCACAGGAGAGTTCTCCTTCTAAGAAGCTCATAACAGTGGTGGTGATCTCTTTGGGATCCCCTATAGTCTATTTATAATTGTTTTTAAGAAAATACGTTGAGGAAAAGGCCGGAGATGAGGAGGATCAAAAGAAGACATGTGAAGAGACCGTTGGCTGATGTCATCATGTACATAAAAGCATCGCGAACCTCGTCCTGAATAAGAAGATCAAAAGCTTTCTTTAAGTTTAACTTTTCCAAATTGTTTTCTCACCTGAATCACGTCGGCTAGAAGGAAAACAACGAGCGAGTTGAACGAGTGCATGTAGAGGAGCTCAATGGGAGGGAAAGTCGCTGACAAGACCTCGAGCTGTAAAAATGACTTACTGTAAAATAGAAACAGTACTAGCTGTGACTGTTTGTTTTGGCAATCAAGTTAAACATCCGTCTCTAGCGAATTTCGAATTGGGTAACAAAACAGATCAGTGCCTGGACTCGAACCCGCACACTTTTGCCAGATGAAGATAAAGACTGTACCCTTCTTACTCTCAGGGATGTGTAGAGCCTGTGTAAGCCAGAGAAGACAAGCGAGAAGCCAGAGAAGTTCAGAAACAAATCAGATTCTGACCTTTTTGCTGGGCTTGCGATGGTGCAAAAGTTGGACACGCCGGTCCTTTTATAGGCTAATGATCGGTGCCGGGTTTCAAACCCGCATTCTCTCGCTTAACGGCCGAACACTTTACCAATGACTAATCCCCCGGCCGCCCATTGCCACCAGAATTGAGCCTTATGTTGTTTGTGTACTCGACAAAATTATTTTGGAACAATTGTCTGCTTTGCTAGCTTACCTGAAGATAGGCGATCGCTTGTGTGATCGCTGCGATGAGGCCATAGAATAACGAGAAACGATCCATGTTCAAGTCGAAGTTCACTGTAAATTCTCGTGCAAAATGTCACTTCTAATCATTAGATCGTTACAAATGTTCGAAACCTGTGAGTGCGGTGGCCAACGAGATGACGACAATCGAGAGCGCGTTTTTCTGTTCACTCCAATTCCTCTTCAGCACGAAACCACCGCCGACGAGGACGAAAATCGCCGTCATTCTGGAATTATTCTGTTTTTTCCTAGGTGAGAGGATTAGTGCGCCAGAAAGTGTGTGTTTCTGTTTCTGAGCACAAAGTACTAAAAACCAAGTCTACCTTTTAACCGAGTCGAAAACGGGCATCCCGATTCCCTCCAATGAGGCCACAGATAGCCATGAGGAAACTGAAAGATTGGGTTGATCTCAAAAAGTGAATTGGCAACACGCATTTTAAACATCAAATTCGTGATCAGCGTCTTCGATTACCCTAGGACACGTGGAAAAAAATGAGAAATTTCGGTGTTTTATCCAACTTTATTACTACCGAAACTCGTACCCGATAACAAGACTGATGGAAGGAACAAATGCCTTCTTCGATCCAAATTTATTACTACCGAAACACTTACCCGATAACAAGACTGATGGAAGGAACAAATGCCTTCTTCGATCCAAATTTATTACTACCGAAACACTTACCCGATAACAAGACTGATGGAAGGAACAAATGCCTTCTTCGATCCAAATTTATTACTACCGAAACACTTACCTGATAACAAGACTGATGGAAGGAACAAATGCCTTCCTCGATCCAACGAATATGGTGTCAATTTGATCAAAGAAGTCACCCTGGAAAACTGATTGATTTCTTGTTGAAAAATTCTCTTTCATCTAGCATACCTTGCAACTTCGATTAACAATAATGCGGCAGCATGTTGTAGCATGAGAATCACGATCGGGTAATCGAAGAAGAGACGATTCACGACCACTTTTGCGATCAAATGCGTGCACAACGATGCGCCGGCATAGAGAAAAGCGCTGAATGTAGATTATGGATTACTCTAGATACTACAAATTGTAAGCATTATAAAAGTGAAACTTATTTGACTGAATGTCTTAAGAATTTAATTTCCATTTGCATAATTTCCACAATTCTTCTCACCTCTTTGCCTCATTCGATTCCAAGAGTTTAAGCATCGTCTAAACAGAAACAAGGATTTGTACTCGGATTTAAAAAAAAGAAATCCAAAAGTCATCCAAAAATAGTTAAATAATTAGCTAAATTACTTCAGAGAAACCTTTAAAACCCTAGAAAATCCAATATAAACGTGGCACTTAAGAAAAAAAAAAGGAAAGGAACAAGTTCTAAAGAATTGAATGAGTGAAAAGAGGAATGGATGGGGATGGTTGTCCTCTTTTCTTACCCACATTTCCATCAGATACGATCGTCGGCTTCGATTCGATCCTCTTTCTTTTTCCCCTCAAAAAGAACCCGAAAATTCACCAATTTAAGTGAAAGAAACAAAATGCGCTCAAAAAATTTCTTTATTTAGGTGTATTAAATAAAATATGTGGTCAATTCATTCATTTCTTTTCATCGAGTAGCCGCCTCGTTGAAGAGATTGAGCTAAAAAGAAGGAAATTAGATTCGGATAAATAAAAACAGAAAAAACTGATTAAAGTAAAGCTTTACCTTTGCCGCCTCGTCAGGATGAAGAAACTCGGTGGTGATCGTTTGCCCGAAAATCATTTTCCTAGCGCCCAAATCGATTTTCACTTGATGTCTCACCATCACATCGAGACCTAAAATAGTAATTATCGTAATGCGAATTCAATGTGTAATGCGAATTCAATGCATAATACGAAAACTGTTACCCAAAATCACTGGCTCATTCACGGATCCTTCTGGCAGCACAATGAATGAAACAGGCAGCTCGACTTCTTGAACCGTCAGCAAACCTAAACCGGGACACATTAACTAGTCATCAATTATTAATTTCAAAAACCCTTACAGTGATTGATCTTTCCGAGCGCTTTACTCTTTCCACCAACACCCGCAGCGTGCATTTGAAAACGTGAATCTAAAAACGAGTATAACAAATGAATAACACACCGATTTCTATGAATAACACACCGATCAAATGCATTAATCCAGTTCGTTGAGCCACTGACTCTCTCATAATCGACATTTGAGCACCTAAAAAGTTTCAACAATTCAAAAAATCAACAATCAAAAACTCACCTGTATCAACAAAACAATTCATTTGATGACCATTGATTTTCACTATAATGTAGAGCATGCCAATCTAAAATAAGAAATGTTAAAAGTGACAAGAAGAGAAATATCACCTTGAAGAACGATTCGGGAAAGACTTCCAATGCACGAGTGATGTTTTCGTCCAACACACGTATCCGCTTCGTCTCTTCGATCAATTCCACTTCTAAACATGTCTCATTAACTCAACCAAATCAATCAAACTCCTACGCAAAAGTATGTTGATAATTTGAGCCATTTACTGAATAGAACTTGTAAAACTAGAGTAAAATCAACTTTCAGCCGGAGTCAACTCGTGCTTTCGCTTTCGACATTCGCGCAACACCAAGTAGAAGGCTCCTAAACAACCCAAGTTCTTTACAAATCATCAAAAGTTTACCAAAATCGTTTGGGTGTTTCTTGAAGGTTGTGTCCAAATGAGGGTTCTTGGCGCGAACTTCGGCATTCAACTTGCGAAAGGTTCTAAATAAAAATGAGAAAATAAATTTGACCCAAGACCCACTGATAAGCCACAAAAGCTGCTCTCGAATCTTCTAGCTCGCGTTGTTTTTCCCGACGTCTTCTTGTCCATCTCAAAGAAAAAGAAATTGAATAGATGAAAAGACTGACTTGATTGATCGGCACAAATTAGTCATTTTGTTGTTAGAGAGCTGAAGGAGAGTTTCCACGTCAAGAAAATCGATCGAGAGGGTTGAGTTCTCCACAATACCAAGTTCCTGGAAAGAAAAACATATACAAGACTAGAAATTGAGTAGAAAAAGCTCGAGAAAGACAAAATAGATGCCATTTTAAGAATCAGTGACCTAGAATTAGTACTCGAAGCAACAGCACTAACTAAAGTCAATGTTAAAAGCAAGTACCAGCCTCAATTTACTTAACAAGATGAATAAAAAGTAACCTTGAGGGTTTTGTCGGCGAACTTCATGTGCTCGATGGGCGTTTTGTTGAGATGAACGGTGTGCAGACTCAGCGATTCGCCGTTTCCTTTCTCGTTTTGCTTCAAACACTCGAGTAGAGCCGCGTCAAGCTTCGAGTCTTCGTCCAACTAAAGAATAAGGAATTAAATTTAATAAATTGTTTGGTTAAAAACGTTAGCTTACGACTAAAAATGACATACAGTCTAACTTCGATACAACGAAACGTTCGCTATAACGAAAACTAAAGATTTTACCTTAAAATGGCCTTCGATACAACTTCGATATAACGAAATTTTTGGTTTTTTTCCAATATCGGGGGAGCGGAAGGATTATCGGGGAAGCGAAAGGAAAATCGGGGGAGCAAATTTTGGCAGCGCTACATATGTCCTATTTAAAATTGTGACGAACGGGAGCTTGCTTTGTTGCAAAAAGTTATCGACTCGAATTCCTCTTGAATGCTTGGGGACCTTTCGCCGTACGCAAGTGTCACATACCCAGCGAAATAGATCTTTTCCCTTTGAGCGGACTTTCATCGATTCGCCACATTTGCAAATCCACGACTGGATGACTCCTTTGGTGACGAAATAATCGATTGCCGTCGATTTCTTGACGCACAAATATCGGAGAAGCGCATCGTCGTTAAAGTTTTAAAAAAAAACGTTGGAGTTAAAATACAGTCCCGGAAATGCATTTTTCGAGGGGGCAAAATTTGCTCCCCCGATTTTCCTTTCGCTCCCCCCGATAATCGGACCGCTCCCCCGATATTGGAAAAGTATCCAACTTCGATATAACGAAATTTTTGGCCAGATTCGAACTTGAGATTCGTTATATCGAAATTCGACTATAAAACATACAAGCAATGCAATTCAAAAGATAAAAATTGAAAGAACAAAGAACAAAATTACTTCGATTTCCTGCGCTGATCGTTTGTTGATTTCCAATGAAAGTTTCATTCTTGTTAGACGAAAAGTAGCCAATTCCAGTGAGTAGAGAATAAATAATGAAAAATTTAGACATTTCCATCAATTTTATTTAACCGTTAAATGCAAATTTATATATTTCCCATGTCAATTTCCTTTTCGCAAAGTCTCCGTTTTCCTTGATTGTTAGCCGCCAGGGGCGCCAGGGTTGTTCTTAGAACCAAAAATTCAAAGCCAGGCCATATGCCAACGCCAAGCCATATGGCCTGGTCGTGGCTTTTCTTGACCTTGAAAAGCCATAATTTATCCTAGAATTGGACCTTTTTGGCTTTGGCTTTTGATAGCTTTTGATGGCTTTGTTAGTGCATACTCTACTCTACCACTACATAGCATCATGTAATATCGTACTAACAATACTGTAAGTAGTGTACAGTAGTTTGTATAGTACTATTGGTCATATTTATCGTATTATGGGGCATATGTACTTTACTGTACTATGTATTGTTATTGGTAATGTTATACTAGTGCATAGAAGGGATGATCCCATCCTGTCACCCATGTCTACATAGATAAAAGCATAAAAACAGTAATGGATACTTTAATATACCGCAAAAACTCTAATAGAACGGGCCCCTATAGGAGTGTCGCGTAGTCTAAGTTTACTCTCAAACAAACGCTCATATCTCGACACCAGTACGTTTGTTTCTGCGCACTTAGGTATCAAATTAAAGTAGAGAGAACGGGTGATTTTTTGAGATATAACACATATTTTTAGGACTAACCAGCGCTTAGAAAAATGATTGGAAAGTGGCAAAAAAGAGCCGGTTTTCGTCAATTTTCGCCAATTTTCGTCAATTTTCAATCTTTTTTTTAAGCGCTGGTTAGTCCTAAAAATATGTGTTATATCTCAAAAAATCACCCATTCTCTCTACTTTAATTTGATAACTAAGTGCGCAGAAACAAACGTACTGGTGTCAAGATATGAGCGTTTGTTTGAGAGGAAACTTAGACTACGCGACGCTCCTATAGGAGACCATTCTATTAGAGTTTTTGCGGTATGATAAATTTTGACTTTTGTAGCCGTTTTGGCTTTTAATGGCTTTGGCTTTTGGCTTTCTTGAACAATCTTGTTGGCCGCTTTCTAAAACTAGATTAGCTTTGATGTGGTCTGAAAAGTTTGAAAAAAGACAAAGCAAAGAACATTTTAACGTTTTTCTCTATGTCTGCCATTGTTATGAAATCGAAATTCACTGCTTTAAGTGTACTTTAAGTGCAAAAATGTAAACGCACACTTTATGGCGAATTAATCCCTCATTTTCTCCTAAAATTGAATCATTCTACGAGAAAAGTTTGAAGAATCGAGTGCACAAAGTACGCAAAACTCATTGCTGTCTTAACATCTATTTCCAGAACTTGATTGCTTATATTTTTGACTTCATAAAGGATTCTTGAAGTTCTCATTTTAGGCAATAAATTTGTTGATTGAGATTTTGAGACAGAAAATGAATCCTTTTCATCCTTTTCATTCGGTTTTTTTTGATAATTCCAAGACTCTTCCTTTCCGAGTCTCATCTCTTTCTTTTCTCTTTTCTCTTTTCTCTTTCTCTTCTCTTTCTCTTTCTCATCTCTTTGATTCTCAAATTGCAACCCCGACTTCTCCCCCAATTAACCACAATCTAGACTCGAAATTCAAAAGAAAACTTTGAAAAAAATGTTTTCACGAACATCGATTTACTATTTTCTATCAATCCTTCTCCCCGTAATCGTCTCGATTCGCCGACAATCCGTCGGTGTTAAGGGAAAGCTTCTTTGTGGAAATCAGCCTCTACAATCGGCCACGATTGTGCTTTCGGATGAGGATTCGGGTAACTTTAGCTTCACTTTAGTTGAATAGCTTTTAAATCGAATTTTAAATGTTTAAATGTTTAAAATGTTTAAAATGAATAGCTTCTCGATGAAATCTCAAATAATTTATAAGTTTCAGGTCCTGAATTCGATGATAAAATGGCTGAAGGGACAACGAATGCCCATGGACACTTTCAGATTCATGGAACCGAAGTGGAATTCACTTCGATTGAGCCTCGTCTCACCATTCTGCACAAATGCAACTATAAATGGGTTCGAAGAGAATTCGGATTCGAATTGAAATTTGCAGAATTATAGATTGAAAACCGTTATTTAAATACCGTTATTACTTATTTAAAGCTAAATAAGGCTATGGTTTTAAATTTGAATATCTGAGCATCTTTTAGATCTCTGTATTTTGTGCTCGAAAAGACACCCTTTCTGGTGCACCGAATTTGAATTTACAAACCCTTAACGTGTATGTGCCCGATTCATCTGGTAACAATGAGGAAGATAAGAAAGATGTTGAGCTCCCGTGCATTGAAAGGATTATGTGCAAATTTCGTTGCCCACTTCGGTCCACCATCTAGATAATTGCATAGATAAAGCTCTATTAGACTGATGAAATGTTATGTCATTTAAAATCAAAAAAACAAGATCGGGTGGCACTGCGGGGGGTCGAACCCGGATCTTTTGGGCTGCAGTGAAGCCTGCCGCCTACTGCGCCACAGCGACTAGTTGATAGGCTTTAAAAAACAGCCAGTAAAAGTCGCGCAGTCGCAAGTCACAAGCACGCTTCCAACGGTGACTGACTCCAACGGAAAATAAGGCTATGGTTTCAAATTTGAATATTTGAGCATAGAAATGTGCCAATTTCTGGCCACAATTTATGGCCAATTTATGCCACAATTTATGCCACAATTTATGGCACAATTTATGGCCAATTTATGGCTTTATGGCCACAATTTCCTCATCAACAAAAAGTTTTGATGCATTAAAAGTGTATTTTAACTTCTAAACTACATAACTAAAGCTATAATTAACATTTTCAGATTTGCAAACGTGAAGTGACCTTTCACATCCCCAGAAAGTACATCAATCATGGCAAAAGTGTAAGAAATTTCGTAAAAAAAACGAGAACAAACAATTTCTCGTGTAACACTAAAGATTTCTCAATTCTAGGTAAAGAAATGGTTCGATTTGGGCACTCTAAACATGGAAACAGTCTTTCCCGGTGAAGAGCATAATTGTTTCCGAATTTTTTGGTGACTTTTTGATGACTTTTTGGTGACTTTTTAGTGACTTTTTGCGATTTCTAGATCATTTTTGATAAATACATCTTTTGCAAACGTGAAATGGCACAGAAAACAAAAAAAAAAAATGATTGCCAAAATGATTGCCAAAATTGGCTCAAATCAATGAGATTGTCGGGAAGAAAAGGAAGAAAACGAAAACTTATCAAAAATCATCGATTTTCTTTGAAATGCTTGGTGTCGGCGAGATTTTTCTCTCAATATTAACTATTCTAATTTTCTGTGTAAAGTTTTTTGAATGGAGTCAAGCTTTGGCCATTGGTGCATTACTTTTCGTCATTTATATCTGGTAAGTGACTTTACATTTACAAATACAGAATCTAGTATAAACAAATATAAATACTTTATTCAGAAAGAAATAAAGTGCGAAAACGACATGAAAAATGTACTAGATAAAAGATGACAAAGTCACTTAAAATGCAACGAAGTAGCCCGTTTTAAAATCAGACACGGTGGAGATCAAACGCAATTTGTCGGGAAGGGCATTCCAAACTTTAGTCACAAGATTTACGAAAAAAGCTCTAGAGGATTTAGAGAAAGCAGATTCGGGATGCAAGATAAAAGAGCCACGCCAATAGTCGCCAATAGTCGCCAAAAGCCTCGAGTTTAGCCGAAAAAATTTTTTAAAAAGAGGGTTTTGATGTTTTCCTTTTACAATTTTAAAGCACTCAACCAAATCTATGATAAGACGGCGCTGTTCTAAGGTTTCAAGTATGAAAAGAAAACTTCGATATTAAAGGATATTATGTGTATGATTAATAATGATTTGGATCTGTCTTCGCACTTAGCGCAGATCACAACCCGCTTCCACATTTACTGGGGTAGAAGTGTAGTTGTCGTAGCCGATGATACTCCGATGGCCGGGCTGGGGCGCTCGGAGGGGAACCCATGGGAGTCGAACCCACGACTAACCCGCGCCGACGTTGCTCAACTTGGCAGATCGGACGGGGTCGACCACAGACCCTTCCCTTTCTGGGCCCCATTATGTGTATGGCGCTTTGGAATTTCTTGTGAGACTGTGTCTCGGTGTGTTTCAATGGTAGATTCAATGGTAGATTTCTTGAAAAGGCACAATTTATCAAAACTTTCCCTTATTAGGGCAAAATTTGCTCAAAATGTCAAAATGCGACCTTTTTTTTGCACACCTGGACATTTGCGCACCTTCTTTTCGTTGGAAAAAGCCTTAGAAAAGGTCGTAGAGCTTCAAAAATGTTTTCTTATACAGGAATCGTAGGCGTAGATCCCGAATTTCGACAAATCAGACCTCGCTAACACGTTAAATTTGGGTTAAAATGCAAAAACTACGCAACTTAACGCTTTTCCGCAGTTTTTGTCTTTTAGCCCAAATTTAACGTGTCAGCAAGGTCTGATTTGTCGAAATTCGGAATCTATGCATACGATTCCTTTATAAGAAAACATTTTTGAGGCTCTACAACCTTTCCTAAGGCCTTTTCCAGCAAAAAAAGGTGCACAAATGTTCAGGTGTGCAAAAAAAAGGTCGTCCGGCTTTCCAAAGACACGATTCTGTGTGCAATCTATGTCATATGTCAATATGTCACCATCATGTCAAAAGAAATTCAACTCTATCTCTAAAAGAGCTTGAAAGAGATAACTGCTAAAACAAAAATTAATTTTAGTTATTAAAAATGAAAGTAAATTGCAAATTAAAGATTTGCTCGAGTTATTGACTATTGTTTTTATTGATTTAGGTACTTGAATGACAATAAAAGCTTCTGGAAAAGACGACATATCGTTGGACCAAAGCCAAACCTATTTTTCGGGAATGCCTTTGATTTTTTCGATGGTTTGCACGTCTTGGATGAACGCAGGAAAGATGAATTTGGAGAAACGTATGGGTTGGTTGGCTTTGGTAATTTTTTAAAGAAAAATTAGAAAAATTAATTATCTAACAAAGTTACTGGTAATACGTGCTTTAGTAAGCGTAGTTTAATTAGATTTTTATATGTTTTGAATGATAGATAACATAGTTATTACAACTTAAACGAAGAAAATAGAAAAATAAACGCTTACGATACCTATTTCTAGCAGCTTTCTTTTCAATACACCTGAGCTAACGTCAATAAACTTGGAGCTTCTACGGGAAGTGTTGGTCAAAAAATTTGAATGTTTTTCTGATCGAATTGTAAGTTTTAAGAGATAATACTTACCGTAAATGCTTTAATTGAACCCCATCCTCATAATGACGGCGCGGAGTGTTGCGTAGTCTAGCTTTGAACGAGTTTTTCTCGACACTGGTTTATGCTACAATATTCGTTTTGGTTTCAAAAAATAGCTGAAATTCAGGGCTATTTTTTGATACCTAAACGAACATTGTAGCATAAACCAGTGTCGAGAAAAACTCGTTCAAAGCTAGACTACGCAATGCTCCGCACCGTCATGATCGGGGTCGGGTACTACAGTATTTACGATATATTCTCTAATCGCTAAACTATAAAGTATTTACTTCAGAGCATTTTAAACAATGATCCAGATGATCCACATTCTTTATTAGCGAACTCTTTAGTGACTCTAAAAGGTTCAACATGGAGCTCTGGTTGGTTTAAAGCTTTTTCCTTTACTAAAAAGCATTAATGATTCATTAATGATATATTTTAATGATTATTTAAAAACACTTTAAATAAAAAAAAACATAAAAAACTTCTTTAGTTCGCGCAACTGTTGCTCCAGCGTTTAGTACAGCAAAAATACGGCAGGTAATTGATTCAATTTCGATGCTGAACGTTAAAAAGTTATATTTTATTTATTTTCAATCTGTTTTTCAGATGATTCCAACTCTCAACGAATCGTCTCAAATTTGTGTAAAAATTCTGAAAGATTATGCAAAAAAAGGAGAAAAAGTACCAATTAGAGAGTAAAGCTTAAGAAAATAATGAAAAAAGAGAGAAATTTTAGAACAATGGTTCGAGTAATGTTGGATATGACATCAAAAGCTGCATTTGGACGAGATTTTAGTTGATTTTTGAGTAAAATGAAATTGAAAAATTCAATATTTAGATGTTCAACACGACGAGCAATCGACGTTTATCGATTACGCGAAGAAATATGCGGAATTCGATTTTAGATCACCAAGAATCGTGGCGATAAGTGAGTGCTGATGGGACGAGGGAATATTGTGTGTCAAATCATGCAATCTTTGGCTAGAATATAGAAGCTAGAAACAAATGTAGCGTTTAGTTAAAAGCTACGTACGGCCACGTAGCGGACGCCCAGCGCAGCTAGTACTTGTAATAGACACCAGCTATAATTATGGGTATTATCGCGTAGTCGGTAGTGATTTATACTATATTGTGCTACAATTTTAATAGAAGATAGACTACACGGCAATACGGGGGCACAGAAGTGAGAGCTCTATTACAAAGATTTTCCAGCTGTAACTAGAGAGCTAGGTTTTTCAAGATTCCCAAGAAAAGTTTCTCTTCCGAAATTCAAAGATTCTTAAAGAAAAAATGATTGAGAATACCTATCAATGCTTATCAGAATCTATCGATGTGGGCTCGATTCTGTCATCAGATCCTGACTATAAAGATAATAAGAAATATAAATAAGATCAATATGAGCCAGGAATGAATGGATTTATCTTGAATTTGATTGAATTCTGGTGTAAAATACCGTATTTTCTCTAATAGTAGTGCACCCTGAGCGTTGTCTAAATTGATCGAAATCTCGAGAACCGCTCATCAGAACCTATCGATGTGGGGTCGGAAAATGTAGCTGACGATGAGATCTTGTGGGGGATTTGAGTGTTGAGCTTCTGGGAAAACTTGGAAATCGTAAAATAGTCAACGACTCGGCTCGTTGGGGTACACTACTATTAAAGAAAATACGCTATCTACAAATATCGTTATTTCATTTGAAAATACGGTATCTTAATATAGTTTTCAGCTCTTTTCCCAAATCTCTGCTGGGTTTTTAAAAAGCTCACTGGCTACTCAATCCTCAACAATGAAACGAATCGTTATTTTGTTGAAATCCTCGATCATTTGTATGAAAATCGAATCGATAACAAGGAGAATTATGTTTGTTATTTTAAAAGAAATAAATAAAACCTTTTTTAAAATTAGAAAATTAGAAAATTTAGGATTACAAAGACTTCTTTCAACTCATGCTATCTGCAATGAAAGAAGAAGACAAAAATCGAGAGATCGATCGAGAAATTGAATTTGAGATTACGGGAAAATCGGAAAAGTCATCAAAGGGCATCAAAAAGCAGCACATATTTGGACAAGTAGAGGGAATTTTTTAAATGCAAATCACCTTTCAGGCATTTATGTTCATTTTGGCCGGCTTTGAGACAGGTCCAATCAATCTACATTTAACTGTTTATATGCTAGCAATGCACGAAGAGTGGCAGGAAAGAGTTCGAAATGAGATTGAGAGCGTTTTGAATGGGGTAAGTTGTTCAGGGATTTGATTATCAATTCAGGGATTTGATTTTCAATTCCAGTGTCAATAAATCAATTTCCAGAAAGAACCCGACTACGTGAGTTTAGCCGAATTGCCACTCCTCGAGCAGTGCATTCATGAAACGCAACGTCTTTTCCCGGCTGTAGTCAGGTCAAGTATTACTAGAAAGATTACGCTAGGCAAGGCTACGGTAGTCAAGGCTACGGTAGTCAAGGCTACGGTAGTCAAGGCTACCGTAGTCAAAATTACGATTGTCTATCGTAATCCTCCATTTTAGTTCCACTAAAATGTGGCAACTTTTGGAAATTATTGTAATCTCCTCGTTTTATTCAATCTAGCTACACTTTGTTTGATCCGGGATATCAAGATATCAAAAGTAGTAGGATATGTGTAACAATCAGATACAGTAATCCTACCGTAACCCGGCTTAGCGCAACCCGGCTTAGCGTAACCCGGCCTACCGTAATCCGGTCTACCATAGCCCGGCCTACCGTAGCCCGGCCTACCGTAACCCGTAACCTGAAGGTACGGTAGCCTAGATATTCTTATCAGAGTCGCCGTGATGAAAAATTGCAAGTAATTGGATTAACGCTTGAGGCAAGATTACGATAGTTTATGAGAGTTGAAAAAAGAGACTCAACCCATTTGAATTCTTGAAATGATAACGCTTAACCGCTTTCAGATTAAACCGAATGTGCACGAAACCGGTGGAATTGAATGGAATCCTCATGCCAAAAGGCTCTGTCTTCTCAATTCCCGTCTACAACATTCATCACTCAGAAAAATTCTATGAAAATCCGGAAGAGTTTAGACCGGAAAGGTTAGTTTAGCTAAAAAAAAATTAGGACTTTAAATTCACAGATGGTCACCAGAAGAGAAAGCGAAAAGAGATCCGCTGACTTTTCTCCCGTTCGGTCATGGACCAAGGAATTGTATTGGTTAGTAAGTTGTATTGGTTAGTAAATTGTATTGGTTAGTAAGATGTATTGGTTTTTTTTACCTTCAAGATATTTAAAATTTGAAATCCTTTATTTGCTTAGGAATGCGAGTCGGTCAATTCCAAATGAGATCCGTTTTGGTGCATCTTTTGCGCCATTTTCGACTCACTATCGCTGATGGATCTCCAAAGGTTTGTCAGCGATAAAAAGTTGTCTAATTTGATGAAATTGAAAAGCTCAGTGCACTAGAAAAAGGATTGTAAAGAGCACAATGTATACAGCATTAGATGAAATGCAGCTAGACTTCAAATTACTTCATCTTGATCTTGATCTTGATTATCTAATGTTCAAGAACACTTTTTCAGACTCTTCCTTTGGAAATCGATACTCGTGGCTCGTTCCGCACCGTTTCCCCACTTTATATCAATGTTGAAACAATTTAAAGTACATTTAAATAAACTTTTTATCAAGCAATACCAGAAAGACTGCGTTTCCATTCAAGAGCACAAAGTACCAGGTGTCACAAATTGTTCAAATTGTTCAACTAATTTAGCTTAAAACAAATGAATGAACGAGTGCTGAAAGTTGATTGATAAAAGAGATAAAGTCGTGTCGTGTCGTGTCGTGTCGTGACGATCTCGTGATCTCGAGATCGCCACGTATGGAAATGGTCAGCTAGGCACCTATGTGGACGAAAGCCTATTGTGCGAGATTTAATATGCGTCGCTATCCGTTCAACTCCATTGTGTGCAAGACGAGACCAACGCCTGAGTTCCGTATAAACGAGCGAGCTGAGCAAGTGAACGAGCTGCCGAGGTGTGCCGTGCCGTGTCTCTACTCTCCCAATCTCAAACCACTGAACCAACTATTATCGCTGTAATAAAGATTATATCTAAACCAACAATAATCACTACAGCATATGATAACTCCAGTTGTTTCCCCCCCATTTCATCCCTTTCATAAGATTCTTCAGCTTTATATTTGCTCTCTTTCACGAAGAACACATTGTGTAGTGTATATAGATGAAATAAACACACGGATCTTTTTTTTCTAAAGGCTTTCTCATTTTTCCTTTCCCTTTGACCAATAGTGAAGAAAAGAGAAAGACATTATAGAAGATTAGCGCCCGGCTCAACAATTCTTCCCCCTTTTTGCGATGAGGAAATGTTAAGATGAACTTTTTTTTGAGGTAGAAAAATGTTTTTGAGGAAATGAATGGCTTTGTGATTGTTTTTTAATCCTTATCCTTAAGAAACAATCATCCTACCAATATTCCACACTGGTAATACTGATAGTAACTTGAACAAGCGACAGTATTGGTAATACTGATAGTAGTACTCGGATAAATGATTCAAAGCCAATAGTTTTCAAATTAATGTATTGGGTTGGTGAATTGAAAACTGCCGGCTATTGTCATATGTCATAATTTAAGCACTTTCTTCAAAAGAAACCCATTTTGGTGTCAATAGAAAAGTTGTAGAGAATCAAAAATCAAGCTTATATCCGAATTTTCAGAATGATTCAAAAACTGGTTTTCAAGAAATGCCAAATTTACGAATTTTCACAAATGAAATGGTGGAAAAGGAGGGGGAGGGGAGGGGGGTTACGGTATCTGTCTGTCTTTCTGTCTGTCTTTCTGTCTGCCTTCATGTACGGGCATTTTTCACAAAACTTGCATTTTAAGCGAAACTACTAAGTGTATCTTTTTGGAAATTTGGATATAAGCTTGATTTTTGATTCTCTACAACTTTTCTATTGACACCAAAATGGGTTTCTTTTGAAGAAAGTGCTCAAGCATCTCCAGTCCTCCATTTTTCTCACACACAAACCAAAATCCTACTACGAAAGAGGAATCCGCAAATTGTCTGTAAAATGGGCAGAAGTCGTCAATAATAATGGAAATTATTTGGAATGAATTCATGGTTTTATGTTGAAAAAATTTTAGCTCAAAGTCCGGCAGTTTTCAATTCACCAACCCAATATTTAATGAATTTGACTCAGTTCCCTTCAAAACCAGAGTACTTTTTAGATCAATAGCTAGTTTAGATCGCCAAAATGGAAGAGAGGAAGTAAAGGAAATAAAGGAAAATTAGCTTCGTCGAGAATGTTTCAAATGGTATTTTCTGATAGAAATTGATGCACTACGTTTGTCTAGAATTCTCAATAACATAAAAAAGGTTTCCTTTTTAACACAACAGTATAGTCGTTAACTGTTTTATTGATAATTTAGTGAAGATTTTAAAGTAAGTAAGTAAACTAAACTGTTATAGTCATTTGATAGCGCTAAATCTTGAAAACTACAGTCATGGACAAAAGTCTTGGCGGCTCCTGGGTGGCAACTTTCAAACGCAAATTTAGGAACCTTTCCGAGAGGCTATAAAAAAGTTGTCACAAGTATTTTTGGAGCATTTATACTCTACTTTTAGTTATGACCAAGCATTGAACTCGAAAGTTGATTTTAAACAACAAAATTAAGCGCAAACGACAAAAAGGTCACAAAAACAATGGACAAAAGTCTTGGCGGCACAGACATAGAGGTGAAAAATTCAATATTTTGTGGGTCCGCCTTTAGCTGCAATGACCGCTTGGAGCCTCCGGGGCATATTGTCAACTAGATCGCGTAAAATTTGTGGCGCAATTGTCGCCCAAACTCGCCGTACGAAGTACCAAAGATCCGCCTTAGAGTTAAACCGTCTTCCCGTGAGTTTCGTCTTGATAGACGCCCCTAGGTGCTCAATAACATTCAAATCGGGGCTATATGGAGGAGCTGAAACAAGTTGAACACGATTTGGGTAAACACATCCGGGTAGGCGAGCTCTTCCTCCACTGGCAAGTCGAACAGTGCGGTCCATAAGCAACTGACTCTTGTGGCAAGGAGCATTGTCCTGGTAGAGGAGCCATCCTTGTCCCAGGTTGGCGGTCGCAAAAGGAAGAAGATTGTTCTCCAGGATCGTCTTGTAGCGCTGGGTATCCAGAGTCGAGTTGAGAAGGACCAATGGACCCGGTGAACTTCTTGCCATAGCTCCTAAAAAAACAAGATTATTATACATAACAAGAGAAAGTTTCATACCCCATACCATGACCGCTCCACCACCAAATTTCACCGTCGGACGCAAGTATTTAGAGCTGAATCGTTGTCCCACAGGTCTCCGAACCAAATGGTTCCCATCCGGTTGAAAAAGATTGACTTTTGACTCATCAGTGAAAATAACATTTGCCCAATCGTTGACGGTCCAACTTGCGTACTTTTTCGCGAACTCCAACCTGAGTTTTCGGTGCCTGGCAATCATTAGGGGTTTCTTGGCAGCTCTTCTAGTCACCAATCCAGCTAGAATCAAACGACGGCTAACAGTTTTTCGTGAGATAACCTTTTGTCCAAACTCTGTAGATACTCGGAATCCCATTGGTTCCCCAGAAAGAAAAGTCAATCAGTCTAAAACATTGGCTCAGCACCCTTTCAATAATTTGCATTTCAAGCCACTGAAATCATTTCTCATTTTCAAAAGGGCACACTTGCTATTTTATTCTTTTGTTAAAACTCGTAAAGAAGTAAGAGTTTTGCACGCATCAGTGCAAACTTTTGTGTGTGTTTATATGAACATCTGCAATTTTAAAGCTGTTTTTAGTAATTTTCAGCAATTTTTAGCCAGTTTTAGCCAGTTTTAGCAATTTTTATTTTTAAGAAAAGCTCATTTGAAGTCATTTAACAGAGATCTCACATAGAAAAAGATCATTTTTCATCAAAACCCGAGATTTTGGGGACTTCTAAAAGAAACTACAACAAAATTTGCTTTTTCTATATCACAATCGATAAACCATTGATTAGGGAAAAGGTTTGAGAGTTCGAGCTTTAGAATTGAAGTTTTAGAAATGAAGTTAGAATAAAGTTAAATAGAAAAAGATCACAATAGCAACGATTACAATAGCAAAGATTTATTTAATTGTTTTCGATTTGACACTAACTTCTACCCTATTTGGATTTGATTGTGGATAGTTTAGTGCAAAATAGAAAAGGGTTACAGTCATAAAAAGTGATTTCTATTTAACAATAACTACCGTAATCTAGGGAAGAAAACTTGAAAAAAGAAAAAAATCAATACCGGAAATGTGTACGCCCGCTAGGAAAAGTTCTATGGAATATTTTGGAAGAATTTTTGACACAAAAGTTTATGTACAACATAAAGATAAAAATTTGAACTTTGATTTGATGAGATCGACTAGGGGAACCGTTTCACTAGTTTTAAATGTTTGGAGAAACCGGTTGAAGCTCGCGGTAGTCTTTTGCTTTGCTGTCTTCTGCCAAGCTATCTCCGGTGGGGTTTTCAAAGCCCCACCTGAGATAGCTTGGCAGTCTAGTAATAGACTGGTTAGTGCAATGGTTTACCAAGCAAAGGATCGGGAGTTCAACTCCTTTTGGAGTTTTTCGAGCTCCAACCGGTTCCCTGTTATTTAGGAAAGAAAGAAAGTTTATTCAATGATCTCCGATGAGTCGTCATCATCGATATACGGCCAGCTGATTGCATCTGAAAGAGATTTGCAAGGGTTAATTTGAAATGTAATGGAGATCTTCTTCAATTTTCAATTAACACTGAATTTGTAGATTTTTAGCTATAATATGTATATTTATTCGACACGAATAATGGAATTACAACACAACGGAGGAGATTTTTACCCCTATTGCCTAAATGTTGTTAAGAAAAAAACCCATAATAATGAGAAAAAGAACCAATCTTTCTAGCTGCTGGGATCGAACCCTTAACTAGGAGACAAGACTCCGGTTGGCTACGACGGTTGGCTACGACGGTTGGCTACGACGGTTGGCTACGACGGTTGGCTACGACGGTTGGCTATCCGGTTAGCTATCCGGTTGGCTATCCGGTTGGCTACGACGGCTATTTTGGTTACGACGGCTACAAATATGACCATTAGAATACCTGCAAATGAAACGGAGCGGCTCGAATCCGGTGTCTGCACGAGATCCGAATAGGAATCACCTTTTGATCTGAAAATGGTATATTTTACAATCATTTAAGACTTCAAAATATCCTAACCTTTTAAATCATATTATTTAAGCCTTAAAAATATCCTAACCTTTTAAAGAAAATTCTTGACGGGGAAAGACGAGCTGAGTTGGCTGGTGATCGGAAAATTCGTGCTAATGAGGCACGTAGACGTCTGGAATTGGAAATTCATTTAGATTTCAATGGATACTGTAATATGAATGATTTAGATCTTTGTATTGTAATGTCTGATTATATTTAGAATCTTTAAAATGATTTTAAAATAGATTTGAATAGATACTTGCTAGCTTTATCTAACTACTGTAGCTTTCTCTAGCTACTGTAGCTTCCTCTAGCTACTGTAGCTTTATCTAACTACTGTAGCTTTCTCTAGCTACTATAGCTATTAAGCAAAGCCAACTCAAACTTCATCGTTTTCAACTTTTTTCTAATGTTCTTCCCATTCCCCGAACTTCTCAAAGTTCATTGTTTTATAGTTTTTATGATTTCTAAGGTTTTCAATCTTTCACAACACTGGATAAAGGCTTTTATGTGAAAATTTCTAAACATTGTCCGCATTGTTGGTGTTCTCTTTCAAATTTCTCCTTGTGACTTCCATTGACTTGGAAAAGTGTGGAGAAAGTCATTGGGGATTCAAAGGGGACCTCATCGAGGGCATTCACCTTCTCTTTACCCCAACCCTGGCCCTTCACCCATTCACAATCCCTCATAATCGCCCCGCTTTCACCCTCTCTCTTCCCCTTTCCACCACACTTTGACGATGTTTCGAGAATAGCCTCCATTTTGCTGTTTGTTCGGCTTTTCCGTTCCAATTCACCCCTCCGACTTTAACAAATTACCCCTTGCTTCGAGATTTTTCGTTTCAAGAATTAAAATCTTTTTTGAAATAAAAAGAGTTGACAAGTTGAGGAGAATTCTCAGGGGAGTTTAACGAGAACACAAATCTCAACAAATAGAATTTGGGGAAAGCGAAAGGGATGATAAAGGAGGGGAATTCGGCAATTGTAAAGGTGGGTTTTTAGAGGGAAAAGTTTAAGGAATGATAGCTTCTTTTAATTAGATAGCTGTGAATTTGTGAGCTGAACACAGAAACACACTCTGTCTCACACACTTAAATAGGCTTGTTTTTCTTTTCACATTTGATTCGTTTCAGTAAGGGAAAAGAAATGATTTGACTGCAGAAAGAGTGTGGTTTCATGGGGATAGGAGGTATGGGTATGTAGGTGTGAGATGGGTAGGTAGGTGTGAGATGGGTAGGTAGGTATGAGATGGGTAGGTAGGTGTGAGATGGGTAGGTAGGTGTGAGATGGGTAGGTAGGTGTGAGATGGGTAGGTAGGTGTGAGATGGGTAGGTAGGTGTGAGATGGGTAGGTAGGTGTGAGATGGGTAGGTAGGTGTGAGATGGGTAGGTAGGTGTGAGATGGGTAGGTGGGTAGGTATGAGATGGGTAGGTATGAGAGGTATGGGTAGGTAGGTATGAGATGGGTAGGTATAAGAGGTATGGGTAGGTATGAAAGGTATGGGGATGGCAGGTATTCCCCATGGCAGGTATTCCCATGGCAGGTATCCCTATGGCAGGTATTCCTATGGCAGGTATCCCCATGGGGATAGTTCTCTGAGTACAAAGTACACATAGGAAAGTAGAACTCTGTCTGTCTTGATAGAATTTGATTCTTTTGTAGATATTTGGATCACAGCACTTTGTAGCTAGCATGTAAACACTGGAGCTAGGTTTTCGTATAAGAATCTAGAATCTAACGATCTAACTAAAAAAATACATAGAAAAAGTATTCAGTATAACAAATACTATTCAATAGTAGTAGCAATAGGCAAACAATTATATAAGCTTTAATTATATAAGTTATAGAAAACAAGTCCTAACTTTTTTTCTCCTAAAAAACTTTAACCACTACTTCCCTCACTAGCTTCAAATGAAGATCACTGGGATTTATTATCTTGGAAGTACACATTTCTCACGACCCTCTATGATAGACTAATTTCTTTTGGCAAAGTATTTCCCAAAAAGGGAAAATGCGCCCAGATGGAGCCAAATTTCTCTTACGATTGGACCACTTTTTATCCTTTTCCCTCCAAGCTCTTTAGTGAAGTGGATTCATGGAAAGCGGAAAGGAAAAAAAAAAGAACAACTGAACCAAATGGTTTTGCCAATTTTGCCGGGACATTGAGGTCAGAGAATGGGTTTTTGTGAAGCTTTCTGGAAGTTATTTGAGGGGAAGTGAGGTCAGTGCAAAAAAGGTGAGCAAAAAAAGGCGCAACTCGTGTTTTGGTAGACTTGCAAGTTGTGGAGCTACGGAATTGGATTCGATATCCGATATTTACAGGTTATTGGGTCTAAAGCATACTGTATTGGGTTAGATAAGTATCTATAGTAACTCGTACAGTAACCCTATGAGTGATTACTGAACAGTGCCCAGTTTGTTGCCTAGATTGGTCCCCTTGTTTTTGCATGGATAAAAGACTTTACAGGTTTCAATATTGTACATGTTTAATTATCCAGTACTTACAATTATCCTAATGCTTGCAGATAACCAGTATCTGCGTACTCATTGCTTGACAATTTCTAAAATATTCAGCTAAAATATTCCAGCCCAGTGCCCAAACTAACCCCATTATATCATGCTTTGTTACCGTATACTTCGCTGTCTGCCTTGAAACTATATAACTACTGTTTAGCAAAGCAGCAAAAGCAATGGATACATGAAATGCTATACGGTGGAAAGCCAGCTACAAGCTACAGCCAGCTAAATATGCAGATAACAAAGTACAAGCGGAAGTACAGGATTTTTACCCTTGACCCCATCGTTCTATAGCTTAGAAGTTTGACATTACCCTCCTTTTAAATGCCGACTTCGATTTAGGAAGTGAATAAAAAGGGATGAAAAGAAAGAGAAGAGAGAGCAAGGGTTGAGAGCCCCAATGGGGCCCTCGATCGCTTTTCGAAGAGCAAGAGAAACCCCATTTTGTTGTCCCATTCTGGGGGACACTCCTTCCATTCCCTCCCTTCTCTTCAACCCATCAAAATCTTTATTACCATCGTGGGGATTTTAATCAATGACTTTTGAAGTCTATTTATCAAGATTTCATGGGGGAAAGGTTCGACTTCAGACTTGGGTTCAAGCTTTAGAGTTTTGGTTCGATTTCAGACTTGGATCCAAGCTTTAGAGTTTTGGTTCGATTTCAGTTAAAGTTTTGAGTTCGATTTTGAATTTAAACAGAGTTTTAGGTCTAATATAGGATTTTTATAATAAAAAACTTTAAGTTTCTGGTAAAATGAGTGAAATTTGCTATTTTTAAAGTTAAATCCTTATTAGTAGCTCATTTTCTAAAAGCTTATTTTCTAAAATTTGGAAAACTACAGTAACTTTTGTCTGTTTTACGTAATTATGATTCGATGAGAAATCAAAATTTGCATCAAATGAGAGCAAAATTAAATAGAATGATAAAAAAGGGGATTACGGTAGTTTTACAAATTATTCACCTTACTGTAAATTGACGTTACTGTAAATTGGCCTTACTGTACTGAAAGCACGTTACTGTAAATTGACTATTGTCTCAGAAAGTTATGCTAATTTCATTTCTACTCCAAAGTTCACTTGGTTTTCTATTAATATAGTTTTTCTATGTTTTTTTTTCCAGTTTTTCCCCTCAACAAGTGACGCTGTTATGACCGTAATTCAAAAATTTATTATCTCAATGAAAGGCCAACTCTTCCCTTTTCTCATAGACTCCGATATTTCTAGTTTTATATGAAGGACACGTGTTATTATGATCCGGACTTCCGCATGAAGGGAAATTCGATTCGTGGGGAGAAATCTACAAAAAAGCGTGGAACTTTTAGGAATGAAAGAGAAAGGAAAAGAGAAAGACTCCCTCCTTTTTTTTCTGTCAATTTTTGATGCGACCACTCGCCAATGGAAACTTTATTGAAATTTTTTGGGAAAGGTGATGTGGAGGAGTACGAAATGGACTGGAAATGGACTGGAAAATGGATTAGATCAGGAAAAATTGAGTAATTGAAACGATCCCAGAACTTGTTGCAGTGTTGTCTTGAAAGATGTAAAAAAAATATGATTATTGAATTAAACTGAATCGTTTAATTGTCTGGATTTGAAGGTTTAAGCTTTTTAGCAACTCTAAACTTTGCAAAAATTCAGTGTTTTCCCAAAAAAGTTGGGTAATTGAACCGACTTTCGGTGATTTGGTGTACATTTTGCTCAAAAAGAAACCCATCCTTTCTGGCACACACTGAATTCATTTTTAAATTTCCTATCTTCTAAACGCCAAAATTCATCAGCTTCAAAATCTCCCCCCATTTTTATTGGGATTTTAAAGAAAAATTTTTGTTGCTTAGTTACTCGATGGCCGGCCGGGGACTCTCAAATTTTTGAATAGAGGCTTTGTTTTCAGTGAAAATATTCTCTCGAATTCTCTTCAAAAAACCCCCTCGTGGATCCAATTGGAGCTTATTAAGGGCACAAAGAATCCGATTTCTTTTTCGACAGAAAAAAATGAGAAAAAAAAAGCCTTTTCACATCATTGAATATGCATAAGGATGGTTATTTTTAATTGAAAAGAGTGGAGTGTATGGCTACGGTATCTTTGAGTGAGTTTTAGCACGTGGAGCTTGGAAATGGTAGAAGTGGTTCAACGTAGCCAACCTAAGCCCTGAGTTTTCACTAAAAATCTCAATAACTTGCAAGAAAGTACCTAGCTAATAATCTAACATCATTCTTTCTAGTCTCATAAACAAGAAACCAAATATAGCTCAAGCGTAGGCTAGTCAACCCCAATGATGCCATTCTTCTTCTGGCTAAAAAGAATTTAATTTTTTCGAGAAAGGTTCCCTTCGGCTTTCCCTGAGTGAAGAGCCTTGCCAATTATGCACCTGACTAGCCGCAGGGCGACTCTTCCAAAAAAGGGGACTCGCATTTCTCCTCTTTGCTTAAAGCCCACCCACAAATTGAATCAACGCCAGCTACGACCCCGCATAGAGGAACCATTGCTTTATGCATTCACTAACTAGGTATGCTGTTTGACTGGTGAATTGAAATAAAAGTTGAAGAAAACAGTGGATATTCAGTCGCTAGAATAAAATAAAATAAAAGAAAAATAAAAATTAAGATAAAATAAAAGTGGATATTGAGTTGCTTGGCTGAATATTTTGATGCCAATTAGTGTATTTAATTCATCCTTTAGCCGAAAATCGTTTCATTTTCAACGACAGTGGTGTGCTAACTCTTTTGAAGTATTTTCCGTTTTCTAAGTTTACGTGGTTTTTAAAGGGTTTAAAGTTAATTTCTAACGTACTATCTAGCATGTACCACCCTGAATAACTGTACTTTTAACATACGCAATATTCCCTCTGAACCTTCGAAAGCTTTTGACTTTGAACTTTCGACCAACCTGAGTGCTGCCATTGAATATCTTCAGAATATGATGCGAAAAAATTCTTGGTTGAAGTGAACCCTTGGGGGAGTAGAAGGTAGAAATGGAGCTCGCTCGGAGACCCTGGGAAAAAGGGGCGGGGCATTCCCCGGCTCTGTCTTTTGCTTCCCGTTTGATCAAATAACGTGGACCGGCAACCGTAGTTTAGACGGTTTTCGGAACAGCGCCTCGAGATTTTGGATGTTTTTCGATTGGTTTTTGTTAAGGAATCGGCGTTATTAGGAGTTTGATGAGTCTTTCGCTTCTTTTTATGATTCTATTTTGTAAGAACGTATGCCTGTTGCATAAATAAGATAGATCTTTCCATGTCCGGTTGAAAATTTGTTGTTCTTAGATGCTGACTTTGAAAAACCTCCACATTTTACTCAACAATTGGTCTATCTTGTTCTTAACACCCCGTTGGCTCATTTGTAATGAATGCCCAATAAAACATTGTTACTATTCTTCTGTTTAGCTTCGTTTTGTTTTTGTTTCAATTCATGGGCAAACCAATTTGGTTTATTTTCAGGCAGATGTTTCCACGGGTACTTTCTCGGCTTTCGCTCTCCAATTTGACGAACTTTCCTCGATGTGTTTCAACAAGTACTCCAAAATTATACGCCACAAGCCGGCCAGAGCCTGGAACCAGTGTAACGCCTCCACTCACAATTGAAGACGTTAAAGTGACTCCTCGAGCCATTCAGCGATTGAAGCAAATTCTTACCACTGGTGAAAAACTACGGGTAGAGGTGGACGGTGGAGGTTGCAGCGGCTTTGAATACAAGATTCGGCTGGATACAAAACTTGGCGATGACGATCGTGTGCTGCAGATGGAAGGAGTCGAAGTTGTTGTTGACAAATTGTCACTTGGATATCTTCGAGGAGCAACCGTCGATTATTATGAAGATCTGATGAAAACGTCATTTCGTATAGTTGATAATCCTGTTGCGGAAAAGGGATGTAGTTGTGGCAGTAGCTTTGCCTTAAAATTAGACTAGACAATTGCACATACGTATTTGAATTCGCTGTGATTACTTGTAAATAGACTTTTAGGATTGCATTCATGGTTCGTATTTATTGGATATTCTTGTGTGCTGAGATTTTCTTGATGAGCAATTTTAGATAAAGAAGATGTCGGATAAAGAAGACACGCCGGAAAAGGACGTGCAGGGACCGTCCTCTTCGTTATCAGCTGCAATGAGCAACGCCGAAAGGATGAAGATGATGAATGAAAAGATTCGACAACTTTCACAAAAGAGAGTTGGTTATTGTTTAATAGTTTAACTGATTATTTGAAAATTTTACAATGTATTTATTTAGAATGAAACCCGAAAGGCCAACAAAGCCGATGTCGTCGAAGAAGATCGCAAGATAAAAAATCCGAAACACGTTCAACAAGAAGTGCGCCGCGAATGGGATTTAAATGAACTTGAAGAGAAAAAGGTTGCAATGTACACTAACTTTTTTATTAATACGTTCTTTAGAAAGCAGAAGAGTTGGGAGTGGACTTCGAGAGAGCCAAAGCAATGAGCACGAGTGCAGATGCTGTCTGGAAACGGGATGCTGCCAAAAAGCGAAAGAAGAATCCGAATCAAGATGCACTTGTTACTGGAGGTCTAGCACTGAAAATTTTTTGGAATATATTCTTTTAGATTATGAAACCATGTCACTTCGCCAAAATGATCGCCTCACCAGGGAGATAAAGCCAAACTTCGAAGAATATAAACGGATGCGTGAAGTTATGTAAGTTTTAGGCTTTTAAACCTTTTGTAATTAATATTTAGTGGCGAAGAACAATTTTACCCTTCGGTCAACACAATCACTGACGGAGCATACTACCCAACCCCGGCTGCGCTTGATCGCCTTTCAAACACTGTTCATGAAATGTAAGCTTTTGTCCAAGGTTCTAAATTTGACTTCTTTTAGGGTCAAAACTCGCGAGAAAGTGCATCGTAGGTGGGTTGTGTTTAATTTTAACAACTAATAACAATAATGAAACACTCAAAATGGTAATAAAATTAATGTTTAGAAGAATGTTTGATCCAGATTCGGAGGTTACTTACATCAACGAGAAGAACAGGGTTTGCCAATTCTTTTTCTTCGGACTTACGTTTCTTCTTAGGTTTTCAACAAGAAGCTCGACACCTACTATGGCAAGTATACGGAAGATCTACGCGAGGACTTGGAACGTGGAACCGCCCTTTAAAGTTCTCGTTAATGTTAATGTTTTTTATTTGTGTGTACAAAAATAAATATTTGTGGTTATCTGAATTTTATGCTTTTTTGGTTGTTTCCTAGCAATTCCTAAGTGGGTTCTGATTCTCGTTTGCTTGCCTCTACACGGGGATTCAGATGCTTCCTGTTCGGCTCAAGAGGTATGGTTGGTACAATCAAATGTGTGTCGTGAAGCTTTACGAGGGACGGTAAGCTATTTATGGAGAGTGGGATGAATTTCAACCTTTAGTGGTTCCATGCTTTTGGGAATTAGAGCCTCGAGTTCAACAGCACCTCAGACGACTGAGAATGTAAACCCAATAGAAAAGTACACAGCATTCGGTGGACTACGAAAGGTTTTTTTGAATCGTGGATGGACTTTCTTAAATTTCTAATTTTAGCCGAAGAAGAGCGTTTGGCATTACACGGATCGTGTTGCCGGCAAGGGATATTCGGACTTCTCCAACACCATATACAACACCCGACCCTACATTTGGCCACCTTTGAGGTTTTGTGAACTTTCATTGTTCTTTAAATCTTTTTTAGGAAGTTAAACAAGATAAATGCTATCTTGGTGGGATTGGGAATGCTGTTTTTACTGATCGATTTTGAAAGGTTTGTAGAAGTTTTTGCTGTTCAAGTTTCCAATTCTAGATTCACTCAAGCACTTGAAGAAATACTTTCAACCTCGTTAACCAAAGCGAGCCCTGAAGCTAAGCAAGTTCAAAATGGAGGTAAATTTGTGACATAGATTGATGAATGAGAAACTTTTTAGAGGACAAGGAAGAAGAGCACCTCCACGAGCCTTTGCTATCAGAAGCATCTACTTCAATTGAAAAGAAAAAGGTAAAAGCTTCTGAGTAAACACTAATTTTTAGTTCTAGGAAAAGGGCAGGAAGAAGAACGGTTTTCGTGAACGAAGAATTATTCAGTATGAAGATCGCATTCGAAACTATTCAACGCCCGATAAAGTGTTCCGCTATTTCGCTACGTTAAAAGTATTTCTAAGCTCTTAATCACAAAACAAAAGTTTAGGTTGTTAATGAGTCCGGCCAATATGAAGTATTTATGACGCCAGAGGTACAAGCTTATGATAGTATGTGAGAAAGTACTTTTCAGGATTTTGTTCGCTCTTTTACGCCCGGCGTGATGCAACCTCGAAAATATTGCCTTGACCGGTTTAAAGTCTATGATCCTGAGGTAAATTTTTACTCTTTTAAAACTGGTAAACTTCTTTTAGAAATATCGTCACAATTTTTCTGATCCATCGTCAATTTTCTACAAACTTGGTGAAAGTGGATTGATTTCCTACAGCGATTATCTTTTTTTGAAGACACTGCTATCGAGTGAGGCTTTTAAATTGTAACCTAAAACGTGTAATTTTTAAAACGAAAACATTGTGTTGGTGCTAATCTTAAGTCTTTAGCGTCGCCAAAAGATTTTGAGCTCGCCTTTCGCATCTTTGATATTAATGGGGATGGAGCGCTTGATAAAGAAGAATTTTATAAAATTCAAGTGAGCATTCCATTGCAAAGTACCATACTAACTTTTATTTAGAATGAGTCACTAACTTGCTAACACTGATACATCGAATCATTTAGAGCCTTGTCATGTCTCAAACTTCAATTGGACAGCGGCATCGAGATCACATCACCCCGGGTCTTTCTTTTCGAGTTCAAACAAATTCCGCCCTTGAATCTTACTTCTTCGGCAAAGACGGTTCACAAAAACTTTCTGCTGAAAAATTCTTAGAGTTTCAGGTCGTTAACTATAGATTTTCTTTAATCCTTTAAATTTAGGCTGATCTTCATCGCGACATCTTAAAAATGGAGTTTGAACGGCGTGATCTGTTAGATGGTTTGTATCCTTACTTCTGAATCTGTATTTGTTTCTTTAGGACAAGATGGAATCATTTCTGAGAAGAGTTTTGGTGAACTGCTCCTATTGCATGCACATATTGATGAGAAGCAAACAAAGACCATGCTCAAACGAGTGAAAAAACAGTACAAAGGCTCTCAAGGAATCACATTTGATGAAGTGAGTCTCTGATAACACCAAGTAGCAATTTAAATCTTTCAGGTGATGGCACTCTTTGCATTGCTCTATCATATTGAAGAGGTCGATGTGGCGCTTCATTTTCATCGCATGGCTGGTGTTTCAATTGATGGAGAGATGCTACAGAGGGTGGCTAAAAAGGTACGCATAGCTGCTTCTATTCGGATGAAACTTTTTTGCTTTAGATCACTGGCATCGATTTGTCCAATCATGTCGTGGAAGTAGTGATAACACTCTTCGATGATAACCTGGTGATTTTGTAATTTGCGGTTGACAATTTTGAATGCCCTTTTAGGATGGCAAACTCTCGGATAAGGAATTCATCTCGGTGATGCGACGAAGAATGAGACGCGGGCTTGATCACCCTGGGTTTGTTGCAGCTTTGTTTTATCCTTAACATGATGTTTTAGTGATACCGGTGTTTTCCGTTTTGGGCAAGCAGTCATCGAATGCAGCAAGCGTGCACTTTTTGATTCTCCGTTGCCACTGTATCAATTGAAACATTAGATTGCTGTTGTGAATAGTTTTATTCATCTATGTATTTAATGTTTTGTACATTCTTCGCACATATGCATAGTTAATGCTTATTAGGCTATTCCCAAATAAATCGTTGTCGTTTTTTCCTGAGAATTTATTCTTAATGCTTTACGGGCATCAATATTTAAACCATTTTCGTACTACTGTCATTTTATCGCACCATTGTCATTTGCCTGTCGTAAGTGGTTAATTTTAGACGATGACTGGGCCAGCAATTGAGGGTTTGGCTTGCGGCGGAAGCAAGGTGAGAATTTGTAAGTCTTTAATATCTACCTCTAAATTTAGGGTTACCCAGTGACTAAGCTCGACAAAAAGCCCCGACAATCGCGCAGAAAAGGAACAAAGTCCAAGAAAGCCGTTGTAAGTTTTATTTACTAGTTAGCAATTTAGTAACCACAAAATGTCTGTATTCGATTAATTTAGGCTGTCCGTGATTTGGTTCGAGAAATCGCTGGATTTGCTCCCTATGAGAGAAGAGCCATGGAGTTCCTCAAGATCAGCAAGGACAAGAAAGCTCTGAAGTTCTTGAAGAAGCGCGTTGGAGGACACGGCCGTGGCAAGCATAAGAGAGACGAACTCCAAGACGTACGTACTTTTACATTTTAAAATTTTTATGAAAAACATTTAGGTGTTGATCGCCATGCGCAAGCATCACAAATAAGGATTTTAACGAGCTGTTGTTGATATTTGTTATTTTTAAAATAAACTTTTTAACAATTTTGCTTTTTTTACTACATGTTAGTGGCTACTTTGGGCAAATTGGTTACATTGGGTAGATCGGGGGAAATTGTAAAAGAGCATACAACATTTATCCGAATTTAGAAGGGTAAATTTTCAAAATGGTCCAAATTAAATGGGGGTTTCCACTGTCAATTCTTATGCTTTCGTCGGTTTTGGTGGCTGTTCTGATTCCCGGATTTTTCTTGCTCTCGGTAGCAAATCGGCTTTATCCGGATCACATCACCAAATTCTCTTCATTTGAAGATCTTCTCTACATCCCAGAGTATCTAGCGAAGGTACTTTAACTAATTGAAAGTTTAAAATATTTCTTTAGGCCGCAATCACGTTTTTTCTTGGCTGGTTGTCTTTGATGGTCTACGGGGATTTGGTTCTTCCAGCGGTAAACTCGAGCTTCCAGGTATGTTTATTTTACTACATAATAGTGGGAAGCTTAACTTATTCAGAGTTCTACTTTTAGTTAATCTTCTCACTTACACATACGGAAGAAACAATAGCAAATGCACCAAGCGAGATCAACAATCAACATGAACATAAGGAAGCGACCTTCGAGTTACCAGCAGGTAGTAATTTGTTGAATACCTAGTATATTTGCTGATTTGTGAGAATTGAGCATCGCTAGTCTTTTTGTTTTTAAAAGTTTATACCCTTTTCTATTTTAGATTCCAATTCTAATGATCAACCTGAGCCCATTGTTAGCAAAAAATCGTCCTTCATGAATCGAGATGAAAGGAACGATTCCGGAATTGGACTAGACGAGTATTGATTTTCTTAACTATTGCTATTGTCTGTGATTACTATTTTGTGATTTTTCAAATTATTATTGTGATTGGATATTATGGGTGATTTAATAAATTGTGTATCTGAAGAAGCAGTGAGTATCGAAGAGCGGGATGAGCGCAATAACTTGCGACGGTTGCCTAATTTGATGTGGGGGTAGAAATTGTAGGTTACGTTTATTTGGACACAAAACAGCACAGAAAATAACCTCGGACACTAGATATTTGAAAATCAAAAAGATGGTAATTTTGCAAGTATCTAATATTCTTCACATTTACATCTGCTCGCCACAACTTCGGGGATGATAGCCTAAATTGCGTTTGTCGCTTACGGAAAAGTAACGGTTTTTTGTCTTTGGCATCCTAGTAGAAACTTTTAAATTGCTTGTCATAATTATTAAAACTGATTATGGAAGTCCTTTGAACGTTAACGAACCCGATCCAACATTTCGTCAATCTTCGCACGCACATCCAATCCTGTTCGCTCAGAATCGTAGCAACCGACTCGACGACGAACCTGAAATGGAATTTGTTTAATCTTACGGTTGGTTGCGATAGACTTTAGTAATTTTTTGGAAAACTCGTTACATTAGAAAATTCGAATTTTATCTCTTACATACGTTTGTTGTCCCAGCAGCAAGAGTGCAGGCCTTGATGTCGATGTTTTTTGGAGTGCCGAACTCAGGCGTGTACGCGTAGACAGGAGCTAGGCGACATTCCTGAAATAAGTCGGTATGCATTTAGTCAATTCATTCTTTTATCATATCACTAGTTTTTCAATTACCTCATTGCAGGGTAATCCCTTTTGCCGATATCGAGCCGTCAACAAGCCCTCCTGAAAATGGAATGGAATGAAATCCCAATTTCCTCTCAAAAATTTACCGTAATGACGAAGTTGTTCATGTAGTCGCAAGGGATTCGAACCGTAGCCGAGACTGCTGACTTTTTAGCAATGATGTATCTGGAAATTTGGGAGTTTTTAAAGCTTTAAAGCTCTATCAGAGTTAAAAATTTTCAAATTTTGATTATTTCCTACCGTTTCGGATTTTCAACTCGACACGCGAACTCCATTTCTCCGTTGTTGTTCATCGAGTAGGGAACACGGCAGAGAATTTCCTGGAAATGTTTGATTTTCTTTGAACTCTTTGAATTCTTTGAATTGAGATTTATTTTCCAAAGCTTTCAGTTAACCTATCCCAAAAGTTACATTGAATTCCGATTGAACGTAGAGAATTGAGGCATTTGGACAATGATGCGGGATCTTACGCGAAACCGAGCTCACACGTAACTCGAAGAAAACGTCGAGCAAATCCCAGAAACTGTAGTAGTTGAGCTAAAAATTGGGGTATGTAAAAGAAGTTTTTTTTCGGTTACTGTAGGTAATTGGTAACTTTCGTCACGCTGACTAATTGCAAGAGCTTTACCGCTTCGACGTAAAAGACCATCCCGTGACCCAATGGCCATCCCTCAAAAGGCACTCTCACGATTTTGTTGTCCTTCTCGTAGAGGTCGAGGTCAAGCTAAAGTGTTCGGTAAGTTCGGTAAGAGAGTTTAAAAAAAGAATGTAGTTTAAAAACCTGTTGCTGATAGGTGAGATTCGAGCGTCCGGTGAGAAAAATGTCGGAAACTTGACGAAACTCGGCCAAACGTCCATTCACGGTGTTTTGCGTAAGAAAACCGAAAATTTCCAAAGGGAATAGAAAAAATGAGAATAAGAAGAGCATTTTGAAAATTAAAAATGATTTTTGAAATAAAAAAATCAAAGAAGGCCGACGAATTTCGGAAATTATTTGACTTTTTTTCTTTTGACATCTGCGGCAAGATGAAGGGAGTTTAATTTCGGCGAACTTGACAATTATAGGGATAGGTGAGAGGAGAATTTGTTTGTTTGGATAATTTGTTAAGGATAACTTGTTTGAGATCTGCTCAAGTTGCAATTATCGGCTAAAGTACGGCTTTATTATTAGGCTTATTATTAGGGTTTTTCATTTGATTTGCATTTGTAGAAGTTTGCGTCGATGAAATTTTCACTCTCATTTTCATTTTTCAAAACGTTTTTCTCACCTGGAGGCTTGCTTTCTTGTGTATCTTCTTTTTATTTAAAATTTTAGACTGATCCGGATCTCCCACTTGTACCTGCAACACTGCAACGAGTCATTCATGTCGAGACGTTTCGCAATGTTCACTTTCTCGAACGCCCAGTCAGATCTCGTTCTTGGTTCGTTTTTTTTACTTTGTAAAGCTTTATTAACTTACCTAGTTTATATGGAATTAAGCTAAGTTTGAATATCGATAGTAGATAACACCTTTTAAACAACCTTATAGTTAGATTGGTTTAAAATCTTAGATAATCTAGTATTCGTAGATATTCTAGCTATTTAGATTATCTTTCTTGCATATTTCTACAACCGGGAGTAAAATGGTTGGATATTTTAACCATTTTGTTTAGGAACGTTCCTCGTTCTCGGTCGTTGTTCACACAGCCGCAAATGAAAGCGCTGCCACTCGGGCCTACGTTTTTGTGCAGGTTTGAGCATTTTGGATAAGTTCCAATGGTTTTATTTAGTTATCAGATTCGACGGGAGCCGCCACTGAGATGCGACAAAAATGATGCGACCACTAAGATGCGACTAAAATGCTCTATCTCACACCGGGAGAAATTTCAGGTACCTTACTATTAACCAGTACCTTACTATTAACCAGTACCTTACCTTACAGCAATTAAGTTTAATTTCAGCCTGGCCACGCCGATCTCTTTGTGTTGGTCAATCAGACGCCTTTAATTGATGTTAACAAGCTGCAGGTTGAGCAATTAGCTTTTAAAATTGATCTAGCCTACTTTTAGGTTTGGCACCAAAAACGCGAGGACATCCACGATCCATTGTTGAATGTTTGAGAGGTTGAGTCAATTGGTGTGATTGGTAAGGATCAATTTTTTATAATTTAACTTGCTATTTTTTTGTAGAGCACCGTCAGCATCGGCTTTTCCATTTTGAGGGCAACTGCAAGTTGGGAAATGGAGAGGATAAGGTAAAATTGGCGCTTAAATTACTCTTTCATTTTGTTTTAGGAGAGCACCGTTGAGCTTAATGTTTCTGCCCCGCCATACAAGTTATTTTGAAGATTTTAAGCTGTTTTTATTTGATCGTTTTAGGTGTTCCGCTTCAGTTCTCGTCCAGCTTCTCGTCGTCAATCGCTTTCGACGGCTACTTGTACACTTACCGATGGATAAACTTGCATTACCTTTTTTTGCCTTATATTGTACTGGAATAAAGCTATTGCTTATACAAAATGGCACGTGAAACTGAAGAGAAACGAAAACGCAATTATTACGCAAAAACAACTCAACTAAACTTTGGAAGTTTGCAATATACTTGATTTTCCGACGAATTTCGTTTAAAAAGGACTGCCAAGCGCCATGAAAAACTGTATGGCAACTATCGTGTTCGAGTTATGTACAAAAAAAATAAGTCTATATGTAACTTTATGCAAGTCAAAAATGAAAAAAAGGTAGGGCTTAGGTCCCCTAGTCAAGCATCAGGGAAAAGCATGGCACTGTTCGCGTTAGGCGAACTCAAGGGCAAACTTGAAGATCACATCGAGAATCTCGAGCATTTTACGGAAAATTTCATCTCTAACTGCTTCTCTCTTTTTAATTTGGGAATAAAAAATTGGAATATTTTTATTTGAAAATTAATCGTTATACGAGTCTGTATTTCAATTTTTCGAAAAGATGGGATAGACTAGTTTCCGCAATTTTTTTTGCGCAACAGGGTCATTTGCGCCATAACTTTCTTCTAAGTCGCCCAATTTTTATGATGTTGGTTTCATTTTGTTGCACTTATTGAGATCTACAAATTGGAACCAAAATCGTAAAGATTGGCCCATTTAGAAAAAAGTTATGACGACTTGCGCGCACGACCCAGTTGCGCAAATAACCCTGTTGCGCAAAAAAAGCTGCGGAAACTAGCCTAACCCCGAAATATAAAACGGCTATCAAACTTTGAAGTGCAAGATTTTTGGGAACTCTTATTTAGCCGTCCGTAAATCTCTTTTCTCTAATTCTCTAATTCTCCAAAAGATCCATATTGATTCGATGATTTCTAATGTGTTGTGTAGAGTTTGTGCTTTTGGTAGTTGCTTACTTTGAAAATGAATGATTTTGAGAGGCTCTTTTAAAACCTTCAAAATCCCCCAAAAGTGTGTATGCTGGCTTTTTTTTGTTGAAATCTTGCACAATTTATTTTCGATCAATTGTTTCTTTGAGTTCATATCGCTGAAATGCAAAAAAAGCTCACTGATAACGTTTTTTTTTGATCTTTTTAGCCATGTTTAACCTTCCCTTGTGTTAAAAAGTGCGCTTACCAATTGTAGTTTCAATTTTTAGCCATCCGTCATGCCTCATCCAAGCACCGTTTTGATCACTGGAGCGAATCGAGGTAATTTTCGAGTATTTATTTACTTAAACTGTTTATGTTTAGGGATTGGATTAGGACTGGTGAAGGAATATCTCAAAGTCGGCGCGATTAAACACATCTTTGCAACGACTCGAAATCCGGACAAGGCTGAGGTGAGAATTTGCTATTTTAAGTTTATTAAAAAATGGGGATAGGCTACTTTGCACGTATTTTTTTTGCGGTCATTTGCGATCATTTGCTGGGTCATTTGCGCAACTAGGTCTTTTGCACAACTCGCCATAACTTCCTGTTAAGTGGACCAATCTTTATTCTTTTAATGTCATTTTGTAGATCTCAATAAGTGCAACAAAATGAAACCAAAATCATAAAGATTGGAAGACTTAGAAGAAAGTTATGGCGAGTTGCGCAAACGACCCAGTTGCGCAAATGACCCTGTTGCGCTAATAAAATGGCGGAAATTAGCCTACCCCAAAAAATGAAATAAACAACCGGCTTCGTGTGAATTATTTTTGAATGACTAAAAATTGTGGAAATTGTTATTAAATAATAAATCCAACTAAAATTTTCTCACAATAAGTGCTATTTTTAGGATTTAACGCAAATTCAAGACAACCGACTTCATGTGCTGCGAATGGATGTACAGGATGATTCGTCAATCAAGGAAGCTTTTGATCAGGTAGCTGAAAGATTTTATCATTTTATCATTACAGATAAAACATTGATGATTCGTTCCTTTATCATTATTATTTTCGTGTTTAGGTTAATCGAGTGATTGGTGATGAAGGTCTTAATCTACTCATCAATAATGCGGGAATTTGGACAAGCTACGCCGTAAATGAGGAGCCAAATCGTGTTGCCTTGCAGAACATCTTCAACACCAACACTACTGCACCTCTTATCGTTTCGCAGGTTTTTTTTGAAAAAGTATTTTTTTGATTATTATTCTTCAGATATTTCTTCCTTTGATTCGCAAATCCGCTCAAAGAGGAGGTGATTGGGGAGCTCAGAGGTATACTGGAAATTAACGATAATAAAAATATGAACTTCTAGAGCCGCAATTGTAAACATCAGCTCCGGAATGGGATCAATCGGAGAGAACACAAGTGGTAGTGGCCACAACAAGTCGATCGCTTATCGAATGAGCAAGGTTAATTTGATAAATAGTTCAACGTTTATTTTGTGTTTTAGGCTGCCTTGAATCAAATGATGAAAACGCTGGCGGTCGATCTAGAGCCAGAAGGGATTTTGTCGGTGGCCTTCTGCCCGGGATGGGTTCAAACGGATATGGGTGGTAAATCGGCGATGATCACGGTTAGTTTCTTTATTTATATTCTTTATTTTACTTGCAGATATTTAATTCAAGAGGTTTATGAATGTATGCGATGCATTATCGAGCTATCGAGCTATTCAAATTTCATTTTCTTTATTTAGGTTGATGAATCGGCCGCGGCGTTAGTGAATACGATTTCCACTTTCGACAAACAGCATACCGGTGCGTACCTTCGACGCCAAGGAAACAAAATCGAGTTTTGAATGTATATGTGATCTTGTGATTATTTGTGATTTTGTCAGATTTCAAGTTTTTTTTAGGAATGAAAAATGAATAATTTACTTTTTGTGAGCCTACACAATCAAAAATGAGGAAACAGCACATATTACCACAAAAATTTCGAATCAACTTCATTTAGAAGCAAGAGAAAATAGTTTTTGGTCGAAAATCAGACGGAAAAGGATATAAATTGACTAAACTTTACGCAAAGGGCAGTATTTGTAAAACCCTATCCCCGCAAAACTACCCAACTTTAAATTTCGCATAAAGTTTTCATTGCTAGGATTGCTATTGCTGTGTACTGTACCTGTAACTCTTATCAGTACCTTAACGATTCTACAATACTGTGCTCTTTACTTGTTTTACTAATGATGGACTCCTGGTTGAAATATAACCCCAAAACCATTAATTCTAGTGAAGTAAAGGAAAATTTCTGAAAGCATTTCACAATCGTCATCTCCATGCAAAAAAAATCCTTTAAGGATTCAAAGCACAAAAATCTTAGCACAAAAAAGTACAAAATTTTTCACCCTTTTTTTTAGAATCCTCCGAGATCACAGGGGAAATTGGAGGCATTTTTGTCTTTTCATCTCGTCTTTTTCTCAATTTCTCTCAAAGTTCTCTAATATTCTCCCATATTCTCCCATATTTTCCCTTCTTTTCCTCAAAAATCCCTTCACCTTTCGTGTATTTTGTGCTTTTTGTGTCTGCTTACTTTGCAATCTTTTCCCCAATATAAATATCAGCATTTTATTTATTTCGTAAACTATTCAACATTATTCTCAAATTATTTTTAAGAAACTTTAAAACCTTTTTTTGTTGCTTTTTTTGTTACTTTTCTTTCTTTAACCTTTTTCAATAGTCTATTTTCATATTTTCATCCATTTTCCCTTCATATTGTTCATTTTTGAGCATTTGAATGTATCAGTAATTTCTAACAATGTATCAGTAATTTTCTTTTCCAGAGAAATACAATGGCCGTCCCCCAATCGGTTCTCATCACTGGAGCGAATAGAGGTAAAAGTTTTGACTCTTTTGTGTTTTTGGGGTGGGACAAATGCGCCTGCTTTGCGCCCTTTTTGGCCGTAGAGCTCGAAATATTTCCATAGAAGGAATCGTATGCGTAGATTCCAATTTCGAACAGACCCGCACGAAAGCTAAAGAGGGAAAGCCTTATTGCTGGTTGCCTTTGCCCGTCTGTTTTGTCGTCGAAATCTACGCATACGCCCCCCTATGGAAACATTTTTGAGCTCTACGACCTTCCTAAGGCCTTTCAAAAGGTGCCAGAAAAGGGCGCAAAAAGTTGTCCCCCCTGTGTTTTTCCATACTTTTATTAAGCCTAAAGATAATTAGTCAAATTGTTGGCTCATTCAAATAAATCGCTCAACTTCAACTCAACTTTCAGGAATCGGTCTTGGCCTCGTGCACGCCTATTTGAAGCTTTCTGGAGTGAAACATGTCTTTGGAACGGCTCGTGATCCCGCGGCGGCTACGGTAGGCCAAAAATTAATCTTTTTTTTTTGTTTGTCAAATTGTTTGTCAAATTCTAATCAAATTCTGTTATATGATAAGAATATTTTGGTCAAAAATTGAGCATTCTTCTTATATTTTCAGGAATTTGCCTCTATCAAAGATCCCCGATTCCATGCTCTTAAAATGGATGTTCTCTGTGATGAATCGGTGAAGAAAGCGGCTGAAGAGGTGAGTTGAGAAGAGACGTAAACTTTGTGCGAGTCCTCTGGCACAATAGAATCCCATAAAATTAGGCTTTCAGTATGCCAGAAGACTTCTTTTTACTCTAAAACTTAAACGCTAATTCGATCGAGTTTTTATTGAAGAAATCTCTTTGTTGTTTAGACGACAAAAATTCTTGGCTCTGACGGACTGAACTTGTTGATCAACAACTCGGGAATCTTTGAGAAATACGATGTAAGCTTTTAAAATATATCTTTATTTAAATTTGAAGTAATTTTTATGATTTTAATTTCAGGTCCTAGAGACACCCGATCGAAAAACGCTGAACAAGGTGATCGAAGTGAATGCAACCTCGCAACTCATCGTCACCCAGGTAGAAAAGAGATTTGAGTAAAAGAAAAAAATGTACATTATTGATAATACCATTGTTTAAGAACGTGTTTTCAGTTCTTCTTACCACTCCTCCGGAAAGCCGCCGCCTCAACAAGTGTATGGGGAATTCAACGGGCAGCTGTGGTAAGTGAATTTAAAAATATAGTTTGATTCTCTATTGATTTCTATTGATTCTCTATTATAAGCTAGATATCTATCTACCAAATAAGAATTGTTATTTGCAATATTGTTATTTATTGCTATTTATTCCGGATTCACATTCACTATTCATTCAGATAATGATGTCATCGGGAGCCGCCTCGATTGTCGACAATACAAGTGGAAGCAAGTTCATTCCAGCTGTCGCTTATCGCATGAGCAAGGTTTGTGAGAATTGATCTTTAGCGTGACAACTATTCAAAATGTTGAAAGTGTTTAGGCTGCTTTGAATCAATTGATGAAAACGCTGGCTGTTGACTTTGAGCCCCACGGTATTCTCGTTGCTTCGATCGCCCCGGGGCACGTAGCAACCGATATGGGAGGGAAAAATGCCGACATTACGGTAATAATTTTTTCCCAAGTGTGCTTTTTAAAAAAACGCATTACTCTCGAGGAACACACTCTAGCGTAAAGTGTCGGTGATGCCGTCATGAATTTGTTAAAACTTTAAAAGTCAATAGTTATAAATTGAATTCAGCTTTTCTTAAAGCATTGATTTAAACATTTTCAGGTGGATGAATCGTGCTCAGCGATGTTGGACACGTTCTCAAAATGGAAAAAAGAACACAGTGGAGGATTTTTCCGACGAAATGGAGATCCATTCCCATTCTAAATTTTCGTTCGTTCACAAATTTCCCCTTTTCCCCTTTTCTCCTTTTTGTTTCCCTTCGATTTACCTTCGTTTAGCCGCATTTTCAGGCCCAGCAAAAGCTTTAGATTTAGCGTTATCGCTAAAAACATTCTAGAATTCTTTATTACTATTTTTTTCTTATATTTCTAATACTTTGATCTTCTTATTTTTGGTTGTGGTTTTTGTTTTGATCTTTACAATACAATTTTGTACGTCAATATTTCACAATACAGATTTTGATCCAAAGAGGCACACAGAAATTCTAAAAACTCGAAAATCCCCTTTTAAGTAGAACTTATTTTATGGGAAACTTTGTACAAAGCACAGACATCATTAGCTTCATCAATCCATCTATCAGCCAAAAATTCATCGCTGTAATGATGCCCCTTTTTACCTCAATTCTTCAATGAGATTTACCCAGCTTATTCAGGTTCATAAAAACCCCCGAAATAGCCATCAAAAGGAAAAATGTTTGACTGATACAGTAGAAGATATCTTGATAGGAAGCGGGAATTCTTATTTCACGAATTTATATATAAATTTGACTGAGACATTGACTTTTTAGGAAACTTTATCAGTCAAACATTCTAACTCATCCAAAACCTCACCATCACAATCAATGTCTCAGTCATCTACAGTCAATTGACTGTAGATGACTGGGACCGTATTGGAACCGTATTAGATCAAAAAAGGAACCGTATTGGAACCGTATTAGATCAATTGACTGTAGATGACTGAGACATTGACTGTAGATGGTGAGGTTTTGGATGAGTTAGAATGTTTGACCGATAAAGTTTCCTAAAAAGTCAATGTCCCAGTCAAATTTATATATAAATTCGTGAAATAAGAATTCCCGTTTCCTATCAAGATATCTTCTACTGTCACAGTCAAACATTTTCCCTTAATACCAATGCCAAAAGGTTTTCAGAAAAAAAGCGCCACTAAGCTTTTGATGATTTCTGTCTACAATTTTTCTATTATATTAAACAAAAAAAACTTCTTCTTAGATGATCTCCTAAGAAATTTCATTTTAACTCATCCAAACCTTCACCCATGGTTCTCTTGGTGTTTTCTATGGGAATTGCTTTCCAATGAGAATTCAAAAATCACAAAAAAAGGTAAAAATTGATAAAGTAGAAGCTATTTCATTTTTTTTTGATTTTATGGGTTACAAAGTCGCACAGCTTTGCCCAAAGCCCATTGTTCTAGAAATTCGTCCCCATTCCCGCATTTCGGAATCTCTACGAAAATTTCTCAGTATTCCCGTGAGCCAAACTGACTCTTGACTACTCAAAAAGAAAAAGTTAATATTAATATGGCACAGTATTATGAAACTGTTAACTTTTGTTATGGTACAGGTTTCAGCAAAAAAAAAAGTGTTAAATGAATTTCATCACTAGATCGATCATTTCCCTGATGTGATAGGATTTGGCTGATGTTCATCGAGCCGACCACAAAACATTACCAAAGTCGGGGAAAAGATAGATGAAATGAAGAGGGGAAAGATGAGAGAAGTCTCTCAACCAATGAAAACCAATGAGATAATCAGATCTAAAATTATCGTATTCTCTCTAATAGTATTGCACCAAAAGCTTTGCCTAAACTCCTTGAAATCTCGAAAAGCGCTTATGAGAACCTATCGATTTGTGGTCGGAAAATGTCGCTGACGATGAGATCTAGTGAGGGATCTGAGTGTTGAGCTTCTGGGAAAACTTTGAAACTGTAAAATAGTGATCAACTCGGCTCGGCGCTACTATTAGAGAGAAATACGATAGTCAAATTTGATGCGTTTACTTGGAACAGACTAGTTAGGAGGGAAGGATAGCGTGATTGAACCCTTAGGTTTTAGCAAACTACCGTAGTTGTCGATGTCTATGTTTTTCTAATCAGTTCTGATTTACTGTATTCTCTCCAATAGTAGTGCACCCTGATTGCCGACTAAATTCCTCGAAATCTTGAAAAGCGCTTATGAGAACCTATCGATTTGTGGTCGGAAAATGTAGCTGACGATGAGATCTAGTGGGGGATTTGAGGGTTGAGCTTCTGGGAAAACTTAGAAACTGTAAAATAGTCATCAACTCGGCTCACTACTATTAGAGAGAATACGGTATCTACAAATCTCATTATTTCATTTCATTTTTCGAGAAATCCCTTGAGCTTTCCCTAAAATAAACCACCAAAGCCGATGCAATATATTCGAACGCAACAGCTGCATGATTTCGACAAAAAGCTCTCTTCTTTCCATCGAAATGAGCTCCTTCAACGGGTCAAGAGAGGCAAAAAGCCGAAAAAAAAAGCCTCAAAGAGATCCAAAAAGACTCAAGAAGACGAAAAAAGACGAAAAAATGAAAGAAAAGATCCAAATTCTCCTTTTTTTTTTCTTCAATTGTTTATTCGAGAATCCTGGGAATTTTTTGGCCTTTAAACTTGAATTTTTAAAATCAAAAATTATTAAAAAATTTGTAAAATTCATTTTCTAACGTTAAATTCTATCAAAAAAATCGTATTTTCTTTAATTTTGAAAAAATTTTGTACATTTTTTAGATTTAGTACATCAATTGTACATCATTTGTACATCAATTGTACATCATTTGTATCATCATTTGTACATTTGTACATCAAAATGTTTCAAATAATTGCCCGACTGCGAAAGGTTTGTTTTTTTGAGTGAAAAATTTGTATTTTCTCAAAAATTTACATATAAACTTCAAATATAATTTCGACCCCTAAGTTTTTCGAAAAATGAGACGTTCCTTTTTTGGGCAGACGTTTTTTTTTCCAAAATTTCCCCTCAAAGATTTTTTTGATTTTCCGCATCGATAGCCCGGCCCGGGGAAGATTTGGGAAAGGGAAATGCTGAATTTTTGAAATCTTTTATACAATAAATATGCTATTTTTATGTTAATTTAATAATTAGTTAAAAATATTAAGAATCTAATGCATAGTAAACATTTACTAGCTCAAATTTCATGTTCGTGTGTTTTTTCTTTCTTTCTGGAGTGTGTAAAAGCGAAGAATTTCTGTAGAATTTGATATTTCTAGAACTTTCGCAATTTTTTTATAAATAAACTCATTCAAAAGATAAAATTAGAATCATTTAGTAAAGTGATTCGATTTTGAATCTATTTAATTGAATTGAATTGAATTGAATTGAATTGAATTGAATTGAATTGAATTGAATTGGATTGAATTGGATTGAATTGGATTGAATTGAATTGAATTGAATTGAATTGAATTGAATTTAACCACCCGGACATTTGCGCACCTTTTTTCGCGTTTTAAAAAAGCTCTAAAAGCTCTAAAAAGCTCTAAAAAGCTAATATTAACCAATTTCTGTTCCAAAAGTCGTTTTTCTAGGTAATTTGAGGGCGTCGAATTCGAAATTTTGTTATATCAGAGCTTGTGGAAGCGAACGGACGGAGTTATACAAAGAGAAAAATCGATATCGACAGAAAATCGACAATTTTCTGTAATTTGACCTAGCCGTCTTTCAAATTGGTTCCACACGCTCTGTTATGTCAAAATTTGAATTCGACACCCTCAAATTACCTAGAAAAACAACATTTGGAATAGAAATTGGTTAATATTAGCTTTTTAGAGCTTTTTTAAAACGCGAAAAAAGTTGCGCTAATGGGCAAGTTGCGCAAAAAAAGGTGCGCAAAAAAAAAGTCGCATTTGTGCTCTAAAAAAAACGTGCTCTAAAAAAATGTTTAAAAGAGAAAAATTGATTCCAAAAATTTGGGCATAGTGCCGTTGAAAGTGGCTCAGTCGTTACAATTTCTTTACCGATCCCAAAAGGAACCACCTATCTATTAGGCGCATGTGCCAGACGGCGAGCGATTACGCTGCCGCACAAAGAACATTGCCTAGGCATAGGGATTTCTATTTTCTTTTGCAAATGATTCTCAAATGAGAGTTAATTTGTCAAAAATTTTTTGCCGAGCCCACTCCCATTTAATTTAATTTAATTTAATCTTTTTCCTTTTTAGACTCACGAGCGAAAGATGGTCGAGTTGGATTTGAAAAAGGTTTATATAAGTTGTGTTTTTTATTGTTTTATTGTTTTATTCTTTTATTATTTTATTCTTTTATTCTTTTATTCTTTTATTATTTTATTCTTTTATTCTTTTATTGTTTTTTTTATTTTATTTTCTATTTTGTTACTTACTTCATCTTTCTTTATCACAACAAAAACTTAGAGAATTAACATTTTAAGGAAAAAGAAATTGTAGAGAATTTCACGGTGAGTATCGCTAAATTTACCTTACTTTGTTTGCTTTAAATTTACGTTAAACTTTTGAACTTACCTTAGTCAACAATTTTAGAATTACCCCTGATAGGAGTATTCAATTCACCTCTAGATTCACCAGCAGTATTCAATTCACCTCTAGAATAGAATAGAAGTGTTCAAATAATCCTAGCAATTTTTCACTTTAAGCTTTGTATAGCCAAGACTGAAGAGGTGAAAAGGGATTCTTGAGAACAACAGGTGACTTTTTAAGGTAGAAAAGAATTCTTTTTCAAACCTCCCGCCCCTCCGCCCTTCCGGTTCTTTGTTTGAATCTTCTAAGAAATTCTTTTACATTCAAATATTCTTACTCTGTTTGTGGTTGACTTTATATTTTATAATCTATAATCAATTTTAATACAAATCAAACTATTATGTTACTCGTCGATAAGCTAAAAATCAGCTTAAAGGGTGACTCGGTAAGCTAATACGGTAATCCAATGCGCTAGAAAAGATTCAAGATTCATTTTGTACTCGAAAATCGAGCTCACTTTATAATAAACTCAAGTTTTCGTCATTTTTAATGACTTTCGTCATTTCTAATGACTCTAAATCGTTAATTAAATACGAGAATGAATTCAATGCGTTAGAAAAGATGTGTTTCTAGATTTGAGCACAAAGTACAGTTGTAATATTCGATTAAGAAATTGAACTTAAGAAATTTTTAGATTTCTCCCATTCTCCTACATTTCCTGTTGGCTTTCTCGGTTGCCGTGTACACTCTATTTGGTGCGATCGTTATGCAATACCTTGAGTCACCCACGGAAACTAGGTTTATATTATATTATTCATTTTGCATTTCAATGTATTAGGTTGAGGAAAAATGATGCGCATTTAAAAATAACAATTTGTAATTAATGGTTTCATTCTACAAGAAATAGTAACTATCAATCAGTAAGGGATTCTCTATTTTTAGCTCTTTTAGCTCTTTAGCTCTCTATTTTAGCGATGATCTCTTTCTTTCTTCTTTCTTCTTTCTTTCTTTCTTCTTTCTTTCTTCTTTTTTCTTTCGTTTTTCTTCTTCTTCTGTCTTCTTCTTTCTTCTGTCTTCTTCTTTCTTCTGTCTTCTTCTTTCTTCTGTCTTCTTCTTTCTTCTGTCTTCTTCTTTCTTCTGTCTTCTTCTTTCTTCTGTCTTCTTCTTTCTTCTGATTTTATTTGTGAAAAATCGGGGAATATTTACTACCAAAATAGTTGTTAACTGCTTTTTTTTGATTTGATTTTGACTTAAGCATAATCATCAAACTGATAAACTGTTTCAAAAAGTAATCTGATGAGGCTAAATGAAGAGCGTATAAGGAAACGACAAAAAAAGCTGGGGCTGGTTAGGGAAACAACCAGCCCCAGCTCGTCAATTTTACTTTGGTGACTTTGGTTGGCAGCGGATCTTGTCTCATTAGCGGCAAATCTTCTCATGACAAATCTTCAATTTTACATTGACAGTGGGATTTCACTTTTTCGTGTCAAAATCGAATCTTTTGATGGGTTGAGCTGAAATTTCTTTAAAACATTGTTAACTTTAGTGAATTGTTTTGAAGAATTGTTAACCTTAGTCAATTGTTTAGTCAATTTCAGTCATTGTTTTGAATAAGCAATGTTTGAATAAGCAGCATCAATGTTTTTTTTTTTGATTTCTGGATTAGCTAACTGCTTATTCAAACATTGTTAACTTTAGTCAATTCTTTTGAATAAGCAATGAGTAATTGAATAATTGAATAAGCAGCATCAATGTTATTTTTTTTTCTGGATTACCTAACTGCATCAAATCTTTTAATTTCCAGCAACAGAACATTATTTTCTTTTTATGAACATCAGATAGATGGCTTGGGGAATAGATATCCAATTCTTCCTTCCGACATTCTCGTAACTAATCCAAGTTTTATGAGATGTCAAAATCGAATCCCAAAAGCCAGCTTATGAAATAAAAAAAGAGCTGCCGTTGACACGAGTTGTTTTGTTGTGTTGAGTCAATACGTTGACCCATTTTCCACAGTGAATCTTTTTCCCGAGTTGATGCAAATGGTTGTTGATTGTTTTCTAATTAAAATCAAACATTTCTGCGAGTTTTGAGTGTTGAATTGAAATCAATGCGAAATTCAAAGCCACAGCAATTCCTCAAGGCGAAATTCAAAGCCTGCATCATTTTTCCCACAACCTAATACCGTATTCTCTCTAATCACCCTGAGCGTTGCCTAAATTCCTCGAAATCTCGAGAACCACTTATCAGAACCTATCGATGTGGGGTCGGAAAATGTAGCTAATGATGAGATCTAGTGGGGGATTTGAGTGTTGAGTTTCTGGGAAAACTTCGAAACCGTAAAATAGTCATCAACTCGGCTCGATTAGAGAATCTATTAGAATAAAATCTATTAGATTAGATTAAATCATCACTACTATTAGAGAAAATATGGTAAAATGGCAAATCTCAACGAATAATTCAAATGATCTTGAAATCAAATCTCGAACTTCTGTAATACTCAACTTTTTCAGATTCTTTTCAGATTTACTCAAAAATCGTATCTTGACCATGAAAAAATATGACCTCAAGTTCACAGATCTAGAAGAAGAGTCGACAGGGCTGGCTAGTGGGGGTTTTCAAAACAAGCCAAGCCCCAGAGTTGGAAACATTGCCTATGGGCCAGGGCTAGGGCCAGGTCACAGGGCTAGGAAAAGATCTAGATCCAGGCAAATCCCAGGGCTAGATTCAAGTCCAGAATCAACTAGTGGAAGCCAGAATACGGTATTAGGCGAAATGAAATCGCCATTTTTACAGTTAATGATAAGATGTTGATGATTTTAAAGTATCATTTGAAAATTCTAAATCTCTTTTTCAAACTGGTAGAAAAGGAAGAAAGAAAAGGAAGAAAGAAAAGGAAGAAAGAAAAGGAAGAAAGAAAGAAAAGGAAGAAAGAAAAGGAAGAAAGAAAAGGAAAAGAAATGATCTCTTTCTATCAAATTGGAGAAAAGATTTCGAGTTTTTAAATAGTACATAAAAGTACATAAAAGTGATGAATATCTTATCGCTAAGCTGACTGTAAAAACAATGATTGTGATTACATTTTGATTACATTTTGATCAAACCTAATAAAATGATTTTTTATCAACATTTCTTTATCTCTTTCAGCTCAACAACGTCAACAAATGTCACGAATCATAAACAAAAGAATCAACAGAAAAGAGAGATCTGTAAGTTCATTTATTCAATCATTTTTAAAGAAATGCCTTCTACTTTTATATAAAAATGAAATTCTAATATTTTTAATTAATAATGTTAATAATTAAAAGCCTAATTTTCTTTCATTTTAGTCCCTTTTACATCGACTCGGGTCTTTTTGGGGCAAGAGATCACCGATTTCGATCCAGAGGTAAGATGGGAAAGATAATGGGAAAGATTTTTTAGATAATTTAAATAGAAAAGAGATGTAGCTAATAGCTAATATACAATAATATTGAATAATATTGAATTTATCTATTCTTATATATGTTGTGTCCGATTTAGATTTCCGTCCGATTTAGATTACAGTCTATGTCGGACGTCCGATTTACATAGATTCAATCTAAATCTTATATAGATTGAACAATAATATAAACATAATATATGTTAATATATGTTCTTAAGCGTTTTTTTTTGCAATTTTCTGCGCTTTTCAAAGAAATTTTATTGTCTTTTATTGAGAATTTTTTGTTTTCTTGTTTTCCTATTAAATGCTGCTTTTTTACAGATGGAGGACCTTTTTGACCAAGAATTTGGCGTGTTTTTACAAAAGAAGAAAAGAGGACAAATTCCAACCGCTGAAGCCTACAATTTGATGGTTGAAACGCTCCACAATCATCGTGAAAACTGCGAGAAACCAAAACTACCACGAAAACAACTTGCTGAAAAGATTTGCGCTCGTGATTGAACAAAAGGAGCGCAGCTTTATCATGTGGGCGAGAAAAATGGCAGCGGAGAGATGCCAGCACAACAACGAGTGATTAAGCGAGAAGCGGTCTTTCAGCTCTTACACGAAACACACAAAAAAACTTGGACACGCTGGAATAAACTTGATGTTTTTACTTAATTTGAAAACTTAATGAAACTTAATTTTACTTAGAATTTGGCGTGTTTTTTATTTAAAAAAACGGTTGTTGGGAGGCCAATCTTAACGCAAAAACAAAACGAGCGTTGTCAAGTGGATCTTATCGATCTCCAATCAACACCGGATGGTGATTTCAGGTTCATTCTAGTATACCAGGGTTTTTTTTCTGTTATTTATTGTTAAGATATAAGGATCATTTAACCAAATTCGTGACGCTAATAAATTGTTTCATAGTTGGGTTTTCTTTTCAGAAAAAGACAGTAACAGACCTTTGAAAAATGCAGAAAACTACAGAAAACGCTTAAGAACATATATTAAGCATGTTTATATTATTGTTCAATCTATATAAGATTTAGATTGAATCTAAATCAGACGTCCGATATAGACTGTAATCTAAATCGGACGTCCGCGATAAGTTCAACCTAAATAGGACGTCCGATTTAGATTGAATCTAAATCGGACGGAAATCTAAATCGGACGGAAATCTAAATCGGACACAACATATACAATAGCTTCGAAAATGTCTCGATCGAGAGATGAAAAGAATTTTCTTGAAGACGAATTGCCTAAATTTGGAGCATGTTTCGATTTTGCCCATTGATTTATGCTATCAAGTAAGTTTATGTGATTTATGTGATTTATGTGAACGTTTTTCTTTTGAGTTTTATATTGACAATAGGTTTTAAGATGGCTAACTTCACAGCTGGACTTTCGAAAGATCAGAGACCACAAAAAGTGAGCATTCAAACGAAAAGAAAGACGAAACAACGTGAGTGATTGAAAATATTGAACTTAAGAAATTGGGGAACAGTTTAATCATTGGTTGGCTGTACTTTGTGAGAAAAGAAAATGGAAACACATCGTTTCTGGCGCACAAGAAAGAAGAAAGAATTTAGTGTGTTAGAAAGGGTTTGTTTGCAGATTTGAGCATAAAGTAAACAGAAAATACAAGCAAAAACTTTGCAGAGATTATCAACGATGAGGTTGACGAGATTTATGCAAAGTGGAGCTTCGAGAATGCGATCATATTTGCTTTCACTGTCATTACAACGATTGGTAAGCTTAAAGTTGTTTCAAAGACGATTTTCTCCACCGATTTTTTCCCTAAATTCACCAGAAGCCAGATCTGGATCTTGGCTCTTGATCTGGCCTCGATCTGGCCTCGATCTGGGCTTGTATTCAGTCAGCAATGTATTGGTATCAAGCTTTCTCCACCCAACCCCCCACCCCCCCCCTCCTTTTTTTTTTGTTTTTCTAAAAAAAAATGTTTTGGTTTACACCCACACAATTGTTTTAAAACAACAGCCACAAAAAACCTGGATCTGGCTTCATGTATTCAGGTTCTAGAATCAGCAATGTATTGGCATCAAGCCTGACACTGGGTTTACATACCCAAGGACTCAAGACCTGAATCTGGCTTCTACTCTAACTTAGACTTGGCCAAAGTCAGACTAAAGGCTCAAGGCTGACCTGATATGTCGGACGATCGAACCCAGTCCTGTCTAAGGCCCGAAATCTTTCAGGCTACGGTCACGTGGCTCCGGTCACTTTCTGGGGTCGAGTCTTTTGTATCGTTTATGGAGTGATTGGTGTCCCATTAACTCTTCTCACCATCGCCGATATGGGAATGTTCATCTCAATGATATTGAAAAAGGTGAAAATCTTTCTTTAAGCCTTATAAATGATTTCCCAGATTACTCAATTCGTTCGCTCGATTCCTCGCTTTTTCCGTGCTTTCTCTCGGGTTTTGGGAAAGTTGTTTAAAAGAAAGGTAACTTAAAAGGAAAAGAAAGGTTTATTTTAGTTTATTTTAGTTTATTTTAGTTTATTTTGGTTTATTTTGGTTTATTTTGGTTTATTTTTGTTTATTTTTGTTTATTTTTGTTTATTTTTGTTTATTTTGGCTTAGAGCCTTAAAGGAAAAGGTTTATTTTGAATCGAAATGATCTCTTTAACTATTTGAGTGAGTAATGTTCAGAGAAAAAGAGGCAGCACAATCACATCAACTCCTCGAGTAGTAAATCTTGAAGCTGAACGATTGAAAGATGAAAGATTGATCGATGTAAAAGAGATCGATTTCGAGGAAGATAAGGAAGAAATGGACAATGAAGATGAAAGAGAAGAGGAAGAAGGAGAAGAGGAAGAAGGAGAGGAAAAAGGAGAGGGGAAGTGAGTGAAGTTAGCTAGCTTTTTTCTTAGCTTTTTTTGAGCAAAATAAAACTCTACTTGTCAAATTGAAAGACTAATACAGTAAAAGGACTTTGAAGTTATCTTTCAAAGCTAAAAAAAGCATGATTAACATTTTGAAAAGCGAAAATTCTAGATTTCTAGGAGAACTGATGAATCGATTCTTCTGTGCACGATTTTCATGCTTTATTTGGGTTTTGGAGCTTGGGTAAGTTATTTTTTAAGGTTAAAATGTAGTAAATTTTATGTATTTTGATCATTTTCGGTGCTTTTTCTTGATATTTTTCTCTTTACAAGGGAAATGATGTAGCGAAATGAGATAAACCATAAACTATTCAACGCAGAATTTCACGCTGATTCCGAATCTGCTTTCCGTTTTTGAAAAATAGCTTTCTATAAAAAGTTATGCGTTTAAGTTTCAGGGTGAAAATGCGAAAATTTAGCTTTATAACGAAAATGCTCTATAACGTCTTAACGGTCTTTATAACGTTTTTATCTCGACGGTCGCAGGCGACCTCGTGGTGTAGTGGATAAAAGGCTTGAATACAAAACGAACGGGCGAGTCTTTACTCGGGTTCGATTCCGTTTTTGTGTTTTTCGTTTGTTTGGTTTGATATGAGAAATTCTGCGTCGGATGGTTTATGGTTTATTGGTCTCTCATTTGATCACATCCTACTATTACCTTTCTCTTCTTAGGTTCTATCACGATATGAACCAGACATGGATTTGTTCAAAGCTTTCTACTTCAATTTTGTCACTCTCACCACCATCGGATTGGGAGATTTCGTGCCGAAAAGGTATGTTTTCAAGTAAATTCAGTGCGCCAGAAAGGGGTTTGTTTCTGAGCACAAAGTATACAGTGATACAAGTTTAGTTTAGTTACGAATACCTCTTCATCACTTTGTGCTATATAGGGATCGGTTTGGCGTTGACAACAATGGCTGGTAAGTTTTTGATAGAACTAGTGCATGTCAAAGCTGTCAAAGCTATCAAAGCTGTCAAAGCTATCAAAGCTGTCAAAGCTGCCTAGCTGTCAAAGCTGTCAAAGCTGTCAAAGCTGTCATAGCTGCCTAGCTGTCATAGCTGCCTAGCTGTCATAGCTTTTTTAAAAGTCAAAATAAAAACTGTTTACATTAAAAATTCATGGAAAAATCAAAAACTAATGAAAATATTTAGTGGAAATTGCGGCTGATGCCCTTAAAAAGTTGCATCATTTCGGGAGAAAAGTCGAAAATGTCGCGCAGACAATGGTGTGGTTTGGAGGAAAGAAGTGAGAGAGTTTTTTGATCACAATTCTCATTCCCAAATTTCAGAATGACAATGAAAGCTTTGGTGAAACATTTGGGTGATCAGCTGAATATTCCTGAAGAGGAAATGGCAAAGTTCAACTTTGAACAATTCGTTGAAAATGCGGTGAAAGTGGAGGCGGGAGAGATGAAAACCCTCAGAGTTGGTTGAGTTTGAAAACGAGCTGAACTTTATAGCAATTTATAGCATTTATAGACCATTTATAGACCATTTATGATCAGCAATTATTGCCTAATCTTTTCCAAATCCTTTCCAAATCCTTTTCAGAAACCATCAAAAGATTTGGATGAATTGGGCGATGATGGTGAGGTTAAATTCCGAGATCGATCCCTCTCCTATACTCAATTGAGACACTCCGATGAAACTGATGCAATCAAGTTCGCTGATGAGAAATCGCAAAGATATGGGAAAGGTGGGCAAAATGAAAAAGTTAGATTTGAAGTTGGGCTTTGAAATAAAGAACACAGCTTTTCTGACTAGAGAAAATCACGAACTCCAGCTGAGTCTCCAAGAAAAATTTTTTGAAACCAAAAACACTTCTTCTGACATTTATTTAACCTACTGATTACGTTTGTGATTAAATTAAAGCAAAATAAAAAAACAATATATGTATATTTTCAATTTGTTTTTGACTTCTACCAGTCAAATTAAAGTTTAGAAAATGAATATTCAGTGGTTGTCTGGACTTTTCTCTGGACTTTTCTCTGAACACCTCGTACATTTTATAGAATCGGCTATGAGGAATTCGAATCTGAAATTAAAATCTCTCAAATGATCTTCCAGACTTGTAAAAATTCAATCAAAAATTTGGCGTTAAAAGCTTTAAAAGAGGCTTTAAAGAATGCTTTAAAAGGCTTTAAAAGCTTTAAAACGGTCTCCTTCTAAGCAGAGACATTGTATCCTGGCGGCCTAGTGGATAACGCCTTGACCCGCCACCCGGAGGATCAGGGTTCGATCCCTGATGGCGCTTTTTGTTTTTTTTTCTTTTAGATTACAATCCAACTTTTAGACGGTGTCCCATTAGCCGACGAGACGGGTCGAACGGTGACATCAAATCGACGAAAAAAGACAAATAATGGTCATTTGAGTGCCACGGATAGAGATGCACAATGGACATTTCGAGGAAAGAATTTATTGGTGAGTTTCGAGAAGTTGGCTTATTGGCTACTTTCATACTTATTGCCGTGTGCCAGACGGCGAAGAACCGCTAGCACCCGCTAGCACAAAGAACATTTCGCCAGTCATACTTTCATACTGGTTACTTATTGGCTACTTTCATTCAAATTCAAGAACTTTTCTTTCAAAATACGATAGGAATCTATAATATTTTAGGGAAGAAAGCGGAATATTCAAATAAATCTATTTAAGACTCAAATGCCGCGTCTCTCTCTTCATCCATCAATCCAATCGTATTCCTCGAATTCCTCGTATGATGAGGGTTTCACAGTATCCGCGATGAAATCTGCAGAAGAACAGGATCGGAGATCGAATGAATGATCCAGATTATCAATAGAATATCTTATTATGTTTTATTATTTATTGAATAGATCTATTTACAAATTCTTTCCATTTTATGCATGTTCCACATTGTAGGATTGACGCCGGCGATGGGCTGACGAGGAGCTGCTTGAGGGTGCCTGAAAGTAGCTAGATTTGGAAAGAAACAAAAACTATAGTCTAGTTTCTAGTCTGGATCTAGCCCAGGTGTTTTGCGTTTTCTAAAGGGTGGCTAATTTTGACAAGCTACTGTAATCTTGTCTGTTCACTGAATTTTGATCCCATTCAGAAAACAGGCTATCGATCGATAAAGCAAAGAAGAAGTTCAATTCTCTCGGTTCCCGAACTCGAAATCGAAAGCTTAGAACTTTGAAAGTCCTTTCCGGAAACACAATTCTATTTTCTATTTTCCTTTTTTTTTAAATGATTCTCAAATGAGAGTTAATTTGTCAAAAATTTGTGCCGAGCCTTTTGCACACTTGCCAACAATTTTAAAAGCCAATTTAAGGCTAAATTTTAGCGCAGAAACCCTGGTCTGGTCTTACTGTCTGCATCTCTTCTATTTTGTATTCAATATTTCATCCCCGGAATTCAATTCGATCTTTTACCTCATCCGATGAGCTATTGGCCCCATCCTTCTCCGCTTCTGCTCTTTTCCTTTCCATTATTGCGGCTGCTCGGAAAATGTCGTTCATCGGGCCGCTCAGACCACCGTTTTTCTAAAACAACGATTTAGATTCATCGTTACTTTTTGAGTGACTTTATGCACTCTTTTATGATTCATTATTGTAGATAAATCTTGAGGTATACGCGATTTAGAGAGATAAGGAATCAAATTCAGATGTATACTTTGTGCGTCAAGACGCAACCTTTCTGGCACACTTTATACTACATTTATTGCAAAAAAAAAAGAAAACAGTGTGCTAGAAAGGCTGGGTTTTCATTTGCAAAGTATGAGAAAGTGAGGAAAGGGAATTGAGTGCACTAGAAGGTTTTGTTTCAATGATTAATCATAAAGCACGAATAATCTATTCCCTACCTTTCCATGGTGATCTTCAGTGACTTTTAAATGATCATTGTGATTAGTGTGATTGTTTCCGTGTGCTGCATGTGGTTCATGTCCATTTCCATGTCCATGTACTTGTCCATGTCCATGTCCATGTCCATGTCCTTGTCCTTGTCCATGTCCTTGTCCTTGTCCATGTTCTCCACCTCCATGCTCGTCTGAAAGTTGTTTAGATTTTTAATTCAAAAGAACTATGAAAACAAGGTTTAGGAAAAAACGTTTAGGTTTACTTTTCAATTAAATAATCTTGTAACTAACGATGTCCATGCGAGCTGATCGATAGCCGAGGAGTGCCCAGTTGAAAGTAACCCAAATTAAGATATCTAAAAGAATGAAATTGATTTAATAATGATATTTATAAAATTACAATGTATAGATAAGTATTTGATTTAAAAAAAAAAAAAAAAATCAATTATAACCTTTGCAATAACTCCAAATAACATCCAGAAACAGTGAAATGAAAGAGGTAATCAGCTGGGAAAATCGTTTGCGTGAAAATCATACAGATTAGTGTTGTTGATGAGTATCTAAATAGAAATATTTAGCATTTATCGATGTGTTCAGTGTGCTAGAAAGGATGCGCTTATAAAGTTGAACACAAAGTACGCAAACACCTCACCGGAAAGTCTCATCAGTGAGTTGATACTTGATGAGTGATGTGTCGAAGAAAGTGTACCCGAATTGCACCCAAGCTATCACCAAACCAGCAATTCCTAGATTTCCATATGTTTCAATCATCAACATCTTCAAATCTTACCGACTACTGGAAGAAATCTCTTTGTCGCAATCACATCTGAATCCGACATTGCTAAGATTCGGCGAATCGCGAAATATTGCAACCATTGGCAACTCTATACGATGAATGGTCTGTTTGCTTTTAGAGATTTGTTTAGGTTATGTTCTAATAGATTTGATTCAAGTCTATGAGACGTTTGAACCAATCTGACCGACTTAGTCCAGGTCTATGAGACGCTTGAATCGTTCTGATCGACTTGATTCAGGTCTATGAGACGCTTGAACCAATCTGATCAACTTGATCCAGGTCCAAGAGACGCTTGCGTCAATCTGATCAACTTGATCCAGGTCCAAGAGACGCTTGTGTCAATCTGATCAACTTGATCCTGGTCCAAGAGACGCTTGCGTCAATCTGATCAACTTGATCCAGGTCCAAGAGACGCTTGCGTCAATCTGATCAACTTGATCCAGGTCCAAGAGACGCTTGCGTCAATCTGGTCAACTTGATCCGGTCAAGACGCTTGCGTCAATCTGATCAACTTGATCCTGGTCCAAGAGACGCTTGAACCGATCTAACCGACTTGATTCAAGTCTATGAGACGCTTGAATCGATCTGATCGACTTAATCCAGATCCAAGAGACGCTTGGACCAATCTGATCGACTTGTTCCAAGTCTATGAGACGCTTGAACCGTCATCTCTGAACTGGCTAACTTCTGGCTTTAACCAAATAACCCTATTAAAATAACCCTGTTTTTTTCAAGTTTAGCCATTTACAACCATTACAGATTTACGATAATTTGTCTACTCTTTTTCCAGAATCCCGATTTCCCTTTCCTTTCTTTCCCCATTTCCCATCTCTCACTCCATCTCCCCCCATCAGAGTGAGCTCTTTACACCCGTTATCAATAAGAAAAGATTTCCCTTTATGATCAATAACAATGAAAATCACTTCTTATTAATTAATTTTGTGCGTTTGATAAGGAATTCTGAAGTAAACCCGGACGCTGAAGGTAATAAATTTCATCGATTTACTGCCGGGTTGAACTCGTTGAAAGTGAAATCATAAATTTATTGAAGTAGTAAAATTTTGGAGCTAATTTTGAAGCTAATTTTTTTATTATAAAGTACAGCTCTGGTACCTACTCTGTAAATCTATAATATAATAAATAAATAAAGAGGCACAAGAAGTCCTGTAAGAAGAATGGTGGCTTATAGCTATCGGCAGTTAGTATTCAAGTTCACTCTTGTACTTTGTGATCTTGCAAACTTTCTAGACTCTTTCTAGACTTCTAGAATATCTTTCTAGACCACCAATAATTAGGTGTAAAGGGTAGATTTTCGGGGGGTAGTCAGAACAGCGCCATAATAGAAAACGTTCAAAACAGCGCCGTCAAATTTCTCACGATCCAAAAAACCAAGCCGGTTCAAGTTTTATATTAAAAAAAATCCTTGCGTTTTTGGCTACATGATGAGAGAAACGGTTTTTTCAAAAAGTTAATATTTCATAGATAAAAAGGGCACTCAAAATGGGTCTCTAAAGGTCTCTAAAGACACACATGTCAAGTGATGTTGGTGAACTGTTGGTTGACTCAGTTGGCTAACTGAATATCTTTAGAGACCCATTTTGAGTTCTCTTTTTATCTATGAAATATTAGCTTTTTTAAAAAACTGTTTCACCCATCATGTAGCCAAGAACGCAAGGATTATTTTAATATAAAACTTGAACCAGCTTGGTTTTTTGGATTTTGAGAAATTTGACGGCGCTGTTTTGTGGCGTTTTCTATTATGGCGCTGTTTTTGACTACTCCCCTCCCTCCCTCCCAGATTTTCTAGCATAGTTTTTTCCTCTTTTCTGTTTGTACTTACATGAGTTAATAAAAGTGAAATGATTTGAATGATGGCTTCTTCTTGTTTAATAAAACCATCAACGCGTTGGTATTCTAACTAAAAAAAAATTGATCGCTTAAACAAGTTTTTACCAAAAATTCCTTGCCTCAACCGATTGAAGGACCAATTTCACAAAGAGAACCACACAAGAGCCAAAGAGAATTGTGATGTCACCTCTTGCGTGAGCCTTGAATATAAGTATAAATATGAATGAGGTTGAATCTGTAAAAGCTCTCCTCTCTAGAGTGCGTTCCTCGCGTGTAAGTGATTACTCGAGTAAAATCTGCATGAGTAATCTTTACTCGATTAATCGACGTTTTTTTGGTCGAAGCAACTACGAGTAATCCTCTTTACACGTCGAGTAAATTGAATATCTTTACATTTGATGGGAATTTCCCACCAAATCATTTAAACAGCTGAATATCTTTAAAAAGAGTCGTATCAAAGTCGTCGCTCGTGATTTTTTTGCAATAATTTTTGGGAGTGGGACAAATGCGAGCTTTTTTTTGCTGGAAAAGGTCTTAGGAAAGGCCGTAGAGCTTCAAAATGCCGTAGAGCTTCAAAAACTGCGGAAAAGCGTTAAGTTGCGTAGTTTTTACCTTTTAAGTCCAAATTTGACGTGTCAGCGAGGTCTGATTTGTCGAAATTCGAAATCTACGCATACGATTCCCTAGTATGGAAACATTTTCGAAGCTCTACGATCTTTCCTAAGGCCTTTTCCAGCAAAAAAAAGGTCGCATTTGTCCCACCCCCATAATTGCAATAATTTTCGCTAAAAGTACGGTAATTTTTCTTAAAGATGCATTTTTAAAAAAACGCATTACTCGTGAGGAACACACTCTATTAGAAACACTATTCTAGAATCTCATTCTAGTCTTTAGAGGTTGTAATATGTAAACGCTCTCCTCTCTCATCCTCTCCTATTCAAATCTTTTTTTTCTGACTATTAGTACAAGTAAAAAATCAAATCTCTTTAAACAAACAACTCTTTGCATTATAAAGTACCAGAGAATCGACTTTTTTGTGTTTACTTTGCTTTACTTTACTTTACTTTACTTTACTTTACTTTACTTTACTTTACTGTTTACTTTACTTTACCCTTTACTTTACTTTACCCTTTACTTTACCCTTTACTTTACCCTTTACTTTACCCTTTACTTTACCCTTTACTTTACCCTTTACTTTACCCTTTACTTTACCCTTTACTTTACCCTTTACTTTACTGTTTACTTACGAACAATTTACTCACTTTATGATGAGCGTCAAGCCTCTCGGTTTTGATTGATCGCGCGAAAAGGTACATCTAAATTTTTGAGAAAAAGATAAAAGCTATTGTATAATAGCTATTGTATAAAAGCTATCTTATAAAAGCTATTGTAATCCAGCTTTTACTTTAGAGAACTTGTTCTTTTTTATTGTTGAATACAATACTTTTACAATAGCTTTTACAAACCAGTAAAAAGAGAAGTGTCATGAGAAGATTTGCGGCTAATGAGACAAGATCCGCTGCCAACCAATGCTTTGCAACAAGAGCATCGAAATCTTAAAGCTAATCTTTTACTTTAAATTTTCAAATACTATTTTAAAATAGATTAGAATAGAAAAGAATCTTTTATCAAATTTCTTGTTTTCTAAACTATTAAAAAGGTCTATAATTTCTCTACAAAATGGCTTTTGAGAGAAAGCTCAAAGCTCGCCTATTTATAGGAAGATAAAGAAAGCTCAAAGCTCGCCGATTTATAGGAAGATAAAGAAAGCTCAAAGCTCAAAGCTCCCCTATTTATAGGAAGATAAAGAAAGCTCAAAGCTCAAAGCTCCCCTATTTCTAGGAAGATAGAGAAAGCTCAAAGCTCGCCTAATCCTATTTTCTTTTTAAAATCCTATTTTCTTATTATTTAATAATTTTTCTTTGCTTTTCTTTAAGTTTACCAATGGTGTAATAAAAGAAAATCATCCATTTAATCGTTGCCATCAATGAGGCGCAAAAGGAAAGAATCCAAAATGACCATTTGAGAATTGTGCTGAATAAGAAATGATATTAAGATAAAGATAAGCTAAAAGATAGGCAGTTTCAGGCAATTCAGGCAACGTTTAAAGTCTCTTCCTACCTTGGATGCAATGGCTTCAAATCAACAGCCGTTTCACCGTAAACCCGCGAAATATCAGTGAAAAAGTTTTTCAACATACCGCGAACACCCATTTTTCTCTGCAAAATTTCTTTTTAGCAAAATCCGTCTTTTGTAAACTATTGTACCTTTTATCATCTATTTTTTAAAATCAATCTTTAATCTAACCTCTTGAAAGCTTACAAAGAGTAACAAAAGAAACAATAGAGACAAGGTTACGGTAGTTTTCGATGTACTGTTCGACGTACGACGTTTCGACGACGTACTAACCTGTGCTCTTCTCATAATATCCTCTGCTTTTTCTTCAGCTCCACCACACGATAGCCAATGGGAAACGAGAAGGACTGGGAAAAACTCAGAGGCACAAGAAATGACAGCTGTGTTGAGGAGGCCTTTGTTCAGATAGTACCTAGAATCATGATTAGTGTAAGGGTTTAAACTGGTCTAATTAGTTGATCAGTTCTGTTTGCTAGGTCTAGTCTAAGCTCTAGTTCTGCTAGGTTTAGTCTAAGCTCTAGTTCTACTAGGTCTAGTCTAAGCTCTAGTTCTACTAGGTCTAGTCTAAGCTCTAGTTCTACTAGGTCTAGTCTAAACTCCAGTTATACTAGGTTTTGCCTGAGCTCCACTGCTATGTTTGCCAGAGTCTGGCCCTGGTCTTCAGAAAAATCTTGTCCTTGTTATAATCTCTTAACTCTTTATCCTAAAACCCTGACCTACCAAATCTTTTTCGTTCCTTTGAGATCGTAAGCGGGATTGCATTCATAATGTCTTTTCATCACCGGACACCAATATCCTTCAAGCTCTTTGCGTTGACAAAGCTCCTAGATTTGTTTATCTATATTAGATCCTATAAAGCTTACATTATGTGACAGATATCCTTTATAGATGACGACTTTCATCCAAACAACTGAGAATGTAATGTTGATGAAGAGACGGCCAACCTAGAGGAATTTTTGGACTTTTTACTTAGCTTTACTTAGCTTTACTTAGCTTATTTAACTCTATAGAGATTAAATCTAGATATCTAGATATTTCTAGACTTACTTTATCTAAACTCGTATTAATCGCTCCATAGTATCTTCTTTGTGTGATATAAATGAGTGAAAGTACAGAAAAGCCACTCATCAACACATCGTACAATGTCTCGATCCAGAGTTCACTACTATAAATCGCGTCAACCAACTTGTCGCATTCCTGGAAACAAAATGCCGATGCTGATACTTAAAAAAAACTCAATCTCACTTGAAATGAATAGTTGAAGATGATAAAATAGAGATATCCAATCGCGATACCGATCGTTAAACCAATTGCACCTAGACATAACCCATTAAATAATTTTCATTTACCTTTGCTTCTATGACTGATTGGATAATAGCCTTTTATCTTAGTCGGGACGTCAAGGACTCAATCGTCATGGGTTCAACCGTCAAGGACGCAATCGTCAAGGACTCAATCGTCAAGGACTCTATCGTCAAGGACCAATCGTCATGGGTTCAATCGTCAAGGACCAATCGTCAAGGACTCAATCGCAGGACTCAATCGTCAAGGACCAATCGTCAAGGACTCTATCGTCAAGGACTCTATCGTCAAGGACGCAATCGTCAAGGACTCAATCGTCAAGGACTCTATCGTCAAGGACTCTATCGTCAAGGACTCTATCGTCAAGGACTCAATCGTCAAGGACTCAATCGTCAAGGACTCAATCGTCAAGGACTCAATCGTCAAGGACTCTATCGTCAAGGACTCAATCGTCAAGGACTCTATCGTCAAGGACTCTATCGTCAAGGACTCAATCGTCAAGGACTCTATCGTCAAGGACTCAATCGTCAAGGACTCTATCGTCAAGGACTCAATCGTCAAGGACTCAATCGTTAACGATTCAATCCCTGGTTGACTTCTTAAAAACCCTTACCAACTAAAGCCGGTGTTGGGATCTCATGTGGTTCATCCAATTTCGGTAAACCCCTCGTTCGATACAAAAACTCGATCATCACCACCGAGCAACAAGCCATCAAAAGACCGACCAACTGAAATTAAACAAATCGTAGTTCAAAAAAGGTGGATTTGTTGGTTTTAAACGGAAGTACGAAAAGAAACGGAAAGACTTTTTGAATAGTCGAATAGATAGCATTTATCTAGTCCTTGAGCTTTCTAGTATGAATAAGATTAGAACGTTTTACCCAAACGTACTCTAGGTTGACTATTTTGTCATCGTTTAACGCGTGCCCAACGTCTACTTGATAGCTTCTACGTCTACTTGATAGCTCTACCGTCTTTCATTCTGGTGATGCTTTCAATTGTGGGAATGTTTTGAATTTAACACTTTGAATTTAACAAATGAAATATCGAACACAAAGCACTAAAGCCTAGGCTGACTGACCTAGTTCTAAGCTTTAGTTCTAAGCTTCTAAGCTTCAGTTCTAAGCTTCTAAGCTTCAGTTCTAAGCTTCTAAGCTTCAGTTCTAAGCTTCTAAGCTTCAGTTCTAAGCTTCTAAGCTTCAGTTCTAAGTTTTCTAGTTCTAGATTTAGCAATTTTAATTTGATAAACTCCACTCACTAAATGATAAACACGCAAGTAGAAAATCGTGTCCTCTCTACTCAACAACACGTAAAGATTCATGAATACGCAGAGAAGGAAAATAATGTACATGTTGACCATACAAATGTGATGAACTTGAAGGAGCCATTTCAGATCACGTTTCTCGCTTCCACCCATTCCGGGGAGTTGAAAGCTTAGCTAAAAGGATTGCTCTGAAAGTATCTGAACGTTTCGATTCAATGAAACTCTATTCACTAATATGTTAGATCGATGGTTTTTTGTATCTGTAATCAGGGTATATCAAGGAAAATTTTGCTAAAGATTAGGCCAGAAGTTAAGACTTTTAGTCTGCTCTTCTTGCCTGACCTGGTTTTGCTGTAGAGCTGACTCATAGATCCTGGGACTGCCAGGAAGAAGACCTAACCTGGCCTGAGGACCTGGCTTGTCTTACGACCAGATTCAGATCCAGATCCAGATCTAGATCCAGATCCAGATCCAAATCCAGATCCAGATCCAGATCCAGATCCAAATCCAAATCCAGATCCAGATCCAGCACTCTACGTAAGAATACAAAGAACGCGGCTACGCGACACTCCAATAGTTGTGTAGGCTTTTAGTAGCCCGTCGTCGTTCTTTGTATTCTTCTTTAGAGATCCGGATCCGCCCAACCCTTGACCCTGGAACCCCGTTTGAAACAACCCTGGCTATAGTTTTTCAATTCAGATCCTAATCTTCATGGTATCCTGCTGGAAACGCAGAAAGCAAAGCGTTCAGCACGTGAGAAAGACTGGGTTTCGATCTTTGAGTACAAAGTACAGTTTTACTCACCTTTTCTGCGACACTCAACAGTTATTTGAATCGTTTCCTTGAAGAATCAGCAACCTTTCCACCCCTGAATGAGGTCATTTTCGCATAAAATCCCACAGCAAACAGCAGCAGAATTAATGAAAATTTGATAGGAAAAGATAGGAAAAGAAATAAAGAACAGGATCTCGTACTGGTTTTTGCTTTTTCTGGCTTTGGTTGTGCTCTAGTTTGAATCGGCAGTACTTGAAGAATTTATAGCTACTAAGTAAGTAAATAAGTAAGTCAGTAAATAAGTAAGTCAGTAAGTCAGTCAGTCAGTCAGTAAGTCAGTCAGTAAGTCAGTCAGTCAGTCAGTAAGTCAGTCAGTCAGTAAGTAAGTCAGTCAGTAAGTCAGTCAGTCAGTCAGTAAGTCAGTCAGTAAGTCAGTCAGTCAGTCAGTAAGTCAGTCAGTCAGTAAGTAAGTCAGTCAGTAAGTAAGTCAGTAAGTAAGTAACAAAGATTCGCTTAAAGATTAAAAAGTCTATTTATTCGAGACGAATAATGACTTACAACAGAACCGAAGAGATTTTGACCTTTACAATTACATTTAGTTTACAATTTGTTATCCCTATTACCCAAATGTTGTTAAGAAAGAAAGAACCCCATAATAATGGGAAAAAGAATCAGCCACCGGGATTTCTAGCCACCGGGATCGAACCTTTGACCCTATCCGACCGACTAAGAGACAAGACTCGTATCCGGTCGTCTACAATGTCTACGATGGCATTAGATCAAAATTTTTGATTCATCCGTTGCTCGATCTGCTTCTAGATTCACTCATTGACAAGGAAAAATTCAAATTTAGCTTTAATAAAAGAAATTTTGATCTAAAAAGAAATTTTTTTTGTTTACAACAAAATTTGATAATTTCTGGCGTAATTTTATGTCAAAACTTTTAAAATATCGTAAAAAGAAAGATTTAATTCTTGATTTCTTGATTAAACATTCAATAAGAAGCTTAAAGTTAAAAGAAAATGATTCATAAAAAAAGAAATCAAGTAGACGAATGAAGAGAAGGGACGAACGAATGTCAGTAACCATGTCCACCCAATCCTTTCCCCATTTCACTCAAACCATTTCCCCCAGCTCACCCATTATTTTTATCAGCTCAATGAAATTTTTTAATGCCTTTCCTTCCCCTTCCAATGACAATGAATTGAAATTTTTAAGATTTCAATCAACCAAAATATGAGAAAAATAAAAAAAACTTTTTATTGGCAATGGAAGAACAATTGAGGAATCTAATGAATTTGATAAACTTTAACTCGACTTTTTTTCGCTAAAAGCATTGCATTGAGAGCTCGAGTTTAAGTTTAAGATAGTTGCTTTGATAGTTACTTCTTTATAGTTACTTCTTAATGGTTTAAGACAATAGTTCCAAGTTAGAACATGTTGTAACGCAAATACAGCACTCATTTTCTTCCGTGACATCAAATAAGCTGTATTCAAGGGTTCAGTCACAATATCCTTCTCTCCTAGCTAGTCTGTTCCAAGAAAACGCATCAAATTTGACTATCGTATTCTCTCTAATAGTAGTGCCGAGCCGAGTTGGTGACTATTTTACAGTTTCTAAGTTTTCCCAGAAGCTCAACACTCAAATCCCCCACATCGATAGGTTTTGATAAGCGCTTTTCGAGATTTCAAGGAATTTAGGCAAAGCTTTTGGTGCACTACTATTAGAGAAAATACGGTAAATCAGAACTGATTAGAAAAACATAGACATAGACAATTACGGTAGTTTGCTAAAATTCAAGGATTCAGTCACAATATCCTTCTCTCCTAGCTAGTCTGTTCCAAGAAAACGCATCAAATTTGACTCGTATTCTCTCTAATAGTAGTGCCCCAGAGCCGAGTTGATGCCTATTTTATGGTTTCCAATTCTTTCCCAGAAGCTCAACACTCAAATCCCCCACTAGATCTCATCGTCAGCTACATTTCCCGACCCCACATCGATAGATTCTGATAAGCGGTTCTCGAGATTTCGAGGAATTTAGGCGACACTTTTGGTGCACTACTATTAGAGAGAAGACGGTAAATCAGAGCTGATTAGAAAAACAGACGTAGGCATAGACATAGGCATAGACATAGATAATTACGGTAGTTTGCTAAAATAGATGTCATTTATACAAATGATTCCACAAAACACATTTACAATGGTATCTAAAAGTCTATTGAAAATAAAAAAAAATAAAGATTTAAAGAGTTTTTTTTACCTCAAAACTTTTCGAGTTTTTCTTTGAAATTCAAAAATTTGAAATTGAAATTCAGCATTCTTACCTAAGCTCGTAAAAAAACCAAAAAATCAAACCTATTTCCAGAAATTTCACAGTCAAATTCCCCAGCTCTTGTTTAAACAATGATTCCAAGTTTCTTTACGTGCAAATTTTATTTTATTTTATCACCGCGAACTTTGATTGCCTTTTTTTTTGGAAAAAATGCGTAGATGAACGCCGTAAATGTGGAATTTTTTCCGGAAAAACTTTCCAAAATAAAACTCTCTTCATTTGTTGGCAAAAGGAATGAGTGCAATTTTGAAAAGACATTAGAAAAACTGGAGGGTAAACGAATGCAATCCTAATCAGCTCATTAAGTCTCTTTAGGAGCCAGTGAAGAAAGAAAGCTAGTCAACTAGTTGACATCAGAAATTAGTCGAATGATTTTTAAAGATAATTTTTTCTCTTTTAAAGTCACTACTTTACGTAATAATAGTCATTTTTCGTACTATAGAAATCTCTATTCTTTACGCTAACAAATCTAGCTTCACTTGGCTTTTCACATGAGAAATCTTTAAATCTAATCCAGTAAAAGCTTACTGTAAATCCTGTAATTGGACCTCACTCCCATAATGACGGTGCGGAGCGTTGCGTAGGCTAGCTTTGAAAAAGTTTTTCTCGACACTGGTTTATGCTACAATGTTCGTTTTGGTTTCAAAAAATAGCCCTGAATTTCAGCTATTTTTTGATACCAAAGACGCATTTTTTGAAAGTACGGACGCTTTGAAAAAGTACCCCGTCGTACAGTCGCGTAGTCGCAAAAGTTTTTTAGTATTTCATTTTTTAAAGCGTCCGTACTTTCAAAAAAATGCATTTTTGGTATCAAAAAATAGCTGAAATTTAGGGCTATTTTTTGAAACCAAAACGAACATTGTAGCATAAACCAGTGTCGAGAAAAACTCGTCGAAAGCTAGACTACGCAACACTTCACACCGTCATTATCGGAGTGAGGTCCAATTACAGGATTTACGGTAAGTAGGCACGAGATACCTGTTCAAAAATTCTTCCTGTGCTTGTTTCTTTTGCTCTCTCGTCTCTTTCCGCTGTTGTTCTTCTTTCTCAAGTCCGCTTCTCAACCCTTCTTGTTCCAATGAGCATCATCAATGAACTCTTCAAAGAAATCTTCAAAGCTAACCCATCCAAAGCTTAGCTATTGTTTGAAATAAGCTAATAAAACGAACAAATAAATTTCGTACATTCTTCTCATAGTCAATCAATCTTTTTTTCAAATAAATTCAAATATTCTCTCTTTTCTCTTCATTCCCTTTTTTTCTTGATCCTTTTAGAAAAAAGAGGGACAAGAAAACGAAAAGAAAATCACATTGAGGACAAAATTAATTAAAAAGATCTAGTGCTTAGAGCAGAGTTTTAAAAAAATGCTTTCATTTCAATTTGAAATTTAAATAAGCTCTTTCTTTTATCTTTAAACGTTCAATAGATGAAAAATTTTTCTTTTTTTGGCTTTTGATTTTGATTTTGAGTCTCTAATCGAGCGCTTTTCTAGATTAGAGTTGTGTCAACAAGAGAATCGCCATCTCCGAGATAATCGGTAAACCTCAAACAGTGTTACTTTGGTTCAATTGGTTGTCAGAAATTGAATCCGAGCATTTTCAATTAGAAAATTTTCTTTCCATAGATTTAAAAATGTTTATTCCTTAGGTTTTGATGATCCTTAAGATCATCAAAATACTCTCAAGCTCTCGAATCTTAGAAAGACTTCAAATTCCTGCTCCAGACTTCAAATTCCTGCTCCAGACCTCAAATTCCTGCTCCAGACCTCAAATTCCTGCTCCAGACCTCAAATTCCTGCTCCAGACCTCAAATTCCTGCTCCAAACTTCAAATTCCTGCTCCAGACCTCAAATTCCTGCTCCAGACCTCAAATTCCTGCCCAGACCTCATCCCCCAACTCAAATTCCTGCCCAAACTCAACCTGCTCCAGACCTCAAATTCCTGCTCCAGACTTCAAATCCCTGCTCCAAACTTCAATCCTGCTCCAAACTTCAAATTCCTGCTCCAAACTTCAAATTCCTGCTCCAGACCTCAAATTCCTGCTCCA